GCGGCGCCGGGGGCGCGGGGGGGGGCGGCCGCGGCGTCGTGGGCCCGCGCCCCCCGCCCGCCCTCCCCCGGCGGCCCCCCCCCCCCGCGCCCCCCCCCCCCCGCCCCCGGTCATTTTGCTTGGGTCGCACGGAAGCGAGAAAAAGAAAAGTCGCAAAAAACGTACGTGAAGGTTATTGTAGGATATCGATGATCGCGACCATATAAAATCCTCGTCCTTTAGCTCTCCTTGCTTGCGCTGGGCCGCGGAACTAGTCCCCTTGATATAGTTATCGAAGCCCTTGACGATGTTGCCGTAGCGGGTATTGTTCAAATATTTAGCTTCGAGGTCGATGATGGTTTGTTCCAATTGCGACTACCATACAGTATTTTAGCCATCATCCTCTTCAAATCGTATCCATGTATCCATAAATTCAATGTAACTCACCAGCTGGCGCTCTTGCTGTTTCCGCTTACCTAGAAGCTCCTTGAGATGCTGTCGCTGCTTTGTATACTCCGTGAGGGAGGTCGGCCGTTCGCCATTGGCAGCTCCGCCAGTACCGGGTTGAACATTTTCAGTCATCGCGATTTTAGGTTGGCGTCGCTATTAAGATTGAATGAGCTAACTAAGCTAAAAAAAAAAAAAAAGGTTGGAGTTTGAATCTTCAATCCTCAAGTCATTTCAGAACGCGTAATGGTCCAAGCGTTTTTAGTGTTCTTAGCCTTCTTCAGCCTTCCCGTCCTGCCAGCCTGCTTCACTTCGAGCCTTTCTTATTAGACTAACTTAGGTAATGCGTCATTAGTGTAACTATTCATTTGCTAGGTACTACCTAGGCTAAGTTAGTGTGTACCATATATCCGGGGATTAGGTACCTCTTTAGCACATCCGTTAGATCCACTATTATTTAGACTTATCGATAATCGTAGTACTGGATAGGTACCTCGTACTGCATGCCCTTTCTTAACAATTAAGCATCATGATTGGAAATAGTTCCCATTAGTACAACATTTTTGGTCACCCTTTTTTTCACTTTTTCCTTTTCTTAAATTATCTGACGTCAGTATTTAAACATTGCTAGCATGAAATAGTGAGGTTATCTGTGTACGTTATTTGTAAACCAGAAGAGTATTTCCAGTTTCTGCTTGATATATATATATATGAACGAAAGAGGGTTAAATTGATTACTCTCGAGGCCTGTAATCCAGCTTGTCCGTACGCCATCCCATGTGCTGGTGGGAAATGCTTACCAGGCCTATGCAGCAATTCACACGTCGATTGTTCTTCCATCTTAACGTACCAATGTAGAAGCTAATAGTATAATAATATCTGTATTACATTAGCAATTTTAACTACACCACTACCAAATCAACGAACCAAGGCTGAGATAGAATCATGCTCTAATCTTGCTTCCAGTGGGAGCAATGATAGGTATGCATGGATTCTAGATTAGGGTTTGGTAGCAATTCTATTGTGTGATGTCTGATGTCTGATCATCTATCTGCTACATAGACAGCCATATTTCATGAGCTTAAACGCAACGCATTTTTTTGAGACTAACCTCGGAAGCCAAGTACGAGAATTAAAAAAACAGCTGAACCCAACATCCACGGGTTTCCACGTCTCTTAGGATGGCCGAGTCTGCAAATCCTGCGAGTCTATTAAGATTAGCCTGACCCTTTGACGTTATCTCTGCTTGAGGTGCCTCTCATCTTCTTTATACGCTCCTTCAGAAGCTTTTCTCGTAGCTCATTGGCCCGTTGTACTGGGGTCTTGGCCTGAAGAGTACGAGGGTCAGTTCTCGGTCTAAACGTATAAGTGACACGAACTCCCTAAGAAGAAGAACGAACCTCATCGGCCGTCGAGGCCGCGCGGTGTCTAGGGGATTTTGGTCTATCTTCATCTTCCGAAACATCAGCTGATCTGTTGCGGGCACGAGGGGAATCGGCAGAGTCTCTCCGCCTTCTCGAGGGGTTATCTCTAGCTTTGCTACTCTCTCCATTTCTTCCTGGGCTATCACGTCGCGGTCGCTTGGTCTCCTCCCCGGCCTCTGATCTGGTTGGACTTCGCGTTGGAGATCGTCTTAGCCTCCCACGGTGGCTAGGTGAGGGGCTGCGACTAATGAGTTCTCGGACCGGTCTTCGTCTTGGGCTCCGGCTACGTGAACGCGAGGAGGATGAGCGAGAACGGCTTAATCGCCGACTATCGCGACGTGGAGGAGACCTTGAGCGACTAAGCGAGTCTGAATACCTGCGTCTTTTAGGGGCCGGCGAACGAGATCGACTACTATCAGATCTACTGGCACTTGCCGGCGACGACGTGTTTCTTCTGCGACCGTCTCTGCGGGCCCTATAGCCTCTTGTTCGCCCTGTAGATCGATCTCGCTTTCCCGAAGCTCTATAGCGAGGTGGAGATCGGCGCCCCCCAGACCGGCGACGAGGCGGGGTTATTGATCGGTGGCCAGTTCGCCGGCTACGTCCACTAGCCGTGCTAGATGATCGAGAGCGAGAGGCAGAGCGTCTAGATTCAGGGCTTCCAGAGCGGGAAGGGGAGCGGCCACGTCGAGCCTCCTGTCGGCTTCCGCGACGGCCTGGAGGCACATAACGATCACGGTTATTGTAATATGAGTCTCGGTCTCGTCGGGGTGGGGAAGGGGATCGGTCACCGCCTCGGCCAAAGCCTCTGCCGCGACCACCGCCAAAGGCTCGATCGCTACCGCGTCTTCCACCACGCCAATTGTCGCCCCGTCCACCACGGAAGCCACGGTCGCGCCGCTCTCGGTCCCGTATATCTGATAATTCGCGATCGCGACGTTCCTGGGCCTCCCGTCGAATTCGTGATTCTTCTGCAGCCTTGTCTGCATCAATCTGATAATAGTTAGCACGTCTCGGATCTGCGGAGTATGGGACAAGCGTAGTACCTTCTCTTGGATAAGTTCCAGTTTCTTTGCCTCTAGGAGCTCCTTAGGGACGCCCTGTGGGCTAGTTTGGGCGCTCAAGCAAAGATTCCAGAGATCTTTGCAGAAGGATGCGGTATCTTTATCGAGGAAGCCGGTGAGTTGGATTTGCATGGATTTGATATCGGGCTGTGATATATCGTGTCAACAAGATCAGATCAATCATGATAGCGTTGTATAACATGTATGCACTTACGTAGCGGGAACCTTCGATTAAATTAAAGCATAGCTCAGTAACGACATCATCTTCGGATCCTAGTATCTCCGATATCTTGCTAGCAATCCATCTATGAGTAGCGGTTAGTTGTTAGGTTGCCGAAGTAGGCGCAGCTGGTGAGACGAGACGAGACGAACTTCTTCATGACCTGAAGATTGACCTTCTGCATGTCAACCTTCTGATTAAATTCGGGAGGGAATTTTGTCGCTCGTAAGAGCTTCGCATCTACGCTGCTTGCCATGGTTCCGTTGGTGGTGGCTGCAACTACGAGGCCGCTTGTTATTCGATACGTCTTCTATTCAGGCGTTAGTATAGAAAATTGAAGATATAAAAAAAGATGGAAGGATTGAATGCGAGACTAAAAAAATGACGTCTGGGGAAAACGCCATATGGCTGGTCTTGGCTCTAGCGTTTCAGTGATCGGGATAAGGAATTTAAAAGCCTGCGCGGCAGTGCTAACAATACCTATTTTCTCAGTTGCGGTTGGGGCAGCTGCCAGCTAGCAACTACCTAACGGTTACTTGCAGTGCCTGAAATCTCATTTTTGATCAAACATTTGAATATTTTATTTGAAACTAAAAAAAAGAATAAAAAATATAGTAATATGATAGTTAGTTAATATGCTCCTAGCTTTCTATATTAATACGACAATATTTAATTAAATTATATTACAAATTAATCGACTTTCCACAATGATAATTGCTGTTAAGCCTCTTGTTGTATCTGTATTTCGTAAGGCGTCAATATCTCAACTCTCAGAAATGTTCTTCTTTTCTTCCATTAATAGACATAACTAACTACTTCGTAGTGCATAGAAATAGGACGATAGAAACCTTAATCCAGCACCCACTTCCATGCCTGCATCAATAATCATTTTACCCTTAAAGGCTAGTATAATTGGCCAATTCACTTTATTTTTATTCCTAGAAGCGCCATACATATCGATGTCGGTACTTGATTCCACTCCCATACAGCTTATAAAACGAAAGCATTCATTGGCTCATACCGTCGCGGAAGCGAAGTTTTCCAACTACCTACCTAATATAATCGAACAACTAAAATAGCAGAGCCCAAGAAGGCAAAAATACTTATAATAAAAATCGACAGGTATCCGTTCGTTTGGCGTTCGTGTGAGGTATGTACGAGTTAGCGACAGTACCTAAGCAGATACTATTAAGTTGCATCAAAAGCTGCAACCCACCAAGAACCAAAAATAACCATGTCTTCGCTCTTACAAAGTATATATGACGCAGATGAACGACTTGTCAAGATCAACAGTGATCATCCCTATAACACATCATAATTTCCAAAGAAAGAGGTGTTGATGCGCATAGCAATGATGTACAGTCAGACAAGTTAATCTTGCTGACCGCTTGACGAAAGAAGACCCATCATCTTACCAAATACTGGGATCGTTTCGAGTAGGTAGGTACCCTCTCTCTTAAGTCCGATAGGTGCCTTTAGATTCGTAAGCGAGCACGTAACATGAAATCAAGACGGTTAGATATTATCATAGACGTAGATAAACGCCACATAGCGATAGAATCATATATTTCGTACTCGAATCAGTTCACCGTTATTAGCATTAAAAGAAAAGACCCATCGACCAAAATCCACCCGTAACCGTAGTCATATCCCGAATCATAGTAGCCGGTCCAGTCAGTAGTAGTAAAAAAAAAAAAAAGTCGTCAATGCGCCACTCTGTCAATAGTAGTGCTGTTCAGCCAGTTCATACGCCGTTTTTAATCCCAGGAGCACCCATCGCTCGTCTGTGTGTGTTTTTCTTGTCCGCTTCCCATCGCCCGCTAGTTTCCCTTATGTAACGCCAATGATATAATTAATCATGATGCAATTGGTCATTAAAGCATCCCGGGGGGTATCTAGATAATAGTCGAGCTGTGCCGTGCTGTCTTCACTTTGGGTAGCTTAGTCGGTTGATCTCTTTCCGCTCTCGCTTGTGTTCAGCGGCCACCTGGGCTTGCTGTTTCGCAGCGAGGGCGTTGATCTTCTCGCGCGCCTTGATCAAGCCGCTGTTATCTTGCTCTTTCAATTTGGCGCGAATCTGGTATAGGGATAGTAGCGTAGAGGCTCTGTCGATATCGGTTTCCGGTCGCTATTAAAATCAATTAGCATTTGTGCGACCGTGGCGAACAAAGGACAGCATTAGAAAAGAAAAAACACACCTCTCCCCCAAGAGGACTGCCAGGCAAAGATGGAGATGCAGAGTTCGTTCGTGTCAATGGTGGTGTAAGCATGCGACGGCCAAACTTGTCCGTCATACGACCAGCTGGGGAAGTGACCCTGCTTCCATCGGGGACGCTTCGGGGCTGTTGCTGTTGTAGGTGTTCCTTTCGGTCGAGCGTTCTGTTAACGCTCACCAAGTTTTTTGCGGCGGTTTGATCTTGCTGTATTAAATTAGGTCAGTGAGGGATATTCTCATCGAAGTATTGTTAGGTAGATAAAAGGCGATGAGAAAAATATACATACAGCAGCTTGGAGATCGTTGAGATCAGCCAGCATCTGTGCCAGCTGCAAAGCTTCCATACTGTCGCATATAATAACAAAGAACCTTCAAAAAACTTTGATAATTGTCGGTGGCTAAAAAGGACGGCGAAGTTGAGATGAAATTAAAAAAAAAAAAAAAACAGGTATAGGTAGGTCTTGCGACTTTGGCAAACTTAAATTGCGCGGACAAAGTTGGCAATGGCAGGCAGGAAAGAAGAAGGGATTGATTGGTATCAAGGACCCAAGCTGGCCAATGTGGGTTAAGGGACTTTTACAGGGAACATGGAGAAAGTGAGAGAAATAATTATTTACGCAGTAAGAGCGTTTAACTGTGGGGTACGCTTTCCCCAGGCCCAGGCCCGGCCAGTCCGACAGTCCAGAAGCCCAGAAGCCCAGAAGTCCAGAAGTCCTACAGGGACTTCCCCCACGCTGTGAAAAGCCCTCCCCAGTGATATCGTAAAGTACCTAGGTGATAAGATACGGGCATGTACCTAAGGTACACGAAGTCAGGTACATCCCGAACGAAGTCTTTTCATTTCCGCCAAGGATATCCCGTACCGAGAGACAGGTAGCTTTTTGAACAGTGGAGTATGCATAACAGGCATAATAATGTACCTCACCTCGAGGGCATAAATGTACAATAAAGTACCTAAGTATTGTACAATTGCCAGGGCTTTAATTGATCCCACTACCAATTTACCTATTATTCGAGTTATTCGTAACAACCTTGGTTCTCGCATCCGAACATCGGTGACGCGGACCACTTATAGTTTGGTACAGCCGGAACATTTCTCCGTTCAGTCACGCTTCCTTGTACATTTAGGTACAGGTATGTAAGTCAGTCAAAGCCCGCAGGATCTGACAACCCTGGATGAGAACCCTGGATGGCAAAGCGTGCATCGCTGATTTACAGATCAGAAACCATGAACGTTTTCCGCCGCGGCATGGCGTCGGTGGCTTCTCTGAAACAGGCCGGAAAAGTCGTCTGCATCGGACGAAATTATGCGTGAGTGCGCTTGTCTCTTGCCCCTTGTTCTTGTTGATCATCCCGCGGTATTGGGGGAGGCGAGTTGGGGTTATCTGAAAGCGTCATTTTAACATTATTTTTTTATATTACATGCACGCAGCGACCATATCACCGAGTTGAATTCCGCCAGGCCGAAGCAGCCCTTCTTCTTTTTGAAGCCGACGTCTTCGGTTCTGTTACCCGGAGCCGGTCCCGTCATCCGGCCTAAAGGTGTCGACCTTCACTACGAGGTTGAGCTAGCCTTGATTTTGGGCAAGCAAGTGAAAGATCTTGCAGCGGACGATGAGAAGGGTGCTTTCGATGCTATTGAGAGTAAGACCCAAGCAGTTGCATATTTCATAGTTCGTGAGGAATTTATTGAATGAAGCTAACCAATTATCCAAGACTATGCTCTTAGCATCGATATGACGGCGAGAAACATTCAAAATGAGGCCAAGAAAAAGGGCTTGCCTTGGTCGATCGCCAAGGGATTTGACACCTTCCTACCAATCAGCAATCTCATTGCTAAATCGGCAATTCCCAACCCTCACTCCATAGATATCTATCTCACCGTCAACGACAACGTTCGGCAATCGGACAGTACCGAGCTCATGCTTTTCCAGATCCCGAGGATATTGAGCGATATCTCCAAGGTCATGACCCTTGAGAAAGGAGACATCATCCTCACCGGTACGCCGAAAGGTGTTGGTCCGGTTGTTCCCGGCGATGTGATGCGAGCTGGCATCAAAGTTAACGGCAAGGAGCTCGAGGAGAGCAAAATCGAAGTCAAGGTTGAAGAGTCGACTGGCACATACGAATATGCTGAGACATAAAGTACTGCCTAAAAGGAAGTATTAGACTCTAACAAGACGGCCTTCGACAATAATGCCTACCAAATCGCTCTAATTAGTAACTATTGGATTCAGTTGCTTCTCCTTAAACAACACCAATATATACCTAGCTCCTACCTAGTACATGCACATTAAAAGCGTACATCACGGTATTCAGACCATCACGTCTCATAAAATAGTTCAGCATACTTAAACCATATCTGTTGAGGCAATATATAACAAAAAAATACTCAAGGCAGTTTTGAGACCCAGTCATAAATTTATCATAAACTCCGAATATGCTAATCCAATTTTGTTCACGGCCCTAAGAAAAAGGAACAGAGAAGTCAATCAATCTACTCCCGAGGCATACCCCGCCGTATATTCTGGTACTGGCTCGTCGGGTAGTAGAGATTATTCGGCGTCTCGTCAAGCCAGTCGAGGTTCTTAGACATGGTATTCACGAGGCCCAGTGCGCCGCCCCTATCGCCGCTCGCCTCCCAGAAGAAGGCGCCGCCGAGGCGGCGCCCCCGCAGGTACTGGGATTTGTAGGTGACGCTGCGGACGTCATCGTACGACACGAGCTCGCGGGCCGCTGCGTCGTAGCTGTACGTCGCCTTGGCCACGTCGTCGTACACCACCGCGGCCCCGGGCTTCGGCAGCTCCTTGTAGTAGTACACCCCCGGCTGCGGCCCCCCCTGCCCCACGCTCGTGTAATTCTGCCCCAGCCCCGAGGTCCCCTCAAACGCCCGCCCGTACAGCGGCAGGCCCAGCAGGATCTTCTGCGGGTGGATGCCTTGGCTCTCGTAGTGGCGTACCGCGTCGTCGGTGCTTAGGCGCTTCGACGCGGTGGAGCTTTCGTACGAAAATACGTTGGCTTGGTGCCCGCTTACTGTGTCCCAGCTTCCGGAGTAGTCGTAGGCCATCAAATGCCTAACAATTACCTATCAGCACCGATATCCGCATAGAAACAGAGGGGGCGGGGGGCGTTGCTTACCAAGAGTCTACATATCTGTTCATCGCGAACAATTCCAGCTTCTCGTAGTTCAGCGGGCTGGCCGGGCTCGCCACGCTGATAGTAAATCGATACCGCACGCCGTGGAGGAGGGAGTACCTATCAAACGCCTGCCTACAGGCCTGGAGCAGCTTGACGAGGTTCTCCTTGTCGACGTCGTCGGCGGGGTACTCCCAGTCGACATCGATGCCGTCGAAGCCCCAGTCCGTCACGAGCTTCACGGCGGACGTCGCGAACCTGTGCCTCGAAGCGTCGGTCGCGGCCGCCGCCACGAACTTGGGCGAGTAGTTCCACCCGCCGATGGAGAGGAGCACCTTGAGGTTCCGGTTCCACTTCTTGTGGATGTACAGCTGCTTGACGGCGCCGTACGCGTTCCGCGTCCGGTTCGAGAGCGAGTCGCCCGGGTAGCGCTTCTGCAGGTCGGTGATTGGGTCCGAGGACTTGACTGTCCCGTCCGCGTCGATGTCGGCAAAAGCGTAGTAGATATGCGTTAGCTCGGAGACCGGGAGCTCTTGGGGGTGGAAGCCTGCGTTGATACCCCTGATATGATTTTGTCAGTTATGATTTCAGGTCAGTGTAAGGTTTATATTTGCTGACCAGTTCGTGAAATAAGCACCATTCTTGTATCCTCTAAATGGGCCAGGAGGCAACGGTGGAAAGCCGCCGAAAGGAGGAGTAGGCTTCGCTGTCGGTGATGTCGTCGCCGAAGCTGTGGTTGTTGGATCTATGCTAGTTGGGACAGAGGTTGATGGGACTGTAGTCGCACTTGTACTAGTATTTCCGAACGGAGGTGAGGACGATGATATTGTGGTTGAAGTTGGGAGCGTAGGAACGGTTGTAGTGGTGTTGCCGAATGGTGCCGTGGTTGACGAAATCGAATTGGAAGTGGAAGGGATGGAGATACTTGTAGTAGTATTTCCCAAGGGAACCGAAGTCAACGAGATTGTAGTTGTGGGGATGGTAGCGCTCGAGGTGCTATTTCCAAAGGGAACTGAAGTCGACGAAATTGTTGAAGGGAAAGAAACACTTATAGTGGTATTCCCAATAGGGACAACCCAACTACTTGTGGTCCTCGAGCTTGAACTCGCCGTCGTAGTTGAATTGACCCATGGAACTTTTGTACTACTAGTCACATTCGGCGGAGCAGAAGTATATATGGTCTTGGTAGCGAAAACCGTCGTCGTTAGGAAAACAGGATCACAGTCAGTCTGCTCTCCTATACCAGACACGCAAGCCCAAAAGAGGCATTGGGCGAGCCCCCACGAAGAGATCTTCCCCATGTCAACTAAGACAGCTAGCTGACAAGGACGAGCAAGCAGTCCCTCGGCAACGGTATAGCTAAAACTAACTGCAGGGTTTAAGCCACTTCAGCTTTTATACAAAAAGCCCAGGAAGTAAGGCAAGTTCGCAACTGTTCGCCATCTTGGGCTTTCATCAAGCCCAGGCTTGACGTGAGCCCTTCCACCGAGTTATACTTATGGAGGCAAACCTGGTGCCATCGTCAGCTCAAAGAACGCGTCACTCCCAATAAAAGTTTTCATTCATCCAATAGGGCATGTTGGAGGCCAAGTTTTGCGAGTACGGATGCAGGCCATTATGCGAGATACCTATCGACATGACCCAGGTCTTTAGCCTGAGTGTCTAAGCAGAGGTTTTCGGTCCGCGAGAAGGGGGAGAAGAGCCAGAAGGAAATTTCCCTAAGCTGTAGGACGTATAATCCGCCTGGAGAGGACACGTAATACTGCTGAAAGGTCATTGGATATTTCCCCGGACGAGCATGCTTGAGGAGATGGGGCCTGCACTGGGATAGTCCGGGAAAAGAGATGAGCAGGGGGGGTTATTGCTGTCGGTAAAAGGTGAGTTAATATCGAGCGATGATACGGTTGGTTCCCGTCGATTGCAACACTCGATCTTTTCATGCAGGCACAGGCCTCTAGTGCGTAGACGTTTCCATGGCGCGTCGTTTCTTGTGCGAGTATGTGGTGGAGAGCAGAGCTCGTCAGGAGATTTTAGCTAAGATTTCAAGATTCTAGATCGATATTCCTTTCTTCCTTTCTTTTTTTTCCTTTCAATGCTACCGTAGCAAAATTGATCCCATACCAAGGACGGCCCGATAGCCTTTGAATAATAAAAAATACCTGGGACCAATTGTGAGTAATGAAAAATACGTGCCAAGTTGCCAAGTCTATAAAGACCATTGGAGAAACGCTGCGTGAATGCAGCGAAGGTCGTAGGGTGGTAACCAGGTACGCAAGCAATTGCGGGAACAGCGTCTTGCAATTTGAAGACTGGCAAGATGAGAAATGAACCGAAATAATAAATAATATCATCAAAGCGTGGAATAGATTGTATTAGTTAATAAAGGTGTATAGATCTAATACACCACATATAAGTGTGGATAGGGGATTTGAATTAGTATAACACCATCAAGATACTTCCCGGTAATTGTAGAAGAGTTACTTAATAAATATCCTGTGGATGAGGCTCTTGACTAATATTTTGTGCAGCTATTCCCAATCTTCATTTAAGGCGGAATAGACAAGACCAACGCCCAAACCTTGCGCTACCTACGGTTTACCCAATGGTTATAAGCGTTTGAATGGCGCGACATTTAGTCTCGGGTAGATAAGATAAGTTGCCGCAAGTCTTTAGCAAGCATCTTAATAGGTACCTACGTTGATATTAATAGCTACCGGTACAGTACCTTAGGTAGGTACCTAGCATATAGCGGAGTATACCTAAGGTAACCATAACTTGCTTTAGGTACTTACCTAGGTAGTCTCTTTAATTACTACCTAAAGAATACCTCTTAACCAAGTTAATTATAATCTCGATGACATATACTAAGTTAGAACGAGTATTACTCTCCAATATAAGTACCTAAGGTAGTACAAGTTCCCGGGCAGTGCCGTCATATGTGTAACAAACGATTAGAACCAATAGACGAGAGGCAACAGTTCGTAATGTACAAGTATCTAAGTACCTCAGGTAATCTACCACTTCTCGACTTTCCAACAGCTCTTAACAAGGCTCTCTCAAGCCCCCTCATCCCACAACGACCTGCTTACTAGCCAGGATAGTTGAAAAGGAAATCGAGCACATTGCTCATCTACTTGATACACTGTCCGCCATCAGCTATCTCCAACCGCTCTGGAATAATGGCGAGATACAGCTACTCAAGCCGACGCTCGACCCCCGCCCCGAGCTATCGGAGCAAATCCCCACCGCCAGCTTACTCGGAGCGAACTCCCTTGGTCCGGACGGAATACAAAATAAGACAGGCTCATATCAACATCCCCAGACCACCCGACACCGTTATTTTAGAGTACTTCTTACTGTTCTTGTCGTTCGCGCTCGTTGTCTGCGTCATCGGCCTTCCCATATTCTTCCTGCTGCACAGAGGCCCCGTAGTTCCACCCCTTCCCCCCCCTCCCCCCCCTGTACACTCTATTGCTATAGTCGGTATGTACCTAACTTACCTACATTTTAGAGGACTTCTCGAAGGTCTTACCCCGGAAAAAGGAGGTAACTTCTATCTAACTCGTATTTCCAGGCGCCGGTCCGGCAGGAATATGTGCGGCTCAGCACCTATACCACCAGGCCGAGGCTCGAGACATCCACGTTAACATTACTATATTCGAATCTGCCCCTTTAATCGGGGGCCAGCTAGCTCTCAACAGCTCCACCGGCGGCCCCGTCTTCCCCTACGACGATCCCGCCCAGAATCCCATCATCGCCGAGGACATCGCCGGCACCGCTTTGTTATGGGGTAATCCGCTCTTCACGAAGACGTCGGAGAAGATTCTCGGAGACAAGGTCCAGATCTCTGAGGCTGGTAGTCAGCGGGTTAGCTAGTAAGTCTCTATACCTATACCTCAACCTCAACCTAACATACATACCTGGGTTTAAAACCAGGTAGGTTAGGTACTTGGTATATTACAGACTGGCCTTGTTTAATTGCTAACCCGTGTCCCTCCTTACCTACCCAGTTTTACCGGGGACAAAGTCGTCGCGCAAACCACGCGGCCCTACTCCAAGACCCCCTTCTTCGACTGGATGGGCCTAATATTCCGCTACGGCACCTCGGTGTGGTCGGCCGGCGCCATGGCGAAGCAAGGCGCGGAGCTGCAGGACCGCTTCGCGAACGCCCTGCCCCTAGACGTCCCGGGCGTCGCGCATCTCATGACCGCCGCCGGCGTCTTCGACTACGTGCGCAAGTCCTCGCCCCAGGAGCTCGCCGACCGCGGCATCGCCGGTGATTACGTCTCCGACATCCTCGACCCCGAGGTGAGCCGCGTCTACCACGCCCGCAGCATGCCCGAAGTCAGCGCCCTCACCCTGATGCTCGCTGCCGGCGTAGAGGACACCGCCGCCGCGTACCAAGGCGGTGAGCTCCTCGAGCGCCTCGAGATGGTCCTCGCCGCTGTCAGCGCCCGCGTTCGCGTCCGCGAGTCTACCGAGGTCCACGGCATCAAGCACGCGCAGATCAGCGAGAACGAGACCGCGTGGCTCGTCCAGTTCAGCACCAACCCCGACACCTCGATACCCCGCCAAGCCGCGCCCTTCGACAAAGTCATCATCGCCGCCCCGTGGTTCGACTCGGACGCAGATGCCGCCTCGGCCCTGGCGTACCGCGCCGCGCACGTCGTCTTCTTCACCGTGCCGCGGCGGATCGACGCCTACGGCGGCGGCGACGTGAACCAGGTGCTGTTTCTCGAGAACGCGCTCGGAGGCGTCCGGGAGCTGGCGTTTGTCAGGGAAGTCGCTAGAATCGCAGACGACGGCCGGAGCACCACCGAATACCTCTACCGGGCTCTAGCGGACGATGATGCCCGACAGCGGCTGGAGCAGCTGGGCTTGGGGATTACCTGGTTGTATCAGAAGAAGGTAAGTTGACCCCCATACCTATACCTACACCTGCACCGACCTACTATGAGACCATCCATCCACCCATCCATCTGTATCCGGCAGAATCAATTAGGTAACGCTAACTAACATACCTTTTACCTTTTACCTTTTACCCAGCTCGAAAACGCCTACCCCTATATGTTCCCAGCCAGCCGTTTCCCCCCGTTCAAGCTATCCGACGAAGGCCTCTGGTGGACGTCGCCCATGCACATGGTTGCGAGCACGGTTGACACGAGCTGCCACGCTGGTAAGATAGTTGCAGAACAGCTTGTTAGTGAGCTGAAGAGATAAGAGGTAGGGGGTTGGAGAGAGAGAGAGAGAGAGAAGGGGGGACTGATGATTCTCCCCAAAAACCCAAACGCTTGAATACTACCTACCACGAACCACATATAACCCCTTAGTCAGTTAGTTAATCACTGTAGATAGAGTACCTAGGTACCTAGGTATGTTTTGTATGTTTTTAATGACTTGAGAAATGAGATTGATTCCCGTATCGCCTCTCCTCTATATAGATTACAGTGCAGAAGTCCTGACAACACACAGGTGACAGGGTTTTAAAAAAACCAGATGATGCCTTTTTCTTTCGTTATTGCAAAACAGACCTTTTTTCTTTCTCTCCGTTGCCTTTGGATCAAACGCAAAGCCGTCCCAACCTATCCATTTTCGCCTTTTTAGATGCTGCGCTCAATAGTACACCTGGGTTTCTACGTCGTCTCCTAAGATTACGGTTTTACATACCAAGATTCGCTAGAATTTTTTTCTTCGCTTCCTTTATTTAGCGAAGTGTAGATCGTACCCGAGCCACTTCCGTCGAAGGACTTGGTCAACGCTAAGGCCAGGGTAACCGTAGGTCAGCGGCAGGAAGAAGTACCAGCCGGCAAAGACCAAAGAAAGAACAACGAAGCATGCAATCCACGCCGGGACCATGCTCTGGCCAGAGAATCTCTCCCGAGCCGTGATGTGTCGTCGAGGACCCGGAGCACTCTTCTTGCCTGACTTGACATCTTCGTAGGAAGGCTCTTCGGCAGACGGTTCGGCGTTGAATACGAATTCGAGTAGAGAGCCGACAATAAGGCATGATGCCAGATGGGCAGGGAGATAGTGATGCAAGAAGAGCTGACGTCCCATAGTGAAGAATGGGAAATAATGTGTAGCCCAGGCTAGGAAGAAGAATCCCGTGGAATTATAAAGGCGAGAGCGCGTACCTTTTTTTAGCCCAGTTAGCAGCCGAACAAAAATGGGGTGGGATTATAACTTACGATGGTCCAAAGCATCAATGCCACGACGTAGAGATACCTGGTCAGCACCGACGATACCAGCATAAACGGCAATTAAACTGCTAGCAATCCACCAGCCAATTGGGTTACCCAGGAAGTAAATTTGCTGGCGGGTATCGTTCTGTGTCCAGAAACTGACACCTCGCAACAAAAATGGCCACTGGTACGGCTGGCTAGCATACGGGTGACTGCTAGTCAACTGGCTGTTGTGCCAGAACATTGAGCGTTGCAACTCGAACCACTTCCTAAGGAATGGTAAAGTTTTAACCTGACGCTCTTGCCTTTGGCGACGGGGGGAATCAGCCGGGACAGAGGGAACATCTTCCACGATCCAAACGTTAGAACTGGGTGCGATCTGCTTGTTTCCGTTGATCTCCTGCTGCTTGTGGCCCCAGTCTGGGAGAGGCTTCGAATGTGTCCACATTGCTACTTTGCTGGGGTTATGGATCAACTTGAAATGACCAGAAACACTCTTAAACTCCTGGTTGGGTTTACCATGCTCGATTCTGATCTCGAAAAGAGTATCTGCCGAACGACTTCCGTACGCGTCAGCTAGAGATACAGTGGTGAATTCCTGGTTGGTCGGGTAGTAAGGAGAAGCAACGTCGTGGGATAATAGAATTGTATCCGTCACCAAGTGTCGTAGTCTGACGAGTTCGTGGTTCTTGACGTGGCGGCCCATTTGATGATCATCGTTAGCGGGGAGAATTTGCCAGTAGTTGTTGGTATCGTTGTATGGATATCCTGTCACCTGTTGGCCTTGGCTAGAAACTCGGCCATCATCGTAGCGCAGAGGGTATCGCGCATCGTGGCTGTGAAGGTACGCTTTGGTTTCCTTGTGGCGTATAGTGATAGTATCGTAATAGTCAATGCCGATAGAATTGGCTAACATAACATTATCAGATAACGTCTCCTGGAACTCGGGGGTCATGAAATCGTCTCCAGGACCGGATCGTGTCAGGATGGCGAAGTGAACCTGGAACCAGAACAGGTAAAATAGGAAAGGAATAATAATTAGGCCGACGGCGCGAGCACCGAAATGGTACGCGAATTCTTTCAGATCCAATGCGCCACCAGGTCGTTTGATGTCGAGCAAATCCCACAAGTCGATGATGACAGCAGAGCCGATCGTAACAAAGGCGAAGAGACCGACATACTTGGTGGAAATATCGCAGGAGAGCGCAAACCCGGTCAGAATAAGCCACTTCCACCATTTACGGCTGAAAGGCTCGTGCCTCAACTTGTAGAACTTGATGTAGCAAAGTAGACTGCATGCCATAGCTAATACAAGAGTAGCATCAAGCAGGATCAGCCTAGTCTGACCGATGTGGGCGTTATCCAGAAGAACAAGACCAGCAGCGACGATACATGCTGGGAGACTGTACCCCGATTCCCACATAATGAGGAAAGTGACCGAGACGGTTAGCGAGCCGAGAAGTGCGGGCATAGAGCGAAAAGCCACGTAAGGGACCTTGTTCGCTATATAGGAATCGCCAATGTTCTCGAAGTGAAAGTGTCCATCGTATCCCACAAGCCAACCCATAAGGGCGAAGAGCAGTTTTCCGAACGGTGGGTGAACATCGAAGAAATAGGTTCTCTCGAGATAGAACGAAGCGAACTAATTCGGAGAAAAGGAATCAGCCAATGTCCTCAACATGATTTCTACCAAAAAAAAAGCCTAGGGAGTATATTTCGCAAGTCGTCTCTACCAGGTAGGTACTTACTTTACCGAAGTGGACCTCATCGAAGACGACCTCGTTCGGGTGGCTGATACCCCAAAATCTCGAAATAAAAGCCAGGATTGTAATAACAGTTAAAGCGACCTTGTAGTCCCATTCGGAATGCTTCTTGGTAGCTTGCTTATTGGCTTTGACGAGGCTGTCGAGCTCGGAGTCTAAGTCATCAGTACTACTACCGCTCTTCTTTTTGGAAGAACCGGGGACATTCCGCTGGCGCAGAGTACTCTGCGGAGTGCCCTGCGGGGTGGTCGACATAGTTATAAAGGAGCGTAATTCAGAAGAAATCGATGTTCAGAAGCTGTTCGGACCCGAAGGTTAGTTGCGAGATTTCCATTTGTATAGGTTAGGTACTTTGTATGAACACGTCGCAGTTGACGTTGACGTTGGTTACCGCCACATTACTTAGTGTAGATGGGTTAAGAGCAGAGAAAGTGGATGTACCTACAGAAATAAAGAAAGAAAAAGAAATGTATGTATGGTGAAAAAAGGATACCAATCGCAACGGCCAATTTCGAGGCCGAAGACTGCGATCGTTGACGCCAAAGTCGTCGAGAAAAATAGGAATTGGTGATTAAAGAAGAAGTGTTCCAAAAGTCGGTTCCCATTAAAATCTTACTTAACTCAACGCAGGGGAAGCTTCAGTCGCGCAAGCGTTGCGTGTTCCCACTCTTTACGTACGCTCTATGCTACTAACCTAATATGACGGGGTACGGTGGTATTGTACCTTGCCTAGCTTGGCGGGATAAGGGGGCTATCAAGTTAATTTTGGCCACTTGGCAACACCTTAGCCTCACGCCCCTTTTTTTCCCACTTACATTTCAAGTTACATAGTACGGATATTTTATCGATAACCGATAACCGATCTCATCTATCCGCTTTACGTGGAACATTACCGCAAATATCGAACACCGAAGGTAACAAACAGCGGCTTTTAAACAGTTGGATTTTATGATCTGTGCATCTGGATGTAAGGTATCTAATGCATGCGTCTTATTATGTGCATGTATAAACTGGTTACATATATTAATAGTAGCTGAACCATCCAATATGCAAAGGTAAGGTATACCAGTTCCCAACTACCTATAAATGAGTTGAACTAGGTAGAGCTAGCGCTACTGTAACTTCATTAACGTTGGAAGTTACGTACTAGAAAGTGTCTCGTTACCACCCACTGCTTAACGTTGCTCACGTAGTACGGGAGCTTGGCACCTTCCGCACCCCCCATCAAGATGATGCCGGGACGCCGAAGTACGGAGGAGGACTACAAACCCTAAGCATGGAACCTACCTAAAGCTAATAAGTTATTAACCTTATGTAGGTAAGAGCTAGGTACTATAGCTTATAAATCTCCACTTCTCCAGGTCATCAGAACTTAGAAGCGATTACAAAAAAAAGAAGAAAAAAAGACATTCGATCGGGATATTATTTATAATATATATTCTAGTCTCCCTACCTAAGCTTAGGTAGCTATGCCCGTAGTTCTTCGAGCATCTCCAATCCGAGCACTTCTCTCATCTACAGCCCGTCGCAGCTTACTTCCAGCTTCAAGAACATTACCACCATTCGTCTTCTTCCCAACTTCAGCCCCTCCTATCCGCACCATGTCTGACATCACTCCCGTCTTTTCCAAGGACGCAGCTCCTCGTAAGTGAGAGTACCTAGTCACCTATAATAGAAATAATTATAATAATATTTAAGAATTGCGGTTTATATGAATAAGTAATTGGCTAATTTGTTATATAGCTGCTGGACCTTACGTATGAACAAGATCTTCTTCTTCTTCTTCTTCCAAGTCCCAAATAACCAACCCAATTTCAGTCAGAAAAGAGCTAGCTGACCAGGTAATCATTATTGATATGTGTATGTAGTCCCACGCCATCAAGACGCCGACGGCCATCTACTGCTCGGGGCAGATCCCGTGCGACGCCAACGGCAACCTGGTGGAGGGTACGATCGGCGAGAAGACGGCGGCGTGCATCTCGAACCTGAAGGCCGTCCTCGAGGCCGCCGGCTCCTCCATCGAGCGCGTCGTCAAGGTCAACATCTTCCTCGCCGACATGGCCCTGTTCGCCGACATGAACAAGGAGTACGAGAAGTGGTTCACCCACAAGCCCGCCCGCAGCTGCGTCGCCGTCAAGCAGCTGCCCAAGGCCGTCGACGTCGAGATCGAGTGCGTCGCTCTGCCCTAGGTTAGGCGCCATCTCCTAGACTCGAGGGGGAAAACTCGAAGGGAAAGGTTGGGGCCATGTGTAAAGCGAAGCGAAGCGAGTGAAGTAATGTATGGGCATTGACTTCATTTACCGTGAAAATAGTCTAGGGGTACGATGGGTTTTATGCCATGCGGTAGCCCTACTCGATCATATGATATTGTGATGATACCTATCGCAGGTACCAGCTATCCAGACTAAGTCATGACATTAAAAAAAAATACAATTCAAATGAAAGGAAAATCAGGGGAACTTTGATGATCAAATAGGGTCCTAGGTTACCGCTCTTCGTCAGTAACTTTTCCCAAGATATTCACTCCACCTGCTGGTGATCTTCAGACGGAGCCGGGGAGGTATACATATCCTACGTACCTGCCAGATAGGTATCTTGGTCATTGTAAGGGCTCTTGCCTCCGTCACAGCCCCTTCACACTTCTCCTCGTCCTCGTCCTCTCCCTCGTCTTCTTCCGGAATTGGATAGAGAGTCAACGTTAGCGGCGGGTTAGGCCGCCACATGTCCCAGTCTTCCGCCGAGACGTACGGCCAGTCGCTCGAGTCCCCGGCTCCGTTTGCGGACGAAGACGTCGACGGACTCCCGAGACTAAACGAGAACCCGGACAGGTCGAAATCAGGCTCGGCAAAAAAATAGGGGGTGAAAATGCCGCTCGGTTCCCTCGTAGTATAGGTAGTAGAAGTGGTACTAGTCCCCTCGTCAGGGTCTTCTCCGAACGGCGGCGGCGAAGGTATCTCTGAAAGATTGGTCCTGTTCCATTCGCTGGACCTACTAAAGTTATAGCTTACCCTGCCGGGGAGCTTGTATCTCGCTGCGATGTCCGCATGTCTGCAAGCTTGGTCGAATTGCTCGACTGAGGATATAGTCGGTTCACGGACTACACGCTCACACCTGGCATCCTTGTTATCCTTGTTCTTCTTGCTATTTTTCGCCTTGCGACGCCGCCGCGTCTGCCGCTCCACGTAGTCGCGTTCCTCGAGTAGTTTCGCCAGGTCGTATCGCGATCCCGAACACAGGTACTTGAGCGTTTCTTGCACGGCGTGGTCTTGGGGCACGTAGTCCGTTGTCACGACGTGGGCGCCGTTTCTCCTGTCCTCAGGCACCTTGGGCGGAGAAGCTTTGTTTCGCCTTCTCTTGCATATCCTTCGACACGCTATTTCCTTTAAACACTTCGCCATTTCGGCCCTAGATTCGTCACAAGTTTGTTGCTGCGCCTAGGTAAGCTTCTGTAATTAGTCGTACAAGTGACTACGTTCGGACTCATGCAATAGGTGGTAATGATTTCAGTAGTAGCAAACAGAGCGCTTGCTTCTTCTAACCGATGGAGTACGAGGGGGGAAGCACGAAGAGTCAGCTACTTTTTCAACCGTCAAGTATAAGGTATTCTAGGATTACTGCTGCCTGTTTGAGTTATCATCTTCTTCGAAAGTGATGTGCTAAAAAGGGGGAGGGATACTAACCATAGATATACATTCACGCTTTATATGCATGCGTATTATACGGTCATTGAAGATATACGACCAGTAGGTATTATGACTACCTAACTATGAACAAGTATAGGGTCTGGTCACATAGTTAGTTTTGACTAAAGCTTTAATGTGAAACTGACTTGTCGATATGACTTGGGACGTCTTACTTGAAAGTGTTGTATTCTAGACCGAAGCTGTTTCGAAACGGAGTAAAACTACCTGGTACCTGGGTAAGAGGTAGCTAGTTAGACGTATGTGTCAAAACGACAACAATGTTTCGACATTGTATAAGTACAAGATCAACAACACACTGGCTATATATAAATCATGATAAACATACGGCATTGTCCTTATGCGAGTTACTTGCCCATTCATAGTCTAGAACGCTACGTTCCCGATAATGCCATTGTTGAATACGCCTGAGCAGAAATTTCAACGAAGGCCCCATTTACAAACGTATCAGTTTATTTGTCTCAGTGTCACGGTGATTCCTCCAAAACCACAAAGACGCGGCAATAGACAGGACAAAGAGGTCTAATTTGGTAGAGGAGGTGTTCATCTCTATTGACTCATTAAATAAACACATCACGGACAGACTCACTCCATGAGAAGGGTCTTGTCTAGTCTTGTAAATTTTCTTTTTTCGTATTTAGTTTCTGTCCTGTAGGTAGGAACTGCCAAAACAGTGTTTTGCATTGTTCATCGACAGGAAACCAGTTCTATCTAATAATCGAGCTATCTGGTATAGCATTTTTCATTCTACCCCCTATTAATTCTAATAAGGGCCCTTTGGAGACAGCGCACTATTGCGCAGTCTAAATCAGTAGGAACTTCGCGATGTGTTTCGGATCATGTCTCGGCAGCGATGACCATCGCAGGCGGCCCCAACGACAAGGTCCGTATAGATCGCATAACGCACAACGTTCCCAAAGCACTCAACGTCGGGAAGCTACCCGTGCAGCTCGGGAATATGGATGGCCGCGTGAACACAGTGAACGTGGTACTCGCAACTACGGACAAGCCGGAAATAGAGACTCGTATCTCGAACCCGGACTTGCGGAGGCCTTGGTCAATCTTCCGGGTAGCGAGTTCCGCCACGTCTACGACCCGGAACGCCCCCGACATCCACCCCAGGACCAATATCATAGTCAATCGCCCCAATATCAGTATCCCGACCGACATAGCCATGCCACTAGGTCAGAACACATCCGACTAAAGCAAGTACCGACCGGAAGGGGGGAGCTTAACCATGATAACGTCGGCCCGTTCAGAAGCATGTACGGCAGCGTACACGGGGTAGTCCATGAGCAGCCCAGAAGGGCCGATACTATGACCACAACCCTTCGCAGGACAGAATCTCGGCGTTCCGTAGATAGCAACGGGGTTAGCGATATTTCTAGCGACGACGACGGCGATAGCTGGGGCAGCGGGGAGAGCCGTAGGTGGCTTGCCCCCACTCCCCCAGCGTCAACTCGGGGGGAACATAATCTCTATGACCGCACGGGACATAGCTATGGACGCGGGGGCGCGTTCTGAATTAATCTCAAGTACCTACTTCAGCATTGTGAGTCTTCCCGATAGTACGCACACGCAAACGCACAGCTCCCTAGCTATGTAGAAAGATACCGCTACCATTGTGCCTACCTACCTACCTACCTAGGTAGGGGTAGGTAGGGATGAACGTTGATATAATAGATACCCCGTTTTAGCGAGTAATAGGTAGATAATGGATACGATGGTTTTGTTTTTTCCTCTTTATTACCTACCTAGGTTTGTTTGCGGCTGTAAGCTGGCGATAGATTAGAATCTAGAGGTGAGTGAACGGCGGGAAGAAATTCAAGGATCAGAGCCAGTATCCATTCCACGTAGTTAGTCGATTTCGTATTAAATTCGTAAGTTTGCTATTTTGGTAGTTAGTTAGCGAGCTGTAAAACATCTGCGTTGTTCTAATTTTATTATTAAAGTGATCATTCTCCCCGCGCGTAATTGTGATACTAGATTTGCGCGTTCGGGTTACGTATTCCACGACGGGAGATCTGAGTTGAGATAATAAGTCCAAGCTCAGGCATCTATATTCTTCAATGACGCGCAGGTGTAGCGAGAGGCACCTGTATTCCGGATGATTTAATTGGTCGACAGTATCGTAAACAAGGGTCGCCAATACTTTAGGTAGTGATTAATTGATAGGGCTGACGATCACGGATGGGACAACCTTGGCGGCATAACGCCGTGGATACGACTGCGGTATGTGTCGACCAATCGTCGCCAAGGAGGGGAAGGATAAAAAAATAATAATAAGGATATGATCCTATTAGATCTAACTTTGAACCCCTCTTAAATCTATCCATCTGCAGGACTGCGGCTGGGGAATATGCAGAGTTGCTAAAAAATGCTGTTGGGAATGTACTGCATGAGATATGATTATGAAAAGCCAATTGCCCGTAAGCTTCCGAGGATGGATGGATGAGTCAACAAAAATATGATGCGGTGTCAACACGCTATTCGATCCCGCTAGTTTCGATGATGCGATTTTCTCCATTAAGGGGAGGACAGTGGAAGCGGGCATTATTTCACAACCCGACAATTCGACCACTTATGGACTTCTAGACCCTCGTTACTTAGGCATTACCCTGTAAATACATACTATGTAAGCATTTGGTATTCTTGGCAAAGGGCCTTTTTTTTTCTGTGCGACAGACTCTCAAAGATGAACATGAACAAGAGCATGGAAGTGCGCCGGTGCGATTTATGAAATACGTAGGAAGAATGTACCTTATATGCACGTTAATGCCACCTACATAGCAACATGATGCGCAAGTCTCAAATCTCGCATCTGCGCAAAACCCCGGCGAAACGTCTACGGGATGGTGCTATAATTTGACGTCACAAGATAGGAATACTACCTACTTTGTAAAAAAGTGGCCGGTCGGGCCAATTAAACGAAACTTGACCGAGTCGGATAGACTGAATTTCCTTTAGGCCCAGCTCCGCAGCTTTGTTGTGATGGGAACGTAGAATAATGATAATAATAGTAAAAATAAAAATAGGGATTCTCGGAGGTAATTGGCGAGACAATTAACGGTTGATGAAAAGGTCCAAGTCGATTTTACTCGTTTCATCACAAAGTCGTTATGGACAGATAACCCAGTCCGAGGTTTATCCCCGAGGTTATCGATGTATTCAGTGGCCAAAGAAGAGCGTGGAACCAGCAGTACCTATGGCAGCTATGGCAATTTATGCGCGAGGTACTACACTTGGTAAGGTCAGGTAGGTATTATTAATAAAATTATTCCAAGGCTTAGCGTTAGAGGTCCAACATACATGTAGCTTGTCGATCCTGCAGGGCCAGCAAGTGCTGGGTAATCGTTATGCATGCAGGCATGATACCCTGATACCTTAATCGTTTAGGACCTCTCTTCTTTCGATCCGTCTTCTCTTGCTTGTCGGAGTGTTCCACAACATCATATAGTAGTAGATTGATAGCTTACTTATGTACCTGGGTAGGTAGGTAGTTATCTGGTATGAACTTGTGAGATGTCCACGGTAATTACTCGTAGTTAGGTAGTTACGTGTCACTCTATCGTAGTATTTACACATGTAGTTCCGTATTCGTGGTCATGATTAGGATCGGGTAGGATGTAAATTTGGCAAGTGGCATGATACCGTATATGAGAGACAATAAGACATACCTAGGTACCCAAGAGACATGAGAGACGTCTTGTATTAGGTATTTTCCAGAAACATTGGATGGTTAAGGAAGGGGGAACTGGGGAATTATGAATTGACTTTGGTATGAGTGAACAATTGGGTTGCATCCTCTTAACTGGTTTAGCGGAAGGCGTAGTGCAAAGTGGGCGCAGCTGCTGCTGAGTTACATCTGCCCTAAATGGAAGTAAGTACAGTACTTAGGTAAATACCTAATATAGGAGTTAAGCGATCCTCCGAAGTATCTCGTGTTAGTTGCTTTTGGGCAGTCTGGACGAATTACAGCGCCTATCACAGATCCGTATAGCGTGTACACTATCTGAACTACTACGCACCTAATGCATGTACTTAGCCACTAGGTTAGGTACTTTCAAAACGATCAATCTCGACTTTCGGACTTCAAGGATCAGTCAACTTGACAGGGATATTCCTTAACTAGTCCCAGAGAAGATGGCTGCTGCCTAAATCACTTTTCAACGACTTCCCATCTCATCACCACCAACCCCCAAGAACCCTACCCTTCCCTCGATTTCTCGTCTCTTTTTTTTCTTTCCGGCGCCTCCTTTCCTCGACCAAGCGTTTTTTTAAGTCGCCAGGCTTATTAACACTTTTCTGTCGTTTCTCTCTAAATGCTTACAATATTTTGTCCTTGATTCTTTTTGTCCTATCTGTTCCGTTACATCCATCGGCAACGTTGGATAGCTTGCGAGAAACGACCCATTCTTCTCTGCTCGAGTTGGCAACCCCCGTTTGATCTCATTCTTGAATTCATATTTTCTCGCGAAACGCGCATCAGCATAGTCCTGCATCTTTTTATTTTTCGCATGAGCTCGTGAGCACGCTACTCATGTAAGAAAGTCTCCTGTTTTATCCCCGGGGGGTATCCTTCTTGCCCTCCCACATTACTATTACATACATATATATTTGACTTTCCCCGTCTCGTCCGAGACCTATCGATTGACCAATGTCAAGCTGGCAATTGTGATATCTTTCTTCATCCCCTCAGGCCATCTTTGATTCGGTGTGAAGGACTCTTGTGACTCATATGACCGTTCAGCCTTATGGGGCATAAATGTGCTAATCGGTACCGTTTCTTTCCAGTGTTCGTCTCATAACAGCAATATCATCGATCGCCTTTCGCCTATCATAAACCTGTTCCCCTCACTCGGTTAATTATACCGAGTCATCATGTCCTTCTCCAACCCTCGAAGGACCCCGGTGACTCGTCCGGATTCAGGTTCCGGCAATGGCTTATCTGTTAAGACGAACCTGACCCTGCAGAAGGGTGCGACCTTTCACTCTCCTGTTACCCCTCCAACTAGCTCAACTACTGCTACTCCATTCAGAGTACCTTCGCTACCTCGACGTTCTCAGACCAATCTCGACGATGTTGTTGGTGCTCACATTCGTCGTGCTGCCATAAACATCGGCAAGTTCGAGGTGACCCTGTCAGCTACCAAGGCTGAGCCGTTATCACCAGTAAGCCCCTTGTCGGACGACTGTCTTCCTATTCCCAGAGGCCTCTTGGACAACACCCTAGTAGGAGACATAATGTTCAAGGAGCCGTCTACTTTCGAGCCGGAGCGAAGGACATTACGTCCTCGCAGCCGTCGCTCTTCTCATCACCATGAGTCTGATAGTGGGTTGGGAACGTCCATTGCGTCCACGGTCCAGAAACGAAAGGATACCAAGTCTTCTGGCACCGGCGCTTCAACTATAACTAGGTGGGCCACGGCGTCTCAATCTAAGAATATTCAGCGTCTTAGCCAACGTGCTAGGAACCGCATTACTGAGCATATCATAAAACCGCTTTTGGGTGATAAATCCTTCAAGGAATTTCATCCCATTGTCTATGGCTGTCCCAGAAGGATCCAGGAGGACCAGATCGTTTGTCTTAGGGACCTCGAGAAGACACTCATCTTTATGGCACCGGTGAGTCAACTAATGAAAGACCTTGGCGTATGTGGAGTTACTTATCGTGGGTTGTGCTTGAAGGACCAAACAAAGTCTGTCGAACTGTATCGCGACTTCTGCCTCACATCAATTCGATGTATTCAAGCTACTGTCGAATACCTAAGCGACCGAGAACAAACCCGACCGCACGACCGGCCTTACAACAGCGGCTACTTTATTGATCTCGTGGAACAAATTCGCCTACACGCACAACAGATGCAAGAGGCCCGTAAGAGGCAGGACGCTGGTGAAGAGTTGGACGAGATGGATGTTCACCCGTACGACCCTCTCTATTGCCCTATTATTCATACCTATGCTAACGTAGCGCGTAGAACCGATGAAGTAAAACTTTTCGGCGGTATCGCAACCACCGGTCGACCCGTGGAGTTGGTTCGCGTAAAGAAGAACGGCAAGGTGATCTCCATAGCTACGGGAAAGCCTATTGAGGACCTCGAGGAAGAAGTAATAGGCCCCATTCGATTTAAGCGTTCAATGAGCGAGCAGGCGGAGGACGAAGAAGAAATCATGCGATCCATGGCTCGCCGAAAGAAGAACGCTACACCTGAGGAGCTTGCTCCTAAAAAGTGCGCCCATCCGGGTTGCAATAAGGAGTTCAAGCGACCCTGCGACCTGACGAAGCACGAGAAGACTCATTCTCGACCTTGGAAGTGCCCTATTGCTACCTGTAAATACCACGATTACGGTTGGCCTACTGAGAAGGAGATGGACCGCCATGTCAACGATAAACATTCGGCAGCTCCTCCCATGTTTGAGTGCCATTTCAAGCCGTGCCCTTACAAGTCGAAACGTGAATCCAATTGCAAGCAGCATATGGAGAAAGCGCACGGCTGGACATACGTTAGGACTAAGACCAATGGCCAGAAGAAAGCAAGCAGCAAAGCGGGCAGCTCGGCCCAACCTACCCCTCTCATCAAGGGCTTGCCCACCCCGAGCAGCGAGCAGACTGATCTCGTAATGACGCCACCTGAGGATTCTCTGTTTGGTCACTACAACAATGAGCACGAGTTCCCGACCTATCCTTCGGACCAAGAATTTAATGCTAGCTTATTTGACCCCCAGCCATTTGATGGTGACATCCAATTGGAATATTCTCCCGTTGACAACAACACACCTTCCAGTGCCGATTCTGACCAGTTTAACACTTACCAAGACCTGAGCCCCGAGTTTACAGGCCAATTTGAAGACATCTACGGTGCACATGTACGGTTACCAACGCCGTCTGACTCGGTTTACGACAAAGATATGGGTGCCTTTACAAGCTTCGTACCAGGTGCTTACCAACAGTTCTCCATGGCACAGCTCTCCGGTGTAGGCAATCATCTCATGTTGACACCACCAACTATGGTGGACGAAGCCTTTGTAGACTTTCACCCTACTTGTCAAAACCAGTTTGACGAGGACTTCACCCTATTCCCGTCTGCCACGATGGATAAGTCGAGCGATTTTCAGGGTCTGTTTGGAAGTACGCCTAGCCTTGCTACCGGTTACAACCAGTCGTCCTCGCAAGACTATAATAACATGGATTTATTCCCCATGGACATGGATTGGACATCATCCGATTTCCAAGGCTTTCCCACTAACTAGTTCTTTACAACTAGTAGTGACAACTTGGAGCCTCTAGTTGGATGTATAGTGGTTTTTGGTGACTTGTGTGCTTTGCATACTTTCTTGCCTACCAGAGTTGTGCCAATTCTGATGATGTTACGATGATAAATGAGTGGCGCGTTTTTGGAGCAAATTTTAGGGAAAGTTGATTACAGGATTTGCCCTTTATGGTTGAAGGTCACGACATTATCAGCCGTGAAAAAATCTAGGGTTCGACAGAGGAGGCTCTTTGCAGTCCGTCGCCCTGTGTACACATTATTATTTTTGCATTCAGTTTTAGCTTTACTGATGTCTACTACTATCGCATATTATTGATATGGCAAATATGGCAGAAACTATCTCGGAAACATAGCTCTCAGACAGTGTTGCAGTTTTTACTACTAGTTGCAGAGTATGGGATCAACTGTATCTCCAATGAAATAAAAAAAGAATACTCATATCTACCTGGTACTTGTTTCTTGTCTCAGGTATTTTTTTTTCATCTTGGTGGATAGGACCTCAGTCTAATCGAACAGGTGAGGGGTCTTAATAGTCGACAATGGACCCACTTTCTTTCTTAGTATGGACCAGTTGAATTTACTTTTGCAAAGCTTTTATTTTTTTTCTTCTCTTCTTTCTTCTCTTTTGCATCTTATTCCTAACCTTCTTACCATCCACACATCCAACCCGTCTCCCGTCTTTAATCAAGGCAGGAGACTCATTCTTAACTTTAGCTATAGGTAAGCCAACTCATCTCATCTTCATTCTATCTCCTTTTTTTTTTCTCTCTTTCCTTTACGCCGCTGTCGCCAATTTGCTATGATGACCCCGACACCGCAAGTGTCGAACCTTACCTCTCAAATTTAGGAAGAGCCGTATGAGACCGTCCTCGAGACGCGCGGGGCGGCATGGTATTTATCTTGTCGTTCCGTTGCTCTCCTCGGCCGAACCGCGCGAATCCCCCCCGCCTTCACCCGCCCGGCCGTATGGGCGCCGCGTTGTGCATCGACACGTGCTTGCCGCGGTTTTGCTCGGTGTCGGTGGGTGGGCGGGGGGTTCCGCGGCGAGGTGGGGATGCGTTGTGCTTAGATCTTTGGTTTCTGATGCTATTATGGCCGCACAGCTTTGTTGTTGCTTGGTATTTTCTTTTTATCCGCGGGACATTGGAGCTGACCCGGTATCTAGGTGATTATATGGTTCTACAGTTGCGATCTTATGAAGCAGTTCGGTGGGGTGGATGAAGAAGAGAAGGGTTTGAATGGAAGTTACAATTGAAAAAAATTAAATTTACTATGGATTTATTTATAGTGGAAAGTGAAGAGATTATCGAGGTCATACATGATCTTGATCGGACTTCGTAGATAGTTTGCATTAGGTAGTCAATGATGGGCAATAACCTAGTCTATATCAACTTAGATGTGAACCTCAAACTCCCTGCTTGATGATTTTATTCCCATTCTTTTTTCGCCGGCCGAAAGATGATAAGCTATTTATCACTAGAGATTCTTTTTTTTTTTCTGAACACCCTAGAACGCGCCTGTTTGGATATACAACCATTAAGTTTAATGCCATTTGACTAATTTACCCAGGAAAGACATGCTACTTTACTAGGCCTTGATATCCTTTATCTTGTCCGCGTTCGCGATGTTGTCCTGGGAATCCTTGACCATGAAACTGTGGCCGGGTTAAACTCGTTACTGCACATATACATAGACGGCGGGAAGGTAGATAGATATAGGTCAGGTCAGGTTAGGTTAGGTTAGGTAGTTAACTCACTTATACCAGAGGATGGTGGGACCGATAGTACCCAGATGCCATAGACTGTGGGCATCCAAGGCACCCCATAACGGTGGGAAGTCTAGGAGCTCCAGGCTCATAACCATCATGAGCCAGGCGACGGCAACGCCGGGCCAGATAGCCCACGACCGGCGGCTCTCGGTCCACTTCTTCCAGCTGAAGTAGCTCCAGAGGCTGTTCTGGATCAGACCTACGGTGACGTTGGCCGCCATGTTGTAGGTGTAATTCCAGCGCCACAGCTTGAGATACGCGACGTGGGCGGCGTACAGGACGCAGCATGTGACGGTCCAGAGGCGGAGGAAGCTGCGGCGGCGAGGCGTGGGGCGGTCGAGGCGGAAGACGCGGATCGGGGTGTAGTACATGCCGTAGAGGACGCCGGCGCCGGCGGCGAAGTAGTCGAGCTGCTCGGTGAGGCGGAAGTCGCGGGTGTGGAAGACGGCGCTGAAGATCCAGGTGGCGATGCCGAAGTACGCGAACAGCTCGTAGTAGCGCCGCAGCGGGTACGCGGCCGGGATGGACCCGCGGACCTTGGCCAGCCCGTTCTGGTGCGCCGCGAGGTTACCCAGGCTGAACAGGACCGAGAAGGGCTCCTGCATGCCGAGGACCCGGACGAAGGGCCATTTCCCGTGGAACTGCGTCACGGGCTGGCCCGCGGCCACGCGCCGCTGGGTGACGATGTGCTGGCAGGTATAGTCGCATTCTTGCGGGCAGGTCCAGAAGAGAAGGCGGCGGTAAAGAGCTACGGGGAGACGGAGAGAAGAAGCTCTAGGGTTAGCTTAGACAGCCTTTTTTTTATTTATTTTTTTGTTTGGGAAGCGGGAGGAGTCGAGCGGGAGTCGAGCTTCTCGCGATGAAGACGTACGGATGGGAGTAGGGTCGTTGTTCGGATCGCAATTCTCACGGGTACAGACCTATTATTTACGGACAAGGTCTGTGTTAGTTAACTTGCCCCCCCTTAACGCAGGTCGACAAGCGCCAATGGTATGTATGTATGGCACGGGATGGTATGGACTGGGTCTTCAAAGCCAAGTCGGCACAATGTTGCCGTAAACCCACGTGTAAGACGGGGTTTTGGAGGTATTACACACGAACCTGGACGCATTCCCGAAACTCCGGTAGCCGGTCGCCAAGGGAGGCTTCGGCGGTGCTCCATAGCAAGCAAGCGGCGACGGCGAGGGTCAGTAGCCAAAAAGGACGAAGCATATTTGTGTCAGTTCTGCATTTGACAGAGACGAAAAGCTTGGGGGGAAGGGGAAGAAACTCTCGAGAAATCTGTCCTGACTCCTGGGCAGCCGGGACGGCTGGACGGCTGGGATTCGGGAATATTTTTGATTGATTTCTGATTGGGCGGCTTGCTGACGGTGGATGCAAAAGCGCGTATTCGAAATTACATAGGAGGTAGTATAGGTACCTACCTACATAGTAGATTTTTGGGGGGTTCGTGGTGGGGTGCATTAGGTACCTACCTAGGTACAGATTGACGTATTACCTAACGTATCGTACCGGATCGTACTGGGCCTGTACCGTATTAGTACCCCGGATTCCGGATTCTTGGCTCTAATTCGTGCATCAAATTTCAATACTCGTAACAGGTTCCCTACATGTCTTTGATTACCTAGGTAATTTGGGTAATAATTAAGGTCTTCTTTTGTCGTCTTCAGTGTTAAAACACTTAGCTACCTGTAACCTCTTCAAGCTTTCTAAGGTATCAATACAAGGTACTCTGGGAGCAAAAGAGAAACAAGGTCCATATAATCACTTATTCATACTAAACGAATCTTGTGTTTCGACGCTGCTTCCCCCTTTTTACCGTCCAGGTCATCCCGGTCATCAGAATATCGGTATACGTTTTTACGACATGTCCAACTCCTTCGTCAACTTCGCATTGTTGGAGAAAGATTAGCACTCCAGACAAGTGGAACACAGGATTCTTGTGCTTGGCCCAGTATCCAAAAATACCCAAGATTCCGTTGAGATAATTGTTTTCAAATCCTATATCCCTTTTCGAATAATCCGATACGCGTCGAAGAAACTCCATAGGTTTAGTCTCCATTGGACTGAACTTGAAAAGTATAAGCGACGCCGAGATAGTAATGCTTCCTGGTAGGCCCACGCCCTAGTCATCCAAGTACTCTGCCTAATTAGATCACGAGGGTCGTTGGGAATACCAACAATCATCCAGTTCGAACTGACTGCTGGAGTGATAGTCCTTCGGGCCTTAGAAACTCCCGGTAAGCCACAATAGGGGTCTGACCCTGCGGCTGCTATAGTTGTTAGAGCAGCTCTATTGTATACACGACCCATCTGCCGGATTTCGGCTTGCTTCTCATCCGAGTGGCCTTGGTCGATACAGTATCTGTCTACCCATAAATATCGCTGTCCAAACCTTTTTATAACTTCGATTGCGTCTCGAATAGTAGTTAGAGAGTCACAGAGGCCCTTGGACAGATCGTATACCCGCTAGCCTCAAACATACCTAGGTACCTTAGGTACCTAAGGTATTAGCCATTTTCTTGATATGTGCAGCCATATCCAATGAGGCACATAGTTCACACAAAGCAACGTCATCTCCAAGGACAGTAAGACTCTTGCGCCCCAATGGTATGACATTATGCTAGATGACAATGTTGAAGGATTATGGTACGCACCGAAGCTATGCTGGCTCTCCATATTGGAAGGCGACGTCTTATAAATGACCTTCGTTAATGTAGAAGCATGCATCTTGGTAGTTTAGATACAAAATATAGTGATATAAACAGATATAAACATCATAGCGAGTTGAATGACTCTAGGTACGGGAAATAGTGTGTTAAATACCTAAGGCACCTCATGAGCCGAAGCCAGCTGTGCTTAGAGAACCAATTATACCGAGCCACGATGATTTATAAAGCTTTTGATTTTCCCTGCCTATGATAGGTAACATCTTCCTACCTGTGACAATTCTATCTACACGCCAGTGCTGCTTAGAAAGTATAGGTTAGGTACCTAACGTTGCTAGTTGAAGTATTGATATTAAAGTCTAGGAATTGGACCGCGTTCTTGACCAATGCCGCCATGTATAACCTCACATGTTATCATACTCTTAGCAGGTCAAATCAAATTTAGGCGTTGCGTTGCCAATAGGTGTGAGAGCAAACGATATATCAGTCTGCGCCGTGTTGGCGTCCACCAGTGTGTACCAGAAGGCAGTGCGCTGTCCGAAAAGTGCACAGCCGACCTGGGAGTAATACGTTTTTGCATTTTCAACCGAAGCAATGGCGTCTCGCTGTTGAGGGCCCACTACAGTCGCCGGCGGATCAGTACACAGTATATCGAGGCTTAGTTGAAGTGACTTGTAGGCCGCCGAGACGAGACGAGACGAGAAGGCTTTTCTTTTCGTCTTGTTTCACGACGAGGCATACAGAGAAAGAGGTGCTGACTTACCGCTCGGCCAACCGGTTTCCGTGACGAAAACAGGCTTCCCCTTTGCGACACTCTCCGTCTGCTGGACGGCAAACCAGAAGTTGTCCGCGGCTTGCCCGATGGCGTTCGGCTTCGTGGTCTCGAAGTAAGGGAACGAGTTGTGCCCTAGGAAGTCGACGGCCGAAATCACTCCAGCATTTTCAGGTAGGATCCAAGCCGTCCTAATAAATCGTATCGTAGGTCAGTCATAGGTAGATGCGCACGGCTTTTATCGGAGGGGACTATAACATAGCATGAAGATGAAGCCTCAAGCTCCATATCCTAACACTTGGGGGAAAAGGGAAAAGGGGAAAGGGGCTGACCAGGTATCAACATGGCCAATTGGCTTGCCTTCCAAAGGTGTACCACGCAGCCAGTCTCGCATCCAACCGATATAGCCCTCGATTTCGGCGCCTGTCGCACCAACGCCTGCGTTATTGGCTTTGCCATCAGGACTGCTCCGGTATAAGTCCTCGGAGCCGACGCTAATCCCGATGATGCGGTCGGTGAAACCGGTACCTAGCCGGTTAGCAGCGGCGATAAGTGCGTTGAGTTCATTTTCGTAAACATCGCGGCCGGCGCTGGCCCACAGGCCGGCAAGTATATGTGTGTCGGTGTCGATGGCAGCTTGAAATGCCGAAATAGGATCCGCTGCCGTACCGCACTGGATCGACGTGTAAAGGCGTGCCGCTGTGAACTTGCCGCCCGTACCGGGTAGACTTTTAGCACGCTCGAAGAAGCCCCTGAAGTCGTTGTATCCCCGACATGACCCGTCGTTGTTGGTTGATCCGTAGTTGAAGCCCTGGTAGACTTGTGCGGCAGCAGTGGCAGCAAAGCCAAGACACGCGAGATGCTGTCGCAGCTGCATATTTTCTACCTTTACTTCTCTTGGAAGAGGTATTTCGCTTTAGTCTCACAGAATGCAATATTATATAACTTCTACAGTAAAGATTCAAGATGGCGATGGATTTCGGAATGGTGTAAAGAAAGGGGGGCAAATTTTGGTATTTAAACCCGAGATACTTGTACCTACCTAAAGTAATACACATTCTACACACAGGGATAGTAGACACTCAATTCCGATCGCCTACGCGAGGACGGTAGTACTTCATGAAAAGAAATGCCCTCATTCGTAGCCAAGTTGGGGATGACGACGGGTAAGACTCGTATTTAAAAGGCCAAGAGATTGCCTAGGCGTGCTAGAGTGCGCCGATAGAGATAATTAAGAACTTCTAATTGGGTGATTTCGTAAATAGCTCCCGACGTAGCATTTGATCGACCGCTGTCAGTTGGTGAGCTGGACAACCAGCACAGCCCAAGAGTTTCGTCACCAGATTCTCCCCCTTTTTATGGACGTCATGTAATGACTTCACTCTCTTGGTATCGTCGCTAACGGTGAAGCATCCAAATAGCAACACACTTTTCCTTGACAGAACGATATTGTTCATGACGCCGTCTTTCTTACATTTGTGTGCGTTGACAAAAATGACTAATAGCATAGTCCTCCTAGAGGTCGGGTATCTCATACATCATCATGCCATACCCCAACTCGGAGCAAATGCTATGTACTTCACAGCCCTAAAAGCACGTGGTTCAGTAACCCGATGTTCTACAGCATCAATAGAAGGAACCCGATGGAATAGACTTATACATAAATGACACGTAACCATGAATGGTACTCGAGATGACACACTAATTACACAAACGCTACCGTCTGTATCCCAATCGAATAGCTATATGTATAAGCAAAAATGACAATCGTCTATAGTAGTAAAATGCATATCAACACCAAATTGACCAACATCACATTTACGAATCCATACTCCCCCGCCGACTCTCCAACGGACTAACCGTCACCAGACTCTCCAGCTCCTCCGTATCACTCACCGCCTCATCCACCCCTATAGGCGAAACCAGCTCGTCACGCCGCGAAGCTTTGTCGCGCGTAGTCGCAAACGTCGACGTCGACATGTAACTAACCCGCGGCAAATACTCCAACCCCTCCTCCCCTTCTCCTCGCCCGTCGCTTCCGATCGGCGACACGGGCTCCGCATTCGCGCCGCCGCCGGTGCTGGTGCGTCTCGCACCTGAAAATGGTGCTGAAACGGACGCGGATGTCGAACCTTGGCTTGCGGCTCGGCGCGGCCCGATCCCGTCCAGAACCCGGCTCATGATCGGCGACACGGGCGCGTGCTGCAGCCGGGGACTCTTGAGCGCGGCCGCGGCCGCGGCGCTGGTAGGCGTCACGGCGCCGCCGCCCGTTCCCTTATAATCACCATCATCATCATCACCACGCGTCGGTTTAAGCGGCGAAACGGATCTAGTTCCCGGCGGCGGGGGTGGCGGTGGAGGAGGAGGAGGGAACTGTAGAACAGGCACGCGAAGCGTATCGTGTCCGCGTTCCGCAACAATATCCCTCTCCCCAGGGAGACTTCCCACCGTCCCGAGCCGGCTGTCGCTCAGCCGTTTCCGCAGGTTCGCGTCGACCGGGTGCGAGCCTAGCGGGTTACCCGGGTGGCCGAGCGGCCAGTTTGACCGCGGGCTGTGGTGCGCCGCGGCGGATTTGTGGCGCCTGATGCCGGAGGCTGGTGTAGGGGTGGGGTTGGGGTTGGGGATGGCGAGGGGGTGTTCCCGGATCATGGAGAGGGGTCGAAGAAAGCTTCTCCGAGATGGTTTAGCTGCTGCTGCTGCTGTCTGCCTCTGCTGTTTTTCTAGTGTCGGCACGGTGTCTATCGAACTCCCTGCACTCTTCATGGGGACCGGTGGACCGGTAGCAGCGGCCTTATTAGACCGACGTCGGCAGATTATGAGAATGGCGACTATAACCAAGATGATAACAAAAGCGACGGAGCCGACTACGGCGCCTGCTATAGTGCCCGCGGGTGTCGAAGAGTCGCTTTCGGACCCTGCTGTGGCTTGTTCCGAGTTAGTAGGCTCGGAGTATTGTGTTGATACTGTCGATGTATCCGACGTCATAGTCATTTCTGGCGGAAAGGGGTATAAAATCCCAAATCCCCGTAATGTCTGGCAATCGATGAGTTTGAATGTGTCCTGAGGGCCGCTGTCGTCATCGAACCAATAAGTATAGCAGGATGGACGTGAGCTGGGGCTATAGTTGGAATTGGTCAGTATAACCAATCTAGCATGTGCTTGAATGCGAAGAGTTCTCGTTTGAAACTAACCAACATAATGTTTGGGATTCACATTCCGCCGTATTGGAAATATCATCATGGTCGACACAGTCTGTATAGATTGTAGAGGCACAGTCGCCAGCGCCAGGCAAGCAACAACCACGATATCCTCCTACATTGGTACACTCGTATCCAAAGTTGCAAGTGACTTGAATAGCTTAGGTTAGCAGTCATGGCCATCGCTTGTTGCTCAACGTTTGAGTAAGGGGATCGTAAACTCACCCGTGCTAGCAGTGGTAAAACCGCAAGTATCGATCCCTAACACGAAATCGGTCGTGCCTGGAACATTTACAGCGGTGAGCGACGCTGGCTGTCCTCCTGGCCGTATCCCATAAGTGTTTAGAGTAGTGGTCTGGGTGCTGATTAGCGGCATGTCAAGTCGCCGGAGTTGATCGTAGTCATCCTCGGACTCATCACTCATATCTAGCGAAGTATTAGGAAACGAGATAGTCTAAAGGATTCGAATACCGATGAGAGTGTGGGAAACGACTCGGACTCGATAAGAGACGGAATCCTTTTGAGCAGTTTTCATTGTCCTCAGATTCAGGGGCGAATCTCCTTGAAGGTTTTCCACGCTTTGTATTTACCTTGACGAAACATCGAATCACTCCATAAAGGCACGGGGAGAAGTAATAAAGAATCGCGTGTATCATTACAATGACCTAAGTCATGCGCTTCCGTTTCACTCGTAGTAGAGAAACGCCCATAAGGTGCTAACACTATCAGTTTCTTGGCAACTGATTTTCTCTAGAGTGACAAAAAGACATCCAAGCTACCCAGCTCCTTACCAGGCCACTATGAGTAAAAATATTAGCACCGAAAGAGTTAAAAACCAAAGGAGGGGCGAAAACTACTATTAATAGTTTCAAGGCTTGGTAGAACGTACCGAGAACATAGTGTTGGATTCGCACGAAGATCCGAGTCCTGCATTATCCATCCAGGCTGGTTCCCAATAAAAGATACCATTACCGTTCTTAACCCCGGCCACTACCTCTGCAACCTTCTTCATGAATGTAGTCTGGCCGTCCGCTGAAAAAGGGATGCTCTTAAGGTCGCTCGGGAATGAGTAGGCTGGAGACCTGCAAGAGGTAGGCCAGTTGACCTCAGCCACGACAATTTCCTTGCCCCACGTATTTGCCATGTTCGTAAGACTCGTCTTTAGGTTCGAAAGTGTTGCAGCTGAGTTGCTGTTTGCATAGTTAGTAGCCATAGTTCTATGTATTATTTTGCAATATTTCTGGGCACCTACTAGAACGGATAATAGGAAACGCCCATCATGTCGAAGTCTGACGACTCCAATGACCCTGTTTTCAAAACAGATTCGTACCAATTCTTCTGAGTATTCCAATCCCACCCGTTATCGAGATGAATCATGATGCGAGGTTTGGGGGATAGATTGCTATCCTTGATTCCCCAAGCTGCCGAATGCAGTAGCCTAGCAACGTTGTTAAAGTCCTTGGTAGAACCTGTTGGGAGTAAGAGGCCTGATCTGATCTCATTTCCGATTGAGATGATAGTGGGCGAGATGCCTGCAGCCGCAAATTTGTTTGACGAATCCAGTGTGTAGTTATATAGTTTCCAGGAGAGATCGTCAATGCCGGTGGGCCATCCCGAAGGAATTGCTTGGTGTCCTGGATCAGCCCATCTGCGATAGAGATGAAGTCAATAATTTGAAGTCTTAACAATGGATTTGGAGAGTATATCTTAGTGCAATTACGCCCCCCCGAGGTTTATCGCAAGGAGTGTTCTGGTTGACTCACGTGTCACTATAATGAAAATCCACGTAAACATCTAGTCCAACGGCTTTTGCCCGCTGTGCCAGTTTTATATTGTAGTCTAAGTTGTAGTTTCCATCTCGAGGATTGACCCAGACTCTTTGCCGTACTGTATTGACACCAGATTCCTTGAGGATCTTTTCGAGAGGCTCCGTACTCCCGCTTGTAGTAGTATAGGATATCCCAGCTTTCTCCTCGACTATGACCGAAGACCAGTCAACTCCCTTATACTTGAGTGCAGCCTGCACCGCAGTAAGCGATGAGAAAGTAAGGAAGAGAGAAGCCAACATCCTGCCCAGGCTTGACAGAATAGAGACGACTAAGACAGTTGTTACCTTTGAGGGTAATTATGTCAGTTTTCATGGGGAAAGTATCCCTTGATATTTTATACTAAGTGGACCCAGTTAATTCAAGGTGATATAGGCCTCTCTCAGTGGCTATAAACAGGGTTCGGTGGGATCTAACCCGAATGAAGGTGATACCGATATTAGAAACTGAGGACTTATACGGGCCGTCGCCTTAGATCAAAGCGTGCCATAATAGATATTCATTTAGTAATGGATGCTGAAAGACTTGAGCGATTCAGTTATATGATGCTATCCCACCGGGAGGATATGAGAAGACATCATATCCGAAATGTTCAGTTTTTACCCGAGTGGTGCACTAATTTTCCGTTACGATGCTAAGCTAGTTACGATAGGTGCGGAGTTGAGAACTTAAAAAACTAATCGGAACGAATCTTCCTCGATGTTAACTCGAATGATTGGTGGGAGTTTTAGTAACAGCTATCTCATATGATAAAAGTAAACAGCACAGAGATGCAGGTAAGAAATCTGGGGAAGTGTTCTAGAATAATAAATGCCAAGACGTGATCGTGATCGTACCTTACAGACATGTGTTACTAGGAAAACAGTTGCCAAGAAATTCGGCAGACTCTGAGTAAGAAGAATGATCCAATGATGTAAAGAGAAATTCATAAATGTGAAGACTGTCATGACATATATAGTATGAGCACAGGTATCAGACACTTAGCCGGATCTTATTTCGTAATAGGAATGTCTTTAGGCTCGGGGTAAGTGAAACGAAGAAGTGAGTTTTGAAATGAGTTATTCTGATGTAGTAAAAGTTGGTATATAGAAATAATATTATCTTCAGTAAAAAGTTACTTAGCTGTAAGAATTTGAGGCATGTTAGGCATATCCGTTCTCACAGACAATATCGGCCCCACGTGGAAATTCCGAAGTAGGCATTCATCTGCACTCTCAGTTGATTGCTGATCATTGATCGGATCATGGATCACTAGTCGTTATGATTGGCGTCGGGTTCTGCTCGCGTATCGAATATTTGGAGCTAAACCACTTGGGATCGGCAGAGCACGGTGAGATGAGCTGGGATGACTTGGTGGCCGACGTAGCAGAAAACCTTAATGGGGCCGTCGGCGTTCGTTACCCGTTCATAATAGTTCGCTAACACGCCGAGACCCAGCGAAGTTTATGTAACAGACAATAGTGTAAAATCTGTGAGGCCTTCATCGACTGGCTAGACAAGTATGGGACCATCCGTAAGAGTTACCAATTCCACTTAATTTCGGGTTTAAATCCCGTCAATTATTAGTAGGAAAGTCGTTAGCGCCGTCTAGCATAGAGCATTGATGTCAGATGATACCCGACGGAAAAGGTCAGTTGAAGCGTTTCATATCTGTTCCAAGAGGTAGGATTAAAAGTAAAGTTATAGGTCGCATCCTGTTGCGAATAGTTTTCCTACAACATATTGCTGTCTAACGACGACAAATAGGTCTGTCTGGCATGGAAGGATGCGGTGTTCTTCTTTATAGGGTGTATATTAATAAGAGGATAATACAAAAAAATAAAATAAAAACAAGATGCCGAAGTAGCATGCCCACCTCTAAGTCTAAGATCAATTGAAAAAGGAGATGCTACCTAATGGTGGATTTATGATGAATATGCCAAGGGACAACGGCCGAGCATCCCATACCCTTGCTGGCGGATAATACCAAACTACCTCTAAGGAAAGGGTGAAGGGGGGAGGAACAATGTGTCACGGGTGACATCCATTGAAAATCGAGGCGTACAAATGCCCCTTCGCGAGGAAATCAAATAATACGTAGTAAAAAAAAGTTGTAAAAGTTAGAATAGACTATTTGCTTACAGATCCAGTCTCAATTGTACGCGGGTTACATGGGTCGCACTGGTCGTACATTACCTAAGGTAAGACCTCCTAAACCATAGGTACCTACTTAAAGGTACCTCCTAGGTAGTTCGTGGTTCTGTCGTACCTGACTAGATACCCAAGGTAACCTTCTGATTAACCTTGGAGATCCTGTCCAATCCCGTCTGCAGAATCCCCGCATGTACTCCCAACCCAAAATGTTTTAGCATTCTAGCATTCTAGCATTCTAGCACGGCGATACGAAGCAGACGCAGGAGAAACCGCATTACTGTCGTGGACGCTTACCGCTTACCGCTTACCGTATGAGAATAGATGTGTACCTTACTTTGCTCGTGATGGACGCTGAATTAACGCGGCTCCATACTTTGTAATCCGTATAAGGAGTACGATGGGACCTAAAGAAGTCAATTTCGGTAAGAAAATGATGATGATGATGATGTGAATTATCCCTCATACGTACTACATACGTAATGCATAATTGGAGACAGAAGCCCATGAGATAAATCTTCACGATAATGAAAAGTGATAATATGAAGAGTGATATTAGCGAGAAACCATGCCAATATTTTTTTTGTATGGGCTAGCCGAATCCAGGAAGAGCTAAAGATCTAGCGGACTGCTAATTGGTTGAACTTACTTTAACCTTCCCTGTCCGGGGTAGGCTTACTAGCAAAAGTTGATTCTTGGCGTTCCAAATTTCTGGCCCTCCGGCCTGATTTGGGCACTAGTGAAGATAGGTACCTACTAAAGGAGATACCAAATACTCTCGGCAAGCGGCACCAGTGCTGCGGCAACGCCAGTGAGTTCCAAAGGAAATTATCCTTGTAAAAACGGTAAAAGATGATTGGATAAAATTAGGGTCTGTTATCGTGAACTTCATCGGTCAAATGCGTAAATACGTATTCCATTTGGTCTCTATGGCCCTTTCTTTTTGTCTTCGGCCATCCTGAGCCTTTTATTTTCTCTCTGTCTCTCTCTGTCTCCATAACTACCTAACTTAGGTACCTAAGGTACCTCCCAGCTATCCGAAGAGGTTATCTCACACCTCATCAAACAAATACTAAAACATTCTAACAACACTCGACGGACATAACCTCCCTGTCAAGAAAAAAAAAAAAAAAAACATCCCGGCCAATAAATTCAGGTACAACCCACGTCAACACACCACCAGACCATCTCTCTCATTACGTACCCCCATCCAGCTTGTATCGCACTTCATCCTAAAAGCTCTCCAATTCTTTCATCTTCTCCTCCAATCCACAAGTCAAAAAGCATCATCTCTTCTTTCCCATCCAATCCACGTTTTATAAACTTTACTCTCAACAAGATACTTACCTACCTTAGGTAGGTACTTAATAGTTTTTTCTTTTCTTTTTTATAGTTCGCATTAAAAGTCAATCCCGGTACTCCATCAACTATAAACTAAACCCCGTTCAGTCGCAAACATGATCAACACCCGCACCGCCGCCGTGGTGCTCTCCGCCCTCGCCCTTGTCTCCGCGCAAGCAAATTCCAACTCGACCTTCAAGATCGACCCTACACAAGTAGACATCTCTGACCGCGGTAAGTTCCTATCAAGTTACCATATTGACGTCTAATACTAATTATTTTCCAAAGTCGCCTGGTGTCAAGGACAACAAGACAGCTGCGGTACCCTTTGTGGATCTGTTGTGCAGAACATATGTTCGACGGTAAGTGTTTAGCAGCCTACTTTGACAACATCTAGTTTAAGCGCTTGTCTAATATAACTATAGAACACTCTAGATTTCCAATGCGTCTGCCAGGGCAACAACGAGCCGGATATGAATCTTTACATGAACACTGTGCCTTGGGTAAGATTATTTCTTCTACTTTTCCTGACGGTTCCTACTATTAGTGCCTAGGGGGGTATATTGACCGTTTCTTTCCGTAGTTTGTTTGTGAACGACTTCAGAGCGACTGTATCACGGCAAACGAGAACAACGCTGCTGGTCAGAAGAACTGTACTTCGACGTACGGCGATAAATGTGGCAAGGAAGACGTGTCCAAGCACCAGGGAGAGGGAAGCGTCAGCACAACTACCACCTCTAGTGCAGCTACCAGTGGTACTGCTACTCCCGCCGCCAGCTCCGCCGCGCCGAGAACATCTTCCTCTGAGGCTGCCGCTGTCCCAACCAACATTCAATATCTGGGTAATAGTGCCGCTGCTGTCGCTCTTGGCGTGTTCGCCTATATGCTCTAGTGACAAATATAAGCACACGAGTTTGACGGACACTAGGTCGAGCAGCGTGGTCATATGGAATAATTATTTTGGCACCCGTTTCTTTTCTCGTACAAGTTGATATTAGCAGCATTCCCCCCCTTTATACCCAAGTCATGTTGCACGTGACAACCCTAATTCACGAGGAGACGAGTCGAATATTGATGAGCAAGCATACGTTGGAGGAGATTAATATTTGAGGAAGTTGTTGAGGGAGTGTGGTACAGGTATCAGTCGCCGCGGCTCTGGCTAGTATGGTTAATAAAAAACCCCAGTTGAGTTGATAGCTATGGCACAACGCAGAGCAGAGAGAACAATAAAATTCATCAAATGGGTATGGTGTTGGTTCTTTGAAGTCCTAGTCTTGAATATAAGAGTCCAACCTTTTACCTTGATAAATGGGTTCAGACTCTTTGTTCTCGTATAATAACTACAGAGGTCGAGGTCCTTACAACCGCATTGTTCTCTCCTTTCATGGAAGACTGGTATATGTATTCTTAAACTGGGTGATGTCCATGGATCCCACCAGAAGCAACCTGGCGTAACGGTCAATTCTTTCGAGCCAAGTAGCGAGCGTAGAGGATATTGACGATCCGACGAAAGGTTGAAGCTACCTGAATATTGACAGAATTGGCCTCCCCCTTTGCCCCTTTAATGAGTACTAAACGCGATTTATCAAGCCTTAGGTACAGATGGAGGAGTTGAATGAATTCACCGTGCCAGTCGGCACTCGTCAGTCTTTCGGTATAGAATTGGAATTCTTAGTAGCGTATTTACCACATGACGTGCCGGATCCGAACGAAGTCGAAGCTCACGCGCTCCCCCCTCTGCTACGAATCAACGAAACAAACTACGAAGCTACGACGAAGATCAAGGAAAGTATTCGCGCAACTCTAAGGAAAAATGGAATTCGTGTTTCTGAACCTGATTATGATCTCGCTGCAGCTGAGCCTGCGTCCACGGATAAATTGCCGTCTCGGCTTCATGATAAGGACAAGTGGAGCGTCACGGTAGACAGCAGTGTCCAGGAAAAGTTCATGGAGAAGTATAAGTGGCAACCTATCGAGATTCAAAGCCCAGCGCTCTGGACGACGGACGAGTCGTTTCAGGAGATCGAGTACGTTACTAACATCCTTACGTATAACTACCGTCTAAGGGTCAATCCTACATGTGGTTTCCACGTCCACGTCGGGAACGGGAAGGACTTCTTCACAGGTGAGACGATCAGAAGACTAGGCATGTTTCTCTGGGTTGCTGACCCTATGCTTTCGCGTCTGCACCCCCCCTGGCGGAGGGTCCACTCGTATTCCTCGAGCATTCGCTACCACAGCCGGCTGGCCTGCGAAGGGATTTCGGTGAAAGACGTCCGGAAAGAGTTCGAATCGTGGTACGCGAACGACGACCCCATAGCGGTGACAAAGTTCTCGGATACCAGCCGGGAGGAAATTGCATTTGGTAGCCGGGAGAAGTGGGAGGCATACGCCAAGTGGCGCAACCAAGTAGGTCCGTTCATGACGATTAAAAATGATGTTGACAGAGAACCGCCAGAACACTATCCGCCAACCGAATATTCCAGCGGTTCGGAACCGCCGTATCTACCCTCGTGGGACGAAATAGTAGCTCTAGGGCGTCGTCTACGCGAACAGCATGGGCAGTTCGATGCACCTCCCGAGGATCACACTTTGCACAGGAACATAAGTTGGATTTACTGGGACGCATTTCAAGGCGATGCAGTTATCGAGCACGTTCTCTCTCTTGCCGAAGAGCATTTTGGAACTAGAAATGTCACCGAACTCGCAACAGCTGACCAGATACAGCTAGTGATCCTCGCAGAGTGCGAGATTCTCTACAGCAGGAGTCTCGACGAGGTAAGCGACTCGATGTTCTACGTCGTGCTGCTGGCGAGCGCCTCGTACTTCGAAGCCGCGCGGTACGGCTTCCAGTACAACTCCGCTACGGGACAATTCGATCTCGCGTCGTCCAAGTTTGGTCCGATACTCTGGAAGCCGAGGCCGAATAAGGAAGAGCGGATCGACTCACCCAGCATTATCAAGAAGTGGCAGCACGCGGCCGAGCTGATGGAGCCGGACGATGATCCGGACGACGATCCGGATAGAAACAGCAGGGACCGCCTCAGCTTGTCTGAATATATCAAGGCGATACAAACGAACGAGGGCATCTCGGATCTCTTCGATAAAGCGAAAGCTAGCGCAGGTCCAGCAAGTTCTGTAGATGAAAACGAACTGCCGTCACCCCTCTTTTTCGGCACTCCCTCTCCGCCGCCCGCCAGTGCCCCCGAGGCAGATTCCGGCGCTCCTGACGCAAACTCCAGCTCTCCCGATCCAAAATCCAGCCCCCTAGACCCTAATCCCGAGCCTCTGCCCCGAGCCCAAGACCAAGACCAAGACCCATCCACCGAGGAAGAGTCCGACCCCTCATTCTTCAACCCGCTAACCAGATATCTCGCCAAAGAACACGACTACAGCTTCTCGGACCCATCCTCGCCCTTCAGCCCTTTCCCGCCGTACGAGGAGCCCGAGCCCGAAGTCCTGCTCGACGAGGAAGATGAGGAAAACGACGGGCAGCCCTGGCCGTTCGATGCCGATGCCGAGATAATCGAAAAGCTCCGCCCCCACGACGTCGACGGGATCACGGCGCTCTACCAGTCGGAAATCGACAAGTACGTGCACATCGCGGACGCGCAGTGGGACCGGATCGGGTGGATCCCGTCAATCTCGCACGCGGCGATATACGGGAAGGCGTTCCGGGACGTGCCGGCGGGGCAGGCGGGGGGGCTGCAGGTGCACCCGCGGACGTCGGGGGCGGAAGGGCTCGCGAAGCTCGCGGGGTGCGACTCGGCGATGGCGGCGGCGACGCTGCTGCAGGGCCCGTTCGGGCGGCGGCTCAACTACAACTTCCGCTGGTACGGCGCGGAGCAGCTGAAGGACGACCGGGAGGACGGGCCGCGGCGGTCGGCGAACGCGCGCACGCTGGAGTTCCGCGAGGCCGGCGGCACGCTGGAGGCGCGCTGGGTCGGCGTGTGGGCACGCATCGCGACGGGGATCGTGCGCTTCGCGCGCCGCGCGCCCCCGCTCGAGTTCCTGCTCGTGCTGGAGCGCATCCTCGATCAGGAGGAGCGGGATCTGGCGATCAGGGAGAAGAAGAAGAATGCTGCCGAGGCCAAGGCCAAGACCAGGACTACTAACGGGACTTACGATTTAAAGGAGAACTATGAAGAAGAAGGGGAGGAGGAGAAAGAAGAAGAGGAGGAGGAGAAAGAAGAAGAAGAGGAGGAGGAGGAGTACAGGTATGATATCTGCGATTTGCTCAACGATTTGGGCTTGTTTGCCGAGTCTTCTTACGTGTGGAAGCGCGAGCAGCAGTACGGCCCGCCTAGGTGATGAAGTATGAAGCTGGTATGTTCTTTGAATCGCTGGGTTAGGTACGTAGGAGGTAGGTATACCTTTGCTTGGTAGGCTTTTGCCTTCGCTTGGTGTAAAATTGGTCTGAGGTAGGTCGTTTTATCGTTTTGTAATACGGTTAGGTATCATGGTAGAGCGTATTTCACACATATTTCATCTTAATTGGTTTTAGTACTGATAAGTTCAGGTACTTATATCTCATAGCCATTTGTCACAAGTAGCAAGTCGTTAGTAAATATATATATTCGAAACTTCTCTTACCCCTATCCAGTAGTCAAATCCTTGTTATCTTTATGATCTTTCCTAATAAAACCCCTGACAAAATCTAGATGCACAGAGGTTTCCGTTCGTACCCCTCCCCCTACTCATCTGAGCCCATCTCGGATGACTAGGGAGAGTTGTCCAGGCCCGGCACGTTTTTGCAGTGCAAGGCAATCCCTTGTCTCGCGTATCAGATACCATTCGGCCGCCCCTAGCACCTACACGTTAATCAATTTTATGTTCAGTTAGGTATCTCATCTTGGTACATTCTCGTGAAACAACAATATAACTCCATTCTTTATCTAGAGGTAGGTACCTGGTAGGTAATCGTTATCCAACTCATGCTTGGATTTACATCCCTTGAATAATATTATATATAGGTACGTATAATGCGTACATCTTTACCCGGTCTTCCCGTAGAATTCCGGCCTTCCCTATGCAAACCTTCTATATACATGCCGAGATAGTCAAATACCTTTTCAAGGTCAGTAAAATATGTCGCCTATTCCATTTAGTAAACCCGCATGTCATTCATCCATTATACTTGTGCCCAAATCCATATATACTAACAAGTAACCAGTGAATAAAACAAGTGCAGATATGTATACATACATCTAAAGTTCATTGCCATATGGCAGGTTGAGGTTGATTAGGATCTTGCATCGGCGTCTGGTTCGCGTAGGCACTCATCTGGGGTGGGTGGGCCACGAACCCGCCGTACTCCTGCATCAGATAGTTCCAATCCATCTCGCCACCGAAATTCAATTCCGGGAACGCGTGAGCGAATTGGCGGTTCACGTCCATTTGTGGCATGCCACCGCTGAATATGTCGCCTTCCGGATATAAGGGTACGGCACCTGGCACGTTCGGCTGTTCTGGGGGCGTCGGCGCCGTTGCGACGTAAGCACCGCTTATGACAGGGATTTTAGGTGAAGGCGTTGGTGCCGGTGACCTCTTTTTTGTCGTCTTTGGTAGGCGTGCGGCGATCTGTCTCATGTGAGTGATAAGGCGTGGTGGCGCTAGAGTGCGTCCGAGAGCGGCCTCGGCGGCCTCGCGTGCATCCCACGCCTTTACGAAGAGAGGGCTGAAGGATAAATGCATGGGGCTGCGCATGTGAGATGTCATCTTTCTCCGGTCAGCGTGCTCGCATATGGTTTCCCACGCACGCTCGCATAATTCACCCGTCGTGCGATGGCGGAGCTCAGTAAGCAGGCATATATAAGCTGGGAATGGAAAATGCAGGTTGGTATACCAAAGGAAGCCCTTGAGACTTTCCCTCGATTGCATCATAGTATCATATTCGATCATCTTAATCGCCTCCACAAAGATTTCATCTCTCTCGGCTGGCGGCAAGGGCGCGGGTGCTGTAAGTGCAACACGGAAGAAGCCGGATACTATTTTTAGTTTGCACATATTCGCTCGCGTCATGAGAAGTGTCATATAATGAAGTGGGACTTTAGGGTCACAATATTTGAGGTATGTATCTTCCATGTGGGCGGAAAATCGTTCGAGGTAGCTCGACAACCGGTGGTCGGCGACACTTGCAACAGCTTGAGGATTAGTTTCCGAAGATTGGCCCCTCATCTTGTCATTCCCTGGCGCTTTAGCAAACTCGAGGCGTGATAGGGAGAACATCATCTCGGTAGCACCAGTGTACGGGGGAGGAGGGTCTTTAGCATGAAGGTGTAAGTTGGCGTCGTCGATATTAAGCGGTAATTTGCAGTTGCCCCCGTTGGATATAGCAGTGATGATAGAACCACATAGTTCACCTATTCTCCGGTCAAAACCGGCGAGGTTCCACCATAGTCGTCTCCTCTCTTCCACTTCGAATGGGGAGAGATTAAATTGAGCGCCGTCACGGTGTAAACCCATTCTCTGGGCGAGACGTACACCGATCCCGGTTAAGCAAAATAACGACCGGGGGTCCGAGTATTGTCTAATGCCCATCTAATATACGTTAGACCTAGACCTAGACCTGAAATGGACGTGGCGGTTTCATCTTACAAGATATAATAGAAAAGCTTGCATCAAGGTTAGATCCGGGTTGCGCATAAAGCCTGCGTTAAGAAGGGCTTGCTGGGTAGCATAATAATACTTAGCTAGCAAGTTAAATCTCGATTCGTTAAACGTCGCTTGACATTCCTCGTCGTCTATACTTGTGATAGCCATTAGGTAAATTGAAAACATTAACGCCTCGAGGGACCTGGACACTTTGTCGAGGTTTGCCCCAGCCTCGATAATCCGTACTTGCAACGTGGGCGTATGTGTAAGTTTGAGAAGTGGGTTGACGTTGTTTAGGTAGATCTGCCATAACTGAAATATTTGGATGGCAGATGGATGCTGCGCGGTGACACTCTCGAACTGGCCTCCTATTACGAATGGGAAACCGTCAGGGCTATCAAACATCTTATCGTATGCTTGATTGATGGACGATCCAACGTCCTCTTCGTCAGATGAGTCCTTAAGACCTTCATCCGTTGCTCGAAACTATATTAGTATTAGTATAAGTAAGTATAGGGTTAACGAATCAGGAAAGAGAAAATCACTAGCCTCTTTCTGAAAAGGAAACCATTTAAATGTTCTAGAGAGACAAGTGGTTAGTCAAGGGTTACCGGATGAAACGTTCCCCGCCGACTCGAGTGCGGCTAGGGCGGTTGAACAGTTGGACGGTTGGACGGTTGGACGGTAGGTTTACCTGGGAACGTGGGCGGCCTCACCGGGTGACGAGATCAACTCAGGGTCCACACCGGATGGAGACTCCTTACTCCTCTGTCTTATAAACTCGGGTTCGAGCTCGTCACCGTCCTCAACGGAGCCGGGGTCCACAATCTTTACATCCGGGCCTAACGAATCAAATTCGATTCCGTTCTGGGCAAGGAGCGCTTCATATTTCCGTAGACGCTCCACCAAGTCTCGCTCGGGCACGCGCTTCTTGCGGCGCCTAGGCGGTTGAGGTGGCACGACGCGGCATTCGACATTGGCCTTTACGCAATTGGAGCAGGGTTTGCTCTTGTCACAGCGTACCTTGCGCTGTTGGCACAACACACAGCTATGTCCTCTAGTAACCTTTATCATAGAAGAGTCTGGATGATTTGGGGGCGTATAGTTAACCGAGAAACCCGCAGGCGGCGTAGGTCCATTGCTTGCCGAGCCGTCACCAAGCTGAGACTCTGGGGTCGGGGGCATGGTGATGACTACTTTTTTCCTTCTCTTCCTTTTAAAAAGTCGGTCCCGAGCGCGACGGGTTCTTACACCGCTAGCAAAAGGACGTGCAGATAACTTGCCGACAAACTAATGATGGACAAAGCTCAACTAGGACTTAACTAAGTAACCAAAAGTGCCTCGAAGTGCCTCGAAGTGCCTCTGTTCCACATGAGACGAGAAGCCTCGAAGCTGGATGCAAGCATTGATTGGCAAGCAGGTGCAAGGACGATGATGCTGATGCGGGAATTTCGGGACCGAGAGGGGCACGGGGGCACGGGAGCACGGACAATGAAGAGAAAAAAAAAAAAAAGACAACAGAAGATGTCGAGAGCGGGCTCGTGTAGCAAGCAGTCTTTAGCTGCTGTGTTGCTTCTGGAAATTAACAGATGAGACGGGGATTAGAGATGGAGAGAAGTAGAGAAGGAGGGTAGATAAGACAAGACCATCCCATTCAACCCCATCTAGACTTCCTTGACGAGAAAGGAGAGAGAGGAGGGGGGGTAAGAGGGACGATATGCAGGTCTAATCAAAGGACTTTAAAATTGTGACCTTATTTAATGTAGCCTTGTTTTTATGTAGGAGATGAAAACTAGGAAGTAAGGATGAGAAGTGGGAAATTGTGCGCTGTATCTCCAGTTGTACAGATAATGGGGTGTAAGATAAATGATGTAGATGAAATAGTATATAAGGTATAAGGACCCGAATGTGTTCGCTCAAATTTGTTTAAAAACCAGCGTTAAAAAAAGGGCGGATCTAGAATTTCACTGCCCATTCGACCCAAAGCGCAACTATTACAGGTATGTTACAGATATGGTAGTTATAGAGAGGTATTGTATGTGTAGGTAAAACCAAGACGAACCAAGATAGCCCAAGATAGACCATGAGGATTCAAAGACGATTTCAGGCTATGAGGTATGTAAGTAAGCCCGGGGTTTATGTTTATGGGCTATTCTTGGGACTTCTTTTGAAGGTATTTTGGATGAACGATCATATGTCTAGGAGCAGTAAGATCGACTTTTGCCTTCGATGGTTGTTGAGGATATCATATGGTAAGACGAAGGAAACAATCGAGAAAAAAAAAGAACCTGTTTCGCACCCTTCAACCCCAATCAATCCCTGGGCACACATAGTTCATTCATTCAACCCCTCTAACTTACCTTAAAATCTGTTACCTAGGTTAGGTACCTAGGTACAATACTAACCCCCAAAATACCTGATACCTAACCTTGCGTACTTAACCAACAGCGGGAAACGCAGTGGACAATGCCGCCTTTACAGGGTTCGGCTCGCAACTACACTAAGCCATGACGCTGTAGTACTTCGTAAACCGTAATCTCGTACCTGTTAAGCACCGATTCACCGACGAAGCTAGAAAGAGCTTTGCCAATCTGGCCAATCCAGCCTGTTAAAGAAAACTTTTCAATTTTCCTATTAGGTGCGATAGATAATTTGATAGGACAGAAAAGAGGATAAGATGAACCTGTTTGTCAAAAGCTGCTGTTTGCACATTGCAGTTCCTTGTTACTAGTGGTATTAGCGCTCGGCGTTGAATCATCATTTTCGGGACCGAGGAGCTTGCCTTTGACCATACCTAAAATTATGCCAGCCTTTAGCCAAGTACATTAGGTACCTCCGGTACGTACCTAATGTACGGAATATAGTATTGTACATATAGATCTTAATGTAAATTGTGTCATCGGGTGTGTACATCATGTATGCTTAGCTTGACATTTGTGCTATGGTGTCATGGTAACACAAAACTACTATTATCCACGGACAAAATCAACTCATCACCTAACTCGGTCCTTTATGTCTTTAAAGTTCCGCCCGAGAAAGCATAAATTTAGGTACTAGGTATAATAACTTTGTATCACGTGCTACCTACCCTTATACCCTTCCGTTTTATTCGAGTTTCCAACCCAAATTGATTTAAAGATGGTCGGTTATCTCAGCAACGAATCGCTCCCGAGCTGCGTTCCTGCGTGTCCGGCTCGGTGCTCCCCAACGCTCTCCCACGCCCCGGGCATAAGTAGGTAGACAGGAATATTCAATGGCGTACGAGAAGCGAACTGTCCGTTTTCGTGTATTTTCCAACGTGTCTACCACATGGCTGTCTTATGTTGTCCGCTCTAACGGAGGATACCTAGGTAATAAATAACAATAAGTCCATGGCATGGACTAGGACGCCACGAGGCTTGTCATTCATCAGGTAAATCAATAGTACTGAAAGTATATACGTAAACACATGGACACGCGCACACATATATATACCTAACCTACATATACATACCTGCGTATCCCTAGATTCTAGGTTTGCCAAACTTTGTCTTGTCTTGGGGCCAATTAAAAAAAAGGTAGGACGACGGCATCTACTTGGATTCTCCCGGCTCGATTCTCGTCCTTCCTCACCTCATATCCCATCTGTCCCCTCTTCATCCTTATCCTTGAACTCGTTTCACGTATACCTATCTCCTCGGAAATTTCCTATGGCCGAATTGTCACGGAAGACGTCCGAGGAAAAAGGTGGCCCTTCGACGGCAGCCATACCCGACGATACAGACAAGACCAACGATGTAGAAAAGACAGCCGACGCGAAGCCAGCGCGGCCGGAACTTGTCGACGATGCTGAAGAGAATTTCAAGCCGAAAACTTTCAAGTTCTGGTCCGTTATGTTCAGTATATACATCGCTCTGTTCTTAGTCGCTCTCGACCGGACCATCATCGGCACAGCGATCCCAGCAATAACACAAGATTTCAACAGTCTGGGGGATATCGGTTGGTACGGCTCAGCCTATCAGTTAACCACGGCTGCGTCTCAGCTGGTATTTGGTAGAGTTTATAAGTTTTACGATATCAAAAGGTAGGTTAGGTACCTCCTATAAGTTTACAAAATCCCCTTTTTGGAAAGCCACGCGTGTGGAAATTGCTAACTTTTGGTCAACAAGGGTCTTCCTATTTGTCGTTGCGATTTTCGAGATCGGTTCTGTCATATGTGGCGCGGCTCCAAATTCGATTGCCTTCATCCTTGGCCGTGCCATAGCCGGTTTTGGGGCCGCGGGTATCTTCACCGGGGTCTCGGTCATCATGCTTCCACTGGTACCTCTCCGAAAGCGACCCATGTTTCAAGGAGTCATGGGGACTATTTTCGGCATCAGTTCTGTCTTGGGTCCTCTTATAGGCGGTGCTTTCACAGACCGCGTTACCTGGAGGTGCGTAATTTCCCTTTTTGCGCTTTTCTAAAGGGGAATAAACTAATATTGCCGTCCCTAGATGGTGCTTTTATATCAATCTTCCCGTCGGGGGCGTTGCGGCGTTATGCCTTCTAGCTGTAAAAATTCCGACAAGACCAACAGAGCCAGCAAAGCTTTGGGAACACTTTACTCGACTAGACCCTTTGGGGACGCTCTTCTTTGTTCCAAGTATCGTCTGCCTCTTGCTCGCGCTTCAATGGGGTGGATCAACGTACGAATGGGGTAGTTGGCGCATCATCCTTCTACTGGTTATTTTCGGCGTTTTATTTCTCGCTTTTATGGCAGTTCAGGTGTTGATGCCCAATACAGCGACCGTTCCCGTCAGAGTAATTGGGCGACGTAGCATTGCCGCCGCGGCTATGTTCATGTTCGCCGTCGCTGCGTCAATGATGATGAGCGTTTACTATCTGCCGCTATGGTGTAAGTTATTCTCAATGATATTACCTAGCCCTTTTGCCTACATATACCTGCCCTGTGTTCTCCTATCGAAATGAACACTAACGCGAGAATATAGTCCAAACTATACAGGGCGTGAGTGCCGTACAGTCCGGTATCGATACGATACCCCTCGTCCTAAGTCTGGTCGTATCCAGTATAATATCTGGTATCTTCACACAGAAAGTGGGATATTATGTTCCCTCGATGTTAGCCTGTCCCATGATAATGGCTGTGGGACAAGGCTTGATGAGCACCTTCAGGGTCAATGAAGATTCTCCCCACTATATTGGATACCAGATCATCGTCGGTTTCGGTCTTGGTTTTGGCATGCAAACGGCCGGCCTTTCTGCACAGGCCGTGCTTCCCAAACCCGATATTCCCACCGGCATCGCCCTCATGTTCTTCTGCCAGCAGTTAGGCGGAGCCATTTTCGTATCTGTCGGCCAAAACCTTTTAACCAGTTACATCGTCGGACATGTGGCCAATATCCCGGGGCTCGATCCCAAGTCAATCCCTAGCTCAGGCGCCACAGACATCGTCAACAAGGTCCCACCTGAGTATCGGTCTCAGATAAAGGAGCTTTACAACAAAGCCATCTCGAGGATATTCATATGCGGTATGGGCGTAGCACTGGTCGCCTTGGTAGCAGCGCTTTTCATGGAGTGGAAAAATATCAAGAAGACCGGGCCTGGGGGTCCACCGGGAGCAAGGCCGTCGGAACCGAAGGAGAACGACTCGACTTCTGCTGAAGAGGAACAGCAAAAATCCCCTACGCAGGATGTAATATCGAGTACGCCGAGACTTTCGATTAGATTAAGCGGAGATAAACGAAGTTCTGTTGATTCAGTTCATCAACCGCAAGGATCACCCGATACGAAGACCGTTCCGGAGACGCAAGTCGCCCCTTTGAAAGACTAAGCAAGCCCCTGATAATAAAAATAAACAGAGTGCTATAACCGAAACTGTTATAGGAATAAACTTAGATTTCCAGAAATACTAAGTTAACTAATATATCGGTTGTTCTTGTCATAGATAAACACCTACCTAACCTAAGGTCAGGGTTAGATTTGGATACGAATATGTAAATAATTTGAGGGCAATTCTGACAGAGTATATATTGCCTTAGCCTCGATAGAATTACCTTTAATAGTAATTAATAAGATGAGTATCTATTATATTACGGAAAACCCTAATAAAGTTGAAAATATATATGTAGCAAACGCCACGTCTGATGTTGTAAGCTTATTTTGCTTCATGCGGTAGCATTTTCTTATCCTTCGTTATAAAGGTATTACTGTGCAGTTGTACGTGGATAAAGTGGATTAGGTGGATAACACGTCCGCAGGTATCCCGGGCACATTAGGTAATTCAGGTACCTAGGTACTTACCTAAGTAAGAGGTAATCTATTAATGATCTATTAATGAATTAGCTCTATCTAAAAATAGACGACTTATTGTTCACGCTTAGTCAAAAGCCCCCCAAGTATTGGCGCAGTCCTGACAGTATAACACCGACATCTGGAACTCAGCTTTTACCAATTATCTATGCTGTCACTTTACATAACAGAAAAGATCAACGCTCACTGATAAATCGGTGGACACTACTATACGCACCGGGCTCTATTTTCTCTCATCGTTTTACCTAAGGTACCTAGTCAGAAGTAATACCAACGTTGTTTTTCAGCTTAATACGTATTAGTCGACATCATGGTCGAAAGCTCCGAGATTTCGTCTCTTTTTTTCTCCGCCGATTCCGTATTGGTCAGTTCCAATACGAGAATTTCTTATCCCAGCTCCTATATCTTTTCACAGTTAGTTTACGTAGGCGTAGACAAGGGAGAGAGATCTATTTGGGTCCGCCACTCCAGACGTCAATAGTACTGCTCTGGAGCGGGCTGTGATAGCATCCACATAAGACCATTGTTTAGTATACATAGTAGTGTATGAGAGTGGCGTGTTCAGATCACCCACAGCTAGTTCTGATTCTTTTAAAATAGAAGTTTCTGATGGAACCTTGCTGCTTGATCTCGATGCAAGTTTCAGCTACTAATCGCCAGGTCTTCACATGAATCGTCCGATTAAATATTCCTTTGCTACCCTAAGCCTACCCAAACCACCTGAATTTGGGATGGACGAGCCAGCATTTCCATGGCTGTTGGAGCTCATACTATCCTCTCCATTATTTCTAGAATGCATTAAATAAAGCCGTCGAGGAAGCCCCTGTATTCACATGAAGCCTGGTACTTTCTTTAAAGAGTATCTTTAACGTTAGGTATATGGCGTATGCACCTTTCCAACCTGGCCGAACTAAACAACCTATTGGCGTCATCATACTATTCATTGGATTAGAGTCTATGATTAGAGAGAAGTGAATAGGGAATAAATGAAGAAACATCACTATTACACTATTATAGGTCGAAATTTGCTCACTCAGAAATCGGATCTAGCTATCCGGGTTTGTTCTCACTAACTAGGTACCTACCTACCTACCTACCTAACCTAACCTAGGTATGCTATGTTTTCCTCGCTAGTTTGCTAGTTGTAGCAGATATAACCTTACGTAAGGGATTAATCCGGATGGTAATATTCAGATGAAATACGCAAGTATTAATATGTATGTCTAGGTAGAAGTTATCGTTGCAGATTCAACTATCATTGGATATCAAATACAAGTATGAGTAGTAACTCACATGTCTATTGGGTTACTGAAAACTATCGCACGGGCTTACTACGGGGCCAGCATACGTTCTACCTGTCACAGGGTGCCAAGATGCCCTCCAGCCCCAGCCGCTATACTAACCCGCACCTCATGCAGCTTCTTTGCCGGTTGCTTGGTAAGGCTGGAGATAAAAATGGAACGGCTGCATCAATCCCGCCAGATCATACCCCGATATACTTAGTCAGGATGGGACACCCCCTTATGTTACCTTACAATTCCGAGTAACTAGGTGAACTAGCCGAGTTTAGTATTTCGCTGCAAACGCCCTTCATGTCATTTTGTTTCTTCTTCTTGCAGAAGTCTCTATTTCTTATCCCAGAGGGGAAGTACCAGCCAGGAGATTTGGTTCGGGCAAACTAAAGAAAAGGTTTATTATTTATCTTATACAATACGGAGACGGGGTTAGGCGGTCCCCAAAACAAAAGGGAGGCGTACGATCGGCGCACAGGGTCGGGTATGAATGGGGATAGCTCGGTACTTTTTTGCCCTGCGCCCTCGGGATGGAATAGGTGATGGGCATCATCAGACTTACAGAACGTGTATGAAATTCCAGGTTCTCGCAAGTGAGATTGGCTATTCGCAGGAAATAAGGGGGAAAGCTTAGAAAATGCGGTAATACGTATAATAAGTACATCGTATTAAATGCTACGTCCCTTTCGCCTCCTCGTTCGTCTATATGCACGGTATCAGATTAGCAAATTCGAGAACTTGCTTAGGATCATTGGTACCCAAGATTGTCACCCTCCAAATCTAAAGCAAAACAGACAAGGAGCATCATACAACTGCATGCCTACCTACCTATCTAACCTACATAGTGACTATAATCCATATTATTCGATCTACTATAAAGAATCATTGACGATGGCACACACGAGGATGCCCCTATGGGAATCAAGCCCTACCCCTTCAGGCGACGATATGATTGACCCGGTGCTGGCGCTGCCGTTAGAGAGTACGCTGACAACCACAACGACAGTTAAGCGTAAGAGGGCAAGCAAGCCTAAAGTCCGAACGGGATGTATCACTTGGTCAGTCTATCTACGTTCAGTCGAACTCTCGATCTTCTACTAACTCCTTTCTTATAGCAAGTAAGTCTGCTTGGTATATATATATTCCAAGAAGAACTAACATGGATCCCTTCTTTGCCTACCTTACCTACACGTCCTTCCGACCCTAACGTTATCTCCGTTGTATTTATTGTCCATACCTACGTACCGTACCCTATCTCCCATCACTCTTACGAAGGGCTTTTAGGTACCAAGCTAATCGCCTTGCTCTAAACGTAGGATACGGCGAGTAAAATGCGACGAGACCAAGCCCGCGTGCACGCGGTGCACAAGCACGGGACGTAAATGTGACGGGTACGAGGGGATGCCGCCTCCACGGCCGAAGAAGCCCGCAGCAGCAGCATCATTACCACCATCCTCATCGTCGGCATCCCCGGACCCGCAGCAGCTAATATCAGCCACCGCTCCGTTTCCCTCGCCTGCCGTCTTTGGCGGTGCTGACGGGTATCTGGCGAGGCGGCAGGACCTCGCGCGGAACAGCTTCGCGGCAGCGTGCCGGGGGAACTCGGCGCTGCAGGTCCTGCGGCCGCTGGCGGCCGACATCCAGGGCACGGAGGAGGAGCGGGCGTACTTCCACCGGTTCCGGCGGGCGGCGGAGGCCGGGCTGGCGCTGCACGCGTCGAGGTTGGGGACGTCGTTCTGGCGGCGTCTGGTGCCGCAGGTAGGGCGCTCGGACGCGGCGATCCGGCACGCGCTGATCGCGCTGGGGGCCGCGTACGAGAGCATGCAGTGGCAGCAGAGCCAACAAGAACGACATAACCAGACCCAGAACCAGAGCTACCAAACAACCACAACCACAACAACGATGAAGCTGCAACAACGAGTACCGAGGACGTCGCCTTCTCCCAGAGGCGGAAGCCCGGCGGCCGAGCAACCGTACATCTCGACGCCGCCGCCCGAGGACAATTACCAGTGCGGGGACCAGTTGGAGCTATTCATGATCCGGCAGTACAACCTGTCGATATACCATCTGCAGCGACACGTGCAGCCGGGGTCGCCCCCCGAGAGTGTCGAGACGACGCTGATATGCTGTCTGATCTTCGTGTGCATCGAGACGTCCCGCGGCAGCGAGGCCGCGGCGCTCGCGCACGTTGCTAACGGCCTACAGATTATCAGGGCTTTACCGGCGGATTCGGAACTTATGTACCTTTCGTCGAACCGTGGTGGAGGTCACAGCGAAAGTAGTAGCAGCAGCAGTAATCAGGGGTATAGCAGTAGTCGTGAAGCAAGTGGTTTCCCGCCGCGAATATCACGCTCCGACTGGCGGCAACTTCTCGACTTTTTCCTCTCCCTCGAGCCTCGTGCTGCCATACATTATTATACCAGCAGCCAACCGGCCAGCCCGTCATATCCGCCTGCTGCTGCATGGGAAAATACGCCGGAATGGTATGGCGAGATGATATCGCAGTGGGACGTCGAGGGGACGGAAGGAGAGATGAGACATTAAATACTTGAATAATAATGTAAATGACAATACAGTTAAATGATAAGATCCGCAAAGATGACAGAACCATAACTACCACTTACTGTGTATGCGAGTAGCTAAGTAGTAGAAAAGATATTCTAAGTAACGGTTGAATATTCATGAGTGACGACCTCGGGGTCCTAGTCAGTGATACATTCACAAGGAGTTCGTATTCAGACAAGAAACTAACGAAGCTAGATATCTGGTAAGACCATCACAAATGACGTGGTATAAATACCAAGGAAGTTGAGCAATATCCATCCAAACTCATAAACTCCTTATCCTACTCGATCCACGCTCAAAGGGTATCTTGCCAACCGAGAAAAACTAAACGCGTCCACAAAAGTCCTCATAGCCCTGAAGAATTCACAAATCCTGCTTCATAATCGACCCTTCACGATTTCTTTCTTAAAGATCCGAACGCCAAATACGTCGTAGAATGAGAAAGGTTCAACAAGTTCGAGCTTGACTCTTAGTAGTGGGTCATCATCGTCGTACTCGTCGCTGTCACTTGTAGCACCCCATTCTACTGGTGCGACTGGAAAGAGCCCGCTATTACTATAGTTTTGATTAGAACTCGAAGCCTGTTTCTTGTCTTTTTCTTTTTTCGAGTCCGCTCTTGACTTCCTAGGAACTCCCGGTTTCCGGACAATTCTGACAGCGCGTTCGTCGTCACCCAGCGCAAGCCACTCGAGCTTTAGTTCAGGATGGAAAGACAGAGCGTCAACTATGAAGCGACGTGTCTCACGCATGACAGAAAGGCATGTGTCTTCTGTCCTAAAAGAAATAAGCTGTAGCGCACGGAGATTGGCAAGGCCAGCGATACGCTGGATTAAAGTATGCTATGTGTTGTTAGCCACAATAATATCGAGGTACTTTATTTGTAATAGTAAAAGGGGGATCCTTACAATTGCGCGCATTCCCATTATCACGGCTAGTTCTTCAAGCACCTTGCCACGCCTGCAGATATGTTGTATGGTTTTTTCGTCCACATCCCATGAGCTGTCAGCTTGGTTCTTGATCATAAGACGCCTGAGAGAATGCATGTCTACGAAATAGGGTTAGCAAATTTTAATGAGAGCCGGCGATCAGTTCGAGATATGATTAGCCAATAAAAAGGGGATGGTGTTTCTAGGTGGTACGTACGCTTTTTAAGAACAAAATGTCGGATTTGTTCAATGGTTGTGCCAGGGTTTGGCGCAAAGCTTTCCGGCTTATACTTCGGCGACCGCTGAAGCAAGAATACCTCCCTAACGCAGTCAAGCTGCGAAATGAGATGTAGAAACTGCAAACTGACATCGTCTGTAAAGACCTTTTGTAGGGGAAGTGGCTTTAAGCTATTCTCTTTCGCCATCATTGCCCAAAATTTCTTTTGCTCACCCACGTTAAGCAGAGTAATTCGCTTCAACGAATGTAGATCTATAGCCTTTCCTAATACCGAAGCTTTGATTGGGATAAGATGGATACTGAGAGAGTGGAGTCCGATGCCTCTTGTATCACGTACATACGTATTCGCGTTACTAAGAAGTGTATCCTTTTCTTTCGTGATTACATCGGTTGGGACTGCGTTGTCGTGAGGTGCCTCTTCTACGTTACGATCGGTACCCTCCGAGTGCTCTCGTTCTTTATCAGGGCGGTTATCGCCTGTGGCAATAACACCTGTATGTATCCCCTTATAAAGCTTGTTAGTATGTTCCCTTCGTTCGCTCCCTATATCTTCCATGCCACTCGTATTGAGCTCTGGGGTGGTGCTGTTCAGTTCTATTGAATTAGGGGTAAATATGCTCACTTCTGTTGGGTTGTATGGTCCATTTTGCGAGCATATATCGGTTGAAGTTATTTCAATAATCCGCTGAAACTCGGTTGTCAATTGCTCTTCAGGTATTTCGATGTCGATATCATCCGGATTCGCCTCGTATGACGAATCCTTTGGTATTGATGAATGCGGCTTTCGCTCAAAAGTAAGTGGCTCATACTCATCTGACTTTTCCATGTCGGGCCCTAGTTCATGAGTTCTGGGCAATGAGTGTAGCCTATCATCGGTGGGCAGGTCTTTGGACGAAGTTTTAGGCCTTGATTTGGATTCCTCCGAATTCACATATGTCCTCGCCGCTTTCGCAATTGCGTCTAAAGCATCCTGTTGCTCAATAGACGTAAATCCGCTCGTACCGTTGACATGCGCTACCATGCGCTCAAAAACTCTGTTAACATTTTCTATGAAATGTTGCCCGTGGTCTGTAACCGGTTGTTCTTCAGAATCCCCCTTCTTCGTCTCTTCCTTTTTGTCTTCTTTCTTGTCTTCGATGGACAAGCGAGAGATTTTAGTGCGAGGTGACTCTATCTCAAATATACGGCCTAGCACCAGTTCCTGGATTCTACGTTCTTCTTGTGCTTGAAACGCCTTTGCGGGTCCATTATCATCGTAAGTAGCAGACAGGGATATGGGCATGACCTGAAATTCGTCGTCTTCGGATTCATCGAGTTCTACGTCCGTGCAAGGTTTCCTTGCTTGCATAGCAAGACTATCCGAAAAAGACAGTTTCATCTTTCGTAGGGTCGATGAAGAATTACGCACACAAACTTGAATCTCCTTTACCACATCAAGGCTGTCCATATCAAGGACGCTCAAGCTTTCAAGATTTTTAAAGCCTTCAATAGTCGGCGGCTCCTTAGTGATCGACGATTTCTTTGGGGGCTTATTCTTCAAAGAGGATTTGAGGCTTGGAAAAGACATTGGGACTGGAGGGGGTCCATAAGCCGTTGCCGGATCGAAGAGCGTACTGGTCGAGTTGGCCCATTGCGTGACCGGAGTAGTTACAGCATCATACTCAGATTGCTGTACATTAGAGTTTGGAAGGGGTGGCGGGATCTGATATATGGAGGTGCCAGCCTGTAGGCGCAAGTGAAGATGTCTCAGCGACTTGATGTTATGCAGCGCTTTATAGACCTGTCTGCTAAGCTCAACTCTAATGTTCCATCGAAAAGTATCAAGCGATTCAGCCTTCCGTAGGGTGAGGAGCAACAAGGTGTTCATAAACTTTCCACAGCTTACCGAAGCGAGGTAAGGCTTATAGGCAAGCTCAGCTCTATCGCCAATACTAAGCGTATCGAGGGAGAGCTCCCTTAGGTGCTTCGCATAGTTGTATTCGCTTGCGACAAAGGTTTCTAGGCCACCGGCGAGGCCATCAATAGGGGAATCGAAATATGGGTCATCCTCGTCGGGAAAGACGATGTGGAAGTTACGATATAGTTGGGCGGCGGCAAGGTCGCGGAAACGCTTACAGACTAGCGAAAGGCAAATCCAATCGGATTGGAAGCACTGATAGTAAAACTGTTAGCGACGAGAGCTTCATGGGTAAAGGGGATGTTGTGGTTATCCGCGACTATAGATTAAAACATACTTGACTACATATTTCCTTCAATATCTCATCTGGTAAAGCCAGAATATGGGATGTCTTGGGAGCTACTTCTGAAGTAGAAATATCGGTGCTGAGTGCCATGATGGCTACTTCGTGAGTTGACTCGCTATATTTTGACTGTATTATTTTGTTTTTGGACTGGGATAATACTTCATCTACCTAGTGTAAATGACAGGTAGAAAAGCGTCTCGATTCGCCAACGTCCCGGTGTCGGTATTAAGCCCTACTCAACTTCTGCCGACTCAACAATATGCTAGAGGGCCAAATTGGTTGCTATACTGACTCCTGAGGCACAATAACCGAACGACCTCAAGAACTCATAAAACCATCTAATAAAAGTTCTTCAGATTTAACAGTTGTAATCCGGAATAAGCGATTGTCTAAAAGTTATTCTAGGTATGTAATATGCGAACTTGAGGGCCTTTGAAGCGCGGGTATGCGAAGGGAAGATAGAGGGGCAAAGACAATATGTACCTAGGTACCTAATATAATGCAAAGGATGTGGAGAATTGGGTGCACGTGTGTGTCAATGTGCACCATCAGAAGGAAGGTATGACAGGCCGAGCAGGGTGCCACCAATCATTTACTGAATTATTCTGATGAGGATGGCTTATTGATATCAGTGTTTTCTAGTCATCCGCTGGTCACAGTAGATCATTACTGTGCAATGCATACCATCCGATCCTACATCTGGTATTGGAAGGAGTTGAACATCGAAACTCATAAATCGTATAGGTAGCTGGAAAGAAGGTACCTAATACGGAGTGTACCCAGCTTCAACTTTTGATCTTGATAAGTAACTGCCAACTAGTATAGAATAGGATTAGCCTTGTGACATTAAGCTGGCTGTTTCGTTTTAGGTTCCGGAGGTCTGTGTTAGTGTGGTAAGGGTTGTGTGCATATTTAGCAACGAGGGGGGCCCGAAGGATCGTCGCTCCCCGCTCGCAGGGCTGTGTTTAGCTTTTAGTTTCGCTGTTTTGCTGCTGTAGTGCTGTTAGAGGTACCTAAGGTACTGCGCCCCGATTATCATCAATTAAACCTTTTAAAGTTCTACCAACCAGCCAGGCTGCCAGGTCTCTTCCCAAGGTGGTATCATGACTTTCGCTATGTAAGATATTCTTGTGCGGATTTTATTTATCCTTTTTTTCTACTTTCTTTTTCTACCTAGTTGAAACTCTTACCATCTCTTATAATCATCTTATTTATGTTCAATCTTTTGTGCTAGCTGAGATCTGTATTACCCTTTCATTTGACATTGATACATCTTGCTTGCTGGCTTGGTTGATTGTGTATCCCGTCCTGACGCAAACTTCCTGTTTAAATTGACCATATAAGAACCATTGGAGAATAATATATACGATATATACTAGCTGCTATCAATATGGCCGACGTCGAAGAAGCCAAGTTTAATACTCTTGCGGATCGGATTGCAGCTTTGAACGGTCAAAAGAACTTCACTGCTCCCTCACCTTCTGCGAAGCGACCTCCTCCCCCACCACCTCCGGGTGCCAACAGGTCCCCGAATCCGAATCCGAATCCGAATGGGAATGGGAATGGGAATGGCATCACCCGCTCGCAAACTACGCAAAGCCCTAACTTACCTCCGCGACCGCAAAAACAAAGCCTACCTCCTAGTCTGCCACGACGAGCAAATACGACAGAAGCGGCAGCGGCAGCGGCGGAAATTCTTGCCCTGTCTAGGCGCGATGCGCCACCACCACTTCCGAATCGCACCTCTACGCAGCCGTCACCAGCCCTTCCTACTCGTAGACCTTCTGCGCAACCATTGAATAGCAGAAGAGGCTCCAACTCCTCCGAGATATCCCATGTCTCAACCATATCGAACTTATCATTAAATCCCATTTCCTCTCGTACTAGTACCACCTCAACAGAAACACAGCCTGCGCGACGTGTTCTCGCTCCGACACTAGACCAAGCCAAGCTACCACCTCTCCCGCCATCGAGAAAAGAAAGAGAGGCACAAGCAGCCAAAGCAGCCGCAGAGAGAGAAACAACCGAAGTTATCAAAGCGCCACTTCTATCAACCCGTTCTGCCCCAGTGGTACCTCAAGCGGGTTCGCGACCTGGTTTAGCACCCAGATTACCGTCTAGGCCCACCAATTCACAAGTTGATGAAAATCCCTCGATAGCACCGCGTCGTCTTCCACCCCCACCCGCAGCATTTGTGCGTCCAACGACATTCGAATCCTCCCGAAAGCCCAGCGCGCCTGGCCCAAGACCCAGCAGCGACGCCCCGCCGCCAGTTCCACTAAGCTCGCGACCGACATTTTCTCAAATTGAATCAGTTGCCGTACGTACGAGCACTGACTGCCTACTCTGCCGAGATTTCTCAGCTCCGGATAGCGTAGCCGCGCAATATCCCGCCCACTCGCTTCCTAGGCATGACCCAATTGGCTATCTAGCAAACGTCCTGTGCGGTCCATTCTCATCAGCTACTGACAAAGCGAGGGCTATCTTCACGTGGTGTCATCATAATATCGCTTATAACGTAGAGGAATTCTTCGGGAAATGTATCAAGGGTAGGAGCGTAGACGAAACCATCTTTTATGGTAAGGCCGTTTGTCAGGGCTATGCGGAAGTTTACCAAGCCATTGCCCAACGCGCCGGGTTGCAATGCATTGTTGTAGTTGGCCATGGAAAGGGCTATGGTTATAAACCTCTCGCTAAAGGCGAGCGCCCTCCTCCTAAAGATGCCACGGGCCGTAAGTGTTTCCCTTATGAGACTGTCACCTCAAGGCCTCGATACACAAGATTCTGAGCAACATAACTGACGGTTGGTTATATAGATGCTTGGAATGCCGTCTGTATAGACAACGGAGAATGGAAACTCCTCGATGCATGCTGGGGCGCAGGCTCTGTTGGTGAGGGGAAGTATACTAAGCATTTCACGCCTTATATGTTTACCCTGAGTAACGACCTCTTCGGGCTTTCGCATTACCCTTCAGATGACCGATATTTCTTCCGAAATGATGGCCGCGTTCCTTCATGGGAAGAGTATTACATCGGGCCGCTGAATGGCGAGCCGGCTCAGGTTTTCGGCAATTTGAGCGAGGAAGGCATCTCCAAATTCAACTTCAGCCCCATGGAAAAGCACATCCCCGTCTACAGTGGCGAGGTGGTGCGGTTCCAATTTTCCAAGATTTGCGAGCATTGGGACCCCATGCGGCATGGCAAGGGTAAGAGTTATCTACTCTTGATGAAGATTCAAGGATTAGACGGTAGGAAGGAAGATCTAGTACCGTTAGAAACGGACGGGTTCTGGTGGTGGGTAGATATCCCGGCAAGGGATTTGGGTGCTCCGGGCCAGACTATCTTCTTATACGCGTTGACGGCGCTCAACCAAAAGGACGCGAGAGGCGTTACGAAAGAAGAGTATTACAGGACGAAAACCAGCGGTTGCTATAGCATGAATTGGGCGGTTTTTCTGAAATGGGAACTAGTATAGTCATAGACCATAGGCATTTGGCCGGATTTGGTTGAGATGTAACAACGACGCTAAAGAGCGGCAACTATACCCAGCAATAATACAAAGATTGTTAGATTAGCCACTCTAATAACCGCTAGTATATTTGGCTGTTTCATTATATATAATCTTCTCTAATGAACGGCAGTAGGTACCAAGTATATTCAAGAATCACCCGCAATCCCCCGAACCAAGATTAAATCGAGTCCGGCGGACATTACATAGGAAATTGAGTCAATGTTGTTATTATTCTTTGTTTCTAATCCTGCTAAAACACAGGTATCAAGAAGCACGATGAGTTAAGACAGGTATTTGAGTTATATTGCTATAATTAGAATTAACATCCCGAAATCGATGAAAATTCTGAGGTTACTTTCTATATTATGTCGTGAAACCAAATACAAACACATTATACATTATAATAAACAACATTATCTGCAGCTGTAAACCACCTTACATTACCTAATGAGGTAGGTTAGGTACCTAAAATACGTAGGCCGGTAACTTGGGGGCCGTCCCGGTCCACTTTGGGGTTCATACAGTGGGGTCCACACGGAGAAGAAGCGGCGTCTATTTACCGCATATCGGATTTCCGTTAGAGAGGGTACCTGTAATCTTAGGTCTAGGTACGCTTGCTAATGTAACCATAAAAAGAACAGAGCAAATATTTTAAGCGTCTTATGTGATACAAATCATAGGAAATATTAAGCGAAGTACCTAAACGTTAAAAATGGAATATTAGAATTTATTCACAAATTATGAAAAAAGCCGAACTCGGCTCACTACCTAAGTAGGTAAGAGCACAGCAAAAGCTCGGAGATCCGTTGGTCGTTCAATGATTTTCGTTTCTTGGCATATTAAAATCTCACAAGCTTTGAAGATAAGCTCCCTTCCATCCACAAAGCACCAGGTATTGTGCTTCAATTTTCCAACCCCCAAGGATTATACGCCTTCTTATGGCTTATTGCATCCAATTAAGCCCTCCATAACCAGAATCTGCTATGGGAATAACACGTCTAAGTTACCGGAGCATATTGTTCCTTTGGGGACTTGCTTTCGCATCCGGTGTCGCAGCTAGCCTCGGCTCCGAGAACGCGTCGCGTGCCTCGCTGAGCTTAGACGGGTTGGAAGAAAAGCTCCAGGTTGGGTTTTCCTCTACAAGCTACAGTTCAACATCATGCTGACGAAACACTTTAGACCTGCTCAGTTGTGCAAGAGCTCAATGCCGAGAAGCTCGCAGGAGCTTCCGAAACCTCGACCTTAAGCTCCCAGATATTCGCCGTCTTGTTCCCGGGTAGCCCCGCCGTGAATGCACTCTTAGCAACCCTTTACATCTCAGGCCCGCCCAACTTCCTATTGGCACTATGTCCGCCAAATATCGATCCCTCGTCGCTGTCGGTAATGGTGGCTTTTGCTGTGGGAGGTCTGCTAGGAGATACACTTTTCCATTTACTACCTGAGATCTTCCTCGGGGAAGATAGTCCTGAGCATGTTCGGTTTGTTCTTGTCGAGCCTAACCGTAACCTCTTATTGGGTGTTGCTATCATGGTTGGCTTCATGACTTTCGTAGCGATGGACAAGGGATTGCGAATAGCCACGGGCGGGGAAGGACATGAGCATAACCACGGAAGCCATTCCCATGATTCGCCAGCACAAGACAAGGCCATTTCATCCTCTGTGGATGTCTCGAATGCAGAACTTACAAAGCGGAAGAAAAGTAATAAGAAGGATGAAAAGGCCAAACAGGAAAGCGAAAAAGATATCAACCCTAGCGTTAGGCTAGGTGGCTATCTCAACTTGATGTAAGTTTTGACCTAGCCGGACCGATGCCCTCCAAATTACTCATTGCATATAGTGCCGATTTCACACATAATATTACCGACGGTCTAGCAATGTCAGCATCATTCTACGCTTCGCCTACAATTGGCGCTACTACGACGGTAGCCGTATTTTTCCATGAAATTCCTCACGAAGGTGGGTAATTCTCATTCCGGAATATCTTACTCGTAACGAATGTTGACCTCTTTGATCTAGTTGGTGACTTTGCTCTGCTCGTACAATCCGGGTTCTCAAAACGTGCTGCGATGGGCGCACAATTCGTCACGGCCTTGGGGGCTCTCCTAGGAACGCTGATCGGCATTGCGGTTCAGGAATTCGGTGGTAGCAGCGCGGATGGTAATGGTATTCGCATGACTGAGGGCATCTGGGGAACTAGCCTGACATATGGTGACCTGCTGCTGCCTTTCACCGCCGGAACGTTCCTTTATGTGGGTACAGTCGCGGTAATTCCAGAGTTGCTGGAAACTGGTTCCAATAAAGCCCTGGAGCTCCGGAAGATGATTGTGCAGTTCGCCGCCATCGCGTTAGGCGCCGGTATCATGCTTTATATCTCATGGGACTAATCTTGGATTTTAACGGCATATAGACCACGTAAAGAATAGAATAAGATCCGGAAGTTGAGTGTATAAATCGACAGATTTATAGAACACATCCGCTTACTATGAGCATCGTAAGTGAGAAAGGGAAAGATTACTATACTATGGCTCATGTTCGTCGGTAAAAGGGAGCCCGATTCATCATGTTTAAGGAGTGTAGCACTCGCTTTCTCGGTTCCTTTTACAATAGCTGTTACCAATTACCTTACCTAATAAATCCAAGCGCTACCAACTTCACGAAACGAAAGGAATCCATCGTCAGACATTTCTTGTGGTTTACGGTAACCCGTTGCAAGCCGTCGTCGCGCGGTGGAGTCGGGAGGCATATTATTAGTAAAAGAATCCACCCGGGATGTCGACAAGATCTAGCATTGCAACCTGTTCCTGCATCTGTGAGTAGCATTTTGACATGTGCGCAAGTAGTTCTGCGCTTCGAGATTTTCCGTCGTTTGCTTTATCAGATCATTCCCACGTTGTTCCACGAACATCCGGAAGATCGAGAGATCAGAGAGAGTGTGTGAGTGTGTGAGTGTGTTTCATCGGCGTGGATAGGTAGGTATGTACCTATTGCCCGAGGCGAAGGAGTAATTATCCGCCCTGAGATCGACAAAAAAAAAACCTATATACCGGGCAGAGAGCTTTGACATGGACGGGGAAAGTAGGTATACATAGTACAGGGCTGGGCTGATTGATAAAGGGCAACCGACTTCGGAGACGGCATTACTTATTAAGTTCATGTTATGTATAAACTTTAAAGGCAGGGATAACAAACATAACTAATGCATGCCATAAATGGTAGTTCTATCTTCGTGCTGCTTAATAATCGTTGGTTAACAAACTTTTACAAATAGCAATACGATCCTCGAATCACGCCTTTATTTACTACCAACGACATCATATATACAAGTATTGCATCATGTGTTTTATTTTACGCCGTCCGAGGGAAAGCGATCCCATCCAAGGCGCAACTGATCAAGGGTAGGTATAGCAAGTTAAAAAAAAAAAAAAAGCAACAGGTACTCCTTTCATTCTCAACGGAACACACCTATGCACAGGTTAAATTTAAGAGGTATATACCTACATCTACCTAACCTAAGTATCAAGAAAATCATGCTTCATTCATGACTCTTCGATCTTAGATAAGTCGACAAGTATAGCTGTCCCGATTTAGTAATTGACACGTCCCAGGGCTCAATGCGATAGGTCGAGGGCCTCGCTTCAACTCAACTTACAACATGTCAAATTTCTAAGCTTGTCGAAGGGCGCGTGTACAATAATAATGGGCCTAAACCTAGGTGGGTATCACTATTATATCCTATTATATCCAGGTCTCAGCCCTCCGAAGCTGAAGCGGTCAGAAATTCATGGCCAAGGGTTTAGGACTTGGAAGTAGTAGCGGAGGTCGTCCCCGGGAGAGGCGTCAATCCCCGGGGGGGGAGCGTCAACGACTATGACTCCTCCGCGCAAGGGGTCGTCACAATTCCCGGGTCTCATCCATATGCAAATGCCGAGAACGGTTCCTCTACGAGCCGCATGGCACCAAAGGAGGTAGACCTCTCTAAGTACCTAAGTAGGCCACTTGTAAAAGCTACTTGTAGGCCACATGTAGGTCACAAGTACGGCAAGCTTCTACGCTTGTACTAGTGCTCGAGCCCATGCCAATGCCCACTATTAGGAGTATGATAGCGTGCTCGAAGGGCGCAAACTCTCGAGGAGTCGAACGCCATCTTTGCTCCACTCAGCTGATACCCTCCTTTGGAGGTAAAGCTTCGAGGTCGTCAAGCGTACGACCCATGAGAATTTTTAGAAGGATGAATATACCCAATACCATTCCGTCCCGGTCGACCCCCCCTCAGACTTCAGACCCCAGACCCAAATGAAAGCGAACAGAATGCAAGCCAAGTTGACAGATTAATTGCGCTCTTGCAATGGCGCGATAACCCCTGCCTTGGGCAGATCCGCTCCCTTGTCAGGCCACCAGGGTGTCTCCATCCAGCGAAAGACATGAAGGGCGGAACGATCTAACACCCTCTACGTCAGAACGGAGGAGCTCTCTAATACGCATTCAAGTGTTTCTCTATATTTAATTTCTATTTTTCGATCTGAAGATGACTCAAGAACCACCATTGAGCTTAAAGCTAAGCAATATTTTGCATTCCTTGCTTGTTTGGTACACGACTATCTATATAAGTCATTTGGTTTCCATCACAGCCTTCTATAACTTTGGGTCTTGTTAGTATTAATATCACAACGTCGTACCGTCATCACCAATACAACCTATAATTGACTCTTCGAATACTACAGTTCAACGGCGACTCACAAACAATCTTATTGTTATTATCACTCTGCTGCCTAGTTTAACAATACCTTTGCACACAAGGCAAGGCTCGCAATAAACCATTATATTTATGTCCGTTTGATTTTCTATAAAGAAGCCTTTTGAACCATTCTTATAAGGACTAGCCAGACCCAGGACAAGCACCTTTTATATCACGAAAGTATAAATTTAGTATCGTGGACTCTCACCCTTCTAAGGACGAAGGCCAACTTCAAAATGGCATCTGCCTCATCTGCGGAACATAGCAGGATGCTAGGCGGATACGCTTCGAAGTCCAACATAGGTATTCATATCAAGAACCATTATCGCTCTCGAGTTTACACTACCGGCTCGGAAGTTTCAGGGGAAGTTATTATCACACCTCAAACTAGTACACGATTCGACATACTCCAGATAGTCCTGCTTGGGACCAGTAAAACTTGTACTGATGCGGTTAATATCCCCCAAACGACAGCTCATACTTTCTTAAAACTCGCAATGCCCATCCCGGAATCCTCATATCCGATCCCCCGCGTATTTGAGGCAGGCTTGACATACACGATACCCTTTACCTTCGTCATTCCCAGCACACTCACGCTCAATGCCTGCAGCCATCACGTTGCCAACAACTCTGTTCAGGAGCATCACACACGATTGCCGCCTACTATGGGTTCCTGGGAGAAGGACGACTTTGCGCCGCAAATGAGCCGTGTCCAGTACGCAATCAAGGCACGAGTGTACACGGACGACGGAACGGACGGATCGAACACGAAAATTATGGAAGCTACGGAGGAAATCAAAGTTTTGCCCACAACACCGGAAGACGCTCCATTGAGTATTACCAAGCAGGACGATTTATATGTGATGTCCAAGAGTAAGACACTGCGGAGGAGTATAATATCGCCTAAAACTGGAAAATTAACTATCACGGCTGCACAACCTAGTGCAGCGATGTTGATCCCTGACGGGAAGACTATTACTTCAACTATAGTGCCCCTTCACCTGGAATTCGAACCAATCCCCATCGATACCCGACCGCCAAGGGTAACTGGCATAACATCTAAGGTCACGGCAGTCACGTATTTTAGTGCTGGCGGCATGAGCCACTACCCTAACCTCAAAAACGGGTATCGATCATTTGGTTCTGATAGTCGCGGCTCGTATTCGAACACAGTATCTATTACCACAGGTCCTTTCGGAGAAGTTAAATGGAGTCACCATCTTAGAGCACAAAGCCGACGAAGCTCTGGATATGGAAGCGATAGCCCCTCGTCTGATACGGATCTCCCTTCTACACCCACCTCTAAAAAGGCGACGAGCAATCTCTCATCTCCGATCTTCCACTCAGCCCAACTACAAGTCCCGATCCAGCTGCCGGTGCAGAAGAGAACGTTCGTGCCTACTTTCCACTCGTGCATAACGTCGCGCGTCTATGTCCTGTGGTTAACGATCACTGTTGGTTCCGGCGGGAACAGCGCAAATCTGACGCTAGGCGTGCCTCTGCAGATAGGTGTCAGCGGTGCAAACTTACACCCAGCTGACGCCGCACTTCCACCAAGTTTTGAAGAAACGGAAGAAGCGGATATAGAAGAGTACCTACGTCCACGCGTCATGAGGATCCCTACTGTCGATTTCCACCATAACGAAGCTCCACCAGGTTATGCAGATATGCATTACAATGGACAAAGGACGGTGGCCGCACACTGAAAGCCATCGCTCGATAGCATTGATCAATTTATTCATTGATTATTTCGCTTTTCGCTCGAAGCAAATATTATACCTATGGGACCGAGCATTACAATTGTCGCGTAGCGATTTACTAGGAGCGGATGGTTTGGCAAACATGGCGTTTGGGATCCAGGGGGTTCAGGGGCTAATGAAATTGGAACGACAAAATTCGGTACGGGAAAAAAAGACTACGGCAGGGTTGGTATTCAACATCTATTTACGGATCTAAGATATTTTCAACTATTCATATTGAGTAATGATACTGTTTATATTTTATTAGTCTATACATGAATGTTACAGTGATCTACATACCATTCTTATCCGCACACTCCACTACAACCTCACCAAAACACACCAACTTAACAAGACGATTATAAGACCAAATTAAATCGTAAAAACATGAAACCGATTAGAATATAGAATTGCATGTTTATATTTAGTAATTTTAGTTTATCACGTTGTTTCAGATTGTTTTGTAAATTCAACACAATGCACCTAACCTACTCTCCACCAAAAGATTATATATTTGTTAGAGAAGATGCTTTCCTCAACATATGCTTAATCTTGTGGAATAAACATTACTTTAATTGGATACATATTACTACTTCTATATAAGACGTGCAAAGCCGTATATAAAATGGTAAGTTTCAAACTTTTACGATTTATTCTGATATCGTAATCACTTTGTAAAGTTGGTATGTTTTGATGAGGCTATAGTGGGATATGCGAATAAGACTGGGAGCTTATTGTACATCATCATTTTGTCTCCGGTAACAGGAACGTCGACATGAAAAAATTTTGTGCAGCAGCAACCCCTGCACCCTACGCCCTACGTGTCTTGACATTACAGACGACGGAGACTGTCAGCTATCTCGATGTCATTTAGCTTGGCACTTTGATATCCCCATCATATCTCCGGGCAGGCTACTAGCAATCCTATCTCCACCACGGCCCCATATACGAGCCACGGGATGTTGGAGTTCTTTACTCCATGGAGATACGATGACCGAAGTCGGCAGGTACACTCTAGTCAACTCCTATACAAGTTAGAATAACTAAGGGAGTTAGGTAAGACTCTTTCTTCGTCGGAACTAGTGACATCTTGCTTCTATACACTATACCCACTTACACTACCTTACCTTAGAGTGTTATTACAGATATGATCGTATAATAGAAACGCAAATACCTAAGCCTCCACGCTTAAACATACTATATAGAGTTAGAAAGGGCTGGGGGGTAATAGCCGCTTGATAGTGGGAGAAAACGCCTTACGGGGCACTCCTTGGACACGGTAGTGGTAAGCTGCCTGACGATAACTGTATAAAGGAGATCGATTGGAAGCCGAAAAAGCCAAGCGCTGATATCAGGAATAATCAAGAAATGACTATCGGTATATGACCATGATGTTATTTGTAGTCTTAGCTTCATAAGAGGTCCCTAATTTGTTGTTTCCGACGTAAATTCTTCAAGTACCATGGTCAGACTGACTGATGTACGAGCGTGTAGTGTCCAGAAACTTCTCTGGGATGACATGAAAAAAGGGGGCTAGGTAAAGCTGAAGGAAGCACATAGTGCTGCGTTCATGGACATTGCTCTTAAGACAACACATCAATATTATCTCTTATGATTAGATGCCTATGCGATGTTTAAGTCACTGTCGAAATTAAACCCGAAGATACAGCAACCAAGAGCTTACAGTCTAGTGACGAGCTATTCTTCGAGTCAAAAAGCCCGCTGATCCCTAATAACAAGGTACCAGGTAAGTATAACAACTTAGGAGTGGACTCTGACCAATTTTTCCGTGCCTGATCGTGAGCAAGCTCATGATATAAGAAGCGAAACGGAAACATATTTCTTGGTACATACCTCAATATTGGACTTGCTGTACTGGATCTTAAGTAACACTAGGTAGCTAAATTCATAGTAGGATGTTTACAGTTATCATGTCGCACTTCAAATATCACAGGTGATTCAAGGTTTGAACACAAATATATCATAATGCAATATCTGTCTTTGGTATTGATTCACAGTAGATTATTGTACTACTCTATATACCTAGGTAGGCATGTATATACGTATCTCAAAGGCAATATCTATCCTCAGTTCAGAATGCTATCGCTCAGCTCGACGCCGTAGGAATGCCCGGGACACGTAGGAGTATGTACAATCAACGTCTAGTCCCTAAGCACCGCTAAGAATACGCCCTATAATTCCGAATGTAGGTCTAAAGGCACCCGCTCTATCTTCTGTTAGTATCTTTTTTGGGATTTACCTACGTAGTATATTCTTTCTGTAGCAGCTTAGCGATTGTGTTAAGTCTGATTTCCAAGGTTAGTATTGCGCTTACATCGTAAATGCAAGGTAGAAAACGGAGAACGTTGACTTACTGGATGTTGCTGGTTCCCTCGTAGATAGCACCGATCTTGCTATCCCTCCAGTACTTCTCGGCAAGGCCCTCCCGGACGAAACCCATGCCGCCCATCCACTCAACAGCCAGACCGCTCACGCGCCCCGCGACTTGAGAGGCGTACAACTTCGCCATGGCCGCGTCGCGCACAAAGTCCTCGCCAGCCTCCTTCTTCCGCGCGGCGTTGTATACGAGGGCGCGCGCGGCCGCGATCTCGGTGTACGACTGGGCGATCTGGTGCTGCATGCCCTGGAACTCGCCGACCAGCCTGCCGAACTGCTTGCGGTCGTTCCACACGTACTTGACGGCGTTCTCCCACGCGCCCAGCGCCAGCCCCGTCATCTGCGCGGCGATGCCGATGCGGCCCTCGTTCAGCAGGCCGATGGCGTACTTGTAGCCCTGACCCTTCTCGCCCAGCAGGTTCTCCTTGGGGACCTCGACGTCGTCCAAGTTGATGGCGCACGTGCTGCTCGCCTTGATGCCCAGCTTCTTCTCCTTCTTGGCGATGGAGAAGCCCTTGGCGTCCTTCTCGACGATGAACGCCGTGATGCCCCGATGCGCCTTGCTCGGGTCCAGGTTCGCGAACACGATGAAGAAGTTGGCCTCCATCGAGTTCGTGATCCACATCTTGCTGCCCGAGATGCGGTACCCGTCCGCGGTCTCCGTCGCCCGGGTGGCGAGCGCGAAGGCGTCGGACCCCGACACGGGCTCGCTCAGACAGAAGCTGCCGACGGTGTTGGTGGCTAGCGCCGGGAGGAAGCGCTTCTTGATGTTGTTGCTGCCCCACTTGAGAATGGCCGTGTTGACCAGCGTGTTGTGGACGTCGACCATAACGCTGACGCTCGGGTCGACACGTGCCAACTCCTCGATACCTACGATCGCGGCGGTGAAGTTCATGCCGGCGCCGCCGAACTCCTCGGGGATTTCAATGCCCATCAGCCCTTGCTCGAAGAGCTGCTCGACCAGCTCGGGATCCATGTTCTCGGCCTCGTCCATGTCGCGGACCTTCGGCAATATTACCTCGTTAGCGAACTTTGAGACCATCTCCTGCATCGCCGCCTCAGTCTCGGACAGGTGCGTTATGGGTGTTGGCGGGATGTCTGTAATGTCTACCATCCGGCGGGCCGTGGCGGAGAGGGGCCGTATTATTCTGCAAACCAAAATATATTAATATAATTGACTCGTAGCGAACAAGAAATATTGATTGAAGAAACTTACTGCCGCGCATCGAACTTCGGCATCGATCTGCTGCAGCATCGCGGCGACAAGGAGGCCCTGGGAGTTACACCAGAACCCCGCCGTAAAGCCGGCCGAAGTAATCTTGCGATCGACGACATGGTGGGAGGCGGCAGCTCGTACGCAGTTCGCAGCACGATGAATACGGTGTAACAAGTTCAGGAGTACAAATTACGGGAGGGGATGTTTTGAAGGGAGTTCAAACGATTGTATTGTATTGTATGTGTTTAACGTAGGTAGGTAAATAGATAAGAAAATAAAATAATACAGAAAAAAGACGAAGAAGAGTCCCCCTTCCTTCTACTGCTCATATTTCCACCTTCCCCGGATTCGACCACTGCTGAGCGGGTGCCTTCTGCCGAGGGTAGCCACGGCTGACGTCGATTAGCTGGAAGCGTTGTGTACCGATGTACAAGACGTTAGGTAGCGAATTAGCGAATCAAACATGAGAAATGCAACCGTCCGGGTGGTGTTACCCGCCCACGGTTTAGTGAACATAGCGCTTCAGACATGTGAATCTAGATCTAGGTACGTACCCCACCTTATGTAATCCCATCCACATAGAAGCTAGGACCACACCCATCCATATGGGAGACCAGGGAGCTAAAACAACTCGCCAGGCCGATGTCACCTGACAATGAATTTTCCAAAACCGCTCCCATCAACTGAGAGAAGCTTCTCTTGGCGGCAGCCGAATCGTTGTATTTGATCAACTGTTGGAGTTAGACAACCGCGGCCGACTTGGACTTACACCCCTATATATCCCCAACATGGCCGCGCCGATATTCAGAACCCTCTGGCCGTCGCTAGTGAGACGGCCCGCTGCGATACCGACGGCCTTTCCCAAATTACCAACCGTGCGGTCGTTCTCCTCGACGCCGTCCGCAAATGCGACCTTGAACCAAGTTTTGCGAGTACGTTTTTGATCCGGCTTCCTCCTCTGTTTTTAGAATCAATTAAATGCTCTTTTTTTCTTTTTTTTTGTCTCTCGTCTGTCCGGATTGGTGGTGACTGACCGGGAGAAACCCAAAAAATAAACAGGGTTGCCGGAAGCCCCAGCGCGCACGCCACGCCGTCTCCCCAGCTCTATCCGACACGCACTGCCCGCAGCAGAAAGGCGTCTGTCTCAAAGTCGGTATCACGCGGCCCAAAAAGCCCAACTCTGGCGAGCGAAAAACCGCCCGTGTGCGTCTGTCCAGCGGCCGTATGATCACGGCCTACATCCCCGGCGAGGGCCACAACATCCAGCAGCACTCCGTCGTCTTGGTCCGAGGCGGCCGAAGTCAGGATTGTCCCGGTGTGCGCTATCATTTGGTTCGGGGAGCTTTAGATTTGGTAAGCTAGCAAGCATATGAGATCTGAGATCTGATTTTAAGCTGGTTTACTTCTGCTAACCTTTTTTTCAACCTCCAGGCCGGTGTCTCTAATCGCAAGTCCAGCCGAAGTAAATATGGAACGAAGAAGCCGAAGAAGGCGTCTGTCGGCTCGTAGAGAAATATATAGAAACCCTTATACAATGGCACATGGGATATGATATGGGCTTTAAGATCCTGATCTACCAGGATTCATGATAGGGTTACTCCATTCGGGGGTGGTCTGTAACTTCTATACGATATGGCGTCAAAACAACTGCAACGTTTCCATTCCATATGGTGAACCCATAAACATGTATCTACAATGAAGAACCCGAGATATATCGGTACGATAATGAATCCGTGGACGCCACCCTGTTGCTCAGGTCAATACCCCCCCATTGAACCGTACTGGCGATGTTGTAATAAACCGTCCTTAGAGATAGAAAATATAGGTATTTACAATCACCTGCGAATTTTCTTTCGTCCTAGTTTCCTTTTCCTTATTCCTGTTGCTCCGTATAGCCCTGCGGCTTTTCAAGCCCGTTAACCTCAAAGTATCTTGATGTACCTGAACAAATATTAGTTAAACCTTATATCACGAATGTATGAATGCATTCAGTAATACGCACAAGAGTAACCCTTCCAGTCGAAGTTGTCCTTAGGGTTGCAGTGGCAGCGAAGATCTAATCGTGTCTTTTCTCCAGTGGGACAGTGGGTGAAAGGGACGTGATAATAGGCGATGTCGTTAAAGAAGTGGATTTCTTCCTTCTTTAATAAAAGGCCGGCAGCGATGGAATGAACAGGTGCATCGCCCCATCGTTCGTAGAAGAACCCGCCATCCTGATCAAGCGACTCGAAGAAGTCGATGTATGCCTTAGAACGCAGCCAATCTAAGTTGCCAACTTCAAAATTAGACCACTGTAATGTAAGTTAGTAATTGTCGATACACAAGTTAATTTAACATGTTACTTACGAAGTGGCATTTGTTGTATTTGTCGCCACCATCATCACTTAGGAAACCCATTGAGTTGCCCTCTGCGATGTGCTCCGGGTGATTCTTCATGAACTTCTTTACACTGTCCCAAAGAGTAGGGATAGTCTCTTCGTATTCGTACAGACTAAGCACGAAGCTGTACTTCTTCTTGTTCTCGGCCATGAAACGGAAAGGATCGTAATGAATGTCGCAGAAAAGTTCGACGCTGGGTTCGACACGCCAGTACCATTCGTAGTTCATCATAAGCGGTTGGCGGAAGAAGAAACCTGACTCGAAACGACACATGTGTCGGTAGCTCACGGAATCACCATAAATAATCTTTCGCTGCGCCATGTCTTCACGAACTTTCCGAGCCTTATCTTGGTCGATGAAATCGGGGAAAGACCAGTGCTCGCGAGGAATTTCGCCATAGTACGTCTTTCCAGATACGAGGGAAGTTGTAACTTTCTTGAAAGTGGCGTCAAAAGGCTTATCGTTGAGGAAAACCCAGTCGTAGTTGTATCGGCGGTTGAAGCGATCTTCGACTTGACGGATAGAGCGAGCGATCTCCCACACATCGCTGTTGCGAGCAAGGGAGACGAAGGTAGCATTCATGCGAGGACCTGGGGCAGTTCCCAAAAGATCATTCCATCCGGGATCCGATGGCGTTAATGCCATTGGTGCTTCGGCAAGATCTTCATATTGCTTCGGGGAACCTGCGCCGGGTTTCGACGGTGAACTCTTTGTAGATCCAGGTGAGCTGTTGATTTGACTATCTGGCTTGTTTCCACCACTAGATGCTCCACCGACATCGTTAGAAGACTTATCCGGCTTCGTCGACGATGAGCCTGGGCTGGCTCCGAATGTCGAGGGTTTTAATTGCACTCCCTCGTATGAAGAATGGGATACGAAGTAAAGAACTGCGACAAACTGTATAATAAGTTGTCGTTAGTGACATGGACTCGATTTTATTTACTCGAGAACAATCCACCTTGATTTTGGAATTACTTACAAAAGAGGCGAGGAGAATGTATCTCACTATGCGCGCGCTGCCGGCGGCCATGATGAGGGATGTAAGGGTGACGGATTGTTCAGCGTCACAATGGAGCAATGAGTTGGTAGAAGACAAAGTATATTCTTGAGGGTTGGAATGTTTCGCCAGCCGGGAGGGAGGCGGGGACTTCCAAAGGGGAAAACTCTCTTCGCCCGTGTTAGGGTAGATGTTGTCACAAGAAACAAAGAAAGGCTATTTAAGTCATCACCGAAAAGCCCAAATGCGACTTGTTTAAATTCGCATAGTTGAGCTACGTTATTTTAGATTTAAGGAGGGGTGAGGAATTCGTAGGGGAGTGGGAACTAAAGGAGGGAAAAAAAGAAGAAGAAAAAAAAAGATGATAGAGGTGAACAAGTGAGATAGAGTGGAATAGGTAAAAGCTGAATGTGAATACGAAGTTCGTTGCACCAAGTACCTAACCTACCTTCCGTAGAGAACCTAATGGGATAGGGGTATGGTACACAATTGTATATACAATTTAACAAGTCAGAGGAAGTACTTTACAGGGTGTAAGGGATTTGGGGGATTTAATTCGAGATAAAAAAAAACGGAGGCGATGATTAGAATTTGTCTGATAAATGGATCGACGACGCGTGGAAGGTCCATCTCCTAGCAGTGCTTGCAGTGTAACGGTGGGCTCCTCCCGTACTCAGTTTTACGGCAGTACGGCAGGTACGGGTAACTATCATTAGGCTACCTGAGCTGCTTTAGCTGCTTTAGCTGCTTAGCTGGCGAGCCCTCTCCGTATTGGGGAGTGTTAAGGTCTTGGCATTTCCGTATTCCGTCCCCCGGGTCCCGTTATTGAAGCCTTTTTGAGCACTTACCTATTATACATAAGGCAGGTAGTTATTAGATGTCCTTTGCGTCTTATATCTAGGTTAGGTACGAAGTAGGTACCTAGTCAATTCACCTATTTTGAAAGGAAATGTTTAACAACTTGGGTAGTCGGCCAGGTTTGCTTAAAGTAACTTGGTTTCGATGCGGTTTTCCGCAGTCATGTCGCTTGGCTACCTAGTACCTCTTTGTCTAGGTCTTGTATTTAGGTATACATGGGACGCATTGGATGGATATCCAGGTCCTACATGCTACCTACCTCCTGTGTATACCTTGATACTAACTTATACCTAATTGTATGAGAAAGAGACATTCGACGTGTGACTGTGTGCTGTTATCTCTACAACCCAAATCGTTCTTCTGTCCTCTTCCATAGCTTTGACTTGTGATGTAAGTTTGAGTGAAGCGGACGAAACCAGCTAGCCAACATGCAGGTCCCAACTTTGCAAACCTTGGTTATTTCTTGATTAATATGTACTTCAATGTTGGATACATAAAGATGCCTTGTACCTAGATGCATCTAGGTACTTACTTAAGGTAGATGTATGTAGGTTCGGTACCTAGGTAGGTACCTATTCCCTGCTATAATATCACGTGAATCGGAGCGCGTTAACTTGTAGCCTTCCTCAAAAGACCACGCAATTTGATTGGAGCATCTTACCTAATTCCGTAGGGCCTTAAGCTGGTTAGGTTAGGTAGGGGTAGGCTCTGCTCTTTCAATTCCACCAAAAAATCGCTTTGCGAAATGTTGCTTGCCCATTCGGCACGTAGATACGTCAACACATCTTGATAGAAGTTGACGGCGTTCTCTTCGAACAGCCTTACGTACCTACTCTGCGCCCTTCTCTCGCCAGGAATATCTTATATGTACTTGGTGTTTCCTTGAGCGATTACTATTTTTCTTGCTCAACTTTTTTTTTCTTCGATATTTTTTATCCCAGTTTTGCCCGCTTTCCATCTCTTTCGCCCCTCACTCTCCGAGCTGTTTTCACACCCGCATCATGATCCAGCAAGACTATTTGCTCCTCGTCTACCAGGTTTTCCAGCTCTCTTAGTTGTAAGTTTTTTTTTATTGATCTACACAACCTACCACATAATCTCCTCCATCTCCATCTCCTCCATCTCCTCTACCAGCAGAACACTATACTGTCGTACTATGCCTATCGCTCCTAAAGACCTTTGAGCCTCCTACTCAAGAAGCAATGCCTAATATTCCCAATACCTTCCCCAATCACTTCATTTATCTTCCGCCATCTTTCTCATCAAAATTTGTAGAAAATAATCTCGGAAGTTAGCAAACAAAGCACTTATTTGTATTTTTTATTTTTTATTTTCATCTTTTTTGTGACGTTTTCTAAATTCGACATCACCCCTCCATATCTTAACCACATCCCACTTTGGCAGCCTACTTACCCACCTTCAATAGTTGCGACAAAAAGTTTCGCAACCATTATAAAGCTTGCAACCGTCGCCATGTCCTTACACGCGAATTCGTCGCGCCATGACACGGCAGCTCCCGGTTTCGGTCAATCTTACGACCCATTCGCCGATCTTTCACGGAGCGCGGATGACATCGATGAAGCCCTCGACTTTGAGGATACATACGATGGTTTAGGCGATGCCTTAGATGAGACAGATGATGCTTTCAACGATGATACATTTGGTGGAGACTCCGGTGGAGTGTCGCATGCGCCAGTTGGCAAGGATTTCGACTTCTTTGGACAGACTGCTAAAGTTGCGAACGCTATTGAGGAAGAACACCAGCGCTTCAGCCGCCAACAACCAGCTCCGAAATCAACCCAACCTTCTTCATCGCAGACATACGGGTCGGGATATGCCTATCAGCCAGCACCGAAACCCGCTAGAACTGGTTATGAGAAGTATAAATCCGAGCCAGTCTCAGACCTTCAAGTTGACGCTTCAATATGGGGAGTCCAGCCAAAGAAAGCAACCCCAGTAGCAGCACCAGCTCCACCACAGTCCGCAGCGCCACCGGCGGGCCGTAAGATGATGAGTCTAGAAGAGGTTGAAGCGGCGATGCGAGCCCAGGCAAAAGCTCCTACTCAACCCCAACAGCCTCAACAGCCTCAACCACAGCTTCAGGCTCCATCCCAACCCGGCCCTGAGCCTCAGGCAGCACTTCCTCCTGCTCATTACCCTCATCAGGAGCCCATCAACTATCAACAGCAGCAATTCGACAATCGCCAACCTCAGGGATTCTATGCCCCCGACAACCAGCAGCTTCCGCAAGGGGTTGTTCATGGACATCCTATAGCGATTCTGCAGCGACCAGCTTCCAAGAACATTCCATCTAATGGGCCCAATGTGCCAGTCTCTTTACCCCAGCAGCACCAACCTGCTCCCATGGGATTCCCAACGCAGATACTGCAAAATCCCAATCGTATGCCTGGAGAACCTACTAGAATGAACTTGCCGACACATCCAACTCACCGATCGCAGAATTCGTTTACTCGCCAACCTCAGGCTAGTGCTCCCCAAGGTCACCTTTCTCATTTATCCGAGCAGGAGAAGGCATCTTTCCTCGAAGCTGAGGCAAGACGAGCTAAGCGTAATCACAAAATTCACGTTTTATCAAAGGATAATGGTTTGATGACACCCCAGGACAAGAGTTTCATTACCCGAATCCAGCTTCAGCAACTCGTCTCGGCCACTGGTGACCCTAGTGAACACGGAACCGATGCTGCTCTCGCAGAAGATTTCTACTACCAGGTGCTCAGTTCCTTGCGAGCTGGACAGAGACCCAACCCGAATCAGCCACTGAACAATTTTGCCCAGACGTACCTCTTCCAGACTGGTACTCGTCATGGGGGCATGAGACGTCAAGGTCGAGGCCCCGAGAATCACATGCAGCGTATGGAGCAACAGGTACAGCGTGCAGTAGAGGCGGCCAAAAATAAACCTAAGAATAAACAATTGGTCATCGAGGGCAGTCTAGGAAAGATCTCGTTCAGCAACGCGAAGACGCCTAAACCTCTATTGAACATTAAGCGTACTGAAAGCAGTACTGACGCCACTCGACCTGGTAGCGGGCATCGCTCCCATCCAACCACCGGTACCGATAAGAAGGAGACGCTACAGAATATTGAGAAAGTCTATTTGACTCTAATGAAGATGGAGGATCTGGACCGCAACATGCCTCCCCCTCCGGCAAACGGCAATCCGGATCCAGACTTTGAGCGACGTGCCGAGTTGCAGCAACAGTTGCAACAACTAAATGAACAATTGTGGAACGAACTCAAAGTCCACGAGCCTATAGGCGCGACCTCGGTGCACCCTTTCATTGCCTTCTTGTCCTATCCTAAAGGCAAGAAAGCCATCGGCCGCGTATTCAACCATCTTACCCTTGAGCAGCAAACAACTATCCTGACAATCATCGTCATTCACCTCGATCAACTCGACGTGGTTCGTGGTGCGCAAGTGCAAACAGGAGAGCCAATTAATCTAAATGCCGCCACTCGCGAGAGTATTGAGCTATTCATTGTGGCAGTTATGCCAAGCCTGCTCCATCTCTTAGGCAAATCGGAGCTGCATATTGTCACTGGCGTCCTTGGACTTATAACCCAAAATCTCAATGTAGATCTTGTTGCTCGAACTCGGATTGGTGTCTCGATGTTGACCATGATCCTCAGTCGAGCAGAGCTGGCCAAGCAAGCTGGACAGGCAACTGAACAGTCCTGGCAACAATGGTAAGGATGACAATGATTATTTACATTACCATCAGCTAACTCTTTATTAGGGTTGCTACTTTTAATCAGTTTTTCAACGCATTGGAACCAACTCTTCCAAACATCTTCCCAGGCACTGTGGCATCTGGGGAGGACATTTATGTGTGGCAATTCCTTGCCGCCATTGGCATAGGGGCCAGCCCAGAGGAACAGCAACGCCTTGTCCTTGCTGTCAAAGACCGTGTCATGGATACTGTCAGCTTGTCCAAGACTCTTCCCCCCGACATGGCAAAGACTCGTTTGGACAATGTTAACCTATTTATGCGATCTATCGGTCTTGACGTCGAATTGTTAAACAACTAGACGGAGCCTTGCGGTGGCACTCTTGACCTACTGTATAGTATCGTACACATTCATCGTCGATTCGTTTGGTCGAAGAAGGCTTGGAAGGCGGGCACTGGATGTAATGATTCAACGGCGCCGTTCTATACTATACGGCTTTAATGGGGTGCGCAGAAGTCCTGAAGAAAGGCTTTCGACTTAGCACTCGCGATATATGGGTAACGAACGGTGGAATGTATCAAAGTTCGCACGAGTTCATGATACCCGGATTGGCTTAACGATGAGGTCTGGAGATGAGATGGACCAATTTTGTGAACAATGGTTACAGACTCCAACTGGCGGGATATGTTCATAGACATTTATATCATCATGGGGGCGGGAGAGGGGCATCTAATGCCTGAATTTTGCGCCATAGCGACAGTCAAGTTTCCGGGTCCTATCTAGGTATTCGCGACATGGTTATGCGTCGGTGCTAGTCCTACGAATGTGCATTATTGGGTCGTGTATTGCATGCAGTAATTCTGAGCTACTATCATAGCTATAAGAATACAAAGTGTGCCAAAAGAGCAGTTGTAAAACGCCGAGCAATGCAATATGAACTCGTTTTTTCCCTTCCACCTCTTCTCGTTGCAGATATATAAGCTAGCTTATTTATTAGTAGTAGTGATAGCTTCACCCTCTTATCCTCGGGCATCCTGGCGCTCTCCATGACATGCAATGCATAGGTACCCTAGCCTTAGGTAGGTACCTAGGTATCTGTATTTGCTGAAGGTCATTAATCGAACCGTCTTAATCAAGGTCCCTGGATTTTGATATCCTCGTCGACTGGGGACTTCAAGACTAACCTCATCATTCGCTACCGTCGAAGCCGCTACCATTACTCAAAAATTATAATTAAAACTAAAATTTTGCTTTCGAATCAAGAGCCGCGGATATGGGAAAGGAACTCTTCCTCGGTCCACTGGGCTTTGAACATCTCCTTGGACGCGTCGTCATTGCCATCGTCGTCGTTGTCGTGGCCGTCTGCCGTGATGGTCTCCTTCTTTTCCTTTCCTTTTCCCTTGCCCTTCTTGATGTCGGCGACGGATTTGGGGTTCGGCGCGCTCGGGTAGACGAGGTGGTTGGTGAACATGTGCCAGGCCTTGTCGCTGTCCTCGTCCTCGTATTTGAGGCGCGACCAGGGCTCGACCTGGACTTTGCGCAGGCGGTCGATCATGGTGTCGACCGTCAGGTCGCCGCCCTCCGTCGCCCCCGCGCTCTTGATCGACATGTGGATCGCCTTGGCGGCCCCGGCCCCGGCGCCCGTCGCGCTGCCGCTGCCGCTGGCGTCTTTGCTGGCGCTCCCCGCGGCCGCGCCGGGCCCCGCCATGCCCTCGCGTGGACGGCTCAGGCGTTCTTGCTCGGTGTACGCGTCGAGGTGGTGCAGTTGCGGCCGGAGGTGGATGAGGGATGATACGGGGGTAAGATGTAACTGGTCTGGAATATTGGATTTGTTGTTAGTTAGTTTAGGTTAGGTACCTCCTATCATGACCGTTTTACCTCTGTCGATATGCGTAGGAATATATATTTCCGACAAGGAATTAATGAATGAATAAATAGAGAGAGAGAGAAAGATGAAATTTCTAAGAAAACAAACATACCTCCTTTGAACACGCCCACCATCCATCGGCAATTCGTCTCCTTCTCGGTCGGGAACTGGCCGCCCAGGGTCTGCGTCCTAAGAACCTTATCCTGGCGCACGGCCTCGGTCCAATCGAGCATGCTCAGCTCCCTTTCGAGGTCGTCCGGGCGCTTCCCCGTTGCCCCTCCGGCAGCGCCGCCGCGACCGGCGCCTGCGCCTCTAGAGGGGACGCCGACGCCGAAGCCGCCGGAGAGGCCGTGGGAGCCGCCGTTCTTGGCGGCGGTGCTGCGGGCGAGGGCGCCGCCCCAGCGCAGGCCCTTCTCGCGGTCGTAGTCGGCGTGGCCGTAGCTGATGGGCACGTCGACCTCGACGAACCCGGACTTGTTCTTCACCCGCACCTCGCTGATCTGGCGGTACGGCGCCCGCACGGGGCCCTGCCGGTTCGGGTGCTGCAGCACCAGCAGCTTGCGGTTCTCGGGCAGCTGCGGGTTCGCGTAGACGTCGTAGCTCGCGATTATGGGGTCGGCGTCGGCGTCGGCGTCGGCTTCGGCTTCGTTCTTGGTGGTGTTGTTGTTATTGGTCTCGCTGTCGATTTCGATTGCGGCTTGGGGCTTCGAAGCCTCGGTGTCTATATCCATTTCTGACATGGTGGCTCGTATTATTTTATTATGAAAAAAAAAAAAGGATTGGTCGCAATTATAAAAGTCAAGCTTAGGTACTATGCAATTGTTAATTGTTAATTGTTAAATGACTTTTTTTGGCGGGGCAAAACGCTTATCGGTATGCAGTATGAGGTATGCGGTACCTATGCGGTATGCGTGGGCCTTATCTAGATCTTAGCTCGGCAGGGAAGCAGGGGTCTTATAAAGGGTCTCCATGATGTACCTAGGAGGTAACTTCAGATGCGTTTCCACATCTGTTCCTACCTACGGGTACTTAACTTCGTACATTGTAAACATTATTTGCCCATGAAATCTTCCACCACCGTTATTAAGCTACCTCACTCGATACCTTATTATAATTAATTTTTTCCAACTTATGTAGTGTGCTTTTTAGCCGGCAGCCTAGACAATTCTTAGTTATTCCATAACATCTCACTTTTATGACTGACAGGAGTCGGGCTTCCCGATTCTGATGCTAGGTAGAAGAAGAGGTCATTCCACCTAATCAATTACTAACCTACCTAATATAATAGAAATGTGTAAGCGTCTCAACTTTAGTACGATGAAATCCAACTCTGAAGTCTTATCTTTTTCTATCTTCTCCTATCTATGATGTGCTTTCGGGGTCAATATAAATGAGTACCAGGTAGGTAAGTACCTAAGCATGCTATTTCAGCTAGGATCTAGACCGATATTTCTCTTCTCGTAGTGTCCATCAGTTACAAGGTAATATAGCGTTTATTTACTATGAGATATAACTAACGGATAAGAAAACAACTTCGCTGTTCCCCGTAGAACTTTAACTTGCATAAGAGAATCCGCGGTTACTCATTGCACACTGGAGGTAGGTATTGTTCGCTTAGGTCCTCTCGTATAGAATTCCGCCTGGTTCGACACCTTCTATATCTGCCTACATAGGTAGTAGAGAAAATCTACGGGGGTTGAAAGTGATCGAGTTTCTTGGGCACGAATATTTCGACCAGTAATTTCCATGTTTCCTGTAAACTTCAGTGATGGGGGTATGACTTTGCTTCTCACGATAGTGGCGCTGATATAGCTCTGAGTGATACGGGCGATAATAATACCCCTTGCGGTCATAAATTTCCACGGCCTGCATATTGTATAAGAAGCAAAAGTCCATGGCAAGTCGCCATTGCGTGTGGCATTGGTGGTGGCTCAACCAATTGCCCAAATAGGAAATTTCCCCTTTCATTTTGTGGACTTGGTCGTGTCGATCCCTTTCAATTTGTCTTACGTCTCGAGTCTAGGTCTTATTGAAAGGGATTCATATTCAGATCTTGGAGTTTATTGATTGGATAAATTGATAATAACATCCAAGCTACATGGCTTGAAACTAGCCAAAGACGGGTGTAAGTCTTTCTCAAGAAGGGCCGTCAGTGCCGAGTATCTTTCAAAAATTGACCGCATGGCTGAAATGGCTCAGCCTGATAGCTCTATTTTCAAGGATCTACTTGAACGTAACTTCGATTGAGTTCCGTTTATTCTGACTCTTGCTTATTCCCCTGGATAAATCACTTCCCTAGATTCAACGAACCTAGGGGGTGAAGCATAATTCATGACTGATTCATGACTGTTCTCTAACGTGCTGCCTCGTAAAGTTACAACCTAAGAACTCACTGCATATTTACTACATGTGTATAGTCCACATTCAGTATGACCCATGCAGTACATTTCATATCAAGAACCTTACGGACATGCATGGCGTTTCGTACCTGACTGACTGGCTTGGAAGCACCAACATGAATGCAGAAACATGCATGAAACAATAACTACAAGGCTGAATCAAAGGCGATATTATAGATGCAGCCTCAAACTAGCGTGTAGGCTATTGAAACAAGATCTACACTTCGCAGTAGGTCAACCCCCTACTGCAAGGTCCGGAGATCCGAATTAACGGTAAACATGAAATTCTCGTGATGATAGTTGCTTATAAGAACTCGGTCGAGGACCAGTCTTCATGGCATAATTTCTCACCATCCACAGTCACATCATCATCTGCACTTCCTGCCTCATTCAAAGCACCATTCACTCGTTCACTTAACCCACCACTCGCTTTAAAAGACATCAAGATGCAGATCAAGGCATTCCTCCCTGTGGTTCTCGCCGCTGTGGCTACTGCCAGCCCGGTGGCCAACCCCAACTACAAGGCTTCTTCCCCGGAAGCCAAGTACCCAACCACCACCCAGAAGGCTCACTACCCTGCGTCGACCCCTGAGGCTCACTACCCTACGACAACCGAGAAGAAGGTCCAGTACTCGACTTCGTCCCCGGTAGCACAATATCCGACTACCACGAAGAAGGCGCAGTACCCTGCTTCTACACCGCAGGCCCAGTACCCAACCACCCTTGAGACTCATTATGCCACGACCACGAAGACCAAGGTCTTCTCCACCACCTCGACTCCCCAGCCTCCCGCAACTACCCAGAAGCACAAGGAGCACAAGCACGAAAAAGAGCCTAAGGGAAAGGAGCACAAGACGAAGAGCAAGGAGTCTCACAACGAGATGAAGACCAAGTCCACCAAGGAGCACCACGCCAAGCAGACCAAGAGGGGCGAGTACCCAGCCAAGTACCCATCGAGCACCCCGGTGTCTCCTTCGTACCCCAGCTCCAGCTCCAACTCCTATCCTCAGGGCGGTAATGGTGGGAACGGCAATGGTGGGAACGGCGGTGACGGTAACCAGGGAGGATCAGGCGGTCTCTCTCACATCTGCCCTCTCGGTAACACTGTAAGTAGTACTAACGCTCCCTCTTAGCATTTCTTCAAGTAAACAAGTTGCTAACTCATATATTAGCCTCTCTGCTGCCAAGTCGACATTGACGGCATCCTCGACCTTACCTGCGGAAGCCGTACGTTTTAGAACCCCCTATTTCTCTTTACTAGTATATGTAGCAATAGTACTGACTGACATCTCTCTAGCCGGTGTCGACCTCAACTCCCTCGACGAGTTCCGAAGCACCTGCGCAGCCACCGGCCTGACAGCCGAGTGCTGCGTTCTGCCTCTTGCCGGCGACGCTCTTCTCTGCACGACCGTCTAAGCATGGGAACTTCGAACCGCGAACTTCGCCTTGCTCTGACTTAACAACAACTTTGCACTTGCATTTTGGGGACGACTTTAGAAATGAACAACATCGGCTTGGGGATACTTTATAGACGTCGACGGGGCCAAAGTTGCTATCAAAACGTTTTGGCCCATATTTCGTTTTCGACACATCTTTTTTAACATTCTGTAACATTCTTTTGACGTCGGCGAATTGGTCGAGAAATATTTTGGGCAAGCATTTTGTCTACTACATACCTTTATTCTTAAACACCTTTTTTACGCTTCTTAACGAATTGAAGATAACATCGCTTTGACGCTCAATTACTTTACCTGTCTTCTTTTCCATGCTATAGTTGCGGAGATTTTGCATGAAAACCAAAATAGGGGCAAACCGCATCATGAGTTGAACTGCTTATATAACACTATTAATACAATTAATACTTCTACATTTCACGGTTACCAAATCTATAGATTTCTGCCAGTACCTAACTATGGACCTAGGAACCCGAGGCTAACCCCGAGAGAGAGAAGTATTTAACATGGGCAGGTGGTACTGACCCCGAGAAAGGGTGTTCAGATGCCGAGGGCTTGAGAAACTGTGCAAGATCGTCCAAGCTGACAAGCTGAACGAACAGCCACCTACGTCGAAGTGCATGATTCGAGACCTCATACAAGACCACCTACACATATTAAAATGTATGAACTGCTAGCCAATGATTGAGGTTAAGCTCGATATCTACTACGTGAACGTTGCGTTGTTTATCGAAGTCAGCCTCAGCGGGGTAGTCTTGTGCTATGGCGCAATGCTTTTCACAAATACTTGGGTATTCCCACGGATCATATAAACCTGCGTGCTCTCACCATTATCCGACACGTCTACGGTGTTGAGTCAAGAAGTCGACGCTTACTACCAGACGAAGACAACCCTTGTTCATCAGGAAGAAAGCAGTATACCTTATCATACATACCATGGATGTACTTAATCAGAACATGAGCTTTCCGGGGTGGCTCCTAGCGACTTTCGTGATAAGTTTCCTTATGGTTCGTATCTGACTCTCGAGAAAATGGCCCGGACTGAATGAATATAGTTCCTAGCAAATTCTATATATAACCTGTTCTTCCATCCCCTAGCCCATATCCCGGGCCCCTTTTTTGCCCGGATGAGCGGCATACCCTCGTGGTATCACGCCCATCAAGGTGACCGGTATATCTGGCTCGGGAAGCAGTTTCAGAAATACGGCGACAAGATCCGTGCGGAGCCAAACACGGTCCTCTTCAACACGCCGGAAGCGTATGAGGATATATACGCCCCGAAGTCCAACGTGCGGCGCAGCCGCTTCTACGAAGCATGGCAGCTCAACGGCTTCAAGCCCACGACACTTAGTACTACCGACGTCGCGGAGCACGCGCGGAAGCGCAAGCTCCTGAGCCATGCTTTTACGGAGAAGTCTGTGCGTGCCGCCTCGGATTTCGTTGTCCAGAATCTGGACCGATGGCACGAGCTTCTTATCGAGGACGCCAGCTGCGGCTGGTCGCCAGCGGTCGATATTTCGGAAAAGCTAGACGAACTGGCCTTTGACATCATGGGGGATCTTAGTTTCGGGAAGTCGTTCAACGTGAAGGAACCTGGCGATAACAACCCGTTCAAAAACATCCCCCACAATATTACCGATTACTCGAAACTGTATAATTCGGTGCCGCCCCCTCCCCCCCTCCCCCTTTTTTTTTCACTCCACTTCTAATAATATCATGTCTATTACTGACACTCAAGCGTTCCCAGGTCGCCCGCTCTCCCTGGCTGGACCAATTTCTTTGGTTGAAGCCTAGGGGCTTGGACTGGCTTTTAAGCGTATTGACGCCATCGTACGTCCGACAGTATCAACAATTTGTACACGACAGCGTTACCGAGAGAATTGCCCTGTATGAGAAACAAGTCGAAAAGCCGGAGTCCGAACGTCGGCGGGATATGTTTTACTATATGTGCGATGCCCGCGATCCCGACACTGGCCTCCCCGCATACGAGGAAGACGAGCTCCGAGGAGAAGCCAATCTGCTGATTATCGCCGGGTCCGACACTTCAGCCGCCAGCCTCTCTGGGATATTCTTTTATTTAACAGGCGACAGTAATCGGTATGAAAAACTCGTTCGAGAAATCCGTTCCGAGTTTCAGTCCGTGGACGATATAGTGTACGGACCTAGGCTCTTCTCGTTAGAATACCTCAGGGCGTGTATTGACGAGGGGATGCGCCTTACTCCGGCAGCTCCCGGTGATCTCCCAAGAGAAGTGCTGACAGGAGGGCTCAAGATCCAAGGTGAATATTATCCAAAGGGAACCGTGGTAGGTACGTCCAACTGGGTACTCTCCCACAAACAAGACGTTTATGGCGACCCTGATGCGTTTCGGCCTGAACGCTGGATCGTAGACGAGACCACGGGTGTAACAGAAGAGGATGTAATCAGAGCGCAGTCCTGCAGCCGCCCCTTCTCTCGCGGGCCAGGTAGATGTCTTGGACAAAACTTTGCGATAATGAAAATCACGATGATAGTTGCTCGGACCCTTTATAGGTTGGATGTTAGGAGAGAACCAAGCACTACCTTGGGGACAATGGAAGCATACGACAGGAATCACTTCCAGCTGTTCGACGGGTATATTTTATTTCGTCATGGGCCGAAGGTACAGTTCAGAAAGAGACAACTAGGAAATCATGCCTAGACCAAATTGTTGATCTGTCCACTTCAACAGTGGGAATCTATTAGAATTAAGACTGTTGTTGGAATTATGAGAGATACATCATGGTAGGGGCATTCAGTTCTGTCTTCGACACTCTTCCTGGATACGTCGCATGAAGAGGGTGGTATCGTTATAGTGTACGGCTGAGAGAATGAATTCATGTAATGAACTTTGCAATGAATAAAAAGTCGCTCCTAAGGACCATTTGATGAGCAACCAAAGCTAATTTTCGCCACCATTAATTAGGTACCTAAGTATTATATATGTTATTCCCTTGTCAACAAACTTGGACATCTCAAATACATCTGTTATCGTACCTCAGCAGAAATGTAAAAGGCCATTACAGAGAAATTAACTGCTGACATTCCGTCAATTTCAAAACTAAGAAAGACAGCGTATTAATTGTGTGCGACTTGGATATATTGTGGTAGCAGTGTCGTGGATAGCCCTTCATAATCCGCTAATCAATCCTCAGTGTTCTGGCAATAGTAGCCTCTAGTTTCATCAATGAGTGAAGACAGTGTCTCCCTTTTCCTCCTACATCATCCCTATTCATCTTCCCATTCTCCCCTTGTCCTCCTATTCCTCCACTCTAATCCCTGCTCCTTCTTTCCCTGATGCCAGTGCTTTGTCGACATCTCTCCGTCTGGTTGCTGCTTAATGAATATGTTGTTGTCTAGCTAGGAGTTTTGATTATGTATTGCTCCTTGAAAATCTAGATTATTCATAAAGTTAGAAGCAGGGAACTATAGTTAATGTCATCTGAAGTTTATTATGTACTCACTGTATGTAGATTGTTTTCTTTATTTGCAACCCAGAGTATAGCAGGAGAGATGTCTGCCGGTCATTTGTTTGCGTATATGCTCTTATGACAATAGTTAGAACCCGATGTGAGAGAAGGAATTCGTTAGGGGGGGTCATACCTTCGGATATTTTCCGTCTTGGAGCTAGATTTGATTATCGGCAAGCAGACAGCCATGCTCGAGGCTCATCAAGTCATATCAACTAGCAGCCATTGCAATCAAATCAATCAAGCATGGAGACCTGTATTCTTAATCCCATCAACTCAATTATCCCAAGAGTTTTCCTCCGTACATTAAATCACATTGCTATGCAAGATGCAGTGCCAGGGACACGCTTGACTGATAAGCAAGAGGTGAAGTCGCTGCACAGAAGAGCCATTTGCAGCCACGCAGGCGCTGGTGTTCTGTATAATGCTAGCTTGTGACAGGTACTTCCTCTGGTGATAATGGAGCTGATCTAAGGAAAAAGATTACCTATAGGAATGATGCTGTTGAGTGATGCAATAGCTGTAGTGTCAATAACAAGTGAGGCCTAGAGTCAGTGGCATAATCATAGCTTAATGAGGAGGGTTGTTAGGCGGGAGCGTCGATTGGAATTATAGATCATAAGGAAAACTTACCAGTACTTTTGAAGTCTGCTGATGTTATTCTAGTATCTTATTCTTGTAGCAAGGTCACCCTCCCAGTGAGATGCGAAGATTGAAGTCAACCACGTGGAAGTGAAGAAAAGTAATATGAATAATGTATCGCATAAGGGAGTAGTCAAGGTTGACCTTTAAAGTAATGATGATAGTGGAAGGGGAAAACAAGAAAGGATAGGTTGCAATAGGTATTGCATTGTATGTTTGTATGTATGTATGAACAATGTATCAATGATTGTAAATGATATTCAAGGTTGATATCAATTAAGAGTTATGATAATGGTGGTGGTGGTTGGTTGTGGTTGTGTTGGGATGATGAGAGGAGAGGAGGAAAGATTTGGACATTGGAGGGGGGATGGCCAGTCTTTTATAATAATTCTGGAGGGGGGATCAGGCTCGTAGAATCAGTAAAGGTAGGAACTTTCAAAAAAGAATTAAGCAAGAGCAACCAGGCAACCGAAAATAATTCTGGTTTCCAGGGAAGGTGCACTTACTTTTGGGTAAGTTCCTTCCTCGTTTCCTATGATACTGCGGAACTGCTGCATAAAGGAGGTAGGTACACCCACAACGTACTTTCCTAAATGTAAATCAAACTGCTTCTAATAGATACGTATATACCTGGGTACCTACCATATTGAATTGATTTACAGTCTCCTGCCATAAAATTTAGATCAGCCGGCACAGAATCAATTTGTATCTACATGGAAGCTGCAGGTTTAGGTTCACATATTTTTCTACATTTACTTTGGTACCTTCCCAACGCATTTTCTCTAATAAATCATTGGATCAAAATTAATACGTACCTAGGTATCTACCTAAGATATTTTTATTATGATTTTATTATTTGTTTTTAATAAATACCTAGGTGCCTCTGTACATAGCGAATTGCATTCAAATCAGATATCACATGCACTTGGCTCACCACACAGTAGGCACCTGCCATTCCAAAATCACTGCAAGCAGGTAGGTAACGCTTATCAAAGCTTCACCTTAGTCCATTGATTAAAATCACAAGGTACCATGTTATTCGTCCTGCGAATTAATTAACAATAGTAATGCACCTATCTACCCCTATATCTAAGATTGCGTAGCGAGTGAAGTCATGTACGAATGAGGACTCCATGTATTATCTCAGGCAGTTGCATTACACCAAAAATAATTCAATCCTTTCAGTTTGTCTGTAACTTCCTCTCAAGTCTGGCAAACACCTCACACAGCTGATAATCCATCACAGAAGCAACTTCTTCCATCCGAATTGGTGTAGTGGTTAACATTCGGGATTCTCATTCCTGAGCCCGGGGTTCGATTCCCCGTTTCGGAGTTCTTTTTTGAATTTATGTCGAATTTTGCACAAATAAGATCAGTCATAAAGCCATAGCAGATATCTGAGCATGTAAAAAAGCGTATTTTTTAAAGTGGTAAGTTCGAGATACTAACAGGTAGTTGAAATCATCTTGCAACGATGTTGTCTGATTACGTAATAATACACAGAGTTCGCTTACCTAATTTTTCCCTTTTCATATCCCGCTTCGACCTGCTTAACAACTATATGCTGCTCAATATATAAGTATTTTTTTACGCCTTGTCGTCCTTTCTTTCTTGGGGCTTGCCTGTTTATCATCCACGGCTTTTCTGGCTGTTCCGAATTCGGTGCTGGCTTTTTGTAGCAGTATCATCTTGACATACTTTGAAGGGAGAAAATAATCATAATGTCTTAGGTAGCCTCAATTTACGGTATTCATTTGCGTCAACAAGCTCTGAGCGCATTGTTTCCATGGAGTCGTCTCCAAATATAGTGGGAGATACTAGTCTCGAGGTAGTCAAGATGACCAGTCGTGTGTAATCCGGAGAAACACAAGAAAACGCAATCATCCGTCTAAGTTAACCCTTGCTGAGACAACTATTACCCCCATGTGGCGCTAGTTGATTGTGTCATAGAACAGCCTATCGCCGAGGGAGGTGGCCTTGATGAGCTTAGGGAGATACTCGGTCGCCGAGGGGCTGGGGATTGCATCTAGCTGAACTTCATGCATAAAAGCCTGTCCGCTGCTCAAGTTCACAAGTGAAAACCGGAATAGCATATTCTCTCCATTTGTGTCCAATTAAAAAGCAAACCACCACCGTAAAGATGAAGGAGATAGTAGACCCAACCATGTCGGAAACTCGACATAGGCCGAAAGTTCTCATAGTCGGCGCTGGGCTTGGCGGTCTGACCCTTGCTCAGATATTGCAAAAGAACGGTATAGCATTTGAGATCTTCGAGAGGGATGAGCACGATGTGTCCAGGCAACAGGGTTGGTCCCTCACAATACATACGTTCGTACCTGCATCCCAATCATTACGATGGCACAAGTTTCTAAGCCACTCACCCTATTATGCAGTGTTTTAGACGAGCTTCTCGAGGCTCTCCCAGACGATATGCCGAACCTCAAAGACACTGCTTATCACCTTAGCCCATTGGACTTGGAAACTCAAGTTATCTTCTATTTCCATAATGAACGTCTTGGGACGGAAAATTCCCCTTCTACTCCCACCATACGATACAACCGCCTACAGCTTCGGCATTGGCTAGCAACCGGCATTGATATCCAGTACGGCCGGGAAGCCAACAGAATCGAAAGGGTCGGTGACAAAATGGTAGTCTCTTTCACTAATGGTACCACTGCTGTTGGTGACATTTTGATCGGTGCCGACGGCACAAGAAGCATCGGTAAGTACTACGGTCTGTATCTGATAGGCATGGCGATAAATCAATTAATCCGCCCACAGTGAGAGAGCACGTGCTTGGGAAGCCTAATAGCGAAGTGCTTAGGAACATTCCGCTTAGTTCCATCACCGCGGAAACCACGCTAAGCGGAGAATCATTCGCACGTCAGCTAGAGATCGCGCATAGCATGGCTATCATACCAGTTACCAGCGGAGACGGCTGGAACAATTTGTTCACGGGTCTCATCAATGTATCGCCAGATGGCAAATCGGGGAAATTCTTCTGGGTCATCGGATGGCACGATCCTCTTGCCGAACATACCGGTCGCATAGCCGTCCACAGCATCCCCAGGGAGGAACGTCTCGAACTTGCGAAGAAGATGATAGCACACCTAGATCCCAAGTTCAGACGCATAATCGAAGAAACTCCTCCGGAAGACATTCGCGACGTCGGATGGGTCCCAACGGACTGCCACCTCGACGAGATACCTCATGGAAGGGCGATTCTCCTTGGGGACGCTGTACACTCGATGTTGCCGTTCAAAGCGGAAGGGGGCATACACGCGATACGCGATGCTCTTCTCCTCGGTAAACTGATAACAGAGTTGGATGCTTCGGACGACGCCGCCCTTGACCGTTTACTCACAACATTCTATGGGGACATGATACCTCGTGGGGCTGAAGCCGTCGAACAGTCCAAATACTTTCAGCACAACTTCAGGAAGGATAAGACGAATATTAGAGCTTGGGGGCATCCAGTTAGGAGCTTACCAGATGAAAAAATCGAACTTGGACCTGGGGGGGTTTGCAAGGTAACCAAAGGACCTTGCAAACTACGCTTAGTTCCGAGCTTATAAACAGAACCATTCCTTTTCCATATGAAGAGCAAGTACTAAATATCAAGTACTTATCTACAATGAGAAGCTCAGAAATTTAATATTGGTATTGGTATGATTAGATAGAATGAAAAAAAAAATAACAATAACAATAGAGCCAATTTACAAAAGCAGACGTAGTGGTGGTAAAAAATGATGATGGTATCATGAAAGGGGTAAGGGATAAATGGTCAGGACATTTTCACTAGCTAAAAGCATAAGTGCCTGTCTAAAGTTAACAAGATTCCAAGGTCGCATTTTCAAGGGCTAGCAAAGGCGATAAAGTATTTCGAATTGTCATGTCTAACAGCGTTTTAAAAGTCTAGAGAAACTAAATCGTAAATCCTGGGTATGTGTGCATTTTCCCTCCACCAAAAATCATTAGACATTACCCGCGTATACTCCACAAAAAGAAAAAAAACATCGCGCGCTCGGGTATATATATAATCCTATCCCTTCCACTTTCTATCCATCTTTTACTCGCTCTCTGTCTTCGTAGGCTCGATGGGGATACCACGTATCTCCTCGCTCGTGGCGTCGTCGTCCTGCGCCTCGCTTTTGCGGCCTTGCTCGAGGGCCCTCTCAGCTTTCAGCTGCTTCTCCGTGTCGCCGTGCTTCTTGCCGCGCTCGCGGATCTTGTCGAACGCCTCCCGCGTCAGCTCCTGGCGGAACATGCGCTCGACGACGTCCTTCTTGCGCGTGCGCCGGCCCCCGAGGCTGATCAGCACCCCCGCCGTGATGTTCACCGTGATCGAGCAGCTGAGGATCGTCGCCGTCAGCGCCATCGGCCGCACGTTGTAGTCAATGCCGTACGTCGTCGCGCCCAGCGCGATCTGCAGGCACGAGTGCACGTCGAGCAGCGTCACTATGGCCACCAGCCAGTTCAGGGGGAACGCGTAGTGCGTCTTGGTCTCGTGCGGTTTGTAGAAGGTGTGCGATTTGGCGAATTTTGTCTGGTGGTACACGAGTCGCGCTTCCTGCTGCGGCGTCAGCACCGATAACTCGTCGCGCGCCGCCTCGAGGTCCGAGTTCGTCGGTAAGTCGTTCTTGTCGCGTAGCTTTCCCATGCGCTTCTTCCTACGGAGCTTCCACGTCAAGCGATGGTAGTGGGCTATGTAGGCCATGTGATAAGTGTCGACAGCGCGAAAAGGTGCTAGACCGTCGCCGACGATTCCGAAGAGAGCGACCAAGACGTAGTCGATAATATTGATGGCGTAAACCTGCTCCTCCCCAACATAGATCCAACCAATCAAGAACAGTACCCAAGCCAGGCCGAAAAGAGTGATGAGCGTCGCATATAACGTCACCAGAAAGCCGAGAGGTTTCCTGACGTACTGTCCAAAGGCCTTCATGCTGCGCTTAAACTTGGAACGTCGTGAATGCAACATGTGTCGCACATAATCATTGAGCTCATCCTTTTCCTCATCAGTCCACCCATCTAATAATACGCCGTCGGGAAGAACCGCATGTTCGAAGTTAACTCTCTCCTCATCCTCCTCCGCAGCCCTTTCTTCTTTTATAGTTCCATTTTCGGGTGCTATAGAAAGCTGGTAGGTTGGCCGCCGGTTGATAAATCTACCAAGGGAAGGAACAAAAAGAGAGTTCTGTATGTTTGTCACGTTGTTGAACGTAGATACTTCGGGATCTGATCGAGTGGTCAGCTTTAGCCTTCAACATCTTATATCCCCCCTTTTTTTTCTTGTACAAAAAAAAAAAAAAAAAGAAAGAAAAAAGAAAGAAAAAGAAAGGAACTCACCTATCACATCGAGTATATCGGCAACGTTTTCGTCAAGTTCAGTCCGTCCTCTTGGCGTATGAAAGAGAGCTGTACTAGTCGGCCTTACAATTTCAGCGATAGGCGGCATACGCGAACCATTCGTTCCCCTACGAGGTCGTATCACCGCCAAACCCGGCCGTTGGCGACCCTCGCCCGTGGGGTCTGAACTCGAACGACGTCGCCCACTTTGCTGGTATTCATGCTGCTGGTGGGACGACAATGACTCCGGAGATGTTATCACTGTCGTTGATCGATCCAAGTCGGGGAATTGAACCTGAGGCTCATTAGACATTATAGTCTTTTGGGGACGGTCATAACGCGCCAAGGAAAGTTTCGTATGCGAAAACCAGTCGTGACTCGGGGCATCTTTAGAATATAAAAAGATGTTTTGGCAAGGAGCTATAGGGCCCTAGGTACCTAGGTTAAGTACCTAATACACGTCTCTATAGCAATGACATCATACATCGCGGTTAGGTTCCCAGGATTAAAACTTGGCTGCAACCTCCGGAACCTGCAGCTTTACGTAGCTTATCGGCCTTATCTGGTTAACCTACATACCTACATAGTATAACCCCTTTGCCCCATTCCCTCTTTTCTAGAATGATGAGATATAACTGTATGACTATTAATAATCTTAAAAGCAAGTTTTGTAATCTGTACTACAATTGTGAACTACCTTTAATAAGTGGCTTTTGTTCAATTCATTCATAAAATGAGAGGCTATTGAAATTTAGTCCCGAATTTGGGATTGAAGTCCTCGTGCGATGAAATACTCCCACCTTAATACCTACACAAACGCCATACCCCCCTGAAACCGGATTTCCCCCTCCAAGCTATTCCTCTAACTTCACTGGTGCTTCTATGACGATCTACGCTAACACCAAAACCCAATGACGAGAGTAGTGAAGTCGGGCATTCTCAATGAGGCAGTCTAAAGCATATCAAAAAGCATTTAGATAAGACATTCTCTGCAAAATGATGCTTACGCGGAGTATCTAATACGTACCCAGAGAAGGCAGATTTGAAGTACCTAGCCCGACTGAAAAACACGATATCAACTTGACATTTTCTGATGGGCAATTCAGAGCCACGGATCGTCTATCGCATTCGTTCTTCCCGTCCATCGAGCCAGCTAGTGCAGTTCACACACCGAATCGCCTAATTAGACCGGTCAGACCCATCGGTTGCTTATAAGTTAACCTAGAATTAACACACCTTTGAGCTAACCCGCTTTTTGCAGTATCGACATTTGACGTTATGCTTGATGATAGGATCGTGCGATATGCATTGATAAAGACTTGCTAGCCCGTACAGGGCTAGGCCGACACCTAGGAAATTGATAAATCGGTTTAAAAATAAACTAGGTATCGATGAAGTTAATTAGAGGGGATCTGCATTCGAAGATGAAGGTACCTATGCATACCCATAAGCCAGAATGACGGCCCCGTCATTTTGCGCCTGTTCTAAGGTATTGTAGCCATCTTGGTCGTTATAGTTGGGTCCTGGCCTCAGCACCGCAAACTTCTCGCCCATGTTTCTTCGTAACGGGAGAATGATGGAGAGCGGAGGAAGAAGTATATCGCTCACGAGCGAGGTGGTGACGGCCGTGAAAGCCGTTGCTAAGCTATAAGACGAGGGTCAGCGGCCCGTAGCCCTAGACTCTAAACTGTCTTCACTGACATCAAACCAAATGCAATTTCGAGAATATTGCCCGAGAAAGCGAAGTCAACAAAGTCAGAAAAAACACGCCGTGCTTTTTCCTCGCCTTCCCGAAGCAAGGTTCGTCGCTCCTCGTCCGGCGGCTCAGGGCCATTTTCGTTAAATTCCCACGGTCGAGGCATTTTCAAGGATGCTAAAGTGTAATTGGCGTATAGGGATTCGAGGAGATAGGTCGTGGAGATAGGTCGTATGCGTATGCTGTCTTCCAAAGGTTGCTTTACCTTGGAAGGATGGCGGGGGGGGAGATGAGGTCGATCTTATAGGATTGGAACTGCAGATTCCCGGTGGCACAGCGTCGTTTCAAGTGAACCCGACATTGCTCAACTCGGATGCGCTTTCGGTATCTATAAATCTCACGAACTCAAACCCTCCCCATAAAACGAAGGCTGGGAAAGAGCTCTGAGGATCCATCGTTGATAGTGCAATGCACTAAGTGATGCTAGATGAGCTTTCCATTGGGAGCCAACATTTGCCTAGCTTGGGACAGCGTCACATGCGCCCCATTTCCTCACATCATTGGCCCAAGCCCGTTGACTTGACCAGAAACAACAAGTGTATCGTAGGATAATAAGTGATCAACCTGTAGCAAGTTATGTTACTAGACAATCTTACGGAGTTGCTTGAAATATCTAAGTTGGGTACTTATTCACCTATTCAATTTCATGTTTCTCTCTCCAAGATAAAACCCCCCAATTTAAGATGAGTGGTAGTTTTAGGTCATTGGGGTTTTATTTATAGAAATGAGATTCTCGCTTTGAATGTTATGGTGTTGATCGTACATGCAGTATCTCGACTATCTCGACTCTCTCAAAAGTTCAACAGACACACTACCTCATATAACCAAGCCATCTACCGGATCTATCTACGCTCTCCACTCCGTATACCCGCTGTGGGCCACTGTTAACTTAATGTGCCGCAGAATCCATCGCTTAATGCGGCCTTCTTCGATATTCAACCGCTCAAAATATGCCAATCGACGGATAAGTACCTACCTTAGGTACCTAACCTGAAGTTCAAGTATAAAATGAGCAGACTAAAGAAAGTCATACTTATAAAAAGAGGTCCCTAATAGCATCAGCAGTAGTGGCAGTGACGGCTTACATTGGCTGCTACAACACCCATACCCCACTGTATTTCACATGTGTCAGACACCTAGATCGAACTTTTACAAGGTCCCTGGAAGTCTGGATCCGGGCTTTACCTCGGTGAGGCTTCCCGATGCAGAAACATCATTGGGCAAGTTCCTATTCGAAGGAATACGATCCCGTCACCAATATAAACAACACCTAGAACGCCCCTACCCTTAGGTACCTTATGTATCCGTTTTTGTAATAAGCCTTGTCTTAACCAATCAATAATAATATCGTTTATATGATCTTTCTTGCTTACGTAGCTCCCGGCTCTTTCGTCATGTATACAAAAACTATTCTCACTTCACCTCATAACAACATACACCTTAGAAACTATCACCGTTGACTAGCATACGATAGACGTGACGTAACTATAAGAAAATTTCATCTTGTTATATCCCATAAATCCTAATTACTCTTCATCTCCACTCGTCATCCCAAAATGGGAGATATCAACATCGTCGAGGGCACCTTCGAGGTCGACGGCGTAAGCTTGCACACCAAGTCCTGGCTTGTAAGTACATACCTTACCTATATATACACACTAGGTCCTTGCATATACATACCTGTTATATGCGCAGTTGTTTATAAACTAACACACACACTCCCTCACTCTTTCAGCCCTCCGGCCCCCCAAAAGCAAAACTCGTCGTCGTCCACGGCTTCAGCGACCACATCGACCGCTACTACGACCTGTTCCCGAGCCTCGCGCGGCGGGGCATCGCGGTCCTAGGCTTCGACCAGCGCGGCTGGGGGAGGAGCGTGCGCCGGCCCTCGGACCGCGGACGCTCGGGGCCCACGGCCACCGTGCTCGCGGATCTCGCGGCTTTCATCCGGGAGAGGGCGTTCGCGTCCTCTTCCGCAGATCGTAACGACAGTGATAATGATGACGTCCCCGTATTCCTCCTCGGCCACTCCATGGGCGGCGGCGAAGTCCTCGCCCTGGCCAGCACCCCGGCGTACGACGACATCGTGGCCAGGATCCGCGGCTGGATCCTCGAGGCCCCCTTCCTGGGCTTCGCCCCCGCCGTCCAGCCGCGGCGGCTGACGGTCCTGTCGGGGCGGCTGGCCGCGCGCGTGGCGCCGCACTTCCCGCTCGTGCGGCCGGTGCCGCCGGAGCACCTGTGCCGGGACCCGGCAGTGCAGGCGAGCCTGGCGGCGGACCCGCTGCTGCACTACACGGGCACGCTGGAGGGGCTGGCGGGGATGATCGACCGCGCGGAGGGGCTGGCGTCGGGAAAGCTGCGGCTCCGGCCGGGCGTGCGCGCCGTGTTCCTGGCGCACGGGACGGCGGACATGGTGACGAGCTACGAGCGCGTGCGGGAGTGGTGGGAGAGCCAGGGGCGGAAGGTCGAGGACGCCAAGTTCAAGTCGTACGAGGGGTGGGCGCACCAGCTGCACGCCGACCCCGGGAAGGAGGAGTTTTATCAAGACGTGGGGGATTGGATACTGCAGAGAGCGGGTGGTGGTGGTGGTGATGATGGTGGTGATGGTGGGAGGAGACCGGAGGCTAAATTGTGATGAACGAAGTAGGTAGGCACCTCCTAAGAAAGAAAAAAAAAAGGTGGGAAGATGTGGGAAAATAGGGGTTGGGGATTCGTGACGATGTCCAATTACAGGCCGTCGTGGTAGTCTGGTGTTACGTTGCACGATAAAAGGGGTATGCATCAAGTACCTAAGGTTAGGTACCTATTAAAACAAGGAGAATCGATCTTTAAGAAATGGGCGTATGGGCGCACTGGATTCTCTCATTCCCTAGAATATAAGTATAGATAGGTACCTAGGTAGGTACCTTACCTAAATTTATTCATCTATAGAAACTGAGTGTTGCCGGTAAATCAATTTCTCTACCTCCTAGACATGTAGGAGGTACCTATCGATCATGCCGTTGAGCTTTACTCACCGCGCCTGGCTTCGGTCAAGGAAAAATAGACATCAAGGAATATTGGCAGTAATATCACCACAGATATCAACAGAGTCATATATGAGACAGTCGAGAGCTCATATTAAATACACGCAAGCTCAAATCTAAGCATCTGCTTCTTCATTATACTTCTTTTCTTGCCTCCTTTCCACAATGCTAAAGACCATGTTCCCAGGGGCTAAACAGTCACCGTCCCCTTGGTGTGACAAAGACCAGCTGTAAGTAGCAATGATCCCAGACGTGACACAATACTCACAACCTCCTCATATTAAACCATCTATTGGATTCCACAAATGTACCATTACGAAAATCGGGACTCTACACATGCCTAATCACCGCGTACATCGCTCCTCCGGCGGACGCCATTCCAGTCCAAGCCTCTCAAAAACCCGCTTCTCCGCCGTAAGCATATCGGGCGCTGGGCCACTTGCATCGCTCTCGAGGTCTACCCAGGTTCCGTCTGTTCGACTCCGCGCGCCGCTGCTATCGAACTTGAGAGTCTTCACGTGCTTACAGTATCTCCGTAAATCTCGCTGAAAAGTCGTGCCGCCCGTCCAGCCGATCACGGCACAACCGGCCGTCTTCCAGGGGCTGATGATTATGTCGACTCTCCGATGGGGGTTCGGGTTTCTCGACGATACGGCCTTGTCCCAGTGGGGATCCTGCCAGACGACTAGGGCCTTATCCAAGGTATCGAAGCCAGAGCCCGCTTTACGGTCCTGCCCCTTCCATGCAACTGGTGTCTGCCCGCGCTCGCTATTCTTGGTACTCAGGATCAGCGTGTGAGTTATATACTTGTCTTTCTCGAGGCTCTTAACGATATCGAAGACAAAGTTAAAGGTGGCGGCGGGGTCTGGGTGGCTAAGGACAACGTCAACATCTCCGTTCTCCTTTTTTCCTCTTCTGTATCCCCCGACAATGACCATCTGGAAACCCTTACGAACGTTGTTGGCGTGATTCAGTATAACCTGTCCTATTTCTTCAACCTCACGACGAGGTAATTTATCCTGTAGCTCGTCGTAGTATTTGACACCAATCTGCTGAACTCGGCTTAGACTATTCCATCCGTGTTCAATTATGTCGTCGAGATCTCGCCATCCTTTCTTATAAAAGTCGCGAGCGGTAGTGTCTGCAACGCCCCATATGTTGTAGAATAGCTGAAGCACGGACATTTTCGGGTCCTTTTTCGCATCTTCAACCTCTTCCAGGTAACCATTCGCTTTCCATTGCTGATAAAGTGTGGCAATCTTGTCGCTGCATCCTGGGAGCCTCTCTACTTCTATAATATAAGTAAGATACATATGTACATGTTATACGAGGGAGGCTTTAAGTACTTACCAGCTGGATGTGAAATGAGATAGGGGTAAGCTGACAAGGAAGCGATACTTGTAGAGTATGCTCTGACACCTATCTTGTCACCTTCAAGGGTTCTGAGCGTCCGAATCTTTTCTAGCTCGTCGATGAAAGAGTTATTTGGAGGATTCACGGGAGTTGGGCGCTGACAAGAGTAAGTCGTGCGTAGATATTCCGGAATCGGTGTCAAGTATAAGCGGCGCTCATGCTCCGATGTCGTTTCGTGAACTAACTCAGGACGCTTTACATGGGAAGATGTTCTAGAATGCTGCAAGGCAGATGCATACGCCGGTAAAAGTCCACTCGCTCCAGAACTATCGTTTCCACCTTCTTGCCGAGCGCGCCTAAGAATATCGTCATGATTCGGTGGAGGTTTGCTGGGGATCTTTTGTATTCTGCGGCCTTGATATATCAAGTACTTATCTATTGGAAGAATTGACTTTTGAGCCAAACAGTCCATGAACCAGGATAACTTGACGACTCTGAGGATAGGATTGTCGTCTTCGTCCGTGGTGCTTTCTGTTCCCTGTCCATCCCAACTGACTCTGCTGAGAGTGCTGGCATTGTCGTCAAGGATCTCACCTTCGGATGTTATCTTCTGTGTATGATCGCGTGCGGGTTTAGGAGAGACTGAACTGTCAAGTTTTCTCCTCTTCGATGGCGGAGAAGGATCGTCTACCTGCGTCTCCGGAGTAAGGGGGCTAGCTGAGGGTATGTTGATATCCTCAGTCAGAATGCTCCTGCGCCTCAATTCGAACTTTGCTCTTTCTTTATTTGATATCTTGCCGAGTATGATATTGGCTTCGTTGATCTCATGTGTCAAAGTAGGTATTTTACTCTCCAGTTCCGGTAACTTGTCGGGTTCGATATGCGTTGGTAGCAGATAGATAAGTGGGAAGTTGAGTGGAAAGTCAGGAGACATTTTATTCATGTCTTGCCTTCAAAGTTGCCCTCCCAACATATATCATTTTGAGTACATATTTTATTTCATGTAGTAAGGTTCTTCTAACGACATTGACGAGATCTTTTGTAGAGATGCGCTGTCTCTTGAGTGTAGCAACCTTATAAATCAGATCAAAAAGTTTATTCCAGGGAGATTCAGAGGAATAGTCTAATGTGGGCTGTACTAGGAGACGTCATGATTTGTGATTTTATCAATTATATTGAAAACTACCTAACTTAACCCTTACCTAGAATTACATGTAGATTAATTACATGTAGATTTCAGGTATTAGGTAGTGTCTATGAAGTACTCACTATTAGTGTGACGTCAGCTAAATGGAACAATGGAGACAGCTCGAGGTGAGAAGGATATCGGAGCCGGATAAAGAAACCTTCCGATAAATCGAAAAAGGTCCACCTTACAAAAGGTCCACCTAATGACTGAACAACGCAGCACGCGCGCCAGTTAAATGCTCCGGTAGACTTTACTAATAATACCAGGTAGGATCCGTAGACTTCAAATAAACTTCATTTAACCTTCACACCAATCGCTCAATTCAGAAACCAGGACTTGCAACATCACATCACTCACGACCATTAAGATTGATCAATTCGCATATCCAACCCTGCAAGGTGGGCTTGGTTGGTAGATGGGTCGAGTTGAATTTTGAATTTTAAATTCAGCATGCGAAACTTGTAGCGGTTGTTTTCGTTGAGAAAGCATCTGACGACGGCTCATCGCACGAAATACCTTATCGCGCGCAGAATATCGCATAACCTATTGTCTCGCTCTTAGTCCAAGATATCCTACCGCATCTTACTATTTCTAATTTTAACAACTGTCAATAAGTCGATAAATGATGGGTTATCCATTCAATACATTCAATACTTTCACTGTCTTGGAGTAGCTTTGTCTGCTACTTAATCGACCCATAACTATACCTAGGCATCACTAATTCTACTCTTTTTTTCTTCTTTTTCTCTCTCTCTCTCTCTCTATCCTCCTCATCCTCAACCTTTTCTCAGTCCGATTATCCCCCCCTCAATCTTTCCCTCATCATGGAGATGGTTCAGACTTTAGTACGCTCTGTCGTACGCGCTTTCTATACTAACCCCGAAGACCGTAGAATGATACTCATCATTGATGCCCTGGTTCGCCATACCACTCTTCGCGACAACGACTTGTCCTATTTGATGCACCTCAACACAAAGGATTTGCACAGAATATGCGGCAAGCTAAGGGAAGATCACTTACTGCAGATGTATGGCCACCTTTGCCGGCCCTTGTTTATTGTCTAAAATATGCCTTGAGCTAATTGCTGTCGTCGTAGCCATTTGAGACCCGAGATCCGGGAAGGCAAAGACAAACCTCAGAATCGCATCTACTATTACATCGATTACCGTCAAGCCATTGACGCCATCAAGTATAGAACTTTCCTACTCGACAAGAAAGTCCAGGGCGAGGCTACCCCCCAGCAGGAGAAGAAGGAATACTTTTGCCCTCTCTGCAAGGCCGAATGGACTATGCTAGATGTTGTTGACAACAACGACCCCGTCCGAGGTTTCCTATGTCACCGTTGCAATACAGTTTTGATCTTCGACCCCGATCGCGAGGCCGGTGGCCACGAGCTCTCCACTCGACTAAACAGTCAGATTAAATTCATTATCGAAGTCCTACCTAAGCTCGATGCCGTTACTATTCCTGACGTCGACTTCGAGACTTTACTATCCCAAGCCGCCCCCGTCTTCCGCGACGAAGCCAATAAGATCGCCCCTTCGGTCGTCGCCGAATCTCTTGCGAAACCAACCGCCGTCAGGGGTATGGCGAACACTGGCCCCCAGAGTATTGCGATTAGCATTACGGACACGGATGGCCCAACTGACGCCGAGAAGGAAGCCGAACGCGCCCGCAAGGAGGAGGTTGCTCAGATGAACGCGCTACCGGAGTGGCATACACGCAGCACCGTCTCCGGTCTGTCGTTTGGAGGTGCCAACTCGACCTTGGCAGTCAAGGACGACACCAGCGATAAGAAGCCGGACGAATTAGTCGGCGACGCTTCGCACGACAAGGCTATGGAGGAGCTATTCAAGAGCTTACAGAAGTCCCGAGATGAGGAAGCAAGACGAAAGGCTGAGCAAGAAGCCGAGGAGGAGGATGAGGACGTGGAGGAGAGCGAGGACGAAGAGTTTGTGGAAATATCCGCGAACGTCAGCTCGACTGGCGACAAGCGCCCCGCGTCTAGTGGCCCTACTAGCGCCGCAGATACACCCGCATCAGAAGATAGACCTTCCAAGAAGGTCAAGCTGGAGGAACCAGTGAACCGGGGTGGTGATAGCGAGGACGAGGATGACGTACAATTCGAGGACGTCTGAACGAAACTAATAAGATTTTATGCGCGGGCGTGGGCGTGTGCGTATTCGGTTTGCAGGCACCAGGGTCCATGGAAAGGGAGGGGGTTACGATACCATAAATATATATTCACTGTAAGGCATAGCGTTCTGTATGGTTTTGATTCCTAGGTACCTAGTTTTTGACTTCCGCTAGATTACCTATATACATCGGGCAAGGCGTCCAAACAGAAAAAAAGGATAATAAATATTTTGCATTTATATCTTGAGAGAATTCACTGGGTGGTAGTAGGGAGGTGTGAAATGGGAAGAGAAAAAAAAAAGTCAAGGCGATACTATATATGATACGATACGACACACATACACTGTTCCGAAGGAGTAATACGTATAAGTACAAATAGGGTGTGTTTTTCTTAAAAGCTCGTCAAAAGATATCTACAGGCAAGAAAGTATCCTTCAACGTAATAATGGGTTCGGCAAAGCCCCTACATAAGCTAAGGTAGGAGGTAGGTTATAATCCGAGACTTGCTCCCCTTCCTCCCCCCATCCTATGCTTTTAAGCAAACCACCACTCATTACCAAGTCGTTCGTGAACCCGTCCCTCGTGACATGCTCCATCCCCCTCTCTAGAAATATATCTCTTTCTTGTAGAACTGACCTGGACCTTACACGTATTTGCGCAGCTGGGAAGAATAAGTTAGTATGATGATGATTATGATGATGATTATGATTGTGAATAAGCATGGGGGAGGTGAGGGAGAGAGACGAAGAGCAAGGTGAAGAGGTAAGATGAAAATAAAAAGCAACGAGCAAGAAAGGAGGGGTGTATGAACTTACATCTAAAGTCAGCGTCCTCGAGCTATTTACCTCCTGGTCCCTATATACGCCGACCAGGCTTTCGCTATCCTGGAAGAGACCGGTCTTGAGACTGATAACGATGAACTGCATTCCGGGGCCGGCGTGCTCGCGGATGTAGTTCTTGATCTTATCGACGTTGGCGTTGTCGAGGGCGGCGTCAACCTCGTCGAGCACGAAGAAGGGGGAAGGCTGGTAAGAGTGGATGGCGAAAAGCAGGGCCAGGGCGGCCATAGTCTTTTCACCGCCGGACAAGTGCTCCATATCGCGGAAGCGCTTAAGAGGTGGCATCGCGTGGTACTTGATGCCCGAGAGGTACGGCTGGTCCGTGTCTTCCTCGATGTCTAGGTAGGCCTGTCCGCCAAGCGGGTACTGGTCCGACCGCGTCAGGTCCTTGTAGACATGCTCGATCTGCTCCCGGATGTGTACGAATGCCCTGTTGAACAGCTCGAAGCGCTTGGCCTTGACCTCATCGAAAGCTTCCTTGGCAGCTTCGTATGCTGCCTTCGATTCGTTGTAGTCCCGTTCTGTGGCCTTGAGTCGCGCTTCGACTACTTCTAGCCGTTCTATCGCTCGCATGTTGGGGTTGAGCTTTTCCAACTCTGCCGTGAGCGATGATATCTTATCTTGTATCCTCTCTTCTATACTCTCGTCGTCGGGCTGTCTCCAGTTAGCTTCTATACTTGACAAATTTTGACTTATCAACTCACGTTCTTCAGATCATCATCCAACTGGTCGAAGTCAACTTCGATGCCGTAGTCATCCATTGCATTGTCCATCATCTCGGCATCATCACCATCATCCACATCCATAGCGTCCGGGTCTTGGTGCAAAAGATTATCCTCGTTTGGAAGATTGTCAAGTGAGCCTGAAATCAGGGGGATATTGATCTGTTCCAGTCGACATCGTCTCAATAGAGCAAATTTGCTAGCACTACTCTTCTGAACCTCCGTCTCCAAAACACTGATTGCTTTTTGTCTGCTCTCGATCTCCTTACTTCTCTTTTGCACTTCCGCCTTGGCTGTGTTAACTTTCTCGGTGCGTTTCGCAAGCTCTTCTTTGTACTCGTCCAGCTGCTCTTGTAAAGCCGCAAGATTATCCTGGTCGTTGCTCATCGCTTCCTCGATAGCCTTCTTCTCTGCTCGATAGGATTTGATATCCTCAGATAACTGCTTAAGGCGGGCCTCAAGGTGTTGAAGCCTGCTCTCCGTCTCCTTGTGTCTCGACGTCTCCCAGCTCTTATTGCTTTCTAGTCTTGATTTTTGGAGGTCAAACTGCGTGCGCTTCTCGTGAGCCTCTTGTTCAAGACTACCTTGTTGTGCTTCGTATGCTCGTATATCAGAATAGCCGAGTCGTTTACAGAAATCAGCGAAGATCTTGTCTTCAACCTCGGCTATTGCAGACTTGAACTTCTCAACGGCCGCTCGAGTCTTCTGTAACTTATTCTCTTCTTCCTTAAACTTGGGCAGCCACTCCTTAAGTTGGCGCTTCACATGTTCCAGCTCCTTTTTCTTGCTGGCAAGGTTTTGGTTGAATGCAGCCAGTTCGTTGTTGGCAAATGCCAAGCGCTGATCAAGCCCCGCGAGTTCATTCTGCAAAGATTCCTCTGCTACACCACGTCGATCAGCCCTGGGTATCTTCTCGATTTCCTCTCGGAATTTATCTGCCATCTTCTGAAGATTTTGTACGTCATGTTCTTCGAAGCGTCGTTTTCCCTTGGAATCTGGGCCTCGTCCACCGGTCATCAAACCCGCCTTATGAATTACAAACCCTTCCAATGTGACAGCCTTGACTTGGATCCTCCGATCGTAGCAAACATGCTTGGCGATATCTAGTGTATCGCAAACAATCGAGCCGCCACATGCATAAGACATGGCACGCTCGAGGGAGGGGTCGAAGTCGATGGCGTCAATGGTTAAGCGAGCACCAGAAATTCCTTTGACAGCCGTATTCACCGCGCTGACTTTGATATTGTCTAATGGGATAAAAGTCATTGGTGGGTAACGCTGATCTTTCAAATACTGCACACACTCGACACCAATCTTCTCGCTGTCTACGATGACAGAGTCGAAATCGCGCCCAAGTGCAGTAATGACAGCTTCGTCAAACTTCTTTTGTTTCGGTTTGCAAAGCTCGCCGACTCTCCCCTTCACTCCTGGGAAGATGCGCTTCAGAGCGGTGACCACCTCCTTGAGCCGCACTTCCTTGTCATTTTGGCGCTTTCCATCGTCTGCGTCTAATAACTTCTTCAAGACTTCCTGAAGCTTCTCGTCGAGTTCTGTCCGTCTCTGATTGGTCCTAACTCTTTCTGACTGTATCTGATTAAACTCTTTCTTCTTGGCGTCCATCTCGCTTGAGAGCTGCTTCACGGTAGCTTCGGTATTGCGCTTTCGCTCTTGGATAGCTGCCAATTCAATTTCCAGCTTCTCTACAGCAGCTTGATAGCCATCGACCTTGCCCTTCAAGCTATTTACAGTGACCTCGTCTGTTTTTAGCTGTCGATTGAGGTTCTCCAACTTGGCCAGATTCTCTGAAGACTTGTTTAAAGCTTGCGCCCTAAGGGAGTTGTATTCCTTCCGGTCGGCGTCGCTTAGCTCCTTTCCTTGCTTCTTCATCGTCTCCTTCCACTGGTCTTCGAATTGCTTCTGTGCCTTTTGAACTGTGGCCAAGTCCTTCTCGATCTTGGCGATCAATTTGCGCTGCTCGTCTCGTTCTTTCCTGACACCCTCAATCCTATTTCGTATCGTTTCAGCCTGGGAAGTTGTCTGTTGCACCTTTTCTTCTATGGGAATGAGACTGTTTTCCTTCTCCTCGATCTCCTTTTCCTGCCGCTTAATTTGTCGCTCTACCCTATGGACCTCCTTTGCGGCGTCCGCCTGCTCCTTACGAGCAGCTTCGAGTTTCCTTTCGAATGACTCGACGTTTCGTCGGAACTCCTTGAGATTTTCCTGGTGATCCTGGATCTTAGCACTAGAATCATCCATAATCTGCTGGAAATGATACAGCTTCCAGAGGATGTGAGTAACAATAGCAGCATCACGCTCCTCCGTCTTCTTCTCGAAGTTCTCGGCTTCCCGTTTTTGCTCCTGGTACTGTTTAATTTCAGAATTAATACCACGTCGTCTCTGGAGCTGGAAGTTAGCATTTTCGGCGGCCAGTTCTGCTTCGCTTTGGAGTCTCTCGTATTCGGCCTTATATTCCAAACTGCCTGAAATCTGCTCGATTAAACGAGTCAAGTCCTGGGGGGACTGAGCCGCGATGGCCTCAACATCGCCCTGAAAAACGAGGAAGTTTCGGGCCTTGATAAGAATATTCTCAGCTTCGAGGGCCTCGTTATACTGCTGAGCCGTGACGACGCGGTCGTTGATGCGGTATTCGCTTGATCCTTGGTTCGTAATGCTACGCTTCCACCGCTGCTCATCGCCGGCATCATCCTCGTATACAGCCATAACCCAAGCGGTTTTGGGGTCACTACGGTTCGGTTTATCATCGTCATCGCCATTAACATGACCGTTAGTCTGTCCATTCGTAGTGGGCTCGGCGGCCGAACCGTCATCGTTGATCCTGGAGGTCTTAAGAACTCGGCCACGATATACTAAATCTTTCAGGTGGGCGGAACGTAGATGTGAAGATTTGATACCCAGGACGAAGGAGATGGCGTCCATACTAAAAGATCTCGAGTTAATATATAATGCGCAAATATCGGTGATGGAATAGGACGGGGTGGGACGTACGAATTGGATTTTCCAGATCCATTTGGGCCGATAATGGAGGTGAAATACGAATCGCCAAAGAGGAGGGTATGATGGCCCTTATATGACTTGAAATCTTTATAATAATGTTAGCAACATGGCATAGTCGAGGTTCTTGATGATATAATATAATATAACAATATAAGTATACGTATACGTACTGAATAGCTCAAGACGAATTAGTTTACCCATCTTGGCGTAATTGTTAAAAGGATTATCTCGAAATGTGTGGTGGGTTGGTGTTGGTTAGATGAGGACGCGACGCGAGGCAGTATGCGAAAAAAAGGATCCAGCGTCGCTAAGCGGCCTTGGATCCAATTGCGATTTCAGTTATGACATTTCAGTGAAAGGATAGAAAGGGTATATTAAGACTGAGCACCTCGGCGCATTGAAAAGTATTGGTAAACGTACCCCGAGATGCAAGAAATAATTATTATGTTAGGTACGTGGGTAGAATATAAGTTTAGTAGGTAGGTACCTAGAGAGAGGTAGGTCCAGGTATCACGATAATGCCCATACTTTTTCCACGCTTTTGCTTTAGCTTTAGCTTTTGCGGGAACTAGGTACGAGACGTGACTGTATATCGGTACGAACGCGGGGACTTTTTCCTTTGCAACTTACCTAAAGGTTCCAAGGTTCTAGGTAAGTTCTGAGACTGGGATTAGGTTAGTATACATGAACATGTACCTAATTGTTAGCGGCGCACAGGCCAGACACTTGTGTAACCGTTAACGACCAGAGCGATGCAGCTGACAGACAAGTGCTAGGCGGTAGACCAATCCACCAATCAACTTGCGCCTTGAATTTATACACCTCTTCTAAGTTCTAGGTATCTAACCTTGAAAGAACAAACAAGTTCTGGTCGTCACGTTTCTTATTGAATCTTGCTGACATAACCGTACCTGAATTGATTTAGTATGATACCTATACCTAGGTACCTAGGTCTTTAACAGGTAGCTCTTTAAATATAATATAAATGCCTAGGTACCTAGGTGTGTTATAAGTATACGGACTGTAAACGCCCAATGTCGTCATCATCATACCTACCTCTCAGGGTCTTTATTAGCTTATGATCGATTTATCATATCCAGTTTAACTTGGTCCATTTCTTGATTCCCCCCCTTCACTTTTCGTCGCTTTTCGTAAATGGCACAAGACGATTGTAATACATACCCCTCAACAAGGCTAGTTGTTGTCCTCTACTAATCGAACACGAATCAAAAGAGGATTCGGTTCTAACTCTGAAACCATTCGTCCGGGGGATTTAAATACATGCCCTCAATCACTTACACACATTGCACACACCCCCACAACCACACAATACACACACACTACTACAAACCCCGGGACGTAAGGTATATAAAACCGATGATGGCCAGCTTCATCCTTCGGCTCTCCCTAGCTTATTAACTTAAAGTCGCATGCATTCTGCGGTGGTCACAAACTTGGAGATCTCACAAGAAATAAATACAAAGCTTCTTAGTTTTCAACCAACCACAACTCGCGCTCGAGACACGACCTTCAACGAAAGCCACTTACAGGATTAGAATTTCGATATTTCCGCCCACCTACTCTTTTTATACTTTTCCTATCTTCGACGGACCGCATCTTACATCAATTCCAGATTACAGGGTCCCCCCTAGGCCTTTCTTTTGCCCATCACAAGTTTTAGAGAGTCACGCAATCTCACCGCGTGTCTACCACCTACCAAAAATCACATGCGCCTACTATCTGCCTATACTCGCTTCCATCATCTCTTTTGCCTCTAACTTCAACTCTTTCTCGGGCGCCATCGGTTCCTTATTTCATTGGACCAGGTCCTAACATCGCATCCACTCGGGACGCACGAACGGCCAAGGCGAAGCTGTGTGTCTTCTCTAGACTAGCAAGAGAATAATAATACTAAAGTATAATAATAACAAAAAGATAGTCACCTGCTCTTATTGTAAGTACGCATTCCATGTTTCCCTCATGAAACTCTCCCCCTATTGTTTGTTCCGAGATGGCTGACATATTAATTCTAAGAGGAACTGAGGCTCTTCGAAGAGTGTCATTTCGTAACGATATCCAACGATTTCCAATTCGCACTCTGGCAGAAATGGCCGGTCCGAGCAGTTTGGCGCCCTCCAAGTCGGAGGGCACACATACCGACGATGAGGTCGCTTTAACTCCCGACGATACAACTCCATCTCCATCTCTAGCCTCTTCACCTCACCAGCAACCCGTAGTCGATCCGCGCAAAGTAGGCGACGACGCTTCTAACAGCCCTCGAATATCGAGGAACCCTTCCTTCTCGGGAAGCAGTTCCTATCATGAAGATTGGGACTCGTATCCCCCTCTAGACAGGTTAACTGTCCTGGACCTCCTCGACAACTTTGCTCTACCACAGCAGTTAGAGAAGCTGCAAAAGGGAATATCAGCACAGAGAGAAAAGGTCCGTAAATCCCAAGCTGCTCTTAAGAATAGAGGCCAGGTGGCCAAGGAACGCATGGTCGAGGAGTGGCGGCGTAGGGTGCCCTCGGCGGACGAACAGTTGGTCAGGTACAGAAAACGGATGAAGCAGAGTGTGGAGAAACTCGGCCGGCAATGGAACGATACCAAGGTTATTACCATGCGCGAGAAGGTCTCGTTCATCGGTGGTGTTATGAACATTTTCATCAGTGGTTACTTGTTGGGTGCTTTCCCCGAGTATTTTCACATCTGGTACACGGTCCAGCTCATCTACTACATGCCCATCCGCTTTTATACTTACAGGAAGCGCGGCTACCATTACTTCTTAGCCGACCTGTGTTACTTCGTCAACTTACTACTCTTCCTCAGTATCTGGGTCTTCCCGGCTTCTAAGAGACTGTTTATTGCTGCGTATTGCCTGGCTTTTGGAAACAACGCCGTGGCAATTATTATGTGGCGTAATTCGCTCGTGTTCCACGACTTCGACAAGGTCACATCCCTGTTCATACATATCATGCCCTGCGTCACGCTTCATTGCATGGCTCACCTCTTCTCGCCAGAGGATCAACGCGAACGATTCCCCGCGCTCTGGACCATTAAGACCTCTCCGCCAGGTTCCCCAACCGCTTACGGTAATCTCGTATCGATGCTCGCCTGGTCCACGATTCCATATGTTTTCTGGCAGCTCAGCTATTACTTCTTCATTACGGTTCGCCGGCGTGAAAAGATCGCTGCCGGTCGCCCGACCTCTTTTACCTGGCTGCGCCGCTCGTACTCCAAGACCTGGATCGGCAGGATAGTGCTCTCATTGCCAGAAACCCTGCAAGAGTTCGCCTTCATGCTAATCCAGTACTTATATGCTGTGTTGACCATGTTGCCCTGTCCCCTGTGGTTTTATAGCCGCTGGGCCTCGGCCGCCTTCCTTATCATAGTCTTTGTATGGAGCGTATATAACGGTTCAACCTTTTACATCGACGTCTTCGGAAAGCGCTTCCAGAAGGAGCTCGAGGCCATGAAGGCTGAGGTTGCTAAGTGGCAGAACAGCCCCGATGTGCTCGGGTCTCCGTCAATGGCCCCTACTCCCGCGGTAGAGGCAGAAATCAAGCTCGGCGCGGCCGATACCGAAGAAGGCGCCGATGTGACCGTCCGGGTCCAAGACCCTGCTAGCGGCCGGCGTTTAAGTGTGGATGAGATCCCATTGTTACATGAAGAGAGCACAACTAAAAACGGCGAATCTCTGAAGAGTGATTCGATGGCCAGTGGTATCGACGAGCGTATTAACGATACGGTGCGGGAAAGGAAACCCATCGAAACAGTCTCGTAACCGGATGGTGGAATCATTACTATTGGATATAAAACCCACAAGACTTTTTTCAAGTGATTCTTAAAAGATATCAGAGATAAACCGACTTGATGGTTTCAAGTTCGGTGGGCCAGTGGAATTAATTGGTTGGATTAACCCCCATCTTCTTAGCCCGGAACTATTGTGTAGTCTATTTTTTTTCTAGTCCGCTCGAAGTCCAGACGACACCTCTTCCTCCCCTAAGACTATCATCTCTCATCTCACTTTGCGTCTTCGATTTCACGTTACTTTCATACGTGCCCAAGTCGTTCATGCCCCCCCTTTTAACTCAATGCTCTTATGTGAGCAGCAAGTTCGTCAGGTAGTTAGATACGTCTTAGAAGCCTAATTATTCGGGAGGATCGCTGCATCTCGATATCCTTCTCACCCCCTTACTCCCCCCCTAATACCTTCCCCCCCCTTCTTCATATCAACTTGGTAGAGGACATGGAGTTTTTAATAAGACGGTTGGGAACCTTCGATACCGGGTAATGGAGAGGAAGAAGAAGAGGAACGAAGTTTACGAAATGGGCGGATGGTGGGACTTAATGAGACACTGCTCTTTTTCTTCAGAGTTTATTATTACGATACGATACCATTACATAGCGTGCTAGAAATCATAAAGAACCCCGTTTTTTTTTAACGGAATAATTAATTAATTATTGATGTCGATCCCGTACCTTCAGTTCCATTAATGCTATAGCTAATAAGTTTGTTGTGTCTATGGTTCATTTGCTTGTCGCCGATGTTGATGCTGCTGCTGCTGCTTCGGCGATATGATAATAGAAAATACATGTAGCAAGCTCAGACGATTTGCAAAATAACTAGGTAGGTACATAAGGTAGGTAAGTATGCGAAAAGCCACTGATGATAATCTATACTATGCCAAAGCCAAGCTATACATTCACTTCATATCACTCAACTCACTTCATAATGCATGACGTGACAACTACCTCCCGTCCTGTTAACGAACTTGCTTTTTTCTGTTTGCTCTTATGTAGTTCACAGAACGCTATCATAAGAATATTTATGATGCTCCGGGTTCACGCCAAGTGACCTTTTTTCATTTGACGTTACCCCTTTGTCGAGCCTACCAGCCGACCGATATCATATCGTATTCCTTTCCCTTCCAAAGACGTTGTAAGTCTGGCTCACCTTTCCGTTCTCCCCCTCCTCCTTTCGTTACTTCCCACAACGCCTTGCTGTTCCGTACCAAAAGAGGAGAAAAAAAAGGACATATCATCTCGGCCACCGGCCGCTCATCAACGCAATTGAATGCGAATTAACTAGCCCGTCAACCTTTGCAATACCATGGATAGTTAGGTAAGACTCCAAAAAGATCCGGACCCCCTCCCAAAAAAGTAAAACTCAACTCATACATGCAAAACGCCGATGGATGCAAGGAACTGCGAAAAGACCATTTGGCCCCCTTCAAATATGTCGTAAAACTAGGTGGATATCGTTATGGGGCAGTAGAGTCTGTCACCGTAAAGTAGATAGATCGGGGCTGAATTAATTTCGTCACCGAATGACTCCCCACTCGCTCAATCGTCCCCCACCGTCGCTGTCTTCTCTCTGGCCTGGTCGCCTTCCGAATACAGTCCAGAATCGCAGGGTTTCGTCGCCAGCTCCTGTAACTATTGTTCTGCCATCAGGACTCATCGCCAGATATAGCACCCGATATGTGTGACCAGTGAGGCTGACTACCTGCGTCATGGCAGGGTATTTCCAGACGACGATCTGGTTTTGACTGTAGCCATGCGTTGAGACGATTTCGTTGGAATTCTTCGACCAAGAGATATTGCAGACTTGGCTACCTGTATCTACCTCGTTGATGGCAGATCCACGGACTGTATCATGGAATATTATCCTTCGATCAGCTGTTCCACCGCCGGAGGCCAGTAGACCACGTTGGTGGGGCGACCATGCTATTGCTTTGACAGCAGCGGTGTGATCGGAAAATTTCCATAAAGGTGTTTCCGAGAGTTTATCCCAAACCATGAGTTTGTTGTCATTTCCGCCACTTGCCAATTGACCATCTTCGCAGTTCCATTTCAAGCCACAGACCTCCTGCTTATGTCCCATAAGCTTTCGCATCCACTGGTCGGGGGCCCTGACATCGCGATGGTATATCAGTCGATCTCGAGATCCTGATGTGAGAATATGAGTGTTCCAAGCCAATGATCCCACACGTGCAGTGTGTCCGGTCATCGTTCTTAAGCGCCTAGTCTTCTCAGCATCCCAGATCTGTACTAAGCCTTTTCCAGTCCCGATGGCTATGTGCGTGCCTTTCTGAATCCACGATACGCTTGTCACCGTGTCATCCTCCAGTGTACAAAGCTTGTTGACCCGGCTTGTTTGCGCATTCCACATGTAGACGCTCGAGCCCAGACCGACGCCTAAAACATTAGCGCTACCCCAGTCAACCAAGTTTAGGTAGAAGTCGTCGGCTAACTCGGGAGCATCTAGTACTTTGTAAGGTACTTTACTGACAGCTCTCGGTTGCCGCCTTGGGCTTAATAGCATTTGCTGGCTTCCAAAGCGAACTGGAGACAGGCTATATATCTCTGAGCGTATATCCAGATTAGGACCATGCCGGCTCTGTGGTGTCCGGGACGGCGTCGGTTGGCCAGCTACGTTGGAATGGTGGCGGGGAGACATGTAAGAGAAGAGATTCTTGTGAGGTGTTGATGGCGTAAAGCTTGCAGGTAGAGAGGGAGGGGGGTTGTTAGGTGGTGTGTGGGATCTCGTGCCATTATGAGTATGTGTAGAGTGTGCCGAACCTGGCAAATTAGCATCTGGAGACATCATTTGCGGTGTAGCCTGCGGTATTGTGTTCTCGAAGAGTTCTGCTCTCAACACTCGAGAAAATCTGTCGTTCGCTTCCTCAGCTAGGTATAATTAGCATCAGACCCTTGCATAGCAGAAAATTGAAGCTAGCTTACTTTGTTGGAAGTGAAGCTCACCATGTGGTGTTCGCTTCTTCTGTCGCGGGGGTGTAGCTGGCGACCCTCCCTCATGCATAAGACTGAAAGCGGAGACCATATCCTGACCGCTGCGTTCGGGTATAAATCTAAGAAATTTCTTAGCATGTGTGGATAAAGAGAGCACAGATAGAGTTTTATAACAGAAAGGGAAAAATTCATAGTTGAATCCAATCCCAGCCAGTCACAAACACTTCCGAGTCCCAGGCAACATATTTAATCGCTAGGGTAGGTGAATATGCGCGTTTACTAACCTGTCGCCATTGATGCGCTGTCGCTTCCTACTAGGACTCGCACTTGAAGCGCTATCTCGTCTGTCGGCAGATAGTTCCCTTGAGAGAGCCCGCGTCAAACTATCAGGATCGAAACCGCCTATACTCGCCCGCTCGCCTCTCCGTCCGTGACGTATATTCCTCGAATTACCACCTTCCACATTGTTCATCACCTGGAGTGTTCCTCGATCAGATGGCGGGGGAGGAGTGCCTGTCCTGGAGGGCGTGCGCACGGCGGGGCTTGTCGTATCGCGAGCTTGCCGCTTTAATAGCGGCGGTAACGCCGATACCGAATCAGATTCTATAGTCATTTTCTCTCATGCAGATGGAGTTCAAGAAGGGACGGTGGAAGCTAGGCAATTTCTTTAGGTAGAGGAGGCACGGTAGGCGTAATGGTCGAGGCAAAAAGCGCGAATCAGTTGGTACGAGTTGGAAGCCGAGAGTATCAGTTAGTTGGTAAAAACCAAGCCCATGGGAGAGTTTGGGTAGTTGTTGGAGGATTGGATATTATCGGCGAATATGTCCTGATTCCCCTGGGGGTTAAATAAGCTCTTTCTAGCGCATGCTCTTCTTGCTGTCGACGATACGGGCCAGAATTAAAGTGACGGGGTGGTTTGCAAGGGAGAATATGCCTATTATTTTGATCGCTTTCCTGCTGCTGCTGCTATTGCTCCCGTCTTTGGAAAAGGATTGAAAAATAGAAAGAAGAAGAAAAAAAAAGAGCGAAATGAAGAGAATAGAATATGGTCAAATGATAGTTTTTTGTTAGGGGAATTCGGGGTAAGTGAGCTAAAAATTGGTGAACAACCACAATGACAGTAGCAAGTTGGGAAAGAGGCGGCAGAGTGGTTTTCGTAATTTCGTGGACTTGGATGGAGGTTGAATGGCAACGACGGGCTGAATGGACCGTGCCAGGAAAGAAAGACCTGGCTCTGCTCTCGTTCCTGCTATGGCTTTTTTGGCGTGCCTGCAGGTCGCGACTTACAACGGACACAGGGGGCTTACCAGTGCTAAAGCTTGAACCCCCCACTATCCAATGATGTACAATACTTTTGACGAAAGCATCAAAAGGGCTTGTTAGCAGGTACCGATTAACTTTTTAGCCGACATTAGAAGGCCGCAAACTGTGTTCAATACCACCTACACCTTAATCAAAGTACGCTAAAAACTGATGACATGCACCCCCCCATTCTCTGACTCTGACTTTCTTCTATCAACAACAGATTGCAACACTTGAACTTTTTTTTAGATGATACGGAATATTAGTTGAAATGATAGTTAATCATAAATGAATTATTCTTCCTATGTACAAGCAGATACCTAAGGTACTATTATCACTTTGCCTTGAAAGGAAGAAATAATTTTAGCTAGGTACTCCAAAGCCAAAGACAACGGGCTGAGTTTCTGGTAGTGGCTGGGAAACGCGTATGTAAACAGTATTTACATAGTTTCATTTCCCCTTCTTTGTTCGCGGTTGCCAGACAGCCAGAATGGGACTGCAGGTATATAAACAAAAGTAAAAAGATTAAAAAGATAATTATGGGGGCAGGACTAGCTTGCAAGCACTAGCAAGCACCAAGCAACCGGAAACGGACAAGTGAGTTTGACCAAGACAACAACAATAACAACAACAGAGGTCCTCCATTACCCTGCAAGTAATTCAACACGTCAAAATACAAAAACTAAAGGACCCATTGCGCGGCCGAATTCGCGATGCAAGATTGAAAATTGACGCGCTTGTTCCACTCCCTTTTTTTACGTACCTAAGTTTTCATAACAGAAAGCAAAAGAAAGCGGAGGCTGCCCCTCGCAGTGCTACCTAACGTTGTGGTAAAAAGGGAGGGAGAGGTATTTGTATGTATATAGTTGGGCGCGGTTGGATTGTTTATTATTTTTGCTTACATGTACGTAACCTACCAGCTAAATTTCACAGGAACACGCGCGCATCCAATTTTCCGATTGGTTACGCGCTTTCCCACTCAGGGGTCATTGTTTAGAGCTGTCCTAAGACTTGTCCAGGTGGTCCCCGGATTTCCAGGTAATAGGTACCGCTGATAGGGTTAAGCACCTATCCGGCATATCCACTATCGCTACCCGCGTGTTGTGCCAGAGATGTATTGGAGATGTATTAGCTCGCCCCTGGAACGTGTTTATTATACATAAACAATACATACATCCAAGCAGAAAGATCTGCCAGCGGGCCCCGGCAGCGCGTTTAAGGCTTCCATTTCTCCCCCAATCCGTTGCAACCCCCAAGAAAAATAAACCAAAACATCCCCCAACCAGCGACGTCCATGATCGGATCGAAATGGCTTGGCATGACTAGGCCCTATCCATCGACCAGTCTATACTTAAGGAACCCGCAAGTCTTTGAGCCTTCGATTAGTTATTAATGAAGCATCTCTCATCCACCTATCCGCTCCATTATCGTGTTACCGCGTAGAAGTCCAGTAGGTGCATACATTCAATACTATAACAAGAGGAGGTAGTTATATGTTTGAAACAATGACAGCTCTATTCCTTACCTCTATCCTAGATCTCATTAACTCCGTATACGGAGTAGGTAGTAACCTCAAGATTTATTATATTTGACCCTATGCTTATTAGCCCTTAGGCAGTTTGATAACTGCAACCTCATCATTCCATATAAATCATCGTGAACACTAGAACATCCCCAATGAAACACGCCTCGCAATACCTAGAGTCTCTGAATATACATCGAGTCGCTATTAATTAATTACCTAGGTACTTGTGTCAATAAATGAGGGTTGGTGGTGTAGACCTAGACTCCAGTCATTGCAACATGAATCCCCATTGTCTACTACCTACCTAGGTACCTACCTGGTACGTAGGTAGGTAGCTATCAGTTTCTAGTTTAACAACAATACGACTCAATGCTTCATATAGTAGCCGACCTACCAATAAGAACAGATACATAGAGCTGAAACAATTCAGAAAGTTCTCTTTCTCGATGGCCAGTCGATGCGCGATAGGCAACCCGCTCCGGTCTCTTCAGTTTTATGATGTACGTATGCCATCACGGGCATGAGACGACGACTGAAGTTCAACTTGCCTAAATATTTCTCACTTAGGTCCCTTCTCTCATTCAGAGTCTTTCCAACCCTAGAGGTGTATGTTAAAGCATTTGCGTATCGTATCCTTACGTTTTAGCCCCCAAGGTACGGGGACGTTGGTAGTAGGGGGTGGACTTGAATCATACACCAATCAAGTTCAGTTTTCTATAATCCGTTCTTTACAACAAAACATACGCCATAAGTTCCCATTATCAGTAGACCTATAGCCATATCCACTCTCTGCAAGGCCAGTATGACACAGCCATCGAGACGCGGTGATTCACCCGGCAAGCAGAAGGTATCGTCCATAGCGATCGACAACGGGAGTCTTGGAGTGATGAGTGTGCGGTCCTTCGTAGCCTTCGAAAATTACGAGTACGATAATGAAGCCGAGGTTAATGTCATAGATATTCTCGAGGAGCAACCGAGCTTAGGAGCTTCTGTCGTCGATACCCTTTCGTCGCCAACAACGTTTGAAAGAATATGGGGAGAGACAGAAACCCCGTTCTTGGTTCGCCAATCCAGCCGTCAGAGACGTCTAGATGTTTGGTCACCCTGGATATTGATCATTGTCCAGCATTAATAGCAATCCCCGTTCGATCTCAAGTTCTCCCAGGAGTCGCAAGTATGCCTCGTGACAATAAGCCGTTCATATTGGCCCTTTTGTGAAACGCAGCCTTGCTGTATTCTAGGAGAGTATTGGAAGAATGATCTGATCTGATTCGAAGCATTGCTAGTCTTATCTCAGACAACGAAATCAAGGGAAAACTCGGCGTCTACATCTCCCAACCCTGGAGATGGCACAGGTCTCCCTAGCCTTCGGAGCAAAGGCCCAAGAGAACACGACAAACTTGCGCCAGTATCCGGGGATGAGATCAACCCAGCTTCGTTTCATCTCGTATCGCCATGTAAAAACGCACCTGCTCGATATTCTCTCGAAATGAGGTCAGAGTTTCTTTTTTTCTTTTTTTTTTCAGGAGAACATCAAGGTGCTGTACTACATGACCAGGTCCTCCTGGAAAAGTTGAAGTCGTTCCTTTAGGCGTTTGAAGCGAAATCTATTACTCTCCTAGTCTACTATTTGGATGCCCTGAAAGCACTAAAAGCTATAGATTATCGAACGCCGTCAACGAATCTCTGCTAGCAAGACTACACAAAATATCCCAAACCCTGGTTGGAGAAGACCTACCTGCCTACATCACCCATACTTCTTGGGTCTAGACAGTGGCTGTCGCTATCAAGCAGCGGATTGCGGATACGTTGCCCAGAGATCGCTCCGAAGGATTGGTGAATGTCTTCTGTTTGACAGATCCGTCGAGACATGACAATCCTATTGTATTTTCTAGTAAAGGTGTGCTTAGACAGGATATCAGACCAATAATAACTTAGCTAAACAGTATTAGAGTTCCATCGAATGACACAAGTGAGTTAGATTTTCGCAATCGGTGCTCTCTCCGTTATGACATGCCAACCGATGACTACCTAGATGCTACATGTTATAAATATCGTCTGGACAGCCTACCTTAGGGAGGTAGGTAAGCAATAGCCAATGGCACTATCATAGTACGGAGCTGGCTATGCCCTGGGCCAAAATTGTCGCGCCCTTCAGGGGCCTGGTACGAACCGATCGAGCACGAGATGAATCAAGGAGCACTACGAGGTCCTTCTAAACTACCGCCGGGACGGATCCCCATTCATCTTGTTATAGTAGCGCCTCTCCTAGACGACCGCGAGATTATTAGGTACCACATCAGCGCCCAGGTAGACGGTACCCATCACCACCACCACCGTCGCCGCTGCCGTCGCCAGGACGATGCAACAACAAGACATATAGATACACCACCTGTCTAATTGGAGTAGCAGTCAGTGACATTTGCGAATTCCGATCTATCCACGTATTATACATCTGCTTGCTTTAACTAGACCCTTTCATATCCTACTAGTGTCTTCCTTCCTACGGCTGTAGGCTACAATTTATCGCATCTGAGTCCCGTTGTTGAGCTCGTCAAGGGATATCGGACTATGGGCTAAGACAAGCCGTGAGGCTGGTCCGAAAGGGATACACACACGAGGTCCTAAGATGTCCGTCCCAGTAGCCAAAACGGTAGACATTTCTATCATGTGTATTGACGAAGCCAGTACCATCGTTCGGGTACCTTAGGTTAGGTACTTATGCTTTCATTCAAAGTCTTTTTATGTCTATCCCGAGGCCATAAGAACTGGTCAAAAATAAACCGCCCCCAATTGATATCAACGCCACCAGGATTCTTGAATTGGCAATCAACACGTTATCCACCGCCATGCCGAAAAATAAAAAAAGACAAAAGACAAGAGAATAAAAAGAAAAGTCCGAGCTGACAAGTCTGACCCAACCACATATTATAGATATCGGTTCCCGACTCAAGCTCGAAAACAAAATATGCTGGCTGGCTGGCTTCATTACGAACGTGGCCGTATCCTTAAAAAGTCGTTTCTATGCTGATTCCGCCTGGGCTAATAGACGCGCTCTCCAACCATCACATACTTCCTCGAAACCCCCAACGACTTCCCTACATACAATCGCGCACTCGCGCTTTTGTAGCCTCTCGCCCCAGTTCCCTTTCGTAAGCCACCTCTCTCCTTCCTCCTTGAGCTCCTCTTCGCGTTTCATCTCCGCTACCATCTCCTTAGCCGTCCTTAACCGCCTCGTAGCAGTGGTCGTGGTCTGTCGTGACATGTGCAGGGTATCAGAGAGGTAGTTCAGGGTTTGCACGAGGTCAGACGTTACGGAATGCAGCGCGCTCAGAGAGTTTAACGCGGAGGTCGCGGGCCGCGGCATTTCTTCCGAGACGGAGGTGAGTAGCGGTAGGAGGGAATCGATGGTCTCGGGGTCTGGGGGTTGGACTAGTGGTGATAATAGAGGGAAGGTGAGGTTATGGATTTGTCGCGTTTGATGCGCAAGATGTGTTGCCAAGGCCGAGTGAGCCGTTATTAACCTATGATGATAAAAAACACGGGTTAGATAATATTCCAAAAAAGAAAGGAAAAAGGTCAGTAGAATGCAGGAATCATCGCTCACCTTGTTGTGCTGCCCTCCACGCCCGACTGGGACCCGAGGTCTCTCAGCCCATCTGTCAATCGCCGAAATACGCCATCACTAGGACTGCCATTGTTTTCGGTACCCCTTCGGGCCAGAGATTCTACGGCGTCCATCCTTGCAACTAGACTCGGCGGCATGCCGGGCGATTCTAGATCAGATTCGGAACCATATTCGCTCCCATCGTATGCGCTTCCGGTCCGTCTGTGACCGCGCCCAGGGGGGGAAGGTATACCCAGACTCGTGTTCCTCGTCTTTTCTCGGTGGTCCGGCTGGCTTTCTACATCAACCCCACTATCTCTAATTCCATCATTCGCCGCCTGATCTAGATCCCCGAGTTGCGACCGTTCTTCCCCGTCTTCGTAATATTCCTCCTCGCCAGATCCCGACAAAGCGTCGGCCAACTCGTCCGCTAAATTTCCAAGACCGTTATCCTGGCCCATACCACCACCGCTGAGTTCATTAAGCTCGGATTCGTTCATACTGCTGCGTAAGGGTGTTAAAGGGTCTTGGAAGGAAGACTTCGAATGGCGTCGGCTGCGAGGGGACATATTGGGACTTGAGTTTTGAAAGGAGGTATCGATCGCAGAGCCTCGCCGAGAATGGCTGGGGGTATGCGGTGATCTCGACATATTTGCGAATCCGATACAGAACGCTCGCTAGATCCCACAGCGTATAATATAGAAGGCTTTTTAAAAAAGCAGTAACTTCGTTGTGCGTATAGTCGAGTGGACCATGTGTAGAGACGATGTCTTAGTCCAAGTTATCATACAAAGAAGTTGAGACGTCAAGAATAGGTTTGTCGTTTGTATTGTTCTATCCTTCTCGGAGAGTCTATGTCGCAGGGTTTGGTGATCCAAGAAACTTTTTTTTCTTCTCTCTTCGATATCGAGTCGGTGATGTGGATTGATTATTGATTTTAGGTACGCACGAAAAGTTGCTTGAGAAAGATCAAGTATTGTACACCCAATAATAGAACGGTTTATATTGAACGAAGGTAACAAGGGTTCAATGTTGGTAGTAGTAGGTACTACCCTGACAGGTCTGACTGCTGTGTAATACCAGGTAATCAGATGTAAAATAAGAACCACATTTTATTAAGATACAATACTTGACTTGTGCTAGTGTTGCGTGTGTAAGGTATGGCTGCGACGGGACAGGCACCTGCCGATTTAGGAACATGTACTTATACAAGACATTATCTAACGCATTAAATTCTTTAGCTCGTCGAGTGTCGAGGTTTTCCGGCTCTTCAATTAGGATATTTTGAGTTTGAGAGATAAATGGCCCTAACCTAGACGGCTTTAAGAGTCCGCCGCTAGCCCCACCTTCATTTTTGTTATATTCCGTGCTTTTGGAGGGGCAGATGCCCTCTGGTTACGTTACTTAAGGCACTTAAGCCTTAAGGCTTCTTAGCCTTTAGGTATCAGGTACCTAATATCGCATACAAGGTTGATTCTTGTACAGTATTTCCATTGTATTCTCGTTCGTTAAACCAACAGGACCTACATTTTTTTTTTGTTCACTTTTATATATATCACTAAAGATATGCAATGAACAAGTGACTGAGCCATAAAAAAAGATCTACAATCTTGGTATTATATACACTACTCCTAATCTTATTTCCATTAAGCCCCCTTTTTTTTCTGCCTCGCAATTCGCTTACCTCCACCTGGGCTTTCATGCAACCGGATGTCAGCAAATTAGACATATGCCCAAGCGTCTTCGACACAAGAAAAATCCGATTTTAACTGCTTGGTAGCTTAAGTGGAAATTAATAATCCAGCAGCCATGGCCTCTTTTCGACGTTTCCGCCCGGATGACTTAGACAAATTCTCCAAATGCAATCTTGACCCGTTGACCGAGACGTACGATCTAAGCTTCTATCTTCAATACTTTGCGAAATGGCCCTCACTATTCCAAGTCGCCGAGGATCCCAACGGAAACATAATTGGTTATAGTATGTCAAAAGTCTATGCCAGTCTAACTAGGTTACTCATCACTCTACAGTTATGGGCAAGTTGGAAAGCTCCCCAGATTATTTCCAGTACTCTGAGCATTATCTACCATGGCACGCGCATATAACTGCCCTTACCGTGGCCCCTGAAGCCCGTCGTCTTGGCATTGGAAAGATTCTCACAGAAAGCCTCGAAGTTGCTGCAGAAGCTGGCGACGCTTGGTTTGTCGATCTGTTCGTGAGGAAAAGCAACACCAGAGCTATTAATTTTTACGAGAGTATGGGTTACAGCGTATATCGTGTAGTCAAAGATTACTATGGCGATAATGTTAACGATCCCACTGCCCACGGTGAAGACGCCTACGACATGCGTAAACCCATGTCCCGGGATAAGACACTGAAACACATTCGGGAGGATGGAAGAAATCACGAAGTTCAGCCCGAGGATGTCTTTTAGCGGAGTTAATTGTGTTAGCGACCTACATTGCGCCGTCGACAGAATATACGCTTCCGCTCACGTACGTCGAGTCGGGACCTAAAAGGAAAGCGATGACATGGCCGCACTCCTCCGCCGTGCCCTGTCTGCCGAGAGCCGCCGTATCATCAAATGGTGCGTCAGATGGTCGGTTATGGATTTTCCAGCTCTTCTCCATCAGCGGAGTAAATATGGCACCCGGAGCCACCGCGTTCACACGCACTTGCCGGGCTCCGTTTTCTTTGGCAGCAGCTTTTGTCAGGCCTATAACACCATGCTTGCTGGCATCGTACGCTCCGTGTTTGGCAAATCCTAGATTGGCGATCAGCTCTGTCGTTCTTTGGGCATAAGACTGGGCCATTGGCTAGGTACCTTGAAGCCCGTGGATAGAGGAAACATTCACAATAGAACCACCGTCAACGATTTTCCGAAGCTCCGCTCTTAAGCAATACATGGTCCCCGTGAGGTTAACTGCGATTATCTTATGCCATTCGTCGTCGTCGAGGTCAGCAACCTCTCGTATGCCATGATGTTTGCCGATGATACCCGCAACATTAGCGGCACCATCGAGTTTGCCGTATTTCTGGATGATACCATCGATCCAAGATTCCACCTCTTCCCGCTTAGAGACATCAACCTTGGTAACAGTGAAGGACGCGTTTTTACTGGTAAAGTATTCCTCCGCCTTGCTTATAGCCACAGGGTCGATGTCGGCTATACAGACGATCCCGCCGCGTTTGGATAATATCTGTGTTGTTGCAAACCCGATTCCGCTAGCACCACCAGTGATTGCAAACACTTTGCCATCAAGTGTGGCCATCGTTGCTCTTTATTATGATTTATTTTGTAATTAAGGGTAAAGGCACAATCACGAAGTAGTGGTGGCGGGGTAGGATCGTTTAGATAACACCTATTAAAGGGGGATTTATATGCGGTTTTACGGGTTAGTGGGCACCGAGATTCGAAGGTTCAAAAAGGATCTTGCGGATGATTCCATCTTTCGGTTCAACTATACAGAAGCCCGGTAAGTTATAAACATAGATGATTCCGGTAGAAAACCAGGATTAGTTTTTGACGTTAATAGTATGGATACTCTACCCCTTTATCATGCAATACCGACACCATGCCATTTTTTTTCTATGAGTTATCCCCTTCGACTATCTAGTTATCTTTATATGAAAAGAAATGTCTTGGCGGATTAAAACCGAAGAAGACAGGATGAACTGTTCATTGATGCTCCTTTATAACTCTCCATAACGGTACGGTTAAGCTTGTCGTTTCCGAGGATATGTGATACTATCAACCTTTTATCTAGTTGTTCGGGAATCGGGATACTTTAGAAGGTAAATCAGGACTAATAAGATTGTAAGAGATGAGGATGAACGAATAGTACCAACTTGTGGGGTAGTGTGATTTTTAGGAGGGGTTAGTAGTGAGTACGAGAGGGGTTCAATCCCGCCTGGTTTCTATTCAGCTCCTTTAGCCTCGGCGCCCCCAACTCAAATTAAAATGCATCTAGGTACATAAGCCAGAAGGATCTCAACTTGCAGCTAATAGCTGCAATAAGGCGAGAGGTTACTGTTGGACGAGGATACCTACCACATCCCTGTAGCGTAGGTACGTACGTACCTACCCTATAGGACCTCTCCCAGCCCCTGAAAGTACGAGTTTTGTGGAGAAATGTCGTCACTCCTTATTCGTGAATGGCTTATTCGAGCTTCCGTTCGTTCATCCCTCTTACCTCGTAGCCTTCGAAACCTGGGGGAGGTGGATCCTATTAACTATTCTGTAAGGTACTTATTTGTGTTCAGCCTGCCCGCACTCCATCCTTGGAGTTCCTTTCCTTCTTTCTTTCTCCAACTTCCGGATGGAGGCTCAGCGTTCTCTAGATCTAACATTCTCTTGAATTCGCACACCTCACTCTCGCGCTGCTCGTTGGTTAATCGTTGTTTTTTGTTTTGCGCCGATCACTTCTAAATATCTTAGATAGCATTACTTTCGTCCTCCTGGTGTCCGACGACATTATACACAACATACATTAGCTTTATGTTTAGTTATCCAACGCATTGTCCTTCCTCTCATCTTTCTCCGTTAGCTTAGAAATAGAGTATCCGTTTGATCCGTCGCCATGAGGCTGTGTCTCTGGCCGGCCCTTACGGCGCTGTGCCTGGTCCTCGTCGATGCTTCGTCCCTAACTCCTCCCGTATTACCGTTAATCGTGCGAAATCCGTATTTGAGTATATGGCTTGCCCGCGCCCGGGATGCTCCATGGAAAAACTGGCCGATATTCTGGACTGGTAGCACCGTCGGTTTTGCTGTTATGGCTTCGGTACCCGAGACTAAAACAGTATATCCTTTGTTGGGTCGTTCGCAGGACTTCCTTAGGAAATCTTCGGAGTTAGTGAATAGCATCTGATTTTCAACGCGAGGCTATCTCCGAGCTAATTGTTATATTAGGTATGAGATTTCCTTTCCTGAATACGACGGCGCCACATTCGATGCCTCGACCACGAATCTCACCTACTCTATCCCGGGGTCCGATGTGAAAATTACTCTCTCGTTCTTGTCTCCTATCACACCCACATCGACATTTAGACAGTCCATACCAGCGTCCTACCTCACATGCATTGTAGAAGGTTCTACCGACGTAAGCCTCTACGTGGATATTAATGGGGAATGGGCCAGTGGCAATCGAGACAGCAAGATCCAGTGGGAGCTCGTCCGGACCGAAAAGAGGGACAGGGCAAAGACTCCCATCAAAACTTGGAATATCAAACGGCATCAAGAGCAGCTCCTAACCGAGTCTTGGGATCACGCTGAATGGGGAACCATTCATATTTCTGCCCCGGCTGATGTAGAACATCAGTCTGGTGAAGCGAACTACATACGACGTCATTTTGCTCGGTACGGGTCATTGAAGAATGAAGTCGACGATTCTTACCGTGGAATTTTCGAGGAAGAACCTATATTCGCCTTCGCCAAAACTTTCAAGCTGAAGAAAAAGTCTAACGAGTCGTCTGGTGTCGCTCGGGATAGCGTTATTTTTACTTTTGCTCTCACCCAGAATCCTGTTGTTCAGTTTGCTTCAGCTAGGGGCTTGACCTTGATGCGTCCCTTATGGGATTTTTATTTCTCGGGTACTCACGAAATGCTGCAATTCCACTATGATGATTACGAAACTGCAGCTTATCTTGCTAGCAACTACTCAGAACAACTTGCCAAAGATGCCTATGCTTCCGGTTCACAAGATTATCAAGATATTGCGGCGTTGTCAGCTCGCCAAGTGCTTGGAGCGACACAGTTTTCGGGTACACCAGATAACCCTATTATATTCCTCAAGGAGATTTCCTCGAACGGTAATTTCCAGACAGTCGATGTTATCTTCCCAGCGTTCCCGTTCTTCTTATATACCAACCCTCAATGGCTAGCATATCTACTGGAGCCTCTTCTCGAACATCAGTTAAGTGGCCAGTACCCCAACGATTACAGCATGCATGATCTTGGATATCATTTTCCCAACGCGACCGGACACAGCGACGGCAATGATGAATATATGCCCGTCGAAGAATGTGGTGATATGCTCATCATGGGTCTTGCTCTTGTCAATGCCCTCAGAGACGACCCACAGCCTCAGTTTGCCCGGACTGTACCTGAAGCAGCCTTAATACTGAAGTCAGAGTCTGTGAAAAGGTCGTTGCTGGCTAATGAATACGGAATGGATCGTACATGGGAGGACCTAGGCACCACGGGTGAAAAGGCGGCTGCAAGATGGGTACGACGTTCATACAAACTATGGAAGCAATGGACAGGGTACCTTGTCCGGGAGTCGCTCATCCCTGCGAATCAACTTTGCACTGATGACTTCGCTGGTTGGCTGGCCAATCAGACAAACCTGGCGCTCAAGGGCATCATTGGTATCAAGGCCATGAGTGAGATTGCCAACGTTGTCGGTGAGAAGGCGGATTCCAAGTGGTACAGTAACGTAGCCGACGAATACATCGACAAGTGGCAAGACTTTGGATTATCCCGAGACAAAACACATGCAAAGTTGGCGTACACCTGGTACGGATCATGGACGACGATTTATAACCTTTTTGCCGATGCTCTACTTTGCTTCCACGTACCTGCTAATGCATCTCCGCTCGAAACGAGTAGAATTTTGGGCTCAGAACAGCAACCCATGGGGGATGAGGGTATCAATAAGTCGAAGTCGACGTTCATTCCCGACAAAATCTACCAGATCCAGAGCGACTGGTACCATGCTGTGCTCCAAAAATACGGTTTGCCGCTGGATAGCCGTCATCTATATACGAAGAGCGACTGGGAGTTCTTTGCGGCTGCTATAACGAGCGAGAAGGTCCGCACGGAGATCTTGCAGCACGTTGCAACATGGGTCAACGAGACTGCAACAGGTACGCAATAGTTTCATCATGCTTTACCCCCTCTTAATATAACAGCTATACTAAACCAAGTTTTTGCAGATCGTCCACTGACGGACCTTTACGAGACGGAGGGCGATGGTGGATTTCCTGGTCCAAACTTTATGGCTCGCCCTGTAGTAGGAGGTCACTTCGCATTCCTTGCGTTAGAGAGGGCATGCGGCGGCAGAGCATCGGAAGGTCTGAAGTTCCTAGATAAAACAGCTCCTGCGGAGATTGATGTGGAACAAGCCTTGAGAGCCGAAATCGCTATAAACCAGCCCCATATGGGCGAGTTGTAGTGAGAGGTACCTAATGTAAAACGAAGAGACTATCCAACTCCAGTTTGAAGATACATGTATATTTGATGGAGGTATATATGTGTGTGTATTTTGCGTACAAGTTAGAATAAAAGTGGTAAGAAGCCGTTCGTTTGTATTGCCATTTTACCATTCACAAGGAAAGATTAAATAAAGGAAGGTGTACTTCCAGATCTGCAAGTGTTTCTCGTCTGCAGCTTCAATATAATCGCACTTCCCGTATTTTCCCGTATTGAATTGAACAATGTGATTGGAGATAGTTTTTAAGAATTGATTGGATATTAGGTGACTGGTGACTGCCCAGGTGGTTTCGTGCGGATACCTATACCTACCTAGTATACCTATGCACTTGTGAAAGTGCTTCCCAGGCAATTAAAGATATGCCTTTAAACATATCTCCTGTATTGTACATGCCTGCCGCGTTAAATCCATTAAGGTTAGGTAGGCAGGTAGGTACCTACCTAATGCGAAGGCAGGTGCTTACATGTATGTGGAGAACGAGACGCGTCGATGTTATGTTAGGTACTTCGTAGGCAGGTACGAATAAGAAAGTACAATATAATACATTTGTACCTACCTAGGTACCTAAGCAGCTAAGGTAAGACATACCGCACCTACGGTACGTCCGCAGCTGAACAATTTTACCTCCCCATTTTTTTTTTGCCCCTTCAATACTTCCCATTCCTCTTTCACCCATTCCATCTTTTCTCCTTTTGTAGCAGGCCCTTCTTTTTCAACCAGCCTTGCCTGAGACCTCAACTTTTCTCAGTTTGCATCATCTCAAAGGAAAGGGTTTAATTGTGTTTGTACCTGCGATTTACAGGTTCTTCTGCGCAGCACTGCATTGTACGCGCCCTTCATTCGGAGAGTGAATCCCACAGCCCTGCATCAGTACAGAACAGAACAGGTTGCAACATTGCAACTGCTATTTCTCATTACAACGGACGTTGACGTATACACAACCATTGAAGTAGCAGGTAAGTCCGACACTATTTTGCATCTTTGCTCTTTCTGTTTCAACCATTAGTCCGTACGACCATTTAAACCTCCCACCTGTCACTTGGCACCACTGTTGTTCATCTCCATCTTCCATTCTACAACACAACTTCGTCCAACATCTTGACTACACTCTTCTACCATCATCACCTCGACAACTTTCAACAATTGTTTTTGTTTCTTTCAGTCTTGGCGCGACCATTTCCTCTCCACAACTGGATTTCCCACACAGAACGCGTCCTCATACGCATCACCTATTGGTTTACTGTCGCGTCGGAACGCACCTACTCATCACATTCTCAGTCACATCTTACTAGCAGCCTTCAAAATGGCCACCACTGCAATGGATTACGAAACCGCCAACGGCGACCGTTTTGATGGTAAGTTGCAGCCCTGTATTACTATCCACAATATACACACAAAACAAAAAGAGATGAATCATCCTAATTATATGGCTGCCTCGTAGATGATGGTCCCCGCTACGAGCGTGATCAGCGAAGCGCGTCTCCCCGAGCCTCTCGCGATGACGGAATTGAGACGTCGCGTCGTCGGTCTGCCTCTCCCGCCGCCAACCAAGACCGGTAAGTTCACTTCAACAATAAAGATAATAAACTTGCATATTGAAGCCTATTCCTAACTTCTGAAACTATAGTGCCCCCAAAGAGGACAATGGCAACAAGGACGAGGATGGTTCTGTTAACCCTGGATCTAACCTCTTCGTGACTGGAATCCATCCCAGGTTGACCGAAGCCGAGGTCACCCGCCTTTTCGAAAAATATGGCGAGGTTGAGAAGTGCCAGATCATGAAGGACCCTCACACCAAGGAATCCCGCGGCTTTGGCTTCGTGAAGATGGTTACATCTGACCAAGCCGATGCAGCTAAGGATGGATTGCAGGGAGAGGAAATCGAGGGGCGAACCCTCAGCATTGAGAAGGCTCGTCGTGCCCGCCCTCGCACTCCTACTCCTGGCAAGTACTTCGGCCCCCCGAAGCGAGGTTAGTAAAAATATCCCACGGCCTAGAAAAATTACTTTTGCTGACTAGGTTCTTGTAGAGGGTCGTCCTAGATTCGATGATCGTCGCCGTGGAGGTGGCTATGGTGGCTACAGCGGACGTGACGACCCTTACCGCTACCGAAGCTATGACCGACCTCGCTACGATGACCGCGGCGACCGCGGTTACCGTGAGGATCGAGGATATGATCGTAGCTACCGTGACGCTCGCGGTGGCGGCGGTGGCGGCTATGGCGGCGGCCGAGAGGATCGTGGCTATGACCGCAGCTATGATCGCAACTACGGTAGGGATGATCGACGTGAGCGTGGTGGTGGTGCTAGTGGTGGTGCTGGTGCTGGAAGCGGTGGAGGTGAGGATGGATACGGACGAGTTGACCGCTATGCTGGTCGTGAAGACCGAGACCGCTACGGTCCTCGGGGAGGAGATGACCGACGTGGCCCTGGCTACGAGCGTGAGCGCTTCGACCGTCCCGACCGTGATGGCGGTGCCCGAGCTCGTGATCCCGCCTCATCTGGCTACGGCGAACCTGCAGCTCGACCCGAGGCCCGTGAAAGTTACGGAGGTGCGCCTTGATTACTGAAAAAAACGACTATCCGACATGCCTAGCCTGCCGCTGCTAATGCGTCATTCAGGAAACGGTCGCTATATGCGTTAAGGGTGTCTACTCTGCACTCGCGTCTAATGGTTCGGTGCTTGATGGTAGTATCGTCTCCTTCATCTTGTGTCATTTCTCTTCAGGCTTGCGAGTACGGCGGATACCATAAAAGATGTGACATATGGAGTTTAATACGGCAGGTAAAGGGAAGGAAAAGGCATCGACCACTATGTTTTTTTCTCTTTTCTTTTCTTTTTGTTTTTTCCTATGATCTCTGATCCTCAGAAACAGGGTTCGCCAGATACGGGTATGAGGGTGTTGTCGTTTGATTTCGCCTGCTTGTAGGTGAATTTCCTCGGCGCGTCAATATAGGAGTCAGTCAGCCTGGCAACGACGATTTAGGATGATGGCACAGGCAACATTTCCCCCTTCCCCCTTTCATCCAATCGCCCGTCCCCTTGGATCACGAAAAAAAATACGTCTGCGGCGTGGACAGCACAGCAATCCTTTCACCTTTTCAGCCTGCTACTTGTACTATTATTTTCACTTCCGAGGTTTATCTCTTCGAGCATGACGAGCATGACGACTGAGCAACATCCATCAGCATTTTGCCGGGCGGATATTCGAGACAGCTCTGCAATGGTGGTCCTGCAGGATGCAACACGTAATTGATCGCAAATTCCCAGAAAGGTGCACCCTTGAGTCGAATCGACTAATGTTTCCGTAAATACCATGAAATTTGGCCTCTCAATATTAAGTCGCTGCATTCAGCAAATACACATTTAAAACGCCGCGCCAAACGATTTTTAATGTTCCTAATAGGCTCCCAGCAATTGTAAATGGGAGCCAACTTTCTCACTTCAACGCCATTTGCATCGCCTAGCCAATAATCCATAGTCGCCTTCGCAGCAGATTTCTAACCGAGCCTTTTAATCCGGCTCATGATATTGCTCCTACGTTAGCAAGAGCGCACAAGGTAAACCCCCCCAGTTTTGGGACTATTTGCTGACGAATGTTGTGTTTTACAGTGTATTATCCGTGACCATCTACTGGAATGCGTGGCATGCCTGGATGATCCCCCTTTCCGTATTTTACCTAGCCAACCTTACAACGATCTTTCAGTAGGCCGTGTAACCCAGTTAGGTATTTAGATGACTTGATTTCATGCGTGTAGTGATATGTTCATTGTCTGGGCTTAGGTAGAGTTAGGTACATAGCAGACCTAGTTAGGTATATTTAATGCAAAACTTCTGTCACCTAATTCTACGTATCTCTTCATTTTGTAGCCTTGGGGGAATGATGGTGATTTTTACGTGGGATGGTAGTAGTCTTGAAACGGGTTGTTTACTGCTGAAACCGGCGACAATAGTACTCAACATTCCGTAATCTTCTTTGTCCAAATTCTAACTAATGCTGGAAGAGCCTAAGTTTAGAGTACCCTAGGTAGACATGTTTCTGAGGGCGGTCTTTGTGGTAGTCATTGCAAGGGCAGGGGAGGGTTGGCCCAGCTTGACGGAAACGTCCAAAACCAATGGTGAAGACATGCGGCCGAAAGAGGAAAACTCGGAACACAAAGTCAACTATAGACTTTAGTTGATAATCGAGATGTATTCAGTCAGCTCCTCCGGGTCTAGGTTGTTGTTCGTACTACACTTTGTCCTGTCGATTTTTCACGTTTTGATACGACGACCGCGTCGCTTCAATCTCTTCATCAATATCTTTATTGAGATTTAGTTATAGTAGGTAGACGTAGATACGCCTACAATGGAGGGAATACGTACCAGTGTGAGGGATAGTAAGAAGAGGTCCGAGCTGCGGTATCTACGAAACGAATTAAATCGTCTTAAGACGTACCTGGCCATACACGAATATGACCTTGGACTACCGGAGCAAAAGGCAAGGGGTGCGTATCTTATATCACTATACAGAGTTTTCAGAATTGGAAAACCTCCTTTCTTTATTTTACTAAATCTAACATACTTATTAATTTCCACAAACAGATGTACCTAGACTTGCGCGGAAGAGACAAAAGGTAAAGCAGGGAAGGCAGCGTGGTCGTGTAGCGCAATACGCTCGCGAAAATACGAGAAAGAGGCAGTCTGGGCTCCCGTTCGAGGTTCGAGGAGATGTTGGAAGCAGCATCGACAGGAAGCTAGCATCATATCGAAGCCGCATCAAGAAAACCTCGATCCAGCTAGTCGTTACTGCTGCTGCCGGCCACGAATACCGAGAAGCAAAACTAGCGGACCAGGATGGTGGTGCTTTCAACAGTATCGATGTCAGCGACGATAATGACATTGGTGAGAGCAGTGGTAGCGACGTTGGTGATAGCGACACGGACATCACGGATTTTAGCGCTGGTGAAATTAGTCTCCCAACAGATGTGCTTCCTGCAGCTATGATGTCCCAAATCGAAAACTTGCCGGGACCTGGAGACTGGGCGGACAAGCTCACGCAACCGGTCATCGCCATGTACGCGAGAAGAGGGTCCATAAAAGATAATGAAGATGAAGATGAAGACGAAGAGGAGGACGAGGACGAGGACGAGGATGAAGAGGAGGACGAGGATGAGGAAGTGGAAGAGGAAAGGGGTTCAAGATCACCACACAAGCCCATCGTTCCACAGCCAGAAGTCTACGATCCGAAGCGGTGGAGAGATATCAATCATGAAAGCAATGCAGAGATCCTCAAACCAGACCCTAGATTTATCCGTACCGATAAGTTTCCTGGGGAGATAGGAGTCATGACTTGGGAGCAACAAGAGAAAGCTTACCCGACGCTGAACTCGATCCTGGAGAGGACTGAGGAGTACGGTCGATGGGATCCGGGCTATCTAGACAAAGACAAACCGGACCCAAGACTATGGGACCCAGACCAAAAGGAGCAAAACGAGTCGAAGCCTAACGCGCAACGGATCCCTCTAGAAGCCAATCTTACCACCAAGGTATCGCTCGAGAGGGTCCGGACAGGGTTTGAGCGGCCAGAGATGAACATCGACTACACTCCGTACTCGCAGATCCCGGCCGTCTTGCCGGAGAATCCGAGCGTCGAGGTCATGATGCGCGGCCCCCTACCGACGCCCCCGAGGTTGCCGCTGAAGGGGCCGTCCGGTCGCATCATAGCACCTCCGTCCAAGCCAAACACGCCTGCGAAACAGCCCGTCCACGCGGATCCGTACTCGAAAACGCCGTCGCAGGATCCGAAAAACGCAACAGCGCCTAGCGCCCTACTCGCACAGTACCACTACCCTATCGACTCGCCCGCGACTTCGACCTTCAAGCTCAAGGACAGGGGTTCCGTCGAGGATGTAGTTAAGCCAAAGCCGGCTCCAGTAGCAGCAGCGGTAGCGGTAGTCAGACCTGTCCAGACCCCGGCTCATACCCCGGCTCAGTTCCTCACCCAGTTCCAAACCCAGACTGGGTCTCCAAAGATCAAGGAGGAGGAGGAGGAGGAGGAAGCGGGAATTACATATATAGCCCCAACGGTGACGGAATACGAGGAGGAGCTGTCCGACTATCTTAAGCCGGAGGACGACGCCACGAGCACGAGGGAGGACTACGTGATCGACGACGTGCAGAAAATCAACCCCTTCGCCTCGTCGCGTCAGGAGGCCGAACAGACGTGGAGGAAGAAAGTGCTGGACCAACAGATAGCGCGGCAGAAGAAGGCGCACGAAGAATATTTGCAGCGGATGCCGGACTTGGCGTCCGTGCCGCTACTAACTCCGCTGCCGTCTGCCACGTTCGCCGACCGGCACGCGCCGCCGCCGCCAACGCCCTTCGACATCCCGCTCTCGCTCCACCGAGAGCCGCCGACGAGCGCGAGCACCCACATCAGCGCGCCGTTCGGCGCGACGGCCGATCCGTGGTGGCATTACACGGGCAGCGACGTCGACACGGTGCTGTATCCGCACCTCACCGGCACCGGCACCAGCATTACTAGTGCCGATGTCAACAACCACCACCACCACCACGCCAGCAACACCAATGCGGTCCCCGCGGCGGAGACGATTGCCCAGGCCCAATACACGCCGTTCAACCTCGCGCCCCCGCCCCGAGGGCCCCCTTCCCCTCTCGACCTCTCGGCTGCCGTGCGCGCGGACGACGATGACGACGAGCAGCAGCAGCAGCAGCGGCTGCTGCAGGCGCAGATCCTGGGCGAGGCATCTGCCGCCGGTACGGATGTCTATGCTGCTGCTGCTACTGCTGCTGCTACCACCACGCCGACGGCTAATGCGGCGGCGATGCCGTCCCCGTTCCCGCTGCCGCTGCGGTCGGCGGGGTTGAGTCAAGGGGGCTTGAGGACGGGGACGAGGAGTGGGGGTGTGATGAAGAGAGGGAAGGATAAGAAGAAGGGACACGTGCGGTTTGGGGGCACGCAGACTTTGACGTTTACGAAGGATAGTAGGTAGGGAGGAGGAGGAGGAGGAGGAGGAGGAGGGGATAGGGGATAGGGGATGAGGTTGTGGCTTAAAATAGAAAAAAAAAAAAAGGGGGGGGGGGGGGGGGAATAAGGGGAGTGCTGGTGAGTGTATGTATGTTTCTTGGTTTCTAATCTGATTGGCATTTGTTTTGTTTTATTTTGCCTTTTTCACACGGCTGTCGTCATCTCGTCGTGTTCTCTAGCATGTTGCGATTCGAGGCTATGTTAGCAAGTAACTAATATGTAATGTGTGATGAGCAGGAGAAGTAGCACCAAAACTGAGGAAGGACCAAGATGGGTAACTGCTGGCGTTGATAGTATGAGTAGGCGTGGGTCAAGGTGTAGTTAGAAGAAAGGGCCGAGAAGAGAATTAGGTACTTGTACTTTGATTAACATAGACTTGATGGAGGGTTTTATTTTACCCCTTGAGAGATATAGGTGGGAAGATATGGTCATATGGTCTTTTAACCACTTAGAGTTGGGGACATTTGCCGATTTATGTACACGAATAGCTGCTTCAGTAAATCTCCCGTGCTCAAGAAGTGAACTGTACGAGACGAGTCTGATGGTAAAATCCAAAACTGCTTTTCTTTCACTCTTCGTTAGGTAATTCTGGCCCCTCCCCTATTTCCCATTAGGAACAGGAAGTGAGTGATATATCATATATCATCGCGACAATGCATTACATACCAAGGTATCTTCTGTAAACATTACGACTTCTGAACGTCCGGCGATAAACCTCTTTGAATTGGATATCATCTTCCTCATGCCGCAATGGCAGAACCACCCAAGCAATATCCGCATATATTTCATTCTCCTCGTTGTCACATCTAGCTCTTCTCGCCAGCCCTATCCACAGGTTGCGCGCCAATCAACCATCCTACGCCTGATGCCAACGTCCCAACCGCCACATCCCTCAACTGATCCCTCTTCCTAGCCCGCGGCTCTCCCGTCTCTCCGCGCGTCTCATCTGACCTAGCATTCTCACTGCGCCGCAAGCTAGACAGCGCCGTAAGATTACGCTGTGCTCTGGCCATGCTAGCGCGCGACAGGTCGAACAGCGACATAGGCGCCTCTTCGACGTGGCGCGAAGACGACGGCTTGCTGGCGTTCCTTACAACGCCCGCCGGCACGGTAGCGCTGAAAGCGCCGGGCATGACCTCCACGTCGCCCTTGTCGTCCCACGCCGATGCTTGTTCTTCTTCCGCTTTGGCCGCCGCGTTGAGCTCTTCCTCGCACTTACGGAACACGTTTAGGATCTCCTGCAGAGTCGCGGGGGGCGCGATGCGGAGCGCGGTCGCGAGACACTCTATTCGCTGCTCCAGGTGTCGGATGTCGAGGTTGCCGCTGGCTGTCCCGATATGCGTGGGTTTGATGGTGCGTGCTGTTCGGCGGTATTTACCCGCTTGTAGCGCAGCCTTCCATGAATAGTCATCTACTATTGGTGCCGTGTTGGATTTTGCAGCACCTAATTTTGCAGGGGTCCTGTTGTCTGCGGCTAATCGGTTGACAACGTACGAATATGCCGTCTCAAAGTCATCTTCTGTGAGCGCGGCATCCACGCACATAGCTATAATTCGTTTTTCAATCACTGATCGCTGCGCTGCTTGGTCTACTGTCGAGTTCGTCTGCCCAGCTTTGGTATTAGTCAACAGGCCGGCATCAATCATATTGGTCCCGATCTCGAGAAAGTCTTGTACCCGTGTGTAGCTCTTAGGGTTCTGTTCCAAAACTTTTCCAATTAACGAGATGGGATCAGGGTGGACCCGAAGCATAATTGGTATAAAGGGCTCTCCTTTTTTCAGGGTCAGTCGGTATTCGTTGAGTGCATGCGTAGTTCTTAAGAGAGCCTCGATCTTTTTAGACTCCGGATGAGTCTCTGGCAAGGTTTGAGGAAATGCGTGTATTCTGGCGTCGTTTAGAAGAATATTCCGTAGACCGACATGGAGAAAACTTACATATCATCGCATTTCAAGAGACCGCCACGGCCGCGGTGAAGATTAGACGCGCTGTCATAGGCTTTCATCGCGCAAGCAACAATAGTATCCCGTAGTAGGTCGCTGTCAAGTGGCTTCTCAGGCGCATCTTCGTATATAGACCTTGCCAGGGAGTAGCCTGAGAATTTTAGCATTAGACCCTAATCTAGGTGACTCTAGAACCTTACGTGTATTATTAAGGAACGCCTTAAGACATTTAACCTCGAGGAACTCCTTTTTTAATTGACTAAAGACTCCTTGAACCTGAGCATCAGGGAAGGCTTGAGCTTCTTCTGCGCCCCAATCTCGAAGCCATAAAAGCTCATTTCTTGTCCTAATCCAGTACTTATCATCGCTCTTAGGTCCATTTTCGCTTAGTTTGTTGATAAATGTTGTAGCCATCGCCTTCTGCTCCCGTTCGTCTTTCAGAAAAGCAAGTTCTCCTGCTTTCCGGACAGTACAAGGGGCACCGGCTTTGGTTAGGATAAAGGCGCTGAGAGTTAGGATATGTAATAATTGTGTAGACGTTTCATTTGGCGCAGTAAGAGGATTTGATTCGGCGAGTAAATCATTGCGCATGTATGTAGTGTTTTTGGCCAAGAGAAGTTGTTCTCCATTAGGATCGGTGTAAGGTGGAAGCAAAGATGAAGCAACTTGTAATGTAGGACAGGGATCTTGGTCTAATAAGGCCATAATCTTCGTGACGATGCTATTGACGCCGGTCAATGCTTCGACTGAAGCTTCTGGTATCAGATATGCCGAAGCTAACGCAGCACGAGCGTATCTCTGCTCTAGATGCTCCTGCTCATCGTCTTCTAACCACATAGAAGCGTAGCCACCCAGGTCCACATCACCTGGGCCATCCCACTGATCTATAGCTCTCACTGCCACTCCCCATGATTTGGAAGCTTGCGTAGTGATCCACTCAAGAACATGTTCCCATCCCGGACAAAGAGTATAGGGTGCGGATGGGTCCTGTTCGGAAGAAGGCTTTTTTTCATCGCCGCGTGCCCACCTCACGTCATTATATAGCCATGGTCCTATCAGGCCGCGAAGGTCCCTTCCGATGTAAGGAAGGTCGTCTTGGTTTGCGCCGGTTTGCGACAGGAGCAACTCAACTGCGGCTTCGTCGCTCATACGCTCGAAGGTAGACAAACTCTGAGCGGTCGGGTGGTGTGGGTAATATTCGTGATTCCGTCGAAGAAGGGGAAGTAGAACAGAAACCATCCATGTTCGAATAGCGGGCGCATGGTCGAGGAATGGTACTATTAGATCGGGCAACTGGGCAAGTAAACCAGCCTCTTCGTCGACTCGGCGCGCGCGATGGATTAAGAAAAGGGATATGAAATCTTCAGATTCATCCTTAGGCGCACCCTCCCACGCAAGAGGAAGCAGTCGTAACTTGCGAACCTTCTTTGCTGCCTCTTCGTCTGTTAAATCTTCTACCGAAGACCAATCCACCTCTCGCTGTTCGACATCCGTTTCCAAGTCCCCCGACTCGAGACGTTGGATGAGGGAGACATATTGGCTAGGCGGCACGGTCTCGGGTAGACATGTTAATAGTATTCGGAGTAACAAGTCCTGTCGCAGGACCTTGTCGTGCTCAGCGGCGAGCGCAGTCAAGCTCTCGATGTCAGACTTGGCAGCCAGGTGGGTAGCGAGGAGTACGATGCGCGGCGCAGAAGGAATTGACATCATTTTTACGGTGCTATATACATGATTTCGTTTATAGAAGGACCGGGAACCTTGTGAGGTTGGGTACCTAAGGTTGTTATCACTGGAGGGTTTTTGTTGAATAGAGGGTAAATAGAAGAGAAAGCTGTTAGTTACATAAGGTACCTATACCCTTACCTGCTTAGGTGCCAACTCTAGCCTCTGGGCTGTCTGGATTAGCTGGGTTAGGTACCTACCTAGGTACATTTTTAACTTAATTTGGATGCATTAGAGGTAGGTACTTGTACACCCAGGTAAGCATGTCCCGATACCAATTTATCGACCTGTGTGGCTTCCGCTATTCGTACCTACACGTATCTAATCCATGTATCTCTAGTTATGACGTACTTCCATTTCACGATCTGTTGGAATATCTTAAGAGCGAAAATAAATGTCCTGAATGATGAACTTGAAAGACCTAATGTTAAGTCCTTACGGTTATTGCCAACCGGCGTGTATTGATAAGATAAGATGGATTTTATTTCAATATGAACATCTACGTTGAACATAAGCCACGTATGATCTAGGGCTTCAAGTGGTTTTTTCTAAAAGACATTTACCAGTGTTTTAAATACCATACAAATAGAAATTGTATATGCTAAATTTTGAGCTGCTTGGATTAGGTTAGGTAGTTGGAAGAGCACATCGTAGAATAAGGTGTCTCCTTAGTATGCGGAACATTTTCACAAGGCTTACCTATGCACGGACTACTATGTACATATTATGCTTGCATCTATTATGCTAGGTATCCACATGCACTTGTTCATTCGTCAGACCTAAAAGCTTAGCTAATTCGGCTGGGATACATCATACAGCATCATTCGTCGAAATAGGTCAGAGCAATTGAACGTCGTACCTAATTTATCTTAGCAAGTCGCAATTGAATTCGCGTTTTCCCTCCCGTAACCACCGAACGACGTCCCAACTCTACACGCATAGCTCGACGTCATGTCATCCGGATACGGTCTTCATGGCGGTGCGTATATCGGAACAAAGGCATATCCAATAGTTCCGAAAGTGCTAATATACTTGATCCAATAGGCCCGGGCCGGTGCTTTCCCTTCTGGCAAGAGGTTCTAGCTTGCTACGTTGTCAACACATCGGCGGAGGACGACTCGGGGAAGAAGAAATGCGTGCCCGTCCTAGAGGACTATTACGAGTGTCTACATCATAAGAAGGAGGTCAGCATCTAACCCGATTCACCTACAACCTACAACCTATAACCAACCATCCTAGCCGGACGACTGACTGAATTTTATTGAATCGAACAGGCCGCAAGAATAAAGGCATTACAAGCAGCATACCGAAAAGCCGAAGCATCATCAGCACGAGAAAATGCGCCGAGCGCCGGCCAAATAAGGAGCCTGGGCTTGCTGGGCAAGGAAGAGGAGACGAAACAGGTCCTTAGCGGATGAGTACGAGACTTTTAAGAACAGGTACAGCCGTGTATATACAAGGTCTTCGGTGTATGAATTTAAGAATCAACGCAACCCGAATCAGACTTTTTTTTCACCTAGCAGGATGAATTGCTTAGGATAATTACGGCTCTATTGAGGATATCACCAATCTCCCAAAGTTGATAAAGATAAAGAGCTAAGTGATATATTCGATTATTCTCAATCCGATCTCTCTTCCTAAATCCCACCCTGAAGCCCTTACATCGGAAGATTTAGTTTTTGTCAGCTCTTGTCTCTGGTTGGTATTTTCCGGGTTGGTAAGTTTAATGATATATCACTTAGTGACTCCTATCGAAGTCTGTCAAAAAATAACATTCTTTCTCTAAAGGATTGAATTTTATTTTATTTTCATAAATAGAGGGTAAATATTTGATTTGGAGGTACACAAGTATCAAAGGATGCCCTATGTTATTCATAATATTATTACCTTAGGAGGTAGGTAGGTAGGCAGCTGCCTTCGGCTGGGTGGTAGTCACCAGAAACCATGTGCTTGATTAAGGGTAGGCAGATCCAAGATATTAAGATATTAAGGAAAGAACAAGCCATTTATTACAGTCACGCATAATTCACATACACCCTATGTGCACTTTCTTCACTCTTCATTGATTTCTTTTCTTTTGTTAACTGCGCTTACTTTTTTTTTTCTCCTTTTCCCTTGAAATTCAATCACCTTTAAATTTCCCCTTTTCATCAACTCGTTGCCTCTGTTTGTACAAACATCCCCAAGGCCTTTATAGACATTTCTCCCACTCCTCCCTCTCTACCATCATGCCATCCTTTCGTGGCATCGAGCTATCTATCGTGGCTAGCTCTGACATCAGGGGTTTACCTGAATATCCTCATCCGGATGGATCGTCTGTTCGCCTCGCAAGGGTTGGTCCTGGCTGTCATGATCTAAGAGATAAGGTCCGAAATGGCTCGCGCCATTCCCCTTCCTCCAACTATCCCATTGCCCAGTCAATCCTGAAGAAATCTAATCCCCGAATATCAGTCTATATTCCTTCAAGCCCTGGTAAGGCTCACTATCATACAATAGCTATTGACGAGTGACGTATCCGAGCTAAACTGGCTTCTAGGTTCCCAGTTTCGGCTCAAATATATTATTCATCAGCCAGCGCCGGCTTCAAGATTCGTCTATTTCAAGATTATTATCAATGGTGAACCTGCTGTCTCTTGGGGTATTGACACCAATCATTGCGCCGCAGGGAGCGTGTCGAGGGGTCTTTTCGAGCCTGGGGATGGCTTTAAAGACAAAAGCGGAAATGTCCCGGTAGGCATAGAGACGCGATACTTTCATTTCGTGCATGATCTCGAGAATCATCCGGCTTCCGAAGATGGTGGCCTAATCGAGGTTCAAGTCTTTCGTTGCCGAGGACGAAGGCGTATAGCCGTCGAGTTGGACTCGTATTCGCATGCTCACCAGGAACACCATGGCATTACGTAGGTTGCTTAGGTGTTACCTCCTAGGCCTTACTTCTTTTAGCTGATCATGTATAGGTCATCTAGTGGCGGTTTAGTCGATAGTCCTCAAGATGCTACCTTCTACGAATATCACCTAGAGGATGCAAGAGATTCGCCTTTCGCAACTTTTTGCTTCTATTACCGATCTGTACAATACCTTGAGCAACGAAACCTTATTCCTAAGTACGAGGCCAGAGTCCGACCAGCATCCATAAGCTCAGTGAAATCATCAAGTCTTGGTCTTCGGCCTTCTTTTGATGCCGAGTCACCAGATGATAGCGTGTTTAACGATCACATCAAACCGGTTAGTATGGCTATTTCGGACCCGTCAGAAGCACCCGAGCCAGAAGAATACTCATTGAGAAGTCCTCCGCTACTTGTAGCAGCTCACCAACCTGTCACCAACGTCGAAGATACGAATAAGGCAATGAGGGATGCCTTTTTGGCCAAATTACTACAAAGGCCATTGCCAGAGCTACCAAAAACAAGTTCCAGGCAGACCTCGAAGAGCTCACTTCGCTCAAACTGCCCATCTCTGACTCCGTCACTGAAACTATACGCCAAGAGCGAAGAGTTTGAAAAGGAGGAGGTAAAATTAGGTACAGCACAGTCGATGGTTCTACAATCCGCATCCATCAATGCGCTGGAGTCAAGAGATGTAAATGCATATAAGCGGGATGATGACGATTCATCTTCGGACTATGCAACCTCATTAGACTCAACCGAAACATCGCACTCGCCAGCCCTGCCCTCCCCGACCGGCTATGTTCCAACGACCGGCAGCGTGCTTGAACGGCAGCTCGACCAATTTGACTCTCCTATCGCTCAATCCTCACCAAAATCCAAGGCCAAGCTCCCGCTCTCTAAATCTCAAGCAAATTTGCTTAGCGATATAAGCTTCCCTGATGTCGAGAAGCTGAAAGTTAGTGAGGGCGAGTGGCTTAAGCAGGCGCCATCACCTCTACGACACAAAAGTCGACTAGGAAAGCATCTATGGAGTCCAAGGCCAGGGAAGCGTCGTGGCCGCTCTTCGATGATAGAACTACCTTCCCGCCAGACGGACTACGCGGATACCAAATGTTCTAGTGGCAAAGGCATTTCTCGTGATGTGCGAGCAAGTGCCACACACGACACAAGATACCTAAATGAAGCCCCCATGGGCAACTGGATCTAAAATAGCTGTTTCATTTCGTCGATTAGAGAGCAGAACACTCCTATGGCTAGGACGCGCACCGAATCTGCACCAGAGAGACTTGGGTCGTATACGTAGTATTAACTATACCTCTTACTTGCTTTCCTAAGATATCCGGAATTGGCTGTATCAGATGCAACTAATATCTAAAGCTAGATACATACTGAACTTAGGCTTTATTTGTATGAATTGTAATGATGGTGCCGATTTAAGGGGTTCGATATATTTACTATATCTTACTAGGAACCCGAACCCCGCTGTTCGCATTGGGGTTTACTAAAGTATCGACTCTTTATCTTACTACGCAATCATTGCATTAGGTACCTTAAAACTTCGAACAACTCATAAGTGATAACGATATTTTGAATGACACCTAATAGCCAGGCCGGCATACTTGAGCGTGCTTCGTTCTGCTAACCTTAACTGCAGTCTGCTACGCTACATGTAGCTCGCTAACATGGCTAAACCGAAGCCTAGCCACCTAGAAAGAACGGCAGCGGAGCCGCGAGATGAAGTATATTTCCTTGTGCTGGTGGCATGAGTTTTTTCTACAAGGTCATTTACTAATATGTATTTATAAGTCTCTACACACCGTCACGTTGGCCAAGATCGACCAGATCAACGACCAGATCAGACTCTTCCGCCTTGAATTGTCGGCCCCTCTTCGGGTATGTCCTACTTTCCGGCCCCGGCCCCCCTTACATGCACTGAAGCTATATTACTTGAATACTTACGTATATCGTTGCTTTTTTCTACGTTGTAGTTCTTACCGGGTCAATGGCTCGACGTCTTCGTTCCCGGCGTGTCCAAGGCGGGCGGATACACCATCACGTCGCCGCCGTCGCTAGCACAGCTCCACGTCCCACCGGGGCCGGAACATACCCAGACCACAGGGTATGTAGAGCTTGCCGTGCAGAAATCGGTCGATCCGCCGGCGGCATGGCTATGGCAGGACCCTGACGAGATCATTTACGCGGAGCTCCGGGTCCGCGTTGGGGGTAGCTTCATGTGGCCGCCACTGGGGATCAAGATGGGTTCGCTACGGCGCGTGGTGTTCGTCGCTGGGGGTGTGGGTGTTAATCCCCTGGCGAGCATGCTGTCTAGTATCGCGGAGGCGAGCACGAAGGCAGAAATAGAAGCGCCGTTCCAGGTTCGGTTTTTGTACTCACTGAAAGATGATAAGTCGGAGGGAGGGAGGCGCGCGGAGCGGCTACAGTTTGTGCAGAGGCTGGCTGGGATATTTGCTTCGGGGAGGGTGAAGGGGGCGTTGAGGTTGTTTCTTACGGGGGGGAGTGGGAGTGAAGGGGATGGGGAAAGGGAAGGGGTGGTGCATTGTGCGGGAGAGGGTACAGAGGCTGCAGAAAATGATGTGCCGTTTCAAGCACGTAGGATGACGATGGATGATATCGCCGCGGCGGTGGGGGATGTTGAAGAGAGGAAAGCTGCGGTTGTGTATGTCTGCGGCGTGCCTACTATGACGGACGAGTTCGTCCAGAAGTTGACCGATGCGGAGGTTGGGCTGGGGATGGAAGCTCGTCGGGTGCTGTGCGAGAAGTGGTGGTAGTCGTCTGGTTTATACGAAGGCATATTTATTACTGACCAAGAATTATCTTTTTTGGTCTTGGATATATATGCTATATGCTTGTACAGGTTTACATAGGCGTCTCTGACATATGCTAGGTATACCTTAGAGCTATTAGCTCCGTACCCAATAATATGTCTGGATTATAGGATTGCGATTACGACGACCTATACGGTTTAGATACCAACAGATATTATACCTAGGTATTCACGTATACGTATTTTCAAGCAAACCACATACAAATACCTAACAGGTATGTTGATGACGCCACATACATAATACATACCAGGTACCTAACCTAAGGTAAGTAGTAAATAAAGGTGATAGGAGACATCCCTGTCTCTCTCCGTTGGGGTACCTCGGCACGTCCCCGCAAGGTCCTCGGTCGTGGCTATCGATAGGTACGACAACAACTTACCTATAGGCGTTTCATTGTCCAATTGCTTTTACATCCAACTTTCTTGTATTAACAATTGTAGACATGACAAGTTGTTTTCGATAGAGAAGAGCGAAGCGATTTTTTATTTTCTTTCGTCATTTAATAAATAAGATACAGGTACCTACCTATAACCTATTACGCGGTAGATAACACAACATAACACAACATATCATAACATAACATATCGCAACACCATGGCAGACGAAACAGCTCTCGCAGACTTCCCATCGCTCTTCTCCCTTAAGGGTAAAGTCGCCGTCGTTACGGGCGGTTCGCGAGGTCTCGGTCTGAACGCAGCTTCAGCGTGAGTTCTATCTATCCCATATCCATAACCCAATTACTACTTCTCATATAATACTTAAGCCAAAGTGTTTCCTTCCCATCATCTCATCCTCGAGTCTTCTGTTTTCCAATCCAAGCAAGCTAACCTCTCTCTCTCTCCCCTCCCCGTCCCACAGCCTCCTCCAAGCCGGGTGCTCCAAAGTCTTCATCACCTCGCGCAAAGCCAAGGCCTGCGACCAGGCCGTCGCGCAGCTCAACCGCCTGCCGAACCTGCAGCCCGGCGCGCGCGCCGTCTCCGTCCCCGCCGACAGCAGCACCCTCGCCGGCGTCGAGTCGCTCGTGGCCCAGGTCGCCCAGCACACGGAGCACGTGGACATCCTGCTCGCCAACGCCGGCGCCACCTGGGGCGAGGCCTTCGACACCCACCCGGCGAGCGCGTTCCGCAAGGTCATGGACCTCAACGTCACGGGCGTGTTCCTGGCCGTCCAGAAGTTCGCCCCGCTCCTGCAGACCCGCGCCACCCTCGACGACCCCAGCCGCGTCATCGTCACCGCGAGCGTCGCCGGCCTCGGCATCGGCGCCACCGGCCCGCAGGCCACCTTCGGCTACAGCGCCAGCAAGGCCGCCGCCATCACCCTCGCGCGCAACCTCGCCGTCGAGCTTGGCCCCCGCCACATCCTGGTCAACTCCATCTGCCCCGGCTTCTTCCCGACGAAGATGGCGAACGGCCTGTTGGAGATGACGGGCGGGCTGGAGAAGCACGCCGCCCGCAGCCCGAACAAGCGCCTTGGCAGGCCTGAGGACATCGCTGGCGTCGTGGTGTACCTGGCGAGCCGCGCGGGGTCTCACGTAAACGGCGCGACGATACAGATTGACGGTGGCGCGCTGTGGAAAACTCTCACCCTGCAGGACGAGCCGGTGGATTCTAAGCTATGACTTATACGTATATGTGCCTGTATTGTACCTCTATCAGTAGTAATATCGGGGAGCGTAGCGAAAAGTTTCATCCTTGGGATTTAATGACATTTGAGCCATTGCGCGTGTTCTCATTCATTATATGCCGTCATCTAAGATACAAGTCTACAATGTTAAGTACCTAATGTATAGATGATATAATCATCGCAACCTCGAGCTCAGATACTAGATGCTATGCCAGATACTAGATGCTATGCCAGATGCCAGATGCCAGATGCCAGATGCAATATGTGTCTCGGATTCCCCCCCCCCCAAACAAGCTCTAGTATGCAGGTAGTCTAGATTTGAGCTTTCACGTTAGATCCTTCTTCTGGCTTTCGCGCGACCCAGTGGCTAGCTTTATATACTGTTTGTAGCATGCTCTGGGAATCCTGTACGTAAGGGGCGTGTAGGCCTGTTTCTCGCTTCTCGACGATAAAACCCATGCGCTCCACCAACGCGACGACTTCGTCATCAGTAAGCTCGAAACTCCCGGGATCTGCGATGCCTAAAGAATTGTTTTCATCGTAATCACCGTCTCCGTCATACCCGTGATGACCAGGTACGTGATTCTCCCAGTGCCATAACAGAGGTCCAACATTGATAAGTACGCCACCGGGTTTCAAACAATTTCGTATTACTTCGAGATAGCGAATGAGATTTGGCGCCGTATCCAGGAAAAACACGGCGGCTACGGCGTCATAGGTGTCTTTATGACTCTCATCCCCGTAGAGGCAGAGGAAATCTGCGGCACACATTTGCATCGAACCGATCCCTGTTGTCTCTGCCAATGTTGTCTGGGGATGAATATCCGGTATTTTATAAGATTTAAATTGGTTATCGCGACTCCTATGGTTTGAGAAGGAGTGGATCCATGGAAATATAGTGTGTTGACCAGCGGTTTCAGTGGAATTAAGGATATACGATGACGCCAGAAGTTGATGGTAGGAAATCTCATTGCCTTCCGTAAGGTATCCCATCCGGCAGAGGTCAAAGACTAGTCGACCCAACCCGGCACCGGGTACCAAAACTTTCAGCGGTTGTCGATCAGGATATCTCGCCTTCTCGACATCTAGTGCACGGTATACAGGGCCGTAGCATGCGTCACGTTCGACGGCACCCTCTGCGGACCAGTCACGGTAGAATTGTCTAATAGTGCTCCTGGCTTTATCTAGATCGTTATATTTGGCAATACCAGACCACTCCTCAGGCATGGTGAGCTCCTTTTCCGAGGTAGCTTCAACTACGCCGAAGGTCCGTAAGCCGAATTTGACAATGATGCGAGCCAGCTCGGCATTGCTCTCGATGGCATCGTCTATCCGATTCAATATATCCAAATATGAAAAAGGAGGTTGAGCGAGTAGCTGCCAGTGAGCCTGAGGCAGGGCGTAGAACGCTTGCCTGCGAAGGTGGGTGCAGTTTAGGTGCGCCGTCTTCGCGTATTGGCTACAAGAAATTTATCAGTATACCTATATAATAAGCTAGAAGTGTGTACGGGTGAGCGACCTGTAAGGTATGTGATGCCTACTGGAAGCAAAATCGCGCCCCCTCTCAGACGTAGGGGGTTGCTCAACTTGACAAACGATATTCAACGACACAACGACCTTGTATTTACTAACCTAAAAGAATCGAGGGCGCAGAATATGACTCTGATTTCCTCTGGGTCTTCGATAGCATCTTCGACCCCATTCCACTGGGAATTATCTCCGTAAGCCTTGTCATCCAGCTCCATGATGGTGGACGGTAGCAAGTTCTGGCTTAGAGGGAGAAGGAGGAAAAGAAATGAAAGAGTCAGCAAACGAAGAAGAATATAGTCTTATTAGATAACCTTCGTGACAATGGTGGGGCTACGATGTATGTATATGTAAGGTATGTATACCTAACTAAGTATCGTATCGTATCTGAACGAGGGATATCGATAACTCCAGATGGAGGGGCACACGACTTTTATGTATTTTGAATAGCTGGATTCTTTCTCTTAACCCCAACACATCTTCACCAAAAAAAAAGACGAACAGATAGAATAGCGACTATATTGACTGCAATGAGAACAGAATGTACATCTGAGTTTAAGTGTATGTACTAATCATTTGTGGAATGAAGATGCAAGATGAACAGAGATGTACAAAGTTTCGTGCTTGGGGGGGGGATAAAAGGTAAAAAAGGTGAACTTTGAGATTCAAGGATTACTTCCGACAAAAAAAATCACAAATCTTCAGGTACAATATATGATACATGAGGTACAAGAGGTACCCTTACCTAACTGCTTTAGCTAGGTAAAGCCTAAGGCGAGTAACAGGTACCTAGGTAAGCCCCAAGTCGTTTGGGGTTCAGATGTGGGGTCCCGCCTTCTGTGCGACAGATAGACTGGGCTATGACAAACACCTTTTTGTTAGAGATTGGATGGAAGTTACCCCTAAGCTCCCATACCTAAGTACCTAAAGTACCTCCATCCCAATAACAAATCTATTTTCATACTTCACTTATTAGACCCTCTAGTCAAAGTTCATCTAAATTCATAAAGGAGTTCAGTAACTCTTGGAAGCATATCAAAATGGCGGAGGCCATTCATGAACCCATCCAACTTTCATTCCCCTTGCCGAAGTCTTTGGATACACGGATCCATCTGCGATTGGACATTAAGTCAAAGGTTATTACATTGTTTCTCACAACTGTTGCTGCAGACGAGGAAGATCAAGCAGCTCCTCTAGGATCTTTTGTCTATGCTTTACCGGACGTATGTACCCAAATTAACCAACCCTATTGCCATTTATAAATCTACCTACCTGGGTATACAATACTGAACTGCGCGCCCCTAGAAATATAACCCAAGCCAGCCGCTCTCAACAACTATCTTCGCTGTAGAAGCTACATTAGAGTTTACTACACGCCTGGCTAAAATTCTAGCCAAGAAGACGCAGATGCCAGTGTATGTGGGTAATTCCATCAGCTTCGCCAACACCGGACTGGGTGGCACGGTAGAGGAGGAAATGGAAGCTTTGAAAAAAGTCGTCGACGTTTCACTTGATAAACTTCAAGGCGTTATCAAAGTACCTAGCGCCCTACCAAACGGAACAGGTAGTTCTTGAGAAAATTATCAACACGTATAATGACTACCTAGAGATTATCTACTTACTGGTATTGATACTCTCGTCCGAAATCTCGTATCGCCGGTATTCCGGAAAGCGAAATCAGTTATGCAAGCTTCTTGAAAGGTAGCCGAGGGTCTTTCAACATACAGGCTTCAAGAAATTTTCGACTTCAGAGAGCTGTCTGAGCGTCGAGTACCATACATAGGTATCAATAGGCTATAGACTGTAAGTCTAGTCTATTACCTCATTATGTACCTAACCTACCTAACCTATGAATGATGAGAATGTAGGTATAAGTTACTACGCAAGATTATTCTCTATGGACATGGAGATATACTAAACCTTCTAAAGGGTATGATGACTTGGTTTTAAGCAGAAATTAGCGTCTTAAGATGTAGGAAATCGGCCCTTATATCATCAACCTATGGGGCGTAAAACATTTACCGTGTCGGATTTATCTACTTCCACTTCAGAGTTTACAGAGTCTTAGAGACATCAATGGTCTTATTGAACCTAATATGATTATTATAAGGCTGAGTTTAAGGACTGTCTCAGATTTAGTTCACCTACCTCAGGTACACCTAGAGTAACTGTGCTAGACCACCTGATATGAGAATCACGGGCACTTCTAAAACTTTCATGTCAACCTTTGTTCAATATGACCTATAATCGGATATGGACTATACACCGTATCCTCTATCTATTTAAACCACCCGATATTATATTTAGCTCATAAACAGCGGTAACTAGTTCGCCCATACTGGTGCTTCAGTCACGTAGCACAGATCGTACGAAGCAGATGTCACCTGCAGTCTAACAAGCTATTCGACAGAGCGTAAGCCCTCGAATACGTGATAAGCCGTCCTGCTCGTCAACCGCTGTTCAGGGCAGCGGCTGATCTGCATGTAATCGGCAGCTCGGGCGGTTATCTGCATACGTCTGAATCCTTGATCCTCCCAGCACGCGTGCGACACAACCTCCTCAGGGCAATGGTGTACCTACCTAACCTAAGGGTCTAAGCAAGGTGCCGTTTATAGAGCTGGCGGATCAAATAATCTCCTGTGCAGATCCCCGAGTTGCACGGCGTCCACCATCAAAGTTGGCTTCGAAGAGAGAGGTGACAGACTTATATAGCGCTGATATCTGGCTATCTCGTGGAACACCCACATCCTTGGTGACGATCCCGTGAGGTCTGTTTTTCCAACCCAATGACCATGGCTCCAGCCTCCTGACGACCCCGTCGTCAGGTAGAAACGGCCAAGGTTGATTATTAAGGCGCCTCTCGTATAAGATGCTGCTCTTACCGTGGTGCGACTCGGTTCTTGTATATCCCATTATATCCTACTTTATATCCTCTAAGTAAACGAGCCCGTAATAAATAGGTGATCTCGATCGTCCATCAACTGGGAGTTGCCTTCTTGATAAGTACCTACCTACTTACCTAGGTAGGTACTTATATAATAACCTTAGTTGACTGACTGTACTCTTCATTTTAAATACACACTGTCCACCTTCTTCTTCACCAGCAGCTTGATTCATTATTACACCAATATGGGTTCTTGTTCCACAAGGGCTTGTTGTGCGTGGCATCTCAGCATATGCTATCGACCTCATACGTACCTATGCATACTTCGTATTCCAGTCCGACTTGGCACCTTGCAGGTTACGACAGCATAGCACACTGCGTACACGAGGGACCAGACAGATCCCGGTTTGGGCAGGACGTTTTCCCAACTTCACATGCTACTCGTTAAGCTCTTTTACCTTAGGTAACTTGATTCAGGGGACGTTGATGGTTTGGGAACTTGCTTCTTCCTAGCTTTTGGGTCACGGCCAAAAACTTGACCGGGTTCTGACGTCCTTGTCTTATGATTATATATCCCGTGATATAAACCTTGTTTATTTGTTTACCTATATGATTATGATCATTTTCATTTGTTACTAAGCAACCGGTTCCGAAGATCTTATTTGCCGTTAGCAGCTTTGGTGATTAAGGGGTAACATTAGACGAAGCTATACATAAGGTATATATATATAAGGCTTGTTCAGATCATTTCTTCAATCTATTCGAGAGCAAGCGTAGAACGGAGTTTTAACTTTATATATAACTTTATATACTAGTACCTATACTTTACATGCTGGCTTGGCACATACATATTAGGTATGCAATAGAAGTTGAGTATCACAGAGTAATGCAAGTTTTTATTATTCTTGAATTTTTAAACAACATGAATTGTCAATACTTTATGAACCTAACTATTTTTTTTTATATAAAAATAAAAGCTATCATTAAATTATTATGTGCTTAGGTGATCTTGGTACTTATCCAAGTATGTACATCATTCTGGTGCAAATATATACATGTGCTTACACGTACATGATAATAAATGCTTGCGACAATGAAGCGTCTTTCTTACACTAATAAATCTTCATTGCCAAGCTCTTTTAGGTAGGTATAATCGGTTGGGGTCTCCTGTATCGATAATAGTTAAGGTGGGCGGTGGACCAAGCAGGCAAGGCAGGCTGGGGCAGGGACCCTCAATTAGAATACCTATCAATACAAGTACCTCCTAAGGTAGATACAATGTAGCATGTACTATGACCAACATTATAGGTGGAGCGTCTAGTCTAGCGTCTAGCGTTGCTTAAAAGAGCTAAGCACGTTTTCATGTAAAATCTGCCACACCCATACATAGTAGAGACCCAGTAGCGGCACCACCCCACCATTAACCTTTTCTGAAGAGGATTTTAAGCCCTTGGATCATGGTTCAGTAACCGGAAGGTCACGGTCTCCTCGCAAAAGCCAGCAGCAGGAAATTTAATACATAGTAGAATTGTATTGTACATTAGCAACTGCGACAGGTCATTTGCCCTGCTTTTGCATCATCGCGACAATCCAAATTGGAATTTGAAGTTACAGAGGGAGAACAAGACAAAAATTATTTTTCAAGCCCAAAATCTTTCTAACTCTTCAATTTTCATCTTTCTCTCTTTCTCTCTCTCTCAACTTAGATTATTTTTTTCAATTATCGCCAACTGGTCCATCGCCCTTACGACCCCACCATTCCCTAGAGTCGATGTTCCTGACAATCAACTCTTGATCTCTCCCTCTCCCTCTCCCTCTCCCCTCTCTCCTCTCTTCTCCTCCTTCTATTTTTTTTCTTCTTTTAACCACCCAGCGATCATAGGCATCTTATAAAAGTGCCTTCAATCCCAATCCCCGGATTTCGAACGCGCGCGTAATCCGAGATTCTTATTTCCTTGCCGCCCATCATGGCGTGGCAGCCCTCGCCCGAGTCCTTGAGCACTCTCGCTGCTTGTCTCAAGGACTCTCTCAGCGGTTTCGACAAAGCTGCGCAGAAACAGGCCGAGATTGTAAGAAATAGCTCTCCCAATACCCGATACCTGACCAGGCTATAGCTATGGTTGCATCTATTAATAGTCGTAGCAATTCGAGCTAATACGAAGCTTCTCTTTTGTAGATGCTCACGCAAGCGAAGTCGTCTCCCGATATTAACAACTACCTGGTCTACCTGTTCTCCAGTCAAGAACCTCCAAGTGGCCTGCAGTGCTCACCTGAAGACTACTTTCTCATACGCTCGTCCGCTGCGATCATGCTGAAAAATAACATTAAGACGAGCTCCAAAGAAGTTTCCGATAGCAGCCTGACTTTGATCAAGATGGGTATCCCTATGTGTTTGCAAGACAAGAATGCCCAGATCCGTAACTACGCAGGTGTTATCGCGACTGAGATGATTCGGCGAGGCGGTATTATGAGTTGGCCCGAGTTACTACCAGAACTCTTGAAGATGATTGGCAACGAGAGTGGTCAAGTCACGAACGAGGCACAAGAAGGCGCTACGGCAGCCATGGCTAAGATTTGTGAAGATAACTTCAAGATGCTGGAGCGCGAGCTGAACGGCGAACGGCCGCTTAACTTCATTCTCCCCAAGTTGATCCAGGCTACTAAGAGCCCGTTGCCCAAGGTTCGCGCCCATGCCTTGACCGCCATCAACGTCTTTACCGCTCGAAAATCTCAGGCCATGCTCAACTCCATCGACGACTTGCTCCAGCACTTATTTGCGCTCGCAACAGATTCCAGCAACGACGTGCGACGGCAGGTATGTAGGGCATTCGCTCAGTTGGTTGAATCTCGCCCGGACAAGATCCAGCCTCATCTCCCTGGCCTTGTCGATTACATCATTACCCAACAGCAGAGTGACGACGAGGACCTGGCTACTGATGCTGCCGAGTTCTGGCTTACGGTGGGTGAGCACGAGCATCTTTGGCATTCCCTGAGTCCGTACATCGGCAAGATCATCCCGGTCCTTCTTGATTGCATGGTATATAGCGCTGAGGATATTGCGCTCCTCGGTGGTGCGTCTGACGACGAGGATGAAGAGGATCTCGAGAAAGATATAAAACCCCAATTTGCCAAAAAGCAATCGGCGCGACAAGCCAACAAAGACGGATCTGCCGATGCCGCTCAGAACGGAAACGCTTATGAGAAATTAGCTAGCATGGATGATGACCTGGAGGAGGGTGAGATTGACGATTTTGATGATGGGGATGACGCAAGTCCGGATGAGCGTTGGACCCTCCGAAAGTGCTCTGCGGCTGCACTGGATGTCTTCGCTCGCGATTTTAAGGATCCGGTATTCGAGTCCATCATGCCGTACCTCAATAAAAATATCAGGCACACTGACTGGCCGTACCGAGAGGCCGCAGTGCTCGCCTTTGGTGCTGTTGCGGAAGGCTGTATGAATGTTGTCACGCCTCACCTCCCTCAGTTGGTACCTTATTTGATCTCTCTCTTGAATGATCCTGAGCCCGTGGTTCGACAAATTACCTGCTGGACGTTGGCTCGCTATTCTTCCTGGGCCGCGGATCTGACGGATCCGCAACAAAAACAACTTTACTTCGAGCCGATGATGGAAGGTATCTTGACAAAAATGTTGGATAGCAACAAGAAGGTACAAGAAGCTGGCGCGTCAGCCTTTGCTAATTTGGAGGAGAAGGCCGGAAAGAAATTAGAGCCTTACAGCCTTCCAATCATTCAACAATTTGTCCGCTGCTTCAAGAAGTACAAGGACAGGAACATGTATATCCTCTATGACTGTGTACAAACACTGGCTGAGAGCATAGGGCCCGTCTTAGCCCAGCCCAATCTCGTCAACGAACTAATGCCCGCGCTCATCGAGAGGTGGACCAAGGTATCGGATCAGTCTCGAGAACTGTTCCCATTGTTGGAATGCTTGTCATATGTTGCTATGGCGTTGAACGATGCCTTTACCCCTTACGCGCAGCCAATCTTCGTTCGCTGTGTCAACATCATTCATCAAAACCTGGAAGCGTCTCTTGCGTTGACAAATGATCCAACCGTCGAGGCGCCAGACAAAGATTTCTTAATTACGAGCTTAGATCTCCTCAGTGCCATCATACAGGCACTAGAGCCGGCAAAGTCTTCTAAGCTGGTCCAGGAGTCTCAATCCACATTTTTCGAACTCCTTACCTTCTGCATGGAAGACCCGACAGATGAAGTGCGACAATCAGCATATGCACTTCTCGGAGACTGTGCGAAGTATGTGTTCGAGCAGCTACAACCGTCGCTACCCAACATTTTCCCGGTGCTTTTAAAACAACTGGACCTGGATGACATAATCGATGAAGAGATTGACAACGGATTCGGGATTATTAATAACGCCTGTTGGTCCGCAGGTGAAATCGCCATTCGACACAAGTCTAATATGGCACCTTACGTACCCGAGCTTTTCCAACGCTTCTTAGAAATAATAACCAATCCGGGTATCCCCAAGGGAGTAACTGAAAATGCCGCGATCGCTCTGGGGCGACTTGGACTTGGAAATGGCGAGCTTCTGGCGCCGCAGTTAGCCAACTTTGCTGAAGATTTCCTCCTCTCCATGGACGAGGTGGACCCGTCAGACGAGAAGGCGACTGCATTCCGAGGATTCACTGCTATTGTCGAGAAGAATCCCATGGCCATGGAAAAATCCCTCTTGCACTTTTTCACTGCAATCGCCCGGTACAGAGACCTAAAATTGCGCAGTGAAACTAAGAACGGCCTCCATGAGGATTTCCAAAAGGTAAGGCGGTCACGACTGTCTATCCGATGAAGTAATAGCTAACGAAGAGTTTAGGCCATCGGCATTTACCGTCAGATTATCCCTCAGTTTGACCAATTTCTCAGCCAATTGCAACCTCAGGATCAACAGACGTTACGAACGACGTATGCTTTTTGAATAAAGCGTTACTGATAGCGGTGTGTGTTATTGGGCCCAACAGGACTTGCGTGAGGTCGTGAGCGGATTGACTTCCATGTCTTCCGGTACTTGATTACCATAGGCGATATATCAAGCTCAGGATCAGGATTGACTTGCCATCTCGCAGAAACTATTGCCAGTTTGAACAGGGCGGGAATATCGACAGCAATTGGTACCCGCGGATCTGGAATCCGCATCAAGACGTGTGTTGCCATACAGAAACAGAAACCCCTTAGCTTATCGACCAGCGTATCTGTTGCAAAATTTGGAGGAAGGGTAAAACAGGGGTTACGCGCAAGGCGTAAAAAAACGTTAGCATTTTTCTAATGGATACGGGAATGGCGGTCCAGCCGTTGATGATGAAAACAAGCCACGCATAGGGACGAATGATGAATAGCATGGCAATGTCGACGGCATAACAAACAAATACCGTCGGGTTGGTAATTTAGGCCTGAACGGACTTTTTTTCTTTTTCTTCTTGCGCTCATATGCGAGAGAGAGAAAAGAGAAAAAGATCAGGTGCCAGGAAACTTTTGCTACGTTTTTTACCAAAATAAAACCACAAGTAGATAGTCACGTAGTTAGATAGATTAGCATAGCAATTTCTCCCACCATACAACCAACCTTCCGTTCTCCCCCTTGATCTTCTTTTCTCTTTCTCTTTTGTCTCTATGGAGATATGAGAGAGAGAGAGAGAGCGAAGATTATCATCATCATTATCACCACTACCATTAGGTACCTAGGTAGCTATTCGAAAACGTAGAAAAAAATCGAAGAAAGTGCGCCATAACCTACAGTATTTGTTATTCAGGAACTTCAGATGAGGGGAATAGAACGTGAAATGTGCGTGATGATAAATAAATAACAATGAGCTCTTGACACCCGAGCCCGAGTCGTTCGGGCTTCCAGATTGGAAGTTTATTAGGCTCAATTGTAACCCACCGAAGAGACTGACTGACTTCTTGCACATTACAAGTCACGATGCTACCAATGAAGCCGTTACTCCTTGGCATCTACGACATCCGCACATCATCTAACTTGATACAAAATATAGAGGAAGTTAAATACGATTTTTTTTTTTTGAGATGTCGAACTCTCTCTACTATATTGTGTTATACTTTGGCTACCTAGGTAGATATTCCTGTATCGCGGTAGGACATGATTCCCTCGCACACGGAAGTCGAATAGTAGAATATAATACATACGATAGTTGAAGCATCCAAAGGCCATGCCCATGCTTAACTACTTACTTATAGTTACCAACCACCTCGACCCCGGTAGTCCCAGCCCCCACGATGTCCATGTCCACGGTAATCCCCTCTTCCCCCTCTCCCGTACTGCTGGAAGCCACCACGAGGCTGTTGTTGCTGCTGCTGCGGAGGCTGTCCGGGCGGCGGCGGAGGAGGCACAGGCCATCCTCCCATCGCTATGTTAGGCATCCAATTTGGCGGCATGTTGGGCGGGATCGGAGGTGGCGGGGGCCATTGGCCCTGATAATTTTGTGGCGGAAGAGGAGGTGGCGGTACCATGAACGGGCTGAGGTCAGGGGGTAACGGGGGAAAGGACTGTGGGAAAGGGGGTGGAGGCGTAGAATGCTGCTGGTATTGAGGGTTTGGATGGGGCGGCTGATTTGGAAAACCGGGTAGCTGCCTTCCGGTTGGATTTGCGAAGTGAGGGGGATCATATGACCGCGGAGGTGGCGGTGGACTCCTTCCCTTGGATTGCGTGTTTGGCTGGTCGTATTGTCGATTCTCTGAGCGGGAGCGGGAACGAGAACGAGATCTCGAACTACTGTATGATCTTCGTCGATAACGGTCTCTGCTATAACTACGTTTGCGACTTGGGCTTCGGCTTTTACTACGGCTCTCCGAGTTGGATACACGACGTCGCTTGTACGCAGGCCGCGATGGACTTCGAGATGAATTTCTTGATCGTGAATGCGAACGAGTCGTACTGCGTCCGCGTTGGCTATTTCCAGAGACGCTGGTCTTCTTGCGACGCTGTTTCATCTTTTCACAGAATGCACGAGACCAGCCATAGTAGCTGTCTCCATCGATAACCTCTCCAGTGATCTCATCAAGCACAACCCTCTGTCCTAGCTGATCGACATCTTCAGTTTGCTGGCTAGCGTCTCGCCGACCTCTACTGTAAATACGATCCACATCAACCAACAAGTCTTGGACGGCTTTGATTAATTTTTCGTCGGCGGGGCCGGCAACAAATTGTAAAGGTTTGATCATGTCCGGGTTCATTGGTCTCGTAGAGTCAGGTTCGATGGCGGGCAGCCAGTTCGCTGCAGGTAAGTCGTACCATGATGCGGTAGCATCGCCATGCATAGCTGGCATGATGAACGGGGCATCCTTAGAAGATCTTGCACCCGTGGCTCGGGTGCCGTCAACAGGTGTATCATCATTGGGGGCCGAATACGGTGCTTCCTGGGCGATAGTCCGAAGTTTCTGAACAAAGATATCCGAAAAGTACTGTTTCTCCCCCCAGAGGTCTATCAGGCCTACTATTTTCTTGGAATGCTTCGGACAGTTTTGGAACGCTGCAGCGAGTTGGATAATATCTGGGATAGTGGGCTCTAACTGTTGCGCGAAACTGGTATTCCGGTCCCGGATATGGACATGGTACAGCGTGTCATTGAGAAGGTAGAGGATATGAAGACGTTTACGTTTCGAAGAAGGCTCGCGGGCTTGTCTGCTAGCGGCAAGATCCAGAGAGAAGGATTTGGCCAATGCCGTCAGGTATTTCCCTAAGGCAGTGATTCTAGCAGGGGACTGGACCAGGTTCTTCAGTATCCAATGCTTGCTTTTCTATGCGGTGACCGTTTAGCTGTCGCACGAGACACCAAGTTTCAAAAGATTGTGTTGCTCAAACCTGAACATTGGGCGGGGAGCATCGCGAGATGGTCGCGTCAAGAAGCTGAAGAAACTCGTCAATCTCGCCGCGCGAACATGATGTCGGATCCGGACGTAGGAGAACCGCGGAGAAGGATACTCTAGCTATAGCTAGCTGTGTAGACGCCATTATTTTATTATAATAAAATGGTTATGGGAATAATCTCGCGAGAGGACATTACTGCCAAAGTTTGATTTTGGCGATGGTGAGAACCTTAAGGTAGGTGGTAGGTGGTAGCTAGTAGCTGCTAACCAAGTTGTAGAGAAGTAAGTAGTTGAATCGAGGAACGAATGATGAGATGAGATTGGAATTCTAAGAATTCTAGGAAGCTCGGCAAAGATGCAAGGCTTTTCCATTTGATTGGTTACTTGAGCAGATTTCAACTCTGACCTGCAGCGCTAACCATACCGAGCTAGATTACGGACGCTTGGTGCAGGTGCAGTTACCTACACTGCTACAGTGCATATTGGACCCATTCTTCTGGAGGGTAGGTACCTAAGTACCTGGGATTTGCGATACTTACCTAGTACCTCCCGTTGACGTTTTCACCTCATCTCTCTTTTAGGTCCTTTTGGCCCGTCGTTCGGCATAATAATTACCCAACCATCAACTCGGATAGCCGTAAAGTTTAACCTCGTTTGTACGAATCCAACCTCGAATCTAATCAGACGTGAGGGAATTCGGAGAAAAGAGACCCATGGCGTACATCAAAGGTGTCTGAAGTTTTCAAGCTTCCAAACTACCGAATTGCCCAACCAACAAATAAGTCATATCAATATCAAGATACCATTGCTATCATGCCCATCTTTTGAAATGGAGTTGTTTTTCACCCGTCTCTTCTAAATAAAATAGTATTGTGTACATGCCTTGTTTTCATAATGTTCATCATAGGGTATACCCAGCTTTAGTCTCCCATTCACACCTAAGAGAATCGATCGCCTTTAGGACTCGTATACGGCGTGCTACTCTCGTACTTGCTCTTTTCTATTACTTGTTGCTTTTCTGTAGCTGGAGCATGCCGAGTTGGTGCTGGATCACGGCTTGCTTCTTGGCTCGGCGACCCAACTGCATCAGTTCTGGCTGGCGTGCCATTTCCGTTCGTAGTACCGCCCATTGTGGACGAGGAGACTGGCTTCTTGGAGATATTCTCAGAGTACTCGAGAGAGTCTATCATCTGCTTCTTTCGGCGGGTTTCCTCGAGGCGCGCAGCCCTATCGGCATTGATGCTCTTCTTCGCAAAGTAGTACGCTCCCGCGCCAGCTATGACATGGGTGAGAACAAAATCCACAGTGGCGCAGCTTTGATATAAGTAAACCTACCAAGGCAAAGGGAACCCCATCCCGCCCTGTGTGAGAAAACATTTGACGATCAGTAAGACAATTCACCAGGTGGCGCAACCGTTGCAATTACCTACCAGAATGATTTGACCTAAAAGACAGCGTTAGAATCATTGCGCCGACCAGACTTAGCGTCCTTTTCGAAGATCAGGTACGTACTGTGTTCATCTTGAACCCTTAGTATAATTGCTGGGCCGGGCTTCTTTGCTTTCACGATTGTGTAAACGGGAAGAAAAAAAAAGTTAGAGGTGGGCAAGTATGCGAACGTGGGAGGCTGAAAAGAGTTAAAAAATTATTAAAACCATAAAATACCATAAAGATCATAAATAAAAATGGTACAGTCATAAAGTGGTACGTTTTTTTGTTTTACCATGTCCCGCTATCAGGTCAGAATAGAAAAGAGTACAACTAGTAAGTACAGCCCTGCAGGCACTCCCGTCCTGTCCTTCTAGCATAGGTACATTTTCGTGGATGACCAACTTTTTTTTTTTTTTTTTTTTTTTTCAGCCACATCCGCGTTTAGGTAGGCCGGGGTTCAGCGTTTGGGGTACCCGGTATCCGTAACCGGGACTCAATAACAGGGCCTATGACATGCGATAGGCCGGCACCTGCCAACTTCACTCAGCCTTGGGATGCTTATTTTTATCGACAATAGATGGACAAATTCACTTCGGTCCTATATTACGTATCTAGGTACCTAGGCAGGTACCTAGGTCCTACATAACTGGATGCATAATGTAGGTACACATCCTAGCGTGAGAGAACGATGTGGACTAAAAATGACAGAGTTTAATGCTGCGTCCAAGAATATTACGTAGGGTAAGGTTATGAATACAGATGTTACGTACACTATGAATAATTAAGCTTGTACAATACTACATGTACAACTTGTACACCTCCATTTTGTTCCAAATCTAATTTATAAACGGGAAAATCCAATGCGCCGCCTAAAGATCTGCAAATTTGGTAGCACAAGTAGTACAAGTAGCCACTCACTAGAGGTTTCGCATGCCTTGGTCTCAACCTGGTACTGACTGTCAATTGGTACGAACTCCAAAGGAGAACCCAAATTAAAAACGCTCGTTAACATTTAGAAGAACTGCGTAACGCGTATTTTAATCTAGTCCAACTCCGAAATAATAACTTTCCATTCGTATAACCACATGCACGATTACTTCTCCGGAACTGGACCTTATTCACTATTATTTATTGACTTTTATTTTTATTTTCATTTTGTTTGGGTTGTGACAGCGTTGCAACGCCCTGCGTTCTGCGTTCTGCATTCTGCGGAACCTCAACGCTGGAACCCTGAACTACAATAAACCAAACAGAAAAGCCGAAACATGATTATAACTAGCGACCGAAATATCCCATCAATAATTACAATATTTGGTCTAACAGCATCGTCTTTCTTATCCAACCAGAATTATACAGTCTAATACTGGCCACGTGCTCATTCATTCGTTGGCACTCTCTGGAAGATCTACACCGAGCACGAAACAGCCGCCATTCAACCAACCCCTTACTCACCTTGACCTTGACCTTTACCTCGACCTCTGTCGCTAAAAGTCTTACCGTTCGAGAGGCTACCAGGCTACCAGGCTACCAAGCTACCAAATTGTCTTATTAGATGATCCTGGGAGAATAGGAAGTTTATTCGGTTCAGTAATGAATGCCGTGGGAGCACCAGGGACGGCATATTGTAGGCTTATAGAGATTGCCCCTCATCATCATGGAGTCAAACGGTCAAGATGGACCTGACGACTCATCCTTGGTAAGGTCTCCTCCCTCCCCAATGCTATGTAAATATGTTGCGATACTGACTATAATTATAGAAACCAGTCTCGTCCTTAAGGTCCCATTTCGAGAATATGAACAAGCCCAAAGATGGCTCAGCAACATCTACTCAATCTCAACCCCCACCTACGACGCGAAATCAGTCGCCATCCCCAAAGCCTCCCCCGATTCCCGAGACGAGACCTACCCGGAGTATAAATATACCACATGATAGTGGAAGACCGAAGCCAAAGGAGATCCTGGATACTGCAGGTCTTCATTCTACCCAAATCGCGAACTCCTCGCCGTTAAGCCCTAGACCTATCAGACCCCCTTCCGTCCTGATTGAGCCGCCTCACTCACCACCGAAAGCAAGACCGCTTTCCATCCTGCAAAGCGATACAAATGCTCACCTTTTACCCAATTCTTCAAAAGCCCCCAATGCCCCCATTTCTTCGTCGCCTCAGCCGTTAAAGATTTCTAGTCGACCGCATACTCCTATACTTGAGCCTGGCCGATCCCCTAGATTTCCTGCTGCTCAACCGCCCTCACCACCTCCTCCACGAAGATCAGCTGAGCTTAGAAGAGAACGCGAATTTAGGGCGTCACCACCGGTTCCTCCGCCCGTGAATCGCGCCGAAAAGCCAGCTAATAGACTTTCAAGGCTGATGGAAAATGCAAACAAGCTGTCATTGACACATCAGATTGCAGAGAAACGTTCGCCGTTTAATAGCCCTCCTTCAGACGCTAGCAGTCCTGATCGTGATGAACCGCCAGTTCTCCCAAATCGACCAGCACGGCCGACAGTTCAAACGACCGTGCCGAGAACCAGCGCACTGCCGTCAGGCTTCGACCCTCCCCCGGTTCACCATACGATTGCAACCATCCGTCGAGACCACGAAATCAATGGAAATGCTAGATCACCTGTCACTCCCCAGCTCGCAGAAGATCGACCCACTCTCCCGGCTCGACCCCAGACTGTGACGGATCCAGTTTCTGCCCGCATTCCAGCAAATCCAGCTACCAGGCCGCCACCTCGACCTCCGAGACCTGTTGTGGCTACTAATAATGCAAACAATGAAAGTCCCCTGTCTCCTCAACCTAAACGTGTAGTTTCAACACCAACTACTCAATTCGCGCCACCCCCATCACGTCCTCAGGGAAGGTCCTTAGCAGTAGACAGATACCCAGAAAAACCCACAGTCGAGTATCGTGATTCTACGAGAAGAATAGCTGCTGATGCAGAGAGCCGCATTCCAGAATCCCCAGGCCCCACTCCCGCGAGCCAAGTAGAAATTGTGACTCAATTTCCGGATACTACTAAAGTAAACCGGCGGCCGCCTTTTATCAAGCAAGGGACTCATGAAATTTGCACCAAGTATGATACGAGGAAATTTGATGTTTGCGGACAGTACGTATGTACTACTGGTCACCTCACCCGAGTCTGGAACCTGCTTGACGGCGAGCTCCTCATGAGCTTCGCACATGGGGAGGGGATTAAAGCGACAGCCGTGGCATTTAAACCTACGGCGGATATGCAAGATGAAGGGACACGAATTTGGATCGGCAACAGTGTTGGCGAGATTATCGAAGCCGATGTCACATCTCGTGGTATTACCGAGAGCAAGACGAACGCTCATGGTCGGTACGAAATAGTCAAGATATACAGGCACTATAATGAGATGTGGTCTCTGGACGAAGGGGGTACCTTGCACGTCTGGGGACCGGAGAGCGACGGGGTCCCCAATCTAAGTGGCAATCCTCATCAAACCTATAGATTGCCCAAAGGACACACCTTTTCGATGGTAGTCGAAGAAGATTTGTGGCACGCAACAGGCAAAGAACTCCGCATCTTTACACCGACCACCGGCGGTCGAAATCAACTGCAAGTCCTTATGAGGCCTCTAGTATCAGAAGGGGCGGGCGAAATCACGTCCGGAGCTCTTCTTAAATCGCAGCCTGGGAAAGTGTTCCTCGGTCACAGCGACGGCAAAGTCAGCATCTACTCTCAAAAAGATTATACATGCCTCAGCGTGCTCAATGTCAGCTCCTACAAGATTAATTCTCTAGCCGGTGTGGGTGGTTATATGTGGGCAGGCTTCAATAACGGGAAGATATGTGTGTACGATGTTACAGAGACACCCTGGGTTTTAAAGAAGGACTGGCAAGCTCACGATAACCCGGTTATCAAAATGATTGCAGATTCGGCGAGCATCTATAAGCTCGATCGCTTCCAGGTCGTTACCCTTGGAGCCGATAATACGATCAAATGTTGGGACGGCTTACTTCAAGATGACTTCTTGGAAAACGAGATGAAGTCTCTCGATTCGCAATATTGTCAATTTGAAGACATCAAACTTCTGGCCATGACGTGGAATGCTGGAGCATCAACCCCAAACAGCTTAAGATACTCAGAGTCCGATGCCATGTTTATGCAAAATCTGCTGCAGTCGAGCGATTCTCCCGATATCCTGATCTTTGGATTCCAGGAGCTTGTCGATCTAGAAGACAAAACCGCGACGGCGAAGCGCTTTTTCAAGCCGAAGAAGAAAGATGCATCGGACCAAGAACGAATGAGCCATCAATATCGAGATTGGAGAGATTTCCTCGTTAGATGTCTGGACGACTATATGCCCGCGGAACATCTCTATCACCTCCTTCACACGGCAACTCTAGTAGGCCTTTTTACTTGCATATTTGTGAAATCGACTCTCCGTGATCGTATACGAAATATCAGCGGCGCCGAGATAAAACGCGGAATGGGAGGCTTGCACGGGAACAAAGGCGCCATTGTTGTGCGGTTCATGGTAGACGATACATCGCTGTGCTTTATCAATTGCCATCTTGCGGCGGGACAATCATCAGCGAACCAGCGACATAACGATATCGCGGCAATTATGGAGAGCGCTCTCCTCCCCGCGGAGCGCGATCCAAGCGTCCGTATCGACAGTTATGTGGGTGGTGGTGACGGCACCATGGTCCTTGATCACGAGTTATGTCTACTTAATGGTGACCTCAATTACCGCATTGATACTATGTCGCGGGATACAGTCGTGATCGCTGTAAAGCAAAATAATCTAGCCAAACTTCTTGAACGGGATCAGCTCCTCGTAGCTCGTCGGAGAAACCCTGCATTCAAGCTTAGGGCCTTTGACGAGATGCATATCGAATTTCCCCCCACGTACAAATACGACGTGGGAACGGACAATTATGACACTAGTGAGAAGAAACGCTCCCCAGCTTGGTGTGATCGCCTCCTTCACCGAGGTTTTGGTAGAATACAGCAACTTGAGTACAGACGGCACGAGGTCCGGGTATCAGACCACCGGCCCGTGAGTGGCCAGTTCAGGTTTACTGTCAAGTCTATCTCACCTAAGAAGCGGACATTAGCTTGGGCGGACTGCCAGCAACGCTTCGAGAACCTCAAGGAGAAGGAGGCAACTGCGGAGAAGTGAGTCTAATCGCATTCCCCCTTCTCCCCCCTTTTAGCGTATATGATACGGTCTCGCTAACATTTTACACAGGCTTTACTATCTTACGAAGGTCATCGGTTACGATTCAGATACGAGCATGAGATTGATACGTGAAAGGGCTGTCAGATAATAGGCCGGTCCGGATTCACGTAGAAGAATAATACGATAGCGAAGCAACCAAGACCAATTCTACAAATAGAGTTGGAAGAGTAAATGACGTGGAAAACGAAGGGATCTGCCAACACCCGAGAGGAAGAGAGAGAGAGAGAGAGAGAGAGACGACGAAGCAGGTTTAATGAAATAGAGAGCCAGCGCGATGATTACCTGTTACAATGTAGCACGATAAAAGGTTAGCAGATCCGCCATCAAAGGTGGACTGTTATTACTGTAATTACTGGTTAGATGGTTGGGCTTATGAGAGATGAATATTGTCGACATTAAGAAGCGACGATAAAGAAAGAATTATCATAGAGAATCAAGAAAAATAATGAATTCCAAAGAGAAACCATCAAGTTCCATCTGTAGGTAGACGTAGGTACCTAGACCTATAGCTAGAGGCTAGCCTGGCCGGCCTGGTAACTTAGGAGGTATGCAGCCATTAATTTTTATAAGTGGCGTCTAGAAATAGATATTGGCAGTACCTACCTAGTAGTACGTAACGGGTTGTCCGTCATCGGTTTGGATTTTGATTGGTCTGTTTCGACCCCATTCCATATATCTCACTTCCCTCCTTTTCTTTTAATCCTAATCTAGATAGATAAGCTAGCACACCATAAAGCCAAAAGCCAACAGAAGGTAAAGACTAGGTAGATACACGCCTACAAGTTAGAGAGTATCGTATCTAAGCATGACTTTCACAAATATCTTAGGAAGCAATTGTACTTCACTATCCACCTTCTTGTATCTACATACATAACCTCAGGTAATCAATACTACTTGTATTTTCCCCTTTAACTTTTTAGTTCAGGTCTTATGTGGAGTCGACCCGTCCTAGCGAACCTAGAAGGTTTACCGATTTTTTTTTCTTCTTCCCGTCTTCTGGTTTTCTTTGACGTAAAAAGGTATTACGAATTTCATGGGTCAGGGTTCCGATATAGCTCTTGGTTTACCGTTTGTGTCGTTCTTTTTTTCTTTCCTTATATCTTAACTGACGGGCTTTGCGATTGATTAGGTTAGGTACCTATATAAGAAAAAGACGGTGGTGAAAGTCAAAAACATTATCTGCTCAATATTAGATATTGCCACTACGCGACTAATAACACAGTAATTGACTACGATAAAAATAGACCCGTGGCACAGACTTGATTGCTTCAGGTAACTTGGGCGCGGCCTGACGGTGTGAAGCGACAACTCATCTCACTTTACTCCGGTAGTTGTCAAACAACTCCGGACGGACGTGCGACGTGCGACGTAGACGGGTCTCTCAGACTGCGTCTCTAGGAAAAGGCCAGGATATATAAATCCGAACGAAGAAAAAAAAAAGGCCGTCCCAAGTTAAGGATATAAGCCTATATAAAAACAAGGCTCAAGGAATCTCTATAGGATATCTCTTGCTCCACCTTAACTGTTTCGACGATGGGGGCCCTTGCAACTGCAGAAGTTACTACATATCCCGAGTCGCGAGTGCTCATCATCATCACCGGAGGCACGATATGCATGCAGCCGTCGGCGAGCGGCCTCGTGCCTGTTGATGGGTTCCTGGATAATGCTATGGCGCCTCGTCTATCGTTTAACGACATGTCGGAAAGAGGTACGTTATATTTCAGTTAACTGAGACAAACATATATGAGATTTGGGAGACAAGGAATACGATTAAAATGAGATACACATCACATCTACGACGAAGTGTTCGATGTGAGATAAGCCAAAACTATAAGGAGATCGACGTTTGGCTACGAAGGTTGAAAAGATGGCTATATGATTCAAGCAAGTCCACTGACGGAGCATAACCATGGAGGTTTTCTCGCTCTGAGGCTGAACTACCTAGTATCTGGTTTAGACAGTATTTCACAGCTGTCAAATTCGCGAAACTGGTTCCTTTATATAATAAGCAAGAAGATAGCTAACTTAACACAGTTCCTCTTACGGCAGTTAAGGACGGGGTCGAGGTCACCATCGATAGTTTACGCACACCCCCGAGTTCATACTCGAGGCACATCCGCTACGGCGCACTCGAATTCTCACCCCTACTGGATTCTTCTAGTATAAGCAGTTTTGGTTGGACCCAGATCGCCACAACCATCAAAGATAACTACCACCTATTCGATGGCTTTGTCGTGCTCCACGGGACTGATTCCTTGGCTTATTCGGCTTCAGCGTTATCCTTCATGTTGGTACGTAACCTAGGTAGACATGGAATCCGTACGGAAATTTGATTTTCAGCTTATCGATGTCGCTGAAACGGGTTTTCTCGGATAGAGTGACAAGTTCCTTTAGGTCTACATAGCTATTACTAACATTTCCAAAACAGGAAGACCTAGGAAAGCCGGTGATCCTGACAGGGTCGCAAGCCTCTATCTTTGCGCTCCAGTCAGACGCCGTCGATAATCTACTCGGCTCCCTCATCATAGCCGGCACCTTCACCATCCCCGAGGTGTGCCTATTCTTCCACCACACGCTGTTCCGCGGAAACCGCACGACTAAGGTCTCGGCGTCCTCGTTCGACGCCTTCGCCAGCCCCAACTGCGAGCCGCTGGCCAAGGTTACTAGCCTCGGCGTCGACGTGAACTGGTCGCTCGTGAGGCGGCCGACGAAGATCGCCCAGTTCCGCGTCACGCCATACGTGGACACGGCGCACGTGGCGTGCGTGCGCATCTTCCCCGGCATCAAGCCTGAGATGGTCGACTCCGTGCTCCGGGTGCCCGAGCTCCGCGGGCTCATCCTCGAGACGTTCGGCATGGGCAACGCGCCCGCGGGCGTCGACGGGAGCCTGACAAAAGTGATCGCGGCGGCCGTCCAGCGAGGGATCATCATCGTCAACGTCAGCCAGTGCACCAACGGCTTCGTGTCCCCGCTGTACGCGCCCGGCTTCGCGCTCGGCCGCGCGGGCGTCGTGTTCGGCCACGACCTCACCTCCGAGGCAGCCCTCACCAAGCTCTCGTACCTCCTCGCGCTCCCGCCCAAAAGCGAGGCCGACCACGCGGCGGAGATCGCCGCCCGCATGAGCACCTCGCTCCGCGGCGAGCTCACCGAGCTCGCGGCCACCACGTCCTTCACGCACCCGCCGGTCGCGGGCCCGGACACTTCGTGGGCGGAGCGGCTGACGGGGCCCGAGGCGGCGTTCACGGCGCTCGGGTACGCGATCGCGTCGGGGAACCTGGGGGCGACGGTCGAGATCCTCGAGGCGGCGGACCGGGACGAAGGCGAGGGCGAGGGGCCGATGGTGCTGCTTCGGCACGCGGACTACATGGGCAACACGGCGGTGCACCTGGCGGCGCTGGGGCCGGAGCCCGAGGTGCTGAAGGAGCTGCTGGTGCGGGGGGCGAGCGTGCATGCGCGCAACCGCGCCAACAACACGCCGCTGTTCCTGGCGCGGCGGGCCGGGAACGAGGGGTGCGTGAAGTTGCTGAGGGAGGCCGGGGGGATGCTGTGGCAGGAGGAGGAGGTGGTGGAAAGGGGGTGAGGCGAGGATTCGATTTCTTTTTCTTTTTCTTGGTGCGTTGACGGGACGGGACGGCAATGTGTTTGTTATACAGGTGGAGATTACCTAAGGATAGATGGGTAGGTACCTACCTAACCTACCCGGCAAAAGAGGGTATGATATACGATGTAGTGCGTGCGATAGAAAGTAGAGCGGATATATTGGGTCGCGGTAGGTATCGCATGTACAAGTAGAGAGTATGGTGCTTGATATAGATAGTAGTGACACAGCGTTTACTAGTATTTAAGGGGAGAAGTATTACTGGAATAGAATCACAGAGAACAGCTACGTGGTGGTGGTGGTGTATGGTATGTAGGTATGTATCAAGATATAGTGGCATAGAAATAGAATAAGACCAAGCGTTTGTTTGATCTGCGATGGGAGATGATATTTATTGTCTGAAGGATTACTTGTTTACCTAGGTATTGTGAGACGGCAGTGAGGAGGCTATCTCAGGTACGTCTCGAAGCTGTTGATTTACATGGCGATCGAGGTTATGTTTGACAGCCGAGAAAAAAAAAAGGAAAAAAAGGATGTCAGATAGAGGTGGCCATATACTAACAGTAGCAATAATATTTATACACTTCACGATTATATGATAATGTTGTAACCTAGCAAGACGTTTATTCAAAACAGAAAAAAAAAAAGGGCGCGAAAAAATGAAATAAAAAAAGTTTGGTTGCTAATCCCAGTTTTCTGGGAAGCATCAGGAATTGAGCCCGATGCGGGGGTCGAACCTTTGAGGTGATGTTAGCATATGAGTGTGAATAACCTCGATTGTGGTTGAGAAGTACATACCCGCAACCTTGAGATTACTATGTGGATAGTAAGAGTCTCACGCTCTACCGATTGAGCTAACCGGGCGACTTGTTGGTGAAAGCTGATTCGTTTTTGCGGTATTTAAAAAGGGTGTGCGCGTGTGTACTGTGTAATGCGCGAGGCCTAACCTTAGGTATTGAGCTAAGGAGGGCCGGTGGGATTTTTTTTTTCTGGGATGGCGGGGAACCATTCGTTGAAGTGGGGGTTTGGGGGTGCTTTTGTGTGCGGGCTAGGTAGGAGTTAGGTTAAGAGAAAAAAAAAAAGTTGGAATTGTGTATAGATGAATACCTAAGGTAAGAAGTATCATCAGATATGTATGACTTTCTCGTATAGTTAACTTGGTTAGAAGTAAGTCAAAGGTAAGTTATGACACCATGTATATAATTGATCATTTTCATAGATATTCTTGAGTACTTTCTTGTTGTGGACTACCTAGGTAGGTAGGTACCTAGGTAACCTACCCCTATAGCGAAGTCATAGGTCTCCCTTTTCTAGTAGGTATTGTCTTGCTTATATGTAACGTCTGTTATGAGGTGGTAATACCTGTCATGATATTAGCTTGATATAAATCAACCTTCATTGAGAGGGAAGGAATAATTCGTATACAATATTTATAGTACTTCATGAGCACATATTAGATAATCAAGTAATATGAGAAACTAGGACTACTCATACTGTAAGACCTCACTGTCTATGAAAGATTATATCTTGGATTGTTCCCTTCGGTATTACATCCTCTGCTAGGTCAACCATAACTCCAAGGCCTGTATGAGTAAAATCATGGGACTGCCTATTCAACCCGGCAACGAAAGCATACTCTCACGAGAACTTGCAAATATTCTCTAGCCCGTAGAGTGCTAACTGGTATATAACACTATCGTGCAAGCCCCTCCATCAACCAATGGGTCTTCACTCACGAAGAATCCATAGGCCGCTTGGCCCAATGGTAAGGCGTCTGACTACGACCGAGCATGTAAAAAACATGATCGAAGGTAATCAGGAGATTCTGGGTTCGAGCCCCAGGGTGGTCACTTCTATTTTTTTGGTCTCATCCTCTCTACTCTAGAGGTCGAGAATATATGGTGGTTGGGTGGGTAATTGTATCTAGGGTTCGCTTAGGGTTGACGTGATGGAGCCTCTAGGATTCCAATGATGGTTCTAGGCGTGTTGAGTTCTCAGTTCATAACTTTTTTGGGCCCACGCAGCAAGGATAGGTAGCGTAAAAGATACTCTTGGGGGAACTTATTATTCTGGGAATAACACGAATTCGCCAGATCCCAATAGACATACATCACTTGTTTCCCATAGTACCTACGAAGTAGGCTTTCCAGATATGATTGAGAACGTAACGTAAGCGTATAATGGAGATTGTATGCTGGCTACCTATTAGATAACTTTGATAACTGTATGCAACGGGTACATAATATGTATATACTATACACGCGTCCAGGGATGATATTTTTGTCCTCTTTTTTGGGGTTTTGGAATGCGTTGTATTTACCTTATATACCAAAATAGTGGACAATTGGCCAATCATATAAGAGCTTCCGATGACGAAGCTTCCTTTCTAAGTCGCGTGGTCTAATGGTTATGATTTCTCGTTCACATTGATGTGTTCAAAGCTCCGAGAAGGTTCCGTGTTCGATCCACGGCGTGACTAATCTTTTGCTATCCGAGTACTCCGTAGATCGGGATACACGAATACTTTTTACCCTCGCAGCTAAATAGTTGATTTCTTCGGATTATGCTAGTTCGGATCTAGCAAGACCCTTGAGCGGGACTATTCTGTGCTGTGCATGGTTAAAGATGTTGGTTAGCAGGAGTAAAGCCCGTCCGGATTTTAAGTGGAGCACTCACTTTACATGTTAAATATTTAAGCGAATTGTTTAGACTTTTCAATAGACTTCTAAAGTCTTGACATCCTACTTACATGTGTATTTTTTTTGTCCACTCCGCATTGGGGGATTAATAGGGGCACTCTGACCCCTGTCGTCGTATTGCATGACATGGCGTTCTTCCAAGACCGTGTATATGAGCTGACTTCGGTCCCCAAAGGTTATAACGATGATATTGAATTGATAAATCATATTATAATAACTGATATATTCTTATTGGAACTTTGAGACTACCTTAGCATACGTCTGTAGGGAGAAATCTTGAGACTCAGATATTAGTGGATTAAGGTTGCGACGCGTCTACATAGTAGAGGCTGGAGAGGAATCGTCCAGCAATTCTTGTCAGCGAGTCCAACAAGCCAAGTCGAGTCAAATAACCGTGTATATTTGGCTTATACAAGCCAAGTCAAATAATGACGTAATTGAGGCTTATTTGGCTGTATTAGAGGCTTGACTTAAGGCTAGATTCGGAAAAAACAAACCCCGGATGTTCCGATTGGCTAAAAGTGGATAGTGCCCACTTAGCTTCCCTAGCCACATGTTTTTCAAATTACATAAAAAGTGGGCCTGGACCTGTGGGTATCCACCAAATATTTCAAAAAATAGGATTTAGGCAAGCTAAGTCAAGCTAAGCCCAAGTCAAATATCGGCTTGGCTTGTTGGACTCGCTGATCCTTGTCTTATAAGTACATACCTACCTAAGGTAACCAAACAATGGCTGAACTTCCAGACGCATCACAACCCCCGAGGACGACAACGACAACGACAACCCCGAAATTGAGGTCCTCATGCGACTCGTGCGGATCGGCCAAGGTCAGATGCGACCGTAGTCGGCCCAAATGTCGCCGCTGCGTTACCCTCGGTATTGATTGCGTATACGGCATCTCACGCAAGCTCGGGAGAGTACCAAGAAGGGGGCTCTCCACAAACATCAAATTTAGAGCTTCAATCGGAACCTCTGGGCAGACACAGACATTACAATCCGACGATAACTTAGGTGGTTCTGAAAGCACAGTCTTTGAGGAACCAAGGCGGGTACATAGTGAAGCAGAAGAGTCGTTTTCGGGTCCGGGATGTGAGACATCGCTACCCGGCAGTAATATTGATGCGCCATCGTCAAACACTTATGGCCATAACCAATTTGGATTAGATATATTCAACCCTCTAGCCATGGATCAGTGGCCTCAATTTGATGTGTTAGATTTTGGCATTCGCACCGCATCCTCACCAAAAGATTCAACTGCCGAAGCTGGGATCCGCAAGGCTTCAGATACTCGCGCATCTCACAGTTGCGCCCGAGAGTCATACGAGATCTTTGCAGATTCGATCTGCCCTGCTCCGGATCTACACGCTCCTGATACTAACTCAGACACTGTAACAGCTCGCCTGGATCAGGTACTTCACTTCAACAGGAAGGCAATCGACCGACTTAGCGGCCTTCTAAAGTGTTCTTGCGCTAAGTCTGGGCATCGAATTATGGTTCACGCATCAATCATCTCTCGCATTTTGATCTGGTATCAGCAGGCCGCTGGATGGCCGTGTAGCACTTCACTAGAGACCTCGCCAGCCGATGTGCTAGATAATAATGGCGGCGCCATCTCCTCTTCGGCTTCTTCACCTTCTGAACCCAACGAAGCAACAGGCACTGGCTCATCTAAATTGCGGATATTGCCCCGCACCACAGGCTTCGTCGTTACTGGCGTGCCGGCTACGCTAGGAACATTCAGCATTGAAGATGGGAAAATGCAAGCAGTAATCAGGAATCATTTAGTTCTAAGCGAGCTCAGCAGGATGTCAACTCTTATTGATCTTTTCAGTTCTCATTTCTCGGGGGAGTTGTCAGTTGCTGGCACTAGTGGCCTTTATACGTATATCGCAGCGTGGCTTCGGAATGAGTATGATAATACCATTAGAGACCTCAAAGCTGACCGGATTTCGCTGCGTGATGCTTTATATAAGGTATCCAGTTGAGCGAAGTAATATGTATTCTAGTCGCAATTTCATCCTCCCGTGAAGTACATCCTCATCTTTTTAACACCAAGTTAGATCCTACCCCTTATCCCTTACCACCTTTCTGCACTTTCTGGCGTCCTAGTTTTTAATCTATATACGATTGGCCTTATAAGAGCATTTCTCTTGTTCCCTTGTATTCAATCTAAGCTGTCAGTTCAAAATGTAAGTCGAAGATTTTAGCCATCTACGCGTTCGGGTTCTAAAGGTTGAACCCTATTGGTCAATTCAACTCCGTTAAGGAAATTCCCGAATACTATGGGGTACCTCAAAGCCGCCGTGAATCTGCCCATGAATCTCTTTAACTACAACATAATCTAACATATATATAACCATGGCCCCATTCCAACATTCAAGTCATAGAATAGTATGTGGTTTAACCAGTCTTTACCTATATCAGTCTTGCTACCATGGTCCAAATTGTTGTTGCTGGAGGCTCAGGAGGTAAGAAATCCTGGTATGGTTAATCAATCATAAGATATTAACCTCCCTATAGAAGTCGCTCAGGAGGTCATTAACGCCTTAGTAGCCACCAAAAAACATGACATTACTATTTTCAGTAGAAAAGTCAGCAGCACAACCAGACTTTCGAAACAAACTGAGAAAATTCTATTCTGAACTTGAGTAATATAGGTGACGGAGGTTCGAGACAGCAATCGGCATGGTGTTACGTGGCGTCAAGTCAACTATGAGAACAAGGTTGAATTAGTCGCGGCTTTACAGGGCGTCGATACCGTGCTTTCCTTTATCCAACTCCTCCACGATCCAGGCAATAAGGCGCAGAAAAGCCTGATCGACGCCGCTGTCATAGCTGGTGTAAAGCGGTTTGCACCGAGCGAGTGGGGAAGGTAAGTAATTAGATGGACTTTATCTGCGAAACTGCTAGAATCAAGTGAACTCAGCTGACAGACACCTAGTTGTAGCGGTGTAGGAATGCCATGGTGGACGGGCAAAGACGAAGTCAAGGAGTATTTGAGAAAAGTGAACGAGAACAAAAAGGTGAGCCGATAATCCCTCCTACCAATGATACTTCATCGGCCAATATGTCGTAACCTAGGTCCTGGAATACTGTTTATTCCAGCCTGGCTTGTTCCTGAACTATCTTGCTACTCCGCATAAGACCTCAAAACACCTAACACCACTGAACACCTTTATCGATATCCATAACCGTCGCGCTATCGTCGTCGAGGGGCACGATCCCATCATGACCTTCACTACTATCCAGGATATGGCAGCGGTAGTGGCTCAAGCTGTTGAGTTTGAAGGAGAGTGGCCCGTGGTTGGAGGTATCAGGGGCAACAGTCTTCCAGTCTCAAAGATTATTGAGATCGCTGAACAGGTCCGAGGTAAGATAGGCGTTATTAGTTGTTCTATGTATAGATCTAGATATGCTAAGCTAATGTCACAGGTGGCCCTTTCGAGGTAGATACAGTCAAATTCGAAGATCTCGAAGTTGGGAATCTAACGACATCCTGGAAGTTGGAGGCTCGCCACCATAGCGTCACAGATGAGGAGGCAGCTGATATGCTCAAGGGAGTACTCGTAGGTATGCTCTTAAGTAGTGCTAAGGGTGCTTGGAACATATCCGATGAGTGGAACCAGTTGCTACCGGATTATAGGTTCACTGATATGAGTCAGTTTCTAGGTGAAATTTGGCAAGAGAAGGCATAATGTGCCGGCTTCCGCAATATATAGAACCAATATGTGTAAGCTATATAGGGAATGATATCTCTTGAGCCTGAGAGTATAGAGTGGTTTACTCGAAAGATATTTTGATCAATACCTCTAGGTTAGGTACCTACCTAGGCAGTTATAAGTAGATCTCATTCAACCTATGCTTCTTACTGGCATCCAACTTCAGACTTGACGACATATAATACGGGGTTTCCCCAACAAATAAGCACAATAAATACCTAATGAAAGAACCTCCTTATGGAGAGATAGATAGTTCCTGGTTGCTTTATAACCCTATTTAAGAAGGAATGGATGTCATTAGACTTGCGAAGAGATCAAGTGCATCCTAGTATACTGCTATCCAGTTATGTAGTTGTATATAGCTAAATACATATTAATATCATTTGTATAACTGTTGGAGTTCTAATGTTCACAACTATGAGCTATGTAGCTAAGATACCATCCACCAAGAGAATTGTATACCTAATATAGTGGGAGTAACCTTTTTCTTCAGGGGTATTTCATAGATGATCACCAATTTGTTCATCTCATAACGCCGGTTGTTCTTTCAAAGTATGGAATATCATGCTTCCATTATCAATTTTACCAAACCACATGATCCCTCCCCCTCTTATCTCCCCCCCTTTTTACTCGACGACCATGCTTGCACACTGGACGAAATAAACCATACTGTGAGGTATGCATTGACTGTTGTCCAATTATCCTTGTATAACCCTCGCAACACTGTACATACCTGATACATAGAGTTCACTGTGTGTTCTGAACTTTACGCTGCCTGACCATGTCCTGTGACATATTGCAGTCCTATCGGAAAGCCCTCGACATGCTTACGGGGGCTAAGTAGCGTCGGGCTTTCCATGAAACACGGAGACTCACGTCCGTTGCTGATTGTTCCGTATGGTATGGAGCAATATGTTCAACGTTGGCCCTTCTTTGAATCATAGCCTGCCGACCCTTCTCTTTCCTAGTACGTACGCACGTAAGGTAGCAGCAGCAGCAGTAGGGATGACGGCAACTCCTAGTTACCTCGTGACTGAATTTATTTTGTGCTAATCCAAAATTAAATTTACAGTTTCTGCTCCAAACCTAACCCTAGGTACATTCTTCTTCCCAACATTCAACCCACAACCACAACTGCAACTGCAACTGCAACTGCAACAATACTTGTCTTGGTGTCCTTAGCCTCCCACATTATTTACTATTCTGGCCTATTTATGGATTATGTATGGCTCAAGCTTCAAAGGAGGTAAGTAATTTCATTCCAATGAGAAAATTTGGTGACTTTCTAGGCTGCTTTAGCCAGCTGAACATCCTCATTCTCCTTCCACACATGCCCTAACACCTGCATTCTAGGTGTACTCTACTCTTTACACAAACCATGCAGCTTCTCGGCCTATTTATTTATTATTATTACTCTGCTAAATATCCGCGCCGCCTATTCACAGATGAGCAACCTAACACCCAGCACAGTGACTACCTCCTACCTCCTACTTTATATTACTCCTTTGTTTTCAGCCTATCTACCTTGTGTGCGATATTTCGCATAGCGCATTCCAGATATCACCTATGACTACCTTAGGTACCTATATGCACAACTGACTCTCTATCACAAAGGCTCGCCCACAAAAACAACAACGACAACAAAAAAAAGCCTGACATCTCGAAGGCGATGCATTTTTTTTCTCTTTAATTCTGACTCTATGTTTCACCTATATTGTTTCCACAGCAAGAACAACCTAGAGGAACTCTTGAAGAGTTGTGCTCGCCCAAATAAAAAATGAAGCGAGGTTGTGCTGAGCACTACCTGGAATCCTTGCAGGGTTCTCTAAAGGCAACCTCGTCGATATTCATCACACGCTTCTATAACTCATCTAACGATAATTCCTCGGTATTCAGTCTGAGAGAGAACTATTTACTTCAATGCGGCTTTTCGAATTAAGCATCTATCTCGCCTAAGCCGGCTATTCCTATCTTCAAAATATTCGCCAGCGCTTCTCAACGGCTACAAACCAAGAAGGTCCAGGCAAGAAATTTTAAGAAAGAAACATTCAAAGCGATGCAGAAGGAGTTCGTCTAGGTATTTAGAGAAGATTTCCCCCGTGGAATTGGCCTCTTCTGTCTGCTTTCCAGCGTACTCTGCAGGTCTGCTTGGTTGCTGGGCCGAAAGGGGCAGCAAAAGCAGAGTATCCAGGACTCCAATAAAACCTAAGCAACAAATAGCACCTATTTACCTCAGACAGACAGCCAGAGTGGGCGACGGGATCAGGATGTTGAGATGGCCATCAAATATCATATAAGCTGCCAGACTCGACATAGCGTGGATACATACCTAGAACCCGAAGATCAAGAGCTCTTCGTATAGACAGATCTAGAGAGTGACTCATCCAGATCAAGTCCTCTTCCTTTCCCTCGATCAAATCAGCCTAGCGACATTCATTCTATTCAATTGAATCAACAAAGCGACATGGATTACTATCATTCCCACCTTGTAAGACAACCTGGACACCCCTGAATCTACATTTTTGGGAAGATCTTCCAACGGGGTTGTCTTATGTTTCTGTCACCCCGTGTATATAAGGCGTCATTTCTAGTCTGCAATCACGGCGTCGTTTTTGTTCGACAGTTTCAAAGTCAGATCACTTAACGTCAACGACAAAGTCTTGCTAAGACTACCTAACATAAGGGTTACAACATCCCTTCGGCTGCCGTTCTGGGCAGAAAACTCTACCCTTCAACGCAAACCTTTAAGATAAACTCTTTCCGATATCCACTTTGTATACCGGCTCCTAAGGCCAATATATTCAACAAGGTATCTTCGTTTCGCAGGGTCTTCGGCGATGATTCGCCTATGATGAGCTTTGAGGGAAACAAACCTCCACCCAATTTTTTTTTAAATCACGAATCAGCCATCGAGGAAGACGAAGCAGAGGACGCGAAGATGCAGGTGACACTATTGAATACCCCGAAGAAACAATCACGGATCTTCCCCCCTGATTAAAGACTACTCGATTGATTTTTGGCAGGACTATCGATGTGATGATGTAGTATCAAAACTTTCTGGGCAGCAGATACAACGAGTGTTGTCCCACGCAGAAACACTCAGACAAATCGGTCGACATAATCATCCACAACCACTGGGAAGACTGACGAGGAATTCTTCCGAGCCAGCGCTCGATTATAACCCCGAATGGGTTGTTGACACACATAAGTTTCGCGTAGCCTTTGATGCTGCGTGCAATTACTTGGGTTCAATAGAAATCCATACAGGAGAGTCCTCAGGAAAGCCAACCACCATCATCAGTACGCCTCTAGTTCAAAAATGTTCTTCTCTGCTGCAGAGTTCATAGGGAAAATGCAGGAGAAGGAAAGATTCGCCAACGAATGACCATGTGAGTCAGAGCATATGACTCACAGTCAGACAGGTGACGAAAGACGACACGAACGATGGGAGCATGGTCGATGATTTCGCAGGAAAACGATCGATTACATTTGTGACCCGATGGCATTACCCGATAAATAATGGCCGCGATGATTGAAATGAATTGATTGCAAAGCCAACGAGGACGTTGGTATCATTAGGGTAGCAGATGAGAGATCTTCTCTCTTCCACAATAAAGGTAGCCAGTACTCTCATAAATACGTTCTGTATGTATAAGTCTGGTTCCCAGAGCTAGGTGTCTAGTTGGATTAGATGAAGATATTCTATCTTGGGTACTTGGAGGCAGCTTCTATCTGATGAGTATGTGAGAAGAACCATCGACTATGTCATCCGGGTATTAAAAGATGAAATGAAAAGAAAATCACTTCTATAATGACTCTCTTATAACCGCCAACTCCCCAAGCAGTCTTAGCATATCCGTATCCACAACCGTATTCCGTAACGTATCACGCACAACGGAGCTCTCGCACTCATCTTCCACCCAACCTACTCGTCTCTTATCCTTCTTCTCATCCTCCCCTTCTTCTTCGCTGTTGTTATTAGGCTCATTATTATTGTTATTATTACTATCCAGCCGCAAGCCGGGAGGCACGCAATTATCCTCGGCTCTCGCGGCGCGCAGCTTGCATATCTCGACGCGTCTGCACTCCTCGTCGCAATCCCCTACCCCCCACCCGCGGCGCCTGCGCGCAAAGTACTCGGCAAACGCGGTTTCGTTGCGCTCGAGGGCCAGGGTGACGTTGTGCCAGAACGCGGGGCTTAATTCCTCCAGGTCCGTTTCGGGCGTCCCGACTAATAGCGGTGCGTAGGCCTCGCGCGCGGAGTAGTACTTTATCCATTTTGGACCCGAGCGAGACGAGGACGAGAAGGAGGGATCGCTTACGTTAGCGATGTACGTAGTGGCGTCTAGGACGCCAAAGGTGATCGGGTCGACGGTGTAGACGCGGAAGGCGGGGTGTCCGGATATAGGCGTCATGGAGGGGGCAATATAGGATGTTACGAGGGCGTTGGAGTGGGATTTGTTCGAGTTGTCTGCGTACGAGATCTCGAATTCGTCGAAGTGCGTGTGGCCTAGTGGTCAAATTAGCATTAATTATAGGTAACCTTCGGCAGGCAACTATATCATGATAACTTCATGTATCATACCAAAGAACATAGCAGCTATTGTCCCCTCGTACCGCCGCACTATCTGGTCAAAATAGTTGGACCCGTCGTGGAACGCATCGTGACTTCCCATCGGCATATGCCCTATGATATACACGCGTTCGCCCTCCTTCTCCGCGGCATCCAGCTCGCTCACCAGCCAGGCCAGCTGCCCGCTCGGGTCCCTCTGCATGGGCTCCTCGTAAAGCCAGTAGTTGTGCCCGTAGTACAGGTTCGTGCTGAGCGAGATGACGCGTAGTTTTCCCGCGCCGTCTCCGCCGGAGGCGTGTCGCACCGAGTATGCGCCAAACTCCCTCGTCGTAGCCGCCGCCCGCGGGCCGATCCACCGGGACCAAGTTGCGGAGAGTAAGTCGTACAACCACTGCGCAGCATTGCCATTACCGTTGCTTTCCGTACTATCGTCGTCGCCGGCCGGCGTGGGTGGAAACGAGTTCGCCGGCGAAGCTTCGTGATTGCCCGCCGTGCCGTAGACGCGCAGCCCGGCGCGCGCCATACGTCCATAAGCATCGTTGATGTCGAACGCGTTTTGCGATTCGGATGTATTCCACACCGCGTGGTCGACGATGTCGCCTGTGAAGACGGCAAAGGCCGCGTTGGGCGCGACAGCTTGGATCGCAGCGTACATGCTGTCTTCTAGGCTGGGGGGCGAGTCGCATGTGTGCTCACCGTATGGCCCGGCTGGGAATTCGTTGAATCCAGGTTTGTCGGCATTGGTGTATTCTCTGTAGAACTATAAGCAAGTGAATTCTAGGTGCGACGGTTAAATGAAATCTTAGTAGGTATCATCTTATTACCCTGTACAATATATATGACTTATACTGCACTTAAGACATACATGACTAGGTGCAAGCCAGAGCTCCGTACTGGACAAAGCGAGATCTGTAACCAAACTCAGGAGCAATCTCACCTGCAACATATAGGCTTCGTACAGTTGGCATTCGCGCCCTCGACGTACAGCGGGTCGATATGTATATCCGAGAAATGCACCACCTGCAGCGGCTCCAAACCACTGGGTCGCGGCCTGCCCGCCAGCCTCTTCGGCGACGGGAACGAGACGTTATACGGTAGGACCTCGGGGTGCTGGCAAAGTCCCATGAACGCGACGCATACTAGCCGCGACGTGCGGGAGCCTATGGCGAGGCCGCGTAGGCTGCGCGCGACGATAGGACCCTCGAGAGCTATGGAGCCTGCGCAGACGTCGGCGTCTTGGACCTGGAAGAAGGGGAAGATTAGCGAGTTGGGAACGGTTTGCTAATGAAGAAAGAAAGAAAGAAAGAAATGGGACTGAATATAGGTAGGTACCTAAGGTAGGTATACATACGCCGGATCGCTGGCAGAGTTTTGTCATAGAGTTGATGAAGAAGTCGTCGCCTGCGGAGGCTATGAGCTTGAGCTGGAATAGAACTGCCTGTATGTTGTGTCAGCATAGGGTAGGTACCTCATCCGACCTTGCTTATAAGGTAGTTATAGGATATCGGTATAAGTGAAGTCCTACCTCACAGGCCGTGCACGATGCGGGACTCTGGGCATCTTCCCTGGTGCTGACAACTATACTACTGGGATCGAAGCCACCCCGAAATCCTTTTGCTATGCTGGGCGCGAGCACTTTCTGAGACCCATCGCTATAATCGAAATACGCCGTAACACCCCGGCCGACGACTACCGAGATGGCGGCGACGGAGGAGAGAAGCCGCATCGTGTCTTGTCGCGCCGCCCCGGTCTTTATCCTTTATATACCGAACGCAAGTTATCGCCCGTTTAACGCCAACCTTAGGTTTATGTACTAAATGGATGTAATAGTAGCAATAATGATATAATATACTCGATTTCGCATTATAATAACCTTACAGACATAACGGTAGCCACATCAGTAGGACAGCGAAAGTCAAGTCCCCAAGAAGCCAAGCTAAGAAAATAGCAGGTAGGTACAGGTAGGTAATAATCACCAGGAAATTCTAAGTATGGTGACAAGCAACGCGTGTAAAAAAGAAAAAGAAAAGAAAAGGAGTTGAGTTCCTGACTCGAACGTCGCCCTCGCCTCATTGTTTAAGAAACCCAGAAACCCAAGCCAGCAACAGCCACCAGATCAATTGCGTAGGTACTTTGGGCCCTCGGCGGTCCAATCGGAGCTCAGCCAGTCAGGCGGACGTGCTGGCTGGCTGGGGAGCCGTCAGGCTCGAAAATTAATGGCCGGGTCTTGGCATTCTCAAACTTTCAATTCTGTTAAGCAATAAGTACTATTAAAAATAAATAAAAAATATTGCGATATTTTTTAAAAAATTCCGTATATAATTATTAATTATTTCAATTTTTTACGATTTATTCCTGTGGTTACTTTCGTGTTAAAGATGGTACTGTTCCAAGAGAGAAATGCCAAGACCCGGCCATTAATTCTCGAGCCTGACGGGGGAGGCGGTCACCGGATCTTGGATTCTGACTGATAAGGGATTGTATTGTACAATACAATACATCCATTATGTATACATACCTAGTATACACCTATGACATAATTTTGACATGTTAGGTACCTTGCACCTAGGTAGTGTATGTCATGAGAGGATTATACATAAAGTTGGCGTGTACTAGCCATGCAGGGTCTCTCACTAGCCTCTACTACGGACGAAGATTACTGACTGCATTATAATCCAGACTTTGATTTCATAGGAGGTAGGTAACCTTAGGTGTGTTTTGATCTTTGAAGCTTCAATCTTACCTACATTCTTACATTAGGCGGGGACTTTGTAATGCACATTTATGCTCATCCACAATAGTAGAGGGATATGGAATTCCTCTCAGCCGCTTAACATTAAACCCTTTTTTTTTCAAACTACCTAATATAGAAACTTTTGGTTAGATCTAACGACACTATTAATGACATCCCGTCCCGTGTAAGACTAGACCTAAGTACCTGAGCTTCCCTTTTTTTTTCAAACCCGATTAGACCAAGCCATCCGTGCCGCGTTTTATAGGCTAGGTAAAGTACCTACACCCAAGGTAACTAGATCCTCTCCTCACACGGCGTCGCGCAAAGTCTCGGTGCGCTTCGTTCAACTTGAATGCTTCCCTTCTCTCTGCTCACTACTCAAAATGAAAAAAAAAAAAGCCGCCATATACCAAGCCAGAATAATGCAGCAATAGAGGGGAGAGAATCGTGCCAAAACCCGAACTCGCAGATTATGATGATGATGATGATGGCGATGATTATGACCTCGATATGCTTTCCATGCAAAACCGCTCCATCCAATATGCCGTAGTTTTTTTTCTTTTTCGTTTCGTCATAATTCCGTTACCCCCCCTTAACTGTTTGCACCTAACCAGCTCCTTCTCGGCCTTATTAATGCCCGCCAATATCCTACACAGCGCCGCGCTCTTTATCCCCCTTTCCCCACAAGTATTACTTCCTCTACTCCTTGGATAATAGAGGCTTCAAGACCTCAAGGGCCCTCATAGATTGTTTGCTCGATAGGATCACAGCTCCGGCTTGCGCGGTAGAGAGGTACGAGAGCTCGCCGCTGATGTCGGTTTCTTCCTTCCCCATCTCCGAGATGAGCTTCCCGGCAACCCCCGAAACGATCCCCGTGGCCTCCAGCGGGAGGTTCACGAGGTCGAGAAAGATAGGCACTAGGTCGCCTTCGGTATCGCCGACGAGAGAATCTCCAAAGACGCTTAGATACTCCCTATCTAGCAGTAGCGACGGCGGATCTTCTTGAGCCAACGTAATTGATAGGAATCTGGGTTGCTTAGCTAGGACCGATATTAGACTCGTATATAGTTTCGTATCGACGTTGTCGAGCCAGCTCCGCCGGTGCCCGTTCCCACTTTGGTGCTTGTTTAAGGACGGGCGACGGCTGTAGTCCACTAACCGAGACAGATCCCTCCCGGAGCATTGCACCAAGCTGAGGCAAGGACTGATGTACGGGACGACGTTTCGCTTTTTAAGTAGTTCGAACGTGCGCACTTGTAATTCTGCCACGGTGGATGGCGGAGGCGTCGATGGCGGCTCGCTACCTTGGCTTCTCCCGCGGACGTGAGACATCGCGCTGGGCGATACGTAGGCGGACTCGTACTGATCGAACTCGAAATTCCGGGCTAGAAGCACCTGCACGACCGTCTGCCTATCTTTGCTGGGAACCAATATGAAGTCCGAATAGTACGTGGTGATGAAAAAGATAGGCACACCCGCCAGCGCGAGGGGTGAGGTCAGGTCCATCACCCGACTTCCTGCATCCATACCGGCACTAATTACCGAGAGAATTAAATACGTATCCTTCGAGATCGTAACCGTCTTAGAGAGACTTGAAGGTAGACGCTTAATGACCGGCTCAAAAACGTTGCTGGCCCAGCTACTATGACAAACCACCGAACATTCAACAGGCGTAACGCTTATGTTAAGGAACCCGTGCCTATTGTCGATGCTGAGACCTTCGGCCTTATTACTGAGAGAATCATCATCATCTTGAGGAAGAAGGACTTGCAGTATAGGTTGAAGAAAGTTGGGATACAATTGCAAGGGAATGTGTATTAGGCGAAATGTCCCATCCTAAATTTACATCGGTCAGCATAATCGTGAGACATGGGCGACTCATTTGTCGCATGCATCGTTAGGATATACCAGAATATGGGCAGTAACCGTTGCTTGGCTTATGTTACACATGGGAATTATTTTGTAACTAGAACTTTGCCACGACTGCAAGAGTGATGATCTGCCGACGCATTGCGACGAGAGAAGACTCGGATCTTATAAATCTCAGATAAGAACTAAGGGGGAAGCTTACGAGAAATGATATCTGAGCATTCATTATGACGATGTCACATCAGTGACGCCGTAGATCGCAACCAATGGCCAAAAGCGTTCAATCCCGATCTTCGGGGGCCAGAGGACCCCTAAAATGCACGGATAGAGTAGAGCCTATCACGGAGATCCGGTTGGAATCGTGTCGTGATTGGTGGATTATTCGCCCTTTCTTAGGCTTGGGATTTCGAGTTCTCGGTTAGTTCCCAATAAGAAATCCGTTACAACAAAAGACGACAGGAGGATGGATATCTAGAGAGTATAGGACAGAAAGAGGGGAAATAAAAGCCGAAAGAAACAACGTCAATAGATAGACTTCGACCCTAGGTGGAAGCCAAGACAAAGAAATAAAACAATTGGCCGGTTTCCAAAGATAGGCACCGGCGATAGTGCTGTCAATCGGAGGCACTACACTATGGAGACTAGACCTTGTAGGGGACTAGCTCTACATAGGCCCTCGTAGGTTGTCGGTTGGTTGATAGAATGAAAAGAAGGGTCTCGCGAGGGCCTCTTTTAACGCTTCAAGTTCGCCAGGTAACCTAAATAGCGTGACATTGACACCACTTGATAGCAGGATTCCACAAGGATCGACGCTCGTTACGGTCTAATTTATCGCCCCGGGATGTAAGTCGATGCAAGCTACAAACAGAGAAGAAGCGGGCCTCTATAGGTAAGGGGAGTTGGCGACGGAGTCCTCAACGCGATTTAGAAACGCCGAGTAGAGAGGTTGTTGTTTTTTTATTATCATATTACAATAGACCGAATTCGATCGGTGAGATGGATGACGAGGGGCACTTGAACCTTATGTATTTTGCAGAACGGCGTAATCTACAGAGTTAGCACAGCACATAATAGCCTTGGATTTGCGAACCTGGCTTGAGGTTCCTGACCACAAGCCAACAACAACCTATGCGCGTATGCACGCCATACGCCCTAAAGAGGCAAGCCGCTAAATGCAGAGCGCGCAGAAGGGGGGCCGAGCAACACATGCACTTATTCTCGACACATCATATACCTCGTACGGCGACATCCTAACATCCTAGGACCTACATCAGCTCCTACAGCGCGTAGTTGATGTCGGGGAGGAGCTAAGTGGATTTGGGAGAATCTTGCAGGACGAGTCTATATAACAGTGCAACTTTGCAACGCTGTCTAGCGTGGGGGGGAACCGCTTAGCGTTTGGGTCTTGGGTCTTGGATTCCCGGGAGATGTACCTTGCCCCGGCCCTTGCCAGGATTGTCTGCAAGGAGGTTTTTACTCTTCTGCATGATGATGTCTCCCGAGAAGGGCGACCTGCGCTTCGCATCCATTCGCAACCTATACCTAGGTAAGTACTGAGGGAGTGAAGCAATATACTGGCTGCTGCAGACAACGTTAGATGGAGTCCTTTGTTTATTGTATCACAGCAGGTGTGATCGACCTGGTAGGTAGAAAACGATGTGCTATGCAGGTGAGTGCATTATCTAGAGTGCAACTTCATGAAGAGAATAGATAGTGAGTCGGAGGATATATGTAATAGTCGAGTAGTGTACGGACTTTGGCGAGAGGACCATCGTCCACCGGTACCTGAAGTCGGGAAGATTTAACTCGCCAATGCAAGCTAGGTAGTGTTGTTGATGCAGCTGTCCAGCCTATGAGCAAGAGGCTGGGGATAAGATACCCCTTGAGGACCCTTTGCGGCCCCGCATTTTCTTCACATTTTCCTACTATCTCACGCTTGGCCGCCGAAGAGTCCCTCGTTAATTCTATCACCAATTGCTGTATCCACTGTAGCACGTAACATGGTAACGCCATTTGTCTAAGGTTGGCGTAACGAAACAGACGAAACAGCGGATGCAGGTATAATATCGATATAATTTTGTCTCACTGGCTTACTTTCATCACGGATAACTTGCGTGATATGATGTCGAATATTCGACTAAAGATGCCGCATTTTCGGTACTCTACCCCTTCCCTTGGCCGCAACACCAAGGTACCTTAGGTTAGGTAGATACCTTTCAATTAGCATGCTTACCGTTTTTCCTTCATAATTGGACAAGCTCGATCCGATTCTAAGGTTCTCAAGTCAGAGCCGAGTGTAACCACATCTTATACATAATCTCGACCCATCATATTCATCGATGACAACCCCACGTAATTTCCATCCCGCTATATCCACTCACGCCCCTACCACGACCGTGCCATACATAATCAGTCGCTAAATGTTGAATTTATTATGTACGATGGTGCCAGTCAGTCGTCGGACCCAGGATCGAATTACTTTTGGGTCACGGGGATTTCCCGCAAGTCTGTCACAGGCAAGGCGAATAAGAGCTAGCTAGATGGCCTGACAAGATCTAAGATAGATGAGGTCGGACACAACTTTCGTCATGATGGTAACTAGACCGTATCGAGCCTCGCAACGGACCCATAACTCGACGCCACCAACCACCCTGGCTAGAAAAAAATCCCGTATACGGCAGCCATCAAGCTCCGTGATAGGAAACTGCCATTTCTAACCGACGACGATAACAAGCTTGGAGACGGGGCATTCGGTAGAATTAATTGCGTTGAGAATAGCCTGCAGGCGCGCGCGTGGGGTAGCACGTAACATTAAGCCGTCATCGAAGGGCAAGGTTTCTAAATAGCTAGGTAAACTCGCGTTTGTCTCGGTTCGCTATACAGGACCTTACTTTATGGTCAAGCTGTGCCCGGACCTGTTCTAGATAGGCAACTTTACTGTGGCCCATCGATGCAGGTTCATGCATGGCATAGCTTTAGTTTATGTCCAATTATCGTCTTGGATCGCCCAGCTACCGTGAGAGGCGACCTCCAAAATACCCAGAAAAAAACGTCTGGCGGGGCTGACATTAAACAACTGGCTCAGTTGGCGCAGGGTCTGCAAGGAGCCGGATTGTGACGACAGTTAAGTGCGATCTGATTGTTGCTATTTGTGTTGCCGCGGCTCGGTGAAGACCGACCTCAGGAACCTCGTTGACATCAGATCGGGTTTTTGATACCAACTACGACCAGGTTCCGAGGGCTTTCATGGTAGTCAAATACAGTCTCTACCCAGCAATCCTGCACTAATTCGGGATGCTGCCGGAGGAAGAGCCACCTGTCGGTCACGATTAAGGATTCGGTGACATTAGCACTAAACGCCATCAGACTCCAGACAGCACTGAGTTCCCGTTTGCGCGGATCATATTCTCCTTCGTATCTTGCGATCTCTTCGTCTGTGATGTCCATCATTTTCTCCCTGATTATATCGCAATACTCGTGATACTCAGAATTGGTGGTCAGCTTACTGATGGCACCTCTTACGTATGCCCCAAAGCTTTTGTAGCATGACTTCCGGAGAGATCCGATGATGACCGGGTTGGTGCTCATGTTGAACGGACTCTGGTCGTTATCCGTAAGTTCGTCGCTATGGCGAACCTTTGTGATAACACCCTTGTCAAGAAACATCTTCTGTAGGACCGCACGGTAGAAGTGTCTGGTGAAAAAGGCATCGCTCTCGGCTTCAGTCCAATTTTGTGGCGCCTGACAAGCCATCATCCGAGCTGTGATATTAAGACGGACTCCTATATCTTTATAGTTGCAAAGACGGTCGCTCATTGGGAATCCTTGTGGGTCACGTCTCTCAGATTCCCTGACTACACGACCGTTGAGGGCTTGAAGACTCGGCCTCATATACGGGAGTTTATACGTAGGTGGGCCTAGCTTCTCCGTCATAAGGTTATAACAGCAGCCGACGATGGCAATAGCTTGGACTCGCGGATTAATAATTAACGAGCGTATTCCGTGATGGGATAGATTTCCACAAGAATGGATGGAAATTGCCATTAAGTTAGGGTCGCCTTGTCCTTTCTCCCCACCCAGCGGTTCTTGCTCGAGTTGGTTGATGACGTCCGTTAAGTCTCCCGACTCCAGTCTCCCTTCAACGTAACGTATAAAGCCTTTGCCCTCCTCAAGCGTATAGATGGGTTCAAACTCACTTCGAGGCCTGAAATCAGGTACGTACTCGGTTGAGACTTTTACAGGATTGGCAGCTCTTTTCAAAGCTCTTTCATCAAGTTGATCCTCAGGGGTCATGCTATTGAGCTTCTGCATCCAAAGTTTCTTGTTTCGTATGACCTTCTGCTTCTCAGAAATGCCTGCATGCATGTCAAGCTTTTTGGCGCCAATGATATTGTGTTCCCTACCCTCCACAGCTACGATCTGTCTGTTATAAGGAGGGGTTGCTAATGCCCTTCCTAGATAGTTCTGGCCACTACCGAAATCAACAAAATGAGTGATTTCCTTACGGTATTCAGCAGAAATACCCTTGGCAAGGTTATCCACATAATTTGCGAAGTGGCTCACTTCGTGAATTTTCTTCGGTTTCATTCCCGCCGACACCATGCGTGTTAACTTGGGGAGTTTCTCCTCCTTTGGGGAGAACTCGCGCGCCAATGAAAATCGTCTTACATCTTTAATATACTCGACTAGTGTCATTGGTGGTTCGGGATCTAGAAGTTTGCCTAGGTCATCTCTCATTAAGAGATCGAGGAACTTCATGGGCTCACATTGTAGAATATATGATTGCCAATCCGGGGGTATAACCGTCTGAAAGAGCCCCGGGTTATTGGTGAAGAAGTCTAGAATGTGCACACCTCCACACAAAATTTGGAAGAAATCTGATGTGGTTGTGAATTCAAGGAGTTGCTCAACATAGTCCTCAGTACTTCCCCAGCAATCTGGGTATGGTAAGGGCTTAGTAGGCCTCATGCTTCTAGGTACCTTAGGTAGATATCTGCCGTATACATAAACGAGAGCGAACCAATAGCGGAAGTGAAGGAATTAACGATATGGGAAACAGAAAAAAAAAACCTCCCCGAAACACCCAGGAAACGGTAATATTTTTTTTTAGTATAATGTTGTCTGTTAGCGGTTTATAGGTACCCGTTGGTCCGTTCGCATCCTTTAAAGGACCAACGGGTAAGGTAATATTCGGCAAAAAGTTTAGGTTATGTCGGGAATTTCTTGCGGTTACACTAGCAGTTGTCCGACACCTGCCAAAATTCCATTCTAACCTTCTAATCTAAAAATACAATACCACGTCATTTGGTCCTAGCTGCCTTTCTTCGCCGGCTCTCTCCTTACTTACCTAACATAGTACACCTTACACCAATTAAAACCAATATATAATTGAACATATTTTTTAAGCTTCAATGTCGGATTTCTCATAACATATAACCACCCGCCACAAATGTACAAAGTAGCCAATAGATGCAGCGGCATAGAATAGAGCCCCCAGGATGATGTCCTCAACCAACGAGGAGGATCCGTTCCTCCAAGTCCAACAGTACGTAAGCTCCTCATCCCCATTCCCTATCCCATTGTCTTCGCGAATTCTAGGTTAGGTACCTATATAGGTCTAGGTAGCTAATTCCACTGTCTACGTACGTAGGGATGTCCTCTCGCAAATACAGACCGTCCGCCCGCTCTTCGCCTCGTACCTGCGCATCCGCAGCCTGACCTCCAGCTCGAGCTCGCCCGAGCTCGCCTCCGCGCGCTCCGACCTCGAACAGGCCCTCGCCTCGCTGGCCGAGGACCTCGCCGACCTCGTCGAGTCCGTCCAGGCCGCCGAGTCGGACCCCGCGCGCTACGGCCTGTCCGCGCACGAGGTCACGCGGCGCAAGCGCCTCGTGCAGGAGGTCGGCGGCGAGGTTGAGGACATGCGCGAGGAGCTCGGCAAGACCGCGCGATCGACAACAACAACATCTGCCGCCGCGCGCGCTGCTAAGGCCGCTGCGGACGGGGACCTGCCGCCGCCGAGCGCGTTTGCGATCGAGGAGGGAAGAGGAGGGGGAGCAGCAGACGACGATGACGACGACAATTACGCCGAGTTCGAGCACAGGCAACAGTTGCAGATGATGCGGGACCAGGACGAGCAGCTGGACGGCGTCTTTGTCACGGTGGGCAATCTGAGGAGGCAGGCCGACGACATGGGCCGCGAGCTCGAGGAGCAGGTCGAGATGCTCGAGACGGTGGATACCCTGGCCGACCGCGTGAGCGGCCGTCTACAGACGGGGATGCAGAAGCTGGGCTACGTCATGCGGCAGAACGAGGATCGATATAGCAGCTGCTGCATAGCGGTCCTCATCACGGTTTTGATTATACTACTGGTACTATTATTGGTGTTATAGGTGTTTTTGATACGGGCAATAGGCGAGGCTCACTGTAAAACTTTTGTATGAGGACGGATCGTTGAACCGTCAGTAATAGAGTGAATATCCTGATAACCTCCGCTGGGTATATTCGAAGACCCTATAATAGGCGGCCGTATGTATGGCCCGTCTCTGGACGTCTTATGCTATTTAGTGTGCCAACTCCTCTAACGCCGTAGAGGAAAAAATGAAACTAGTTTGATAACTCCTTCTATACCAAATACCGGCCCCAGTCCTTTTAAGTAGGTATTTTACAGGTGGTTCATAACTCTAAACCTATATCCCGTTTTAGTATCTGCGCCAGGACCTGCAATCCCGAAACACCAGGCGTCTTGTCCACAGCTTTCTCAGGAAATTCTACTAGAGCTTTCCTGAGCGCGGCTATCGCAGCGTTTCCGTAAAATTGAATAAACTTTTCTTCGCTGGACTCGATCATGGCTCGCAAAACAATACACTGAGTGTTTGAGATTTCGGCTGGTGGCGTGTTCACGATTTGTGCCATACTAGCCCAATACTTGGACGGCGGCCACGGGTTCGTATTCTTCGAATTCGAGAAGTTTCTCAGCGCAATAGCAGCATACCCAGCCCCCAAACCCTTCATCCGGTCGCTATGTTGCTGCTCAGGTGCCCATCCGGCCCCCGTCTTCTTCCAGCCTAGGCGGAGACGACCATTTTCTGTTTTCTCACTGCCGCGATATCCAAAAAGGACAGGGCAGACTACGCGTAGCTTAGCCATCAAGATGTCGATTAGAGTTTTACCCCTCCATAGATAGACGTCCTTGGAGAAGATCATGGCAACAATAACACCGATGGGATCTGCGGTTTTAGGTTGCGCTCCACACTCATTAATGAACTGATTGATGACAGCTTTTGAAAAGTGGTTGAGGAGATAGAGAAATAGTGACGGGAGATGCGGTTCGTTGTGTAATGCTCCCCCGACGGGTTCTCTTTTATCAGTGATATAATCGGACGGGTCGACCAGCTCGCTCGGGACGCTCCCATTAAGCGACTCATCCAATAGCGCTTGGATGGCTGCAATCTATTTCTAGTTAGTTTCATTCACGTGAAAGTATCAATGAGAACGAACTTGTTTCTTATTGCCACCCTTTTCGCCTACTAGCTGACCCATATTCTTTCTAAGTTCTCGCCGCATATCTCCCATTCTCTTCTTCAAGGTTGGGGACATCTTCGATTGTTGCAATAGGGACGATCGTAACTTTTTGAGATTCCTATGAATTTCGACATATCGATCTATTTCAGTAGAGACGAGGGGCGTTCCAGGAGCCGCGGCTGGTCGCGCATTGGATGGTGGGACTACCGCTTTAGCCGGCTGTGTAAATGGTGATGGACTGCTTAAGGGTTGACTTTGAAGTATAGCTTTGGGCTGGCCAAAGGGCTGCGGTAAGCTTGACTGGGCTGTGCCATTGGCATGTCCATTCAGCCCGTTGCCCAAGCTAGGTTGCTGAGCACCAAACGGGGATTGTTTTAAGTTGGATGTTGCTCCTGAATTTGCTGTTGTCGGTGTAGGTTGGATTTGGGGTTGGGCGGTAGCGGATCCATTCATTTGGGCAACAGGTGTCGGCGGTTCTGGTGGCAGCTTGGGGACTGTTTTGGCCTTCAAAGCTCTTAGACGCTCCTCTTCCGCCCTCAGCCGTTCCTCAGCTCGGATCCGCTCTTCCTCCAGCTTTTGCTGCTCCAATATCCATTTCTGCTGCTCTAGCAACCTCTTGCGTTCTTCCTGTAACTCGTGGTCATGGTAAACTCTGATAGCAGCTTCGCGGACGCGATCGTGCTCGGCTTGGGCTTGTATGAGGGCATCGTGATGGGTGATTGCCGTGTTACGTGGTTCACCGAGAATACCCTGTATACTGGACAGACGAGACCGGTCAGGTGAGGACCATTGCTGTGATTTACGGGCGGCGGGTGAAGAACCAGCCATTGCATTCACCGAGCCGTACTACAGCATTGCGGATCTTGCAGATGTGGCAGTGACGCGCGACAGCGGTTAAGTGCTGTAAAAGACCGATTAGTAGGGCTGTTAAGAAAAGATGAGGAAGGGTTTCATTGAGCTGGTTACCTGAATATATCTAATTGATTGTGTAAAAAGAAAAAGAAAACGAGGTCGAGAACAAGCAGAGATCGATTCGAAGCTATCGATACGATTTGACCTGCTTACTTAACAAGAAGCTTAGGTGCATATCGGACGTGGAAGGTCTAGAAGGAATTGACTTTATGTATGTGGCTGAATTGGAAAAATTGAGACAGTGTGGCGGTGCAAACTAAATGTACAAGTGTACATAGGTAACACTACATGTAAGATCCATTGTACCTACCTACCTAAGGTATTTTGGGATGTATTTTGGGGAGACCGGCGTTGAGCAATTAGGTACATACCTGCCATTAACCTAGAACCTTAGTCAACTAGGTAATATCTCGCCTTCCCCTCAATAATATACCTAGGTACCTACCTAATGTAAGTTGACTGATCAAAGATTCTTTATCCAAATAATACGAAATGCGGCTTCTTCATATATCGTAGCACCTCTTCGATAGCTCTCAATAGCTCTCAATACCTTAGGGTACCCGCGTAAGGTAGGTACATACGTAGCTGAAGTCATCCCATAGTTACTTGGAAGAATGGAAATACCTAGGTAAGGTTGCAAGGGCTCACATGACATATTTCTTTTTTGGAATCATGTGTCCCGACAGCTTTTCGTGTTGCTTTTGACGAGGTTAAACATCGCTAGGTAGCGGTTTGCAATGCTCTCTCCCGTAACCATTAGCTTTTAAGCGTTTCGATATACGTATCTCCTCCTATTACCTAGATCTACTACTAGCGGTAGTTAGTATCGCTCTTGTGGAGTTTCTAATATCATCCCTTCGTCAGAACTTGTGCTGGTGCGAGATCGATGTTGATTTAGTATACTAATAATTCGAGTTTAACTGGTTTAGTGGCTCTGATAAGTGGGTTGGTGGGCTAATCACGTAGTACAGCGTGGGTATTAGCTGGACGATAATATGCATCCAATTTATTAGGGTTCAGTCTGCTTTCAGGGCTTTCCCTGCTTATACGTTAGGTAGTTTCATCAATCACTTTATGTATGTACCTAGGTACCTAGTTAGTTGTTTACATGAACAACAGGTTCCCATTCGGACACTGCAATTGACAAGATAATAAAACATGTCCGCAATGATAGCTCAGCTCTCTACACATTGAGGTAGGTGCTGTGTTAGGTATTTGTATTTCCAATGTATTGCTGTATATTTAGTATTTACTAGTTCCAAGTGTCAATCCATTCGGGGCCAAAAGGGCACAGAGTGTGGTTTAGGTAGTGGGGTTGGATGACGACGGTCTACTAATCCAATAAGCCATTCCTTGCCGAATTTGTAGTTGAAGGAAGGGCTCTGAGCCAAGATGTTGCCGCTTCCCAATGCTACTACGCTACTATGCTACTATCTATCTATGCAATGCAATGCAATTCGTATCGAGTAATCCTGCTTCCCCTTCTCATTTCATCCCACCTGTCCTCTTGTGCTCTTGTCATCTTGACTTAGTATTAGATAAGCATGCACCGCCGAAGTTCCCAAAGCAGCTTTAAGTTACATGTAGGTACGCGTCCTTTGGGTGAAGTCACATGGGCTTAGAGTTTAGGACCCCTTGAGAATTACGAATGAGGTACATAGTACCATTACCTAGTAACATTCAGGTTAGAGGTACCCGACCTACCTATCTTAAGTACATGGGTATAGTACCTAATTCCTGGAGGCCATTACCTGCCTGAGGTACCTAAATTAGGTATAATCTTGTTATCACATGCGTTAGGTACCCTACTTCGCTTTAAACTTACTATATTAATATTGCAACGGCTTCCATCTGATAAACGATCAGATATAAATTATCAGATATAGGCAACATCGAAGGTCTCTAAACAATGGTGGTGAAGTATCCAAGAGCACAACAAGGACAAGTTGCGGTTGCAGTGTCTATTCTGTTCTAAGCTTTGGGTTTGGGCCACCTAAGCTGTTTTATATTGTAGGTGCCTACCTGGTAGGTATGCCTAATCATGTATTGTACCTAGGTACCTAACGTAAAGTTTAAACACCTAGCACAGCTACCTAGGGCAACCTAGCAACCTTGAACGGGCTCTGTCTGTAGCGTCCATATGTAGTACAAAACTCTAGACACAACAGCAAGCGTGGCTCCGTTAGTACATATCAGTGAAGTACTTACCTTAGGTAGGTAGGTACATCCAGTACATGTAGTAGGTATACAACTCGTACTTCTTACCACATTATGAAACCTCGAACCAATCAGAGAATCCCCAGCCTAGCTAAAAAGCCTGGCCCCGCCAAGACCTGCTGCCCCATTTTGCCCGTCTTCGCTTTTAGTCCTGACCTCACATCCTCTTCCCCATATCCTAGGTGGCCATTGGGGTGATCTTCCCAGAAACTCCAAAAGCTTCCCAACTTCCAACTCCATCCATCACCAATCTTCGTCCTTGTCTCTCTCCCTTATCTTTGCACCACTTCATCTACCCTCTCTCAACACATCTTCACATTCCTTCTCTATGGGATTTTTAAACACACAGCACCACTGCAGCCTTGTTCAATCCTCTCATTTACCCTCCTTTTGTTAGTCGCAAAAGTCCACGCAATCACCACTAGAGAACGTAACCCGCTATCAAGTTTTTTTTTTTTTTTTTTTGACAATTATCGACCAGCTCGAGCAACTTTCAAGTATCTCAAGCTTCAAATCATTCAACCAGCACTGGCCCTCGCCTCAATCATCACCTAAGCAATCTTAAGCCATTCTAAACAGCATTGTTCGCACTCGACGTGCAACTTGGCCAAATTCACACTTCCCAACGTAGCCCGACATGGAGCAGCAACAGCCTGCTCCCCAGGCTGGGGGTGTTCCCGGCCCTACTGGCCGTCGCCTTCATATCGCCCATCGCAGGAGTCCTTCTGAGCTTACCCCGCTGATGAGCATGTTCGCAACTCCTGGGAGTAAGTTAATACCCCTCATCCTCAGAAGTCCATTGCTTCCGTTCTTGTAATCTCTCTTTCATGTATCCATGACTGGCTCCGTTGTTCTTGATAGCTACCTAGGTACTGACGATGCTTTGTCTTGTAGTGGAGCAACTTGCTATTCAGCAGCAGATCGAACTGTTGCAGCAGCAGCAGCAACAGATACAAGCCACGCAACAACAATACATAAATATGGGAATGATGCCGCCGGGTCAGCTAGGTCCCGGCGGTTCTTTCAACCCTTTGCAACCACCTATGTCTAATATGTCGCCGCAAACGGCTTTCCAGTTTTCCAACCAGCTTCCACAGCAGCAAAATGTTCCCATGGGACCACCGAGTCAACCCATGTCGCATCGTCGTAACCAATCGGCCCTCCCCAATATGGGAATGGGACCCCCTCCGGCTCCTTCGGCTGGAGCTTCTGGGTCCGCTTTTGGGCACTTTGATAACTCGTCTGGTCAGCAGAATCGGGAGAACGCACCTCGTGGAGGGCGAGGTGGCGGCTCCGGTCACCAGCGAAGACATTCTTTAGCCCTCGCTGACGCTAAAAAAGCAGCTGAAATTGCTCAGCAGAAACGAACCACTTCTGGCTTTCAGTTCCCAGCTGCGGCTCCCCCTGAAGGTTCCCCCGCTGAGGAAACCAAATCCGTCACTGCGGATACTCCCATAGCCCAGGGCTCATCCACTCGCGGCGGACGCGGCGGGCATGGACGAAGCCAAAGCATGGCTGTCAATAGCCGAGGAGGAGCTCGAGGTGGGGGCTCTCTGCACGTCCCCGCCAACGAAACCGGCGATTTTGGCCGTCGTGGTAGTGCTGGAGGCGGCCACGCAAGAACTTCATCTCGCAACTTTGAGGGCAATTGGCGTAATCAGCAAGGTCAAAACCAGGGCCAGGATCAGTCCAACCAGGGCCAACCAGGATTTCAGCCTAGTCATCGCTCGCGCGGCTCTATCAGCCAGCAGTCTGTTTCGAGCATTGGGGCTTTCCAGTATCCCGGCCAACCTCAACTTATGCAAATGCCCGGTCAGATGCCAATGATGCAGATGTACCCTGGCCAGCAGCTTAATCCCATGCAGATTAACCAACTCCAGGCGCTTCAAGCCGCACAGATGAATGGTCAGCAGTTTGTTGGTCTTCAGGGAAGCCAACATGCGCCACAACTTGGTGGTCAACAATCCCAACAACAACAGAGGAAGACCCTCTTCACCCCTTATCTCCCCCAAGCTACTTTGCCAGCACTGCTTGGTGATGGACAACTTGTTTCCGGCATTCTCCGAGTAAACAAGAAAAATCGTAGTGATGCCTATGTCTCTACTTCTGATGGTCTTTTAGATGCGGATATATTTATCTGCGGTAGCAAAGACCGTAACCGAGCTTTGGAAGGCGATCTTGTTGCCGTTGAGCTCCTCGACGTAGATGAAGTATGGTCGCAGAAGAGAGAGAAGGAGGAAAAGAAGAAGAGAAAGGATATTACCGACACAAGGTCTGGTTCTACAAACGGTAATGGACAGTCCAACGCCACCAACGGAGAAGAGGCTGCCAACGGCGAAGGAGGAATTCGCCGACGTGGCAGTCTCCGACAGAGACCTACACAAAAGAAGAACGACGATGTAGAAGTAGAAGGACAGAGCCTCCTTCTCGTCGAAGAGGAGGAGATTAGTGACGAGTCGAAGCCCCTTTATGCCGGGCACATTGTAGCTGTTATTGAACGTGTTGCTGGTCAGATGTTTTCAGGTACACTCGGCCTACTTCGTCCTAGCAGTCAAGCGACCAAGGAGAAACAGGAGGCCGAACGGGCCGCCAGAGACGGCGGTCGGTCACACGACAATCGCCAACAGGACAAGCCCAAGATTGTCTGGTTCAAGCCTACTGATAAGCGTGTCCCTCTGATTGCTATTCCTACCGAACAGGCACCGCGAGACTTCGTAGAGAAGCACCAGGAATACGCAGACCGTATCTTTGTTGCTTGCATCAAGCGTTGGCCCATCACCTCCCTGCATCCCTTCGGTACACTCGTTGAGCAGCTCGGGAAAATGGGTGATCTCAAAGTTGAAACTGATGCCCTTCTACGCGATAACAACTTTTCGTCCGATGAATTTTCGGAAGCTGTCCTACGAAGTGTGGGTCTACAAGACTGGTCCATCGCGAAAGAAGATGACGCCTCCATCGCAGCTCGACGGGACTTCCGTGACGAGAAGACATTCACGCTTGACCTTGCTGGCACCGGAGAACTCGGCAATGCCGTTCACATCAAAACTGAGTCGGACGGGAAGATCGAGATTGGTATCCATGTACCTGATGTCACTCATTTCGTTAAGCCTAACTCACTTGTTGATCGCGAAGCTAAAAAGCGCGGCACTGCTGTTCACCTCGTGAACCGGACCTGCGCCCTCCTTCCTCCTAGGATCGCCTCAGAGCTTTGCACGCTGACTCCGGGTGAGGATAGGCTCACCGTCAGTGTTGTCTTCCGTGTTAACCCTCGCAACGGTGTTGTCGAGGAAGGCGATACTTGGGTTGGCAAGAGTATTATCAAGAGTGGTGCTACATTGGCTCTAAAGGAACTAGATGATGCCCTTGCCAATCAAGCTGGCTTTGCACACAATGTTATCCAGGCTAAGGATGCACAAATCCTCAACGTAAGTTTCCCATTTTCCTACAACTTGTTGGTATCCTTCTAACTTTCTCCTTAGGCCGTTGCGCAGAAATTCCGCGAATCGCGCTTGGGATCCGAGGGAGAGCCCATGGCCCCTCTTCGATTACTTCATCAACTCGATGATGAAAACATACCTATTCAACACAATATCTTCGACTCTACACCGGGTACCGAGCTAGTCGAAGAGCTTTTACACAAGGTTAATGCGGCTGTTGCTCAGAAGCTTGCCCAAGGCCTACCCGAGAAGGCTTTGCTCCGGCGTCAAACCCCACCCAATGCCCGACGCTTACAGACGTTTGTTGAACGCATGCGGGCACTAGGATACGATATCGATACTACTAGCAGTGGTACCTTACAGAACAGCCTTTTCAAAGTTGATGACTCTGATATTCGCAAGGGTATGGAAACATTACTGCTTAAGAGCATGCATCATGCCAAATACTTCATCGCTGGCAAGGTCAACAAGCAGCTTTGGCCCCATTATGCTCTAAACTTACCTCTTTACACTCATTTTACAGCACCTACAAGACGTTACGCCGACATCATTGTCCATCGTCAGCTTGAAGCTGTCCTCTCGGAAGGCAAGGTTGAATATAATGATGATATCGAAAACCTGGTGAAGACGATTGAATCTTGTAACACCAAGAAGGAATCGGCCCAGAATGCTCAAGAGCAAAGCATCCATATCGAGTCCTGCAGAATTATGGATAAGAAACGCCAAGAGGTTAACGGCGACCTTATCAGTGAAGGCATTGTCATCTGTGTTTACGAATCTGCCTTTGATGTTCTAATTCCCGAATGGGGCTTTGAGAAGCGTGTACACTGTGATCAGTTACCGCTTAAGAAAGCCGAGTTCAGAAAGGAGAAGAGGATTCTAGAGCTTTACTGGGAGAAGGGTGTCCCCAGTTCGGCATACGTACCAGAGGACGAGCGTCCCAAGGCAGGTGCGTCGCAGCGCATGTCCAATGCGATAGCAGCTGCTAGGCAGGCAGAAGAGGCCGAGAGGGCCAAGAAGGAGCGAGAGGAAGCAGCTCGAAAGCAGACCGAGACAGGCACTATGTCTACAGATGACGTCGATGCTTTGTTCGACGATGACGACGATAATGCCTCTGATATCACCGAGGCTATGGCCGGTGCCTCATTGGCTGAACGTCCGACTCAGAGCGTTCCGGGCTCACCAACTCGGTCCTCGTCGAACCCTGGTGTGCTTCACCGAACTAGGTCCGATTCGAAGGTGCCCATGGCAGAAGCCGTGGAGACCCGTCTGACCAACAAGGAGAAATACCTCAAATTATTTACCTTGAGGGAAGAAGGCGGCGAATACATCCAAGATGTAACGGAGATGACTAGAGTACCTGTGATCCTTAAGACGGATCTCAGCAAGAGCCCACCGTATGTTAATCCCCAATTTTCCTATGGAGTGAAAACGCTAACAAACCGCAGGTGCTTGACGATACGCTCGCTCAACCCGTATGCTCTTTAAGTCCTCCTGATGACGATGTGCTTTACTTGACGTGTATGATTGGACGGGGCAATGGACTTGGGGAGCCTCGAAGTGATTGGTCTCTTGCTTTAGTGATGCAGAGCGAAGTAGTTAAGAAGCGAATAGGGTAGATTGTAAGGCCGCGGTAGCGGCCGGACCCGAGAAGTACAGCTCTTAAAGTGTCGATAAAAGTGTTTCATGAGGCGGATAGAACTATGAAGCTGCCGCAGTCAACAGAAATATACGAGATCGTACTATTCATAATATCAATTACGCGTTGCGGAATGCCTAATAATAAGTGAAGCGCACATGGTTGGCCACGTAATTACACACACCATAGCAATAAGCACTTTTTCTTTGTCAGCTACCATCATACATCCATCTCGCTGTCTACCTACCTAGGTAGGTACCTAGGTAGGCTGTCTAGAACTAGCATTCCTGAGTGGTTAGTAGTGGTTATTCGGGAGAATACCTAGAATTTTAAAGCTGCGGTGGGCCTTTACCTCCGCCGGCACAACGCATGGAAAATCTTAAGCAGTCAGACAGATCCGGTAAGATGGATCTCCGGATGTGCAGCGTTCTACAGCTGCCGCTGTTTTATGTGCCTTTCCGCGATATGAACCCCTGGTTGTTCAAGCTTGATAGACATCAGGTGCTTCGAGGGCTCGCACACACTTAAGGTACCTATGCAGCGGCCCGTCTTCCTTCCTTCTCACGTGCCATGCTTCGTGCTTGGGCCGTCTGGGGTTTTGAATCAGACCCGACTGCGCCGTAGAAAATGGAAAAGAAGTAGATCTCGTCATCTTTTGGGGAGGTATAGTAGCACGGATACTTGGTCGCCCCGTGTGTACGCTTTAGGTTAAATATCTTGTACGATATGACAAGGGGGAGAATGTGATAACCCGCAAATTAGTCCTTGGTAATCTTTTTTTTTTTTTTCCGTATTGTCGTTCTGGCCTAGGTTAAGTTGAAGATTAGCGGAGTCGATGGCAACGCGCGATACGACATTTTGCCCGTTTCTGTCATTTCATTTCCGCATCCGCCAATGAATACCCTAGTCGGCGGTCTACCAAGCCCTTGGGATATCTTCATTCCACTTACTAAGAGGTATCTGATGTATGATATAGGTATGTACATGAACAAGTTGATATCTTTTTCCCCCTGAACATCTAATATGATATAGGTTCCATAGACATATCTTTATTTAACGTATTATTTAACATCAATGACGTGATCGGATTTTCTTCCATTGTATACCAAATCTCCCGCGTCGATCAAGCTCGAAGAAGCTTCCAACCCAATTTGTAATTACTAGAATCAGAAAGATCTGAAAGAAGATCCGACATCCGCTGCCAAGCCGTGTCACAATATTGCGCCAGTGCATCGTGAAGCTTAATTCATTCTCTCAGTTGGCCCTAAACGACCCTGCGCCAATACGGATACAGTACAGCAATACCAACGAGGTAGAATTTTGCTTGGGGGGGACGGACGTAGTAGTAATGGACGAATCAATCGGCATAGCTCAGTCCCTAGTTTCAGGGTTCGGCTTGGTGGCTTTCCGCTATTCAAAACGACATATGAAGCAGAAAAACCCCCTGCCCAGCGGCTGCTCCCCTGGTCGACCCCTTGACAACGTCTTGGCGGGGACGTTCTTTAACCGAAAGCATACTATAGTAGCGATCCGGTCCGGGACCTAAGAAGTTATTTCATCTCAACTTTTAAGCTATGATGCTTGATCATCAAAATCGGCTCTTATTGGCCCGGTGTGAGCATACCCTATTATCTAGGCATGTTTCGTTTCTTCCTCCTACCGGTATCTTCTATGTAAGGCTAGTCAACCTCTTATCGTCAACGGAGCCTTGTCTCTGATTGATCCCGAACAAGCTGTGAAATCTAGATTACCCGGGAGCACTGGGCTTACCCCTGGATTACTCGGAGCCGGAAGCTCGTGGGAGGGAAGGGTAACATAGTAGGTAGTAGTAATATCAAATGAAAACGCTATTGCTATTGTCAAGGAGCCTCGAGAGGATCTCCCTACCGGCCTACCTTCTTTCCGTGACCCACATGTCCATCATCCACTGCCAAAGCTACATGCTCAAGACAGGTTTTAATGAAGCTTCGTTTCCCACCTTCTGGCCTGCTTCTTCTCCCCTTCCCTTCTCATCCCGTACATTTTCGTGTCCAACTCTGAACCTAAAGCGCCGGTCTGCTTCCCGCGGGATCAACGTCTTCACTCTCCTTTTCGATACCTTGTAATTCTTGTAATACCCAGGTCCAGGTGTATTTTTTTTGCTGTAGAACAGCCAGGCTGGTCTTGCTTTCAATATTTTATTTCGCTCCGACAGACGTTCTATTTCTTAATTCTTTTACGAATCTTACTATCAAACCCGATTTACTACTTTGAAACGAAACGGAAAAACCGAAGTTAAAACGGGCCTAATAGTTATCAGATATTAATCAGAACAAGATGCCTTCCTTCAAGAAATCTATGGGCGTTATGGCGGGACTGGCTGCTATTGCTTGTGCTCTCCCAGCCCAACCGAAGTTGAACGAGAGACAATCCCAAATCTACAGCGTTGCTAAGCGACAAAATGCGGCTGCTGCTGCTCTCGGTTTGGCAGATGTCGATATCCTGCAATTGTGAGTTATACTTGGACTGGCTAGCTGGCTATCATTGATGTACAAGCCGCTGACTCGTGTGATATAGCGCCCTGACCCTGGAGTGGCTTGAGGCTTCTTTTTACCAGCAAGGTTTTGCCAAGTTCAGCGATGACCAGTTCACCGCCCTGGGGTTAAACGCCCAACAGCTTAGCGACCTTAAGAGTATTGGTTCCAGCGAAGAGTCCCACGTCGGTCTGCTGCAGAGCTCTATCGCACAGGCTGGTGTCCAACCTGTCCAGCCCTGCGAGTACAACTTTGGCTTTACTGATGCCGCGGGCATGGTTGCTACTGCATCTATCCTAGAGAGTGTCGGCATTTCCGCCTACCTTGGTGCCGCGCCCCTTGTATCGGACAGCAAGATCCTCAGCACGGCTGCGTCCATCCTCACCATCGAAGCCAGACACCAGTCTTTCGTGCGCATCGCCTCGAAGGTCGCTGCTTCCCCATCCCCCTTCGACACACCCCTAGGCCCCAAGGCCGTCTTCTCCCTCGCCGCGCCGTTCATCAAGTCGTGCCCGGCCGGCTCCAACCTAATCCTAACCGCGTTCCCAACCCTGGCGATGACCAACCCGGCCCCCGCAGCCGGCGTCACGGCCCTCGCGCAGGGTACCATGCTCAACTTCCAGAGCGACGCCGCCGCGGGCGCCAAGTTCTGCGGTTTCACGAACTCCGCCGCGCCCGGCGGCACCGCCTTCTCCGCCTTCGACCCCGCCCAGGGCTGCGCTCTCCCGCCGAACCTGGCCGGCACCGTCTACGTCACGCTCACCAGCGCCGCGGCCGCCAACGGCGTCCTGACCGACGATATCACGCTCGCGGGGCCGTTGGTCATGAACCTCAGCTAAACATCTCGATACCTAACATTAGGTACCAACCTACTCACCTACCTACCTTACCTAATATAACTACAGGGAGGGGATTTGTAAATAGGAAAAGCTTCGTCTACCTAATAACGCATCCCTTTTTTGAGTAAGGAGCCGCCGACATGAGAGCGCGCTGGGCCCGAGAAGGAAAAAGAACTAGGCACAGACGGGAGGGCGGTTTTCGGTTCCTCGCACAATAACCGTACTACCCACCAGCTTAGACAATATATCTCGTTTGCGTCATCGTCGGCCTGCAGCCTGCGCTCCCTGTTTGTATGTAATATCCAGTGCCACGCGACAGGGCATCCATGATCCAAGACCTACAGATCTTGCTTGTACATACATACGTATACGGATACCTGCCTTACACTTGTGCCACCTACAGAGACCAGGGGTCTGGAGGCTAGAAGGAGGTGTTTTTTTTTTATTATTCTATTCTTCGTCGGTTTTTTTTCTTCATCTATAAGTTTTATTTGTAATAGGGATATGATTGATATAAAGGGGGCACGAGGATCTCGATTGAAGAAGAAATTGAGGTCCGCTGGACAGTGACGATACCCAAATAGCGCGGACTACCTAGAAGGTCGGCTTTTGCTCTTCGACGATAGGAAGATGAGTAGAAGTAATAAATATGAAGACGTCAAAACCATGCCCATGCCTGGTCGTTCATGCTATGTGTAAAGTGATAGAGGTAGTTTCTTGATTTGCCGTGACGAAGTACAGGGAGATCATAAAGATATTCTACAAGGAACCCTAATGTAACGAGTCTGACAATGGAAGGCAAATACCATAGGTACATACCTTATAACCAAAGCGTCCTTTTGTGCTGAATGTCTCATCTATTAGAATACCAGCATATTCGATCAGTGGCCGAGCTTAGAATTATTATATGGAGCGTAGAAAATTATACCTTGGGTAATCTTAACGACCACGATCAAAAGAAAATCACGGAAAGCTACAGGGAAGACTTTGGCCTTTGACATTGATGCAGCCCCCCTTTTACGGGTATATTGCAGCATGTAGGTACCTACCTTAGTCTTTGGATTTCATTATGTCCGTCTTTTACACCTTTTTATATTTGAACTGTGTCTAGGTAGGTAACTGGATTCTGGTAAAAGGATGGGATGGATGTCTGATGCTTTTCTCTTCATTTACCCTTAGATGCAAGAATTCTTGAATCTTAGAACAGTTATGTTGGAATTCCTTTTTGTTGCCTTATATTCTACGGAGTACTTACCTAATAAAAGAGCACGGTGATCGACCATTACCTAAGGGTTAATGAAATTCAGAGGATATATGAGGTAGGTGCCTACCTGGGCTACGAGTTGCGGTTACTCGTGGTTTCTTCCTCAAAAAACATAAGAGTCATCTCACTTATATCAACGTTTCAATGATTTTAAGGGCAAGTACCGTTATGGCAAGCACTGCTGCCGGAATATTACCCCTTCTCCTTCCGTCGTCAATTATGTATCAATTATACCGTTACCTAATTCCAACACTTTACGCCGGATAGCAATACCTACCTGTTACCAACGACCTCACCTAAGGCCTTCTGGAACAGAAACAAATCGTTTTTGCTTTTCTACTTTCTTGAACCTCGTCGCTTTTCTTGTGCCATCGTGCGTTGCTGACCTCGATTTCTAATGCGTCAGGCTACCTACCATAACATGTAAGTAATAAATCCCCTCTCAATTCCTGTTTTATGGTATCTACGAGCGACGCATATCTATGATGTTAAAAGCGTTTGTTGGGAGGCTCAACAATGGAGTTTATGACCCGAATTTTACTAGCTATCTCATTCCATCTGAGACTTGTTCCCTTGTATTTCATCGCTTTCCGTCTATCATACTCCCCTATTGAGCGACAGCTAACTTGGCTATAAAATACCCTAGGAGCCAGAAAAAAAAAACAGCTGCCTTCCAGTATCTCATCTAGTTTCAAGGTCCTTTTGTTCTCTATATACTTCAACACTTTACTACTACCTCAGAAGACTGGTAATGGAGTAAGTATTTTCCCTCCAACCTTCCTGACTACCTACCTATTCTATGCGGCTTAGGATGTAAACTATGCGAAACGTTACTTTGCTGAATCTAGAAGTGTTGATATTATGGTGATCTGAAGCAATTTTGAAGAAATACCCTTATGTTTTCTTATTTTCATCTCGATGTTACTAATTACTGGTCATGCCTGGCGCATTATAGCTATCAGTAGCGATGGGTATACGCCCTTTGAGGTACGAGACAAATCGCCAACGCTGTTCGATATTTACAGATAGGTAATGCCCACCTAAGTAATGCTTTCTGCTTAATTTGTTTCATGGTACTCTCGACTTCGATCTACACCTATTTATTAAATAAGACAACTCGTGGCAAGATGCTCATCAGACATAAATACAATATAATGCCATGGCCTATTTAGTTATGATTATTTTAATAGTCGTAAAACCCCTTACCGCTCTTCTTCCCTAGCCAGCCAGCATCTACCATCTTAGCAAGAAGCACACTCGGTCGGTATTTCGAGTCTCCCGTCTCCTGGTGAAGCACTTTCATGATAGCTAAGCATGTGTCCAGCCCAATAAAATCGGCCAGTTGGAGTGGCCCCATAGGTACGTTAGTGCCGTTCTTCATGATGGCGTCGATAGAATCTCGGTCACCGACACCAGTCTCTAAGCATGTCACCGCTTCGTTGATATATGGCATTAAAATTCGATTTGCCAAAAATCCCGGGGAATCCGCAGATACGGAGGGGATCTTGCCCATAGCCTTGCAGAAGGCGATGGCGGTCTCGAGGGTCTCCGGACTCGTCTGTAACCCACTAATGATCTCGACACCCTTTTGCACGGGCACCGGGTTCATAAAGTGGGTCGATACCACGCGAGAACTTGCCGATGTATCGGTAGGGTCCTTGGTGGTCGCAGCGGCAATTTTCGTAATGGAGATAGATGATGTGTTAGTGGCTAGGATAGCATGCTTCGGACAGATCTCAGCGAGCTTGGCGAATATATCAAATTTAAGCTGCGGAATTTCCGGCACGGCCTCAATTACGAAATCGACCTTCGAGAGCTCTTCAATAGCCGTGGTAGGCGAGAGACGAGACCTTGCTTCATCCGCTTGTTCTTGCGTGATCCGTTGTTTGGCAACATCTTTGGATAGGAGCTTCTCTAAATATTTATGAGTATTCCAATTCAATATAGAATGAGCGCCGCAATTGGAACCAATGTCACGAACCTGCAAAACCAATTCCTTTATCAAGTGAAGCTTGTGACGAGTCCACAAGTGTAACGGGGACACCAGCTTTCTGAGCAGCTACCAAAGCGATACCTAGTCCCTGTAGAGTTGTGAGCTAAGTGGCGGAGATCTCGGATCACATGTGAAGAAACAAGCTTACCATCTGGCCCGCGCCTAAGACGCCTAGGCTCTTCACCTCAGCTGCATACCGAGCTGAGCTGGAGCTGAAGTGTCTAATTTGACGGCTTAGCTGAGGAGCTCTGGTTCTTGCAATTACACTTGCCATTGTTCTATCTTAAAATGATACCCTAACACTAAGGGGATGTAAGTGTAAGTGCATGAGTTGTGACGAGGTAAAGTTAAGTATAAGTTAATGTTAAGGAATGAAGCCGGCCAAGTTACCGGATAGCCTCGGGCTACGGATATCTGTGGGGCCACCGATCGAGGTGTCACAGCTTAGGTACCTGGCACAGCTGGCAGCTACTGGGTACTTTGTGCCAACTCTGAGTCTAATCGCGCACGAGCCAACTAACTAGACCCCTCGGGCCCCACTTCTCAATTGGAACAAGCGTTTGCGCGTCATTCTGTAAATTAAAACGCGTGAGACGCGTTTTCAATTTATACCATCTCAAGCCTTTCCCCTTCTTGGCATTAATGACGATTATTCAAGATTAAACCAACGGCGAGAACTCTGGCGTAAGGAAACGATTCCTCACCGCCGATATGGAGGCTTCAGATGGTACTACTACTGATGTAGTGCATCCCGAGGTTCGGGCGCACATCAACAGTCTTGTCTCAGCTGTTAGTAATTTATTTCTATCTCAATTCCCCTTTAGCAGTAAAAGACTAATTGATCGTCATGGTATAGCTTGGTGGTTTCAGCGCCGACGATGATGGAAGATATGTGCTTGGAGACTCCGCCTTGGAGGTTTTACGTGATATCAAGAAATGGATTCGCTTCTACGACGAGAAAACGAACCGAATGGACGTTGCGCGATGCTTGGCCGAGGCGAACATAATCGATGGCGATTTGCTACATATTATTGCTACTTGGTCCGAAAATGAGACAAACAACAAATTCAGAGCGAGAGCAGCTCTGGCATGCTTTGAGATTATGGTTCCCTTAACTTGGCCGCTGGAGCGGGATCTCGACCAGATGACCATCAACCATCATCGACATCTACCGGTGCTACAGCTTGCCCAGGTCGGTTATAAGCGTTCTATAATAAACTTCGATGCCGCCCAGATCCTTCACACCGCCGTACGAGTTGCATTGCCTTCGATGGCCTTGTCCCGTAGCGATCGATCTAGTCGCGATGAAGGCATTATTAAGCTAATCTTATTATTCCTGCGCAATGTTGCTATGATCGCACCGCCCCCTGGAGTTAAGTACGATGATGACGAATCTCAAATCTCGCGGTCGGCTTTGATTGATGCGTTTTCATACCAAGACATTCTACTAACCCTCCTCACTATTGCCTCTAATATGGAAGAGGATTTTAATCAGGAAGGCATTATTGTGATGGAGATTATCTTCCATCTAGTCAAGCGTGTTGACGTTTCTAAGCTGTTTATGGACGAGAAGCAGCTTAGCAAGACACAGGCGAACGAACTTACAGCTATGATGAATAAAGAGGCTGCAATGCATCGGCCTTATAACCGAAAGGCTCCGTCCAGGCACAATCGATGGGGGACTATGGTCTGGGTGGACCGAGGTGACGGTAAAGTTTCAACTGTCAGTGGCCAGGATGCTTTACTGGATGCGGCGAGGAGACAGCATAAGATGGACAACAGCAAGGTATATCGGCCCCCACGGAGACCGAGAAAGGAGGAAATGGAGCCCAAGGACTTGGGTCCTCCCGTATCGCTAAACGCTAGAGCGCGACAGCAACTCAAAGGTTTCGTTGAGGAATTTCTGGATTCAGGCTTCAACCCACTTTTCCAGCATGTCCGGAAAAAGATTGATGAGCAAAAGGAATACGTTTTCGAATATCATTCGCGCCAATTCTTCTACCTAGTATCCTGGTTTCTAGAAGCTGAAAGAGCACGGAAGAAGGCTGCGAAAGATCGCAAGTCAACTAGCGCCGAGGATATCAGTTCATTCAACCTGGTCGCTGGCGTACTTAACCAACATATGTTTATCACATTGAATAGGGCCATCGGTGATTCGTTAGAGAGCAAGCGTTGGCAAGAGTTATGCGCTGCTATGCGATGCTTCACTCAGATTCTTTTGACAGTTCAAGAGATGTCAGAATCAGGGAACGAGGAAGACGAAGAGATTGCAGAGAACATTCTTAGCCGCATTTTCTACGAAGAAGAGACGCATGACAGAATAGCGAATATCGCAAGGAACTATAAGGACCAGGGTTTCGAGTATCTCGATGCCTCCACCGAGCTTACACATACCTACCTTCGCGTTCTAGAAGCGTATTCGAAACAAAACGTGGATATGCAAGTACGATCGAGACGGCGAGTGCGAAAGAAGAAGAAGGCCGCGAAAGCCGCTGGAGAGGATGAAGAAAATCCAATAGAAGAGGAAGATGATTCTGAGAACGACCAGGCGAATGCGGAGCGAACGTCAAGCGAGCGGAAATTCGACTTCAGCCGCTTTGCAAATCGGTTTACCCCCCAAGGTGTGGTGGATACGTTTGTACAATTCACGAGGTACTACCCGGATCTAAATGATTCCCAGCTGAAGCGAGCGCATCGCTATTTTTACCGCATAGCCTTTAAGCAGAACATGAGCGTCATGCTCTTCCGAATCGATATCATACAGCTATTTTACAGTATGATCAAGGGCCAAGAACCTCTGGATAAGAGTTGCGCAATGTACAAGGAATGGGAGGAATTAGTGAAGCAGATCCTTAAGAAATGCATCCGCAAGATCGAGGAGCGGCCCCAGTTGATCATCGAAATGCTGTTTTCTAAAATTAATGCTACAGCGCACTACCTGGAGTATGGTTATGAGAAACAGACCCTCTCTACGTCACAGCCGAGACCAGGGGCCGAATTAGAATTCCGCCATATCGTGGATCGAGAGCAGCAAATTGCGATCGCTGTCGGTGTTCTCTTAGATAAAAACTTGGCTGACCACATCACCTGGGTTAAGGACCAGCTATCCTCAGCGGAAAGCGAGAAGCGGGCCTGGGAAGCAGCTGACAAGGCAATGACTTCAATAGAAGGCGGCGAGAAAGAAGGAGAGGAGCAACAGGAGGGTGACGAGAATCGTCCTAAGGAATCACCTCCTATTTGTAGGTTTTCCGTTTGGTGTTTGATGAGTTATAACTAACCTTAGATAATTAGCCATACGCCCGGATAGCGATGCGCGCCGCACCGCTATGTTCAAGAATTCTCATCTTAGACTTCTTATGAAGTTAGTTGGTTTTGAACGGCTCGTCCCAGGTGCGGACGAGACGCCCGAGTCTACCTGGGTTATCCCGATACACGTGACAGCCGATCAGATACAAGAATCTCTGGATTTGATCAAGAAGGCTGAATTCAATCCACCAACCTTCGATGATGGCAAACTAGCGGAGGACCAATTAAGGAGGAAAGCTGCAGTGCGGAAAAAGGCAGTTTTCGACGACGATGACGATGGGATCGCTGATGACGACGAAATCCTGTTCCCGGCGGGTGGCCCGACGGCAAGAAAGGTAGCAGATGAATTCTTAGACAAGCCAAAGAAGACGCGGCGACGCCGCCGACGAGGTAGCGACACGGAAGAGCTTAGCGAGGAACTGCTAGAGGAGAAAGCGCGAGCTCGCAAGGAGCGCGAAAAAGCCAAGGCCCGACGGTTCAAGAGCGACTTATACGTACACGCGAGTGACGACGAATCAGACGACGACGGGGAGCGGTGGGCCGAATTCTACGCCAACGAAGCGCGCATCCGGCAGCGACAGAACGCCGCGGCCGCACACAGCGCGGTTGCGGTCACGACGTCCGCCGCCCCGAAGCAGGTGGAAAAGCGCAAGGTGCGGGAGCTACTGGAGGACGATAGCGATAACGATGATGATCTCATCTTGCCGCAGGGGTCGGAGGACGAAGACGAAGAAGACGAAGATGGAGATGGGGGCGAAAGGAAAGGTCACGGCGCATCGGGGACGGACGATACGCCGCTGTCATCGAGTCCACAAGCGGGCTCGGTATCGAGCGCGAAGAGGAGGCGGTTGTCGAAGGAGCCGCCTAGTTCGGCTCCGGCCGCCACTGCTGACGGAGATACCGAGATGGCAGATGCGGACGATGATGATGTACCCGTTGCGAAAGCGCCTGTGAGGCGGCGGGCTAGGGCGGGGTTTATTGTGGATAGCAGTGATGAAGAGTAATGACTAATTGGGATAGGAAAGACTGCGTGCATAAGGTAGTTGGCGTTTGGGTATGGCTTAGCATAGGCAGGCGAAGGCTGGGATGTGTTATGGACCACGCATAAACAACATCGGAGCAAGATTAATGAATGGAACCTGAATATTCACTTCACAATCACCCATTTGAGGCGTTTATTGGTTATAATGGTATTATTCACGATATTGTAATCCGTACGTAGAATTGGATGAATTGTGTTATTAAGGAATGACTGGAACTACCCCGGGATATCACATCCAGCTACAACGTTATAGAGGCAACTATTTACATGAATACTTAGGCACCTAGGTAGTTTTTAAATTCAAGGATCGGTGGGTTTTCATATCATTCTTCCTATTCCGTCGTAATACTTGGTGCTCTGTCTGTATCGAACTTGTCAAAGTTTGCATCATAGACGACGGATGGGTGGTTGGTTTAGTTCTTCTTCTGCTTTTATGGGGTTAGTATGCTTTGCGTGTACCTAAGGGAATAACATAGGGGGTATGTAAAGAGCAAAAAAAAAAAAAAAGGGGGGGGGGGGGTGGGAGGGGGGTTAAACTGACAGGGCAGTTGGCGCATCCGCAGTTCTGCTGGCACTTGCAGGTGCCGGAGCTGGCGCAGGAGCAGGAGCCGGCGTCGTTGCAGTTGCAAGCCATTTTTGGAAAATTGTTATGTAAGGTAGGTAGTATTGGAGAATTTAGATAGTATAGTAGTAGTAGTGGTTGTTGTTGCGCAGTTGTAATCTTAAGCAACTGTGTTGCAATCGATGCTATTGACTTCGCTGATTGGTTGGAGGCGTGAGTTGGGAAGTGAAAAGTCGGCCATCAAGGTTGACGGAATGGGAAGGGGGACTATTTATATACGCTACGTACAGCCTGGAATCGCCTTACCTAAGGTGAGGTGTTAGGTACTTTGATAATTCATTGTTTACGAAGTACATGACTTCAGGTTGGGAGGTACTTAGCAGGATCACTACAAGAATAAGCGTAGGTAGGTATTGTGGTGTATAAGTGCTTTGGGTACAGTACGTCGTTGGGTTATGGGGGGTTTGTTCTTTGTTGAGAGAAAAAGGGGAACTAAAACCCGAGTCTCTGACGACAACGATGCGTTATCATCCCGTTATCGCGCGGTGCGTGGTGTAAACCATACGTCAGCGACCCCCTACCTAAGCTCTGCTGGGGAGGGGAAATGCTTGGGCTTTGCCCTGTTCAAGTGTAGAAAAACGAAGCTAGTGCTAGCCACTTACATAACAAGTACTGGTTCCCATCGGATGGTTGTGGCATGCTGTCGTCCATTCGTTGGGGGGCTCTGGCAGTCTGGTCACAAGGGCTTGCTTGAGAGGTATTCTCGAAGGGAGATGGTGGTGGTGTAGCTTGGTGGTTTTTAAGACATATGCATGTCTTATTAACACGATAATAGACAACTCAAAAAGTCGGTAAGTGTTCAAAAATCCATTGGCTATGCTATAATACAGGTATGTTAGACATCTAGCCATATCCGCCATGGATGAGGGATTCATAGGTTTGGTTTGGTTCGTATAGCGTTACTCGTTTAATACATAGATACATACATAACTATCTGCAAGCCGGGAACCAACCGGCCATCATCCTTCCCATCGTCCCATCCCTCGGTATCGGGGACTTAACAATAGGTTAGGAAGTTAGGCAGTAGTCAAACTGTCATACAAAAAAGTAGTAATAATATTATATCTCCCAGGCCTGACTTTTCTTTCGTCATGATCCTTTCTTCTTATCCCCCCCTTTTCTCATTATAAAGGCTTGTAAGTCAGTGACAGACGACGCTTACATTTAAGCCTTGTTGCGCTGGCCGTACGCCCTGGTGACGTAGTCGCCGTCCTTGACGATCAGGTCCTCGGGGCGGTAGTCGTGGCGGCCCGACAGGTAGCTCTCGAGGATGGCCTTGGTGCCGGCCGCGTACCGCTTCTGCGCGTCGATCGACGTGCCCGACATGTGAGGCACCATGGCGTTGCCGCCGCCGAATGGGTTCTTGGCGTATCGGAGCACGTGGTCCTTGGGAGCCGGCTGGGGGAACCACACGTCACCGCCGTATCCGCGGAGGTGGCCCGACTTGAGCGCCTCCGCGACGTCTTCCTTCACCACGATGGCGCCGCGAGCGGTGTTGACCAGCCAGGAACCTGCGGTTGTTCGTTAGTTCTTGTTATACAAGTTTGAAAGGGGAAAGGGAGGGGCGGGGAGGGGGAGGGGGAGGGGGGTAAGTGCTCACCAGGCTTCATCTTAGCGATGAGGTCCTTGTTGAACAGGCCGCGGGTCTTCTCGTGCAGGGGGCAGTTGATGGTGACGACGTCGCACTGGCCGAGCATCTCCTCGAGGCTCTCGACGCGGCGGCAGCCGATCTCCTTCTCGACCTCGGGTTTCAGGGGCTGGTAGTCGTAGTAGAGGAGCTCCTTGCAGTCGAAGGCCTTGAGGCGGCGCAGGACGCGCTCGCCGATGCGGCCGACGGCCACCGTGCCGACCACCTTGTTCTCCAGGTCGTACTCGTTCTTGGCCGCCGCCGCGACCTCCCACTCGCCCGCCTCGATCATCTCGTGCGCGGGGACGAAGTTGCGCACCAGCACTAGGATCGTCATCACCACGTGCTCCGCTACGGAAACCACGTTCGAGCCCGTCACCTCGGCCACTGTGATGCCGCCGTTCGTCTTGTTCGCCGCGTTCAGGTCCACATGGTCGGATCCAATACCAGCCGTGATGGCGAGCTTCAGCTTCTTAGCCTTGGCTAGTCGCTCGGCGGTCAGGTAGCCGGGGTGGAAGCTAACCCGTGTGTTAGTTTTTAGGTTTGAATGAAACTCGTGTGATTAATATATAGCATCTTTGCTCTTCTCCCACCCCCGGCCTAGGCTTTGATATTGATATATTACGATATCATCGAAACAAAGGGGGAAACGTTGTTCAATGAGACGGGTGAAAAAGAGGTCACGTACGGAGTGGTAATGATGATCTCAGCGTCTACGAGCTCCTTGTCGAAGGTGGAGTCCTCGCCGTCCTTGTCGGAGGTGGTAACGAGGGTGTGGCCCTGGTCTTCGAGCCATTTTCGGATACCAAGTTCGTTCTCGGTTGTTCCCAGTAGCTCGGGAACCTATAATTGGGTGGAAGAAAGATAGGTTAGTGCAAGCTATTAAGTGGAGAGAGTGTATATGTGCCGTAAGAGTGAGAGTGAGAGTGAGAGTGACACGGAGATAGATCGTAATGCAACTTTGTAACTTCGGGGTGTGAAATTATTACCCCTCATTCCCTTGCCCCTTTTCCCCTCCCCTCTTTTTCTACCTTTACATCTGCCGCCATCTCTACCTGTTACCAAAGACGGACTATTGCATGTACGTTTCAGCCAATGACGTGTTGGGCCGCCGTCATTGGACGAATAGCTTGCTTATGGCAAGAAGCGATATTGCAGAGAGACGGCAAAAGAGGGTATCAAAGTGAGTGGGTTTGGGGAGTTGGAGTAGTTAAAGAAAAGCAAAAACGTCATCTTGGAATTGGGAAATGGGAACGTTGTATGAATTTTTTTCTCTTTTTCTTTTTTTGTCACTTACCTCTTGGGCATGCTTGCCTCCGTCGTATAGGACTAGTAGAACTTTGACCTTTTCACGTGAAGTAGTTAGTAAACGCGTCGAAGCAGGAATTCGTAATAGTGATGAGAGGGTTTGATAAGGGTCCCTGGCGTTGCCCTTAGATGCCATGGCTACGCGTGACGTCAGGTCAGCGCGCAGCGGCGTGCAAGACTGAGCATTGCGGACGAAACGAGTTACTGCTGTAGCTGTGGAAAATGCCCGCGTAGATATGGGACGGATGCAAGCAGGAGGAAAAGGAACGAGTCAATAATACCATTTTGAATGTCGTGTATGTGAGTTCGAGTTTATGAGAACAGGGATCTTGTTGGTCTGGGTATGAGCTTCTCTGGGGACAAGACGGCTCGATTACGAAAATGTGAAGGAAGAATGAGTCAAGTAGAAAAAGCGAAGAGAGTTTGCCTATGACGAGGGGAGGCTTTAACTATTTATGAGCTGGAGCTTGACCTCGCGCGACAAAGAAACAACGGTCAAGGGGGAAACCGCAACGGCATCTTTCGTCCGTACCTACCTAGCAAGCGATTCAACAATGGCACAGCTCGGGAAGCGGAGAGGTGGACACTATCGGGTAATGTTTTAGCTGCTCATCTTTAAGCGCAGAGCTAGCTAGAGGAAGAGGTAGTCTCCAACATTGCCCGCTACCTAAGGTGTAAGGTAGTTTTATGTGGTCTACCTAATACATAGTATGTAGCTGATGTACACAGTGGATCAAGTGGATGTAGTGGCATCGAACTATAGAGGAAGTATTCCGAGGCTCCAGATAGGAGTTTATTGTCTTACAACCTCCGAAACGCACGTTGGCAGGTTAGGCGCATTCTCTTTGATCCTATTCAACCCGCAAGGTGGGTGTATATCCCGAATACTGATCACAAAGGGACTCGGCTGCGCTCCGGAAAGCTTCGGCGATGTTTCGGTGTGTGAGGCAAGGGTCCCGCACTTCTGATGCCCCCCTCCCCCTTGGAGGCGGACTAGCGCCCATCATCAGTTCATCTTCCACACTGGTAGTACGTAGGCCAACGACGTAAATATACCGACTAGCTTTGTCCAACAGCCACATCCACTTAACGGAGAGGCAATTGTTATTTTGGAAACGCAATATCGTTAGATACTTCATACAGTAGGTGAGGAATTATTCGAGGTTGCTCAATGCATAGAGCTCTAGATTCGGTCCTCGGTGAAGTGGGGGTATACTTGGAGCACATTTGGAACTACGAATGCAAACAAGATACACATGTTGTTATTGTATTGTACATAAATTTGCGGGGAAGCTTGTTAGAAGGCTAGAGCTAGCCTTTCTAAAAAGCACAGCAAATAAGACGACAAAGAAAGATGGTTGAGAAGGGGATAAGCAGGTGGACGTTCCTAGATCTGGAACAATGTTGTGCTCAGATCATCGATTGGCCGAAATACCATAGTACCTATGTTTTCAAAGCTTCGCGGCAGTTCTAATTCTATGGAATAATGTCATGGGTACAGTGTAATAAGTGAGATACCGGACGAAGAACGTATATTAAAATGATATCCCACGATAGTAAGACTCGGCATAACACAACTTTATTTCCCCGGGCGTAGTTATTTATCCGCGAGAAAAGGTATGTAAGTAGAGCTTACTGTTACATGGTACATGAAGCTTCCTAGCGGGTCGGGGAAGTGCGCGTCATTGGAACCGCCAGGATCTCTCCGAGCAGGTTTGCTATGTAGCTCAGATGGGTCAATCTGATTTACTTGCGTTTCCGAAACACCGAGCCGACTATGCCCGAGTCATTATCGACGTATTTTCCGTGGATCTTAGAGTAGGAATATCGGCAAACGTGAACGGTCTGCTGCGGCTTTGCGAGCTGTAAAATTTTACTTTTTTTTTTCTTTTGAGCGTGCCGATACTTTCTCTACCGCCTTTTCTAAACCCCCTTCAATTTACAGAATCATGAACATAGCGCCAACCATCGCGATTCCTAACAACATTTCGCTTGCTGTATGCGTCATGGCTGCTCCAGGAACGAATGGCGTTTGAGTTGGGCTGATAACAGATCCTGTTCCAGTACTACCAGCTCTTCCACTGCCATTACCAGTCGTGGAGTTCGCGTTTGAGGAAGTTACTGGACCGGGGTTCGTTACGTTGAAGAAATTGCCAGCTAATACTTTTTCACCCAGTCCGGCTTGCGTCAAGACAGATAGAGCATCAAAACCCTGCCTGTTTGCAGCTGCGTTCTTAAGAATATCGAGATTGGCTTCTGTAGCGCTAGATGTATCTACCAGAATTTGGGTATATCGATGAGATAGCGGAATCCTTGCGGGAGGGGAAGGCCCGATATATTTTGCAAATGCCTCTTGTCCTCGGGAATTCTTGAATACAAAGGCGTCCGTACTTCCCGCAGAGGTGTTTATCGACGTCGCTGTCGTGCTCTGCGTAAGACCAGTTTGTAGCCAGTGTAGAAGAGTGGACGTCTGCGGTGGGCTATCCGTCGGGATATCTAGGTCGATCATCAGGACGGCAAATGATGTTCCTTCCACCTTGGACTGTGTTCCAATTGTTGGAGCCTTTTGAGTTGCTATCGTACTCGTTAGTGATCTTTGAATCGTGGTAAGAATATCGGTTTTACAACTGACCGGCTTTTCCCAAGACATTTCCATCTGCAGCAGCGACGTCGCCAAAGGAAACTATCAGACTGGACGTCGTGCCAGGTTCAAAGCCACCGGGAGTGGAAGCCAAAGTTGCGGATGCACTCGCTAAGATGAGAAGAGATTTACACCGCATCTTGACTGAGACGAGGTGATATGGGCTTATATGAGATGAGATGAAATGAAATTGTGATGGCGCAAATTGACCAGCAATAAGGACGAGAGGTAGATAGAAAAAGTGACTAGGAAAGATTCACAGTAGAGATATTTGAATGATTAGAATAGCTTGCAGCATGGGCTTACTGTAAAATCCGTGAAGATATTGGTAACATATTTGATGGTCGCATCATCTCGCGTGTCATCGGATGAAACAAGAACGAGCGGACCTGCGACAGCGCCCAGAACCAGGACAAAGCATGGACGATAGCAGAGAAATGAGGTGGATGCGACTGAATATTGCGTACAATCAATTCGACCTTTCCGGGGTCACTGAGACACTTAGCGGATTCTGGCATTTTTGTAAATACGGAAAATATATATTGGTGGAGTTTTTTAAGGAATATTCTTGATTGTAAGGTACCTTATGTTAGGTACCTAGGTATGATCCTATTCCCAAAATATACACTTAGGTAGGTACCTAGGTACCTCACCTCATAGAAGTAACGAGGCGATGATCTTTCCTGATCCTAGAAAAGTGTAAAAAGCTCTGCCGGGTCACAGCTCTTGGCGTGTTTAGCGCGTTTCCTAATTAAGAAAGAAGTTCGATTCCATCAACGTCAATCAACATCTCTCTTTCGTGATAACCGTATTTTCGTCTTCTTTAGATATTAAACATAGTCGGCTCAATGTGCGTCCTAAGTATGAAGGGAATTGCAACTTAAAAAAACATCATTAAGCAAGATATTAGAGGATGACGAAATAAGCATCTTACTTTGATGCCCGAGGGCCGTGGAATAGACGTGGGAGGTAGATGGTGTTTCGATAATTTAAGCGCTCTTTGCCGCAAGGTCGCTTTTACCATCAAAAACGACATGTAATATGTAGGTACCTTAGGTACCTATTATTCAAGAACATATCAAGTTAGAACTCCTTTATATTGGAAATTCTGCCTTACCTGCTAACAAGTTTCAGTGCTTAATGGTATGTCAAATATCTATCTAAGGTAGTTGAGAACTTCCAACAGCATTATTTCTAGGGTTGAATCTGTGGTTGAATACCAAGGATTAGAGAAGCGGAAGGCGTTTACGGTCAAATTAGACCATATGATTGGCTACAGGTCAAATGCTTAGGCGGACTCGGCCTATCAACCTCGGGCCTCAAAAGGAAGTCCGCATTAGGCCTCACAGCATTCACCCGAGCAGACCGCCACGACGTCAAACGGGTCGGTCAAGCCTTGTTATGATGATGCCTTTTATTCTTACCTCTTAGCTTTCTAGGAACGACATGCTTTGCGCTGCAAAGACCCCACCCAAGTACATCATCGATCACTTTCCTGCAACCTACCATGTCGATTGTCGCTTTCCATGTGTAAGATATCAACCCCTCCGGGGGGTTATTCGCTTCTTGTGGCTGTATTTTCAACTGCATAACCACATATCCCACAGCCTTTAAGTACGTATTGTATAAGTACGTATTGTACTTAGAGAAGTAATCCTCGTGAGTTTACATGTAAGTCAGCCATATGCAATGGATGTTTCACCCCTGCTGTTTGTGTAGTTACACGGACGGACCCTTTGTTCATCAGGTATGAAGGCAGATTACTGGTTCTAGCCTGGCGATATCCTGCGGTCCTTCTTGCACATAGACGATGCGTTACTGTCGTGCTCAGTGGAAGAAGTACCTACCTCATACCTAGATGCCTTAAAGTACTTAGATACCTACCTAGGTAGGTAACCTAAGGTGACACGACCCATAGAAGATATTTAGACGCCTTGCGCCTGTTGTAGAAGCAACTAGGCTGCTTACTTCAACTCTTTCTCTGCTGTCTTTTTTTCTTCCCTCTGCCCTCTTTTCTTCTCTTCTTCACTTCTTTTTTTCACTTCAACTTTCCTCACTCATTACATCCTATCTACTATTTCAAGACATGATTCTGTGTCTTGTCTACCATACCTAGATCAGTGAAGTCTACTGCTCCTTCCAAGCTACGCAGCTGCAAACAATATCTCTTTTTGCCCAGCAGCCTCGTTTGTTCTACTTACCTACATCCTATCTATTACTCAACCTCGATCCTTGTCCATATACCAATCATGGATAGGTAAATATACTTTCTTCCCTCTTCCTCAAGCACGCTAGATGTGGTAATTTGCAGAATGGTTGTCCAGGCCTGTCACGGCCTGTCACGGCCTTCCATCGTTTCTCTCCTAGCTGACATGCAGATATCTAGAAAAAATCACGGGTCGACCCCCAACTTGTGTCACCAATTTTTACGCTTGGGAAAATGCAGATTTGGTGCGAAATGCAAGTATTTACATGTCGCTTCGTCATCTTCGTCGGCCCCATCAGCCTCGTCAGTTTCACTTGAGACGCAAACACCGCGCAATCACCGCCAGGAAGCCCGAGGTCCAGTCCAAGATCGCCTTCGCGAATGGAAAAGGCTACTCAATCAACCTCCTTCAAGCTCTCGTACTACTTATTCGTCTATTCCTGCAAATCAAAAAACATGTGACGCATTTTTCACGCTTGCTCTTGCGTTGATAGGAGGAGGAGACATTGGAGCTTCCCAGGAAACAGTCAAGTCAATGGCCCAAGATCCTGGCCTAGAATTTATCAAGAACCTCGTTGATCAACAAATCCCCCTGGCTGTAAATGACTTGACCAAAGCACATCTATGGAAGGACCAGATACAGCCCTTATTTCAAATCCTCACCCACCCTTGTGTTGTTGACTCTAATGTGCTTGAACAACAAGTTGCTATCATTTGCAACTTCATCCAGGGGATTGGCGGAAGGCGGATGGGCATATTATATGACTTTATCCTGGACCTTCTCAACTCCTGGTCTCGCTTGCCTATGGCTGGAGACGACAAGTACGGAATATCGACGTGTGAACTTTCACTTTCAGTCCTGGCCACTATGATCGACTGCAACACAAGCAACATCGTCAATGATAACTTTGCCAGAGTTGTCAAGCGTTTTGATACTCCTATCCAAGCTGCCAGTCGTTCTGACAACGAATATTCCAAATTACAAGCTCAGAAGCACCTGCAGTACCTTCACCAACGTCTCGGAGTTGGCAGCACACTCTCTGAAACTAAGGCAGCAAAGAAAACTCCTGTGACGCGAGCTGAGTTTATCATGCGCAAAGATTTACCAGGCCGACTTTCGGCAGACGGTCCAAGACACGATAACGATCACGCTGACATATGTGACATTAGAATTCTCCCTACACAAGAAGAAATTACGTCCGTACGTAATGAATATTTACCCACTACCGATACCTCCTCATTTCACATACCTGGAATTCGAGGGCGCCTTGACAGAGAGTTCCGCCTGCTGCGGGAAGATACCGTAGGCCAACTTCGAGATGCAGTCAGCACTCAACTTAAGTCAATGAGCGATCCAAAATACAAACAGGACCGTAGCAATGGAAACGCTATTCGTACCTACGCATACGGGCAAGCATCAATCGTTAATATCGACTTTGATAGAAACCGGGGCATGGATTTGTTGGTTCGGTTTCTCCAACCTATGACCAAGCAGAGCGTCCAACAGCGCAGGGATTGGTGGGGAAATTCTAAACGTCTTCAGCCTGGTGGCCTTGTCTGCATGCTTTCTGGAAAGGGCTCCGTGTTATTCTGCGTGGTTGGCGATAGCACCATCATAGCAAGCGACCAGAAAAGTACCAGAAAGGCAGAAGAGGACGAGGAGCCTGCACAGAAGTTATCTCTGGCTGATAATGACCGATGGGCTTATGCTCACCTACACCTTGTTGAGGCCCGCCCAAATGATATCGGCCAAGCACTTCGATGGTATAAGAATATTGGTATCGAGCAGCAACTATGTCTTGTGGAGTTCCCTCGTGTCCTCCTCCCTTCGTTCCAGCATACACTTATAGCGCTTCAGCGCATGTCAAAAAAGTCCGATGTTCCTTTTGACGAACTCCTTGCTCCAGCCAAGGAGGAACTAGATTTGGGAATCAAGGATGTCGGACCTCCCCAGTATACTACGAAGGCAAAATTCTCCTTCGACCTGACATGTCTTACGAATGATAGTACAACTCTCCGTCATTCACCCCAGAAGCCGCTCGAACCGCAAGAGTTGGCAAGTCATTCATTGCTTGATACAACTCAGTCAAGTGCTCTTCTGAACACATTGAGTAGAAAACTGGCTTTGATCCAAGGTCCACCAGGTACTGGAAAAAGTAAGCATCACCCTTAGTCTTGAAATTACTACCTGCTTCAAAGGTCATACACTATTATGGTAATTGTATAGACCGTAGAAGAGCACAGATCACTAACGAAATTATGCACAGGCTTCACCGGCGAAAAGATAATAAAGGTTTTGCTTGCAAATAAACGTCAGGCTGATCTCGGTCCTATTCTCTGCGTATGTTATACGAACCACGCCCTGGATCAGTTGCTGCTTCACCTGAAGAAAGATAAAGTCAAAATTATTCGAATCGGGTCAGGATCGAAATCAGAAGAGTTAGAGGGCCTCAATCTTCGTGTTGTGGCTCAAGCCGCAGATCGGACCAAGGCTGAAAAGGGTAGAATATGGGATCTAAGGTCAGAACGCAATGACCATGTTGACACGATAGCACGGCTGGTCAATGAACTTGCTGTTTGCCAAACCCCAGTTTCTATTCGGAACCATCTTTCTTTACATAATAGCAGCCACCACAACGCTCTATTCGGGATCGAGGATGAAGAGGGATGGCAGCAGCAACAGCATCGAAAACCTGGCCAACTTTTAAGCACATGGAGAAATAGCGGCCCCCGGGAAGCCCGTCCTCCTCGCGACATAACCCAGTTGATTTACGCAGACGTTTGGAAGATGACGCACTCTGAAAGGACGTGCCTCTACAATCATTGGCTGCGAGAAATGCGCGATCCGCTCATAACTGAGATCATAAATAAGTACAAGAGTTATGAAGCTACTACAGACGAGCTGGAAAAGGTGTCTCGCGACGTCGACCTTCGATGCCTCCACGAGTCAGATGTGGTTGGTGTTACAACTACTGGTTTAGCAAAAAACCTTCGCCTCCTTCAAAAGTTAAGATGCAAAGTCATGCTCTGCGAGGAGGCCGGGGAGGTTCTCGAGGCGCATACTCTTACTGCCTTCCTACCCTCTGTTGAGCAAGCTATTCTTATCGGCGACCACCAACAATTAAGACCCCAGATTGTAAACTACGAACTCCAGAGCACGAGCCCAAGAGGCGCTCAATATTCCCTTGATGTGTCTCTGTTTGAGCGTTTAATTCAACCGCCACACGACACAGACCCAAGGTTACCATATGATACGCTAGAGACTCAGAGACGAATGCACCCTAGCGTCTCAGAGTTGATTCGATCGACACTATACCCTCAGCTTGAGGATGGCGGTAAGGTAGCTGATTACCCAAAGATATATGGGATGAAAAAGCGCCTATTTTGGATGCATCACGAGTCGCCCGAGGACCGAGAAGTCCAGCTTGATCCAACGACAACTTCACATACGAATACCTTCGAAGTCGATATGACTATAGCACTTGTCCAGCATTTGGTAAGACAAGGATCTTACGGCTCAGACGACATCGCTGTCATCACACCTTATCTAGGGCAACTCAATCAACTTCGGCGGGAGATGAGCAGATTATTTGAGATTTCTGTTGGCGAGCGAGATCTAGAAGAGCTAGAAGCTCTCGACTCTGATCAATTAACAGCTGGGAATGTGTCATCCCAACCGCATAAGCCCACCGTGGTTAAGAAAACCCTCCTGAAAAGCATTCGATTAGCAACCGTCGATAACTTCCAGGGCGAAGAAGCGAAAGTCGTCGTAATTTCGCTCGTGAGGAGCAACTCCGCGAACAAATGCGGATTCTTGAGCACACCTAATCGTATCAACGTGCTGTTATCTCGTGCTCAGCATGGGATGTATCTGATCGGCAATGCGAACACCTACAGACATGTGCATATGTGGGCAAAGGTTTTGGAAATCCTCGGTGCGAAGGGGAACTTGGGAACTCAGCTGGAACTACACTGTAAGCACATCCCCCCTCGGTGAATTATAATAGTTACTTACTCCTAGTTATACAGGTCCACGACATCCAAACCCCGATACACCCCTCCTAGTATCAAAGGCTGACGATTTCTTGCGAGTTGCGCCTGAAGGAGGATGTATACTCCAGTGCGACAAACGCCTGCCGTGCGGACATTCGTGCATCAATAGATGCCATCATGAGAACTTACACAACGCTGTCAAATGCTTAGAGCCTTGCCCCAGACCCAAAAAGGGATGTCAGCATACTTGCAAGTTAGTTTGCGGAGAACCTTGCAAGCCTAAATGCGACGAACATCTGAAAAACATCAACATTACTCTTGCTTGTGGCCACAGGATTTCTACAGCTTTATGTTGGCAAGCACAGGATCCCTCTTCTATAGTTTGCAAGCAAATGGTCTCGAAGGTCGTGCCCGGTTGTGGGCATACCGTTGAAGTGCCTTGTCATACAGATGTCAGCGTGGACACTTACAAGTGCAGAAAATCATGTCTCGACCCTCGACCATGTGGCCATGACTGCCAAAGTTCATGCTACGAATGCAAGCAAAGGAAAGATGGCAAAATTATCAGCACAGTCCACCCTTTCTGCAAGCAAGTTTGTGGTCGTGCATATACAACGTGCCGTCACACGTGCCGAGAGCCATGCCATGGCAAAGCTGAGTGTCCACCATGTCTAGCATCGTGCGAAGTTCGATGCAGTCACTCTAAGTGTAGCAAGAAATGCTACGAGCCTTGTGTGCCATGCGCCGAGCAGACATGCGCGTCGCAATGCCCTCACGCACGATGCACGATGCCATGTGCAGCACCTTGTGATTGGGTGCCTTGCTCAAGGAGATGCGAAGAGATTTTGAGTTGCGGGCATCAATGTCCATCCATATGCGGAGAGACGTGTCCTAGCGAGAAATTCTGCCAGACTTGCTGCTCCGAGGAGATAAAGTCGGTTGTGGTGGACTTCATCATGGGTATGCAATACCATGAAATCGACTTAAACGAAGATCCCTGCATCTTCCCGGACTGTGGCCATTTCGTTACGAAGACTAACATGGACGGTATTATGGATATGAAGGTCCATTACGAAATATCAGCCGAGGATAACCCAACCGCTGTCCTCAACACTTTGCAGCCATTCTCCATGGATGAGGTAAAGCCTAAGGTCTGTCCGAATTGTCGTGGATCTCTACGCAATATCTCCCGATATGGAAGGATCGTCCGAAGAGCTATGCTCGATGAAGCTACAAAGAAGTTTGTTATCTGGTCTCAAGCTGAGTATAGCAAGCTTGCAGAACTTCTACTCGACATACAGGGGCACATCGTAGAGGCCTCACCACCTCCCCGGACTCTGCAGAAAGATGACCGCTCCAAAAGGAAAATCCTACCGGCTGGTCGTGCAATCCAGATAAACCTCATCCGCGAGTGGGTTGGCGGCTCTAGGTACGATGAAGCATTGAAACTATGGCAGCGAATCAGTAGTTTCCTTGGGCAAGTGAGAAGAGAAGAGCAACCTTTCCAGCGCGTCAACGACTTTGTCCAGCACGCAACGCGGTTGCGAAAAACACAGGGAATATTTGCCTTCGACGAGGCGACGATCCAAAATAAAGGGTACTTACAAGCGTGCACGCTCTCCCTGAAATGCGATATCATCATCGTCACAGACTTCATGGTGCAGCGAAAATCTCTGCTCGAGTCTCGGCCGAAGCTTAATTTGGACTTCGCACAACATATGAAGGAATGCGAGACCCTGGCAGAGCGTGCTCAAGTTACAGGGCATCCGAGACAAGAAACCGAAGCCCACATATATTTCGCACGGTTTTGCGCCTTCAGCAGAGCGTTGGCCCCGACTGAGAAATCGGAGGGCGAGTCTAACACCAATGCGGCAAACGAAGAGAAACTCAAAGAGCAGGGTAAAGAACACCTAGTTGCCGCTCGCAAACTAGTTACAAAATATGGCGAGCAGACCAAAGGGTTGATGGCGGAGATCGAGACAGCAGAAAAGATGCTGCGTGATAGCGTGTTCTACGACCCTGTTTCTACGGACGAGTTGCGGGAGGTGTACCGTGCCATGGCGGCCGAGTTCTCCGGAACAGGACACTGGTACTTATGTGCGAATGACCATCCATTCACGATCGGCGAGTGCGGGATGCCGATGCAGAGGGCGCTCTGTCCGGAGTGCGGTGCGCCTGTCGGCGGTGCCAATCACGCCCCTGATGCGGGCGTGCAGCGCGCAGATGAGATCGAGAACCTTGCTCGTGGTCTTGGGGGAATGGGAATTAATTAAGCTGGATATCAGGGCTTGGGTGCCGCGTTTGTATTGCGATGTTCTCGATGGATGAATAGGAAAAAGTCACATCTGACCACCACGCCGTATGGCCATCGCGTGATCCTATAGCATGGTCGCTTTTACATAGCATTGATTTAGGTGTAGGCGTCTTATTAAATAAATTGCGTTCTGTCTTTCGCGGGAAATCACTGCCATTTGAAATAATATTTGTCCGTATGAAGTCGGTCCAACACAAGTCACGTACAAGCCCATCATCAGTCGAACTAATCAGATTTTCGTAACGACAAAAGGAGAATGATCCTATTGAAAACAGGTACATATAATATAATATACTATAATAGAATGTTGCTCACGTCCATCATCTATCCGCCCTCATCCGCGAGGCGACCTAGAAGTTTGTGCTAGCCGGCCCAGTACCGAAAGAGAGACAAGCCGAACGTTTCTTCTTTCCCTCGGGACTCCTCCAGACATAACGATTGGTAGTAGCAAGTAGGTCGGCAGGTGAGTACTTCTAACCCGTCTCTCCCTCTTTATACAACCCTTTGGCGAGCGAGGTATTAGCAGCTTAGTACACCTGCACCGAGTCGCCGAGAGTAGTCGCGCCAACAACGGGGCTAGGGGCATCCTTGGACGCGGTAGCCTCGACGGACTCGTCGGCGTCCTCCTCGGTCATGCCGCCGAGGATCATGGAGCTGGGGGCGAGGGCCTGGATCTCGGGGGGGCTGGTGAAGGCGAAGAACTTCTCGTCGTGCCACTGGCCGGCGGTGATGAGGCGGCCCTCGCTGTCGGTGAACAGCACGTCGTTCTCGGCGCGCAGGAAGTACGCGATCGAGTAGCGGTGCTCGGTCGGGTCCAGCGGCACCACCCGGTGGATGCACGACTGCATCGTGTGCCCGCTCGCGAACCGCAGCGAGTCCCCCACGTTGATGACCGCCATGCCCTCCTTGGGCTCCACGAACCCGAACTCCTTCGACCCGGGGGGCCGCACCTGCAGGCCCCACTGCTCGGCGAAGAGGAACGTCAGCGAGCTGATGTCCGTGTGCTTCTGGTGCCCGATGTTCTTCGCCGACGGCTCCGACGGGATGTAGTGCATCATCGCCAGCGTGCTCGTCGACGGCCGGTCGTTCCGGTGCGTGTTCTCGAACCGCGAGGCCCCCGTGAGCCCGAGGCCCGTCGACAGCGCCGACAGGATTGTCTTCGTCGCGATGTTGGCCCCCGCGATCGCGTGCTCCAGGATCTTCATGTCCGGGCTGTTCTTGATGACCGCCGGCAGGTGCGGGCTGTCCTTCTGGATCTCGTCGCGGGACACCTTGATCATCTCGTAGCCGTCCTTGGTGTTCTCTAGGACACCGGTGCGCGAGCCGATGGGCTCGTATCTGGTTTGATCACCTGTCAGTAAAGAATGCTTCCATTTTCCATCTTCTTTCTTCTCTTTCGTCTTATTCTCGAGCTTAGATGGGAGATAGCCGGTAGGCTAGACGTTACTCACCCGAGGTGCGGCGCAACAAGACCGAACTCGTTCTTTGCCTCGAGAGGAGCATCGAAGAAGCGGTACATGAGCTTGAGGGTGTCCTGTTGGTCCTCGAGCATCCGGCGGCCGTCAATGCCTCGCAGGTCGAGGTAGAAGTACCCCTCGTCCTGGCAGCAGCGAACTAGCCTCTCGATCTCGGACGGCTCTTGGGAGAGCAGCTTCGAGAAGTCGATGATCTCCATGGGGTAGACCGGGACCTTCTTCCCGTTCCACTCCACGGTCTGGGGAACATCAGTTGAGATGGCCATTGTGAATTTCCTCGGCTAGCTGCGGGATGCGTAAGGGTGTAAGTTAGATTCGTCGAAGTCGATGGAGATAAGGACAACGTTTGAGATTCTCACTCTTTCACCTTTGTCCCTCGCCAGCTTCTCACCCCTTCTCTTTTATAGATCGCGCGGCGGCGATGACGAAGGCGTTGTCGGAGCTCGATCCTCCATAGTCCAATGTAACTTCCCCCTCCCCCCACACTACCTTTTGTCATTTATCCATCTGAATCGCAGATGTCACTTTATTCGAATCCTGTCTTGATGCTTGCATGGGATTTACATGACAACCCTGCGATATAGATGGGTGATACCACTCCTTGGCATCTCATCGCCATCGAAAAGAGCATAATGCTCTATTAACCTCAAGTTTAGCCGGTTAGACCCGCGTACCTAGATCGTCTGGCCCGGCTGCAACCCTCCGCAGTTTTAAACATACCTAACCTATATCTAGCCATACGCCGCGGAGGAACCCTGCGAGGATGCGAATCGCGCCCAGTCGGCTCCCCAAGAGGTGTCGTATATATTATAGACGACGCCAAGCCCGGCAGATATGTCTGATAGCTCTTTGGGGCTTGCATGGGATTGAGAAACTTGAGACGACGATCTCCCATTGTTCGCATTGACTCCGCACTCTTGGCTTCCCCAGGACCACCGAAAAAATCCCATACCTATCTGGTAGGTACCTATGATGAATGGGTGCCGGAGCCGATGGTATTCTCGCTACCTAGGGATGAGCTGGGTATCCTACGAATCCGGCTTAGACGTGCAGCGTTTCCCCTCATTTTTCTTTTGCCATGGTGGTTATTTTATCAGACGGAGAGCTAGATACTAGAGGCCCATCTCAGGTACGAAATCCCCACAGGGTCTAGAGGCCTTGTGGCGCTCTGCCATGCCAGGAGCGAGGCGATAGGGGAAGGAGGACGGAGTGCAAGGTAACACAAGTCATCGCTTACTGATTCGGCGATAAGGGGCTGAGATTGAATGCGGAATGAGCCTGATAACTTGATGTCCATTTCCCAGCCTTCGACTTTGTTTGGTAGCTATTTTATAGACAGGGACCTGTACGTAATGGAAACCTTCCGAGATTGTGATAACATCCTAGAGACCCTTTTGCCAATATCCTCTCTATCTGTTCTAAGAAGCGTGTGGTTGGATATCGTTCGAAAGCGTATATCACTTTTATGAAGTCTAGCATCTAACTCTGCTGAAACCATATAAAAATACAACTCTGCTTAGATCAGGGTATAAAAATAGAGGATGATGTTTAATCCTGTGAAGAAGTATTGGAGCACTCATTTGGGAGTACGGATCTCAATTCCAATTGATGAATGACCAAAGGTTTTATATAATACTTAGACCAGATGTCAGGCCACCAACCATTAAGCGTGGACGGGCTACTTCCCAACGTATACATAACTTATAATAGGTTTACTATGAGGAGGCGTTGAGAGATTATAAGGTATTCAGTATTAGCTTACCACATAGTTCTAGCATATGGAACGGAAAAGTTCAAAAAGCCACACAGATCAGATGTAAGTAGATATCACCAAGACTATGAGATAAGCACCTGAGGCAAGGCAAGGTATATAGATTATTGTCAGGCTATGCGCGGTCATGGATATCATATACAGAGTGAGTGACAGGGGCATAGTGTGCTGCCTATTGTAGAGATCTAGTAACGCCTGGCCTTTTAACCTCCCTCGAGGGAGCTGCTGTATCCACGTAGCTTCATAATTACCTTAGGAAAATATATATATTCTACATTTCAGCTGTTAATCATGCTATATTTGTAGTCGTATAAACCTCCCACTGTGGCCCTGAAAGTTACCAACCATTGGGTTAGGTTAAGCAATCTTGCATAATAAGTACATCCTAAGAGAATCTTTATGCTATTTTCATCTTTGAGGAAACACAATCATCGAACTCCATAAATACCCTAATCCGTGGCGAGTGAGGAAGTCTGTGAAGACCACCTAGTAATAGCAAACGAATCGCTCTTCATGCAATGTATACCTAGGAGTACAGAGCCACCTATTTACTCCTTAGACCACGAGGTCAGTTCCCTGCCTTTAAAACGCCCAGTGCTTGAAACAAAGCCCGTCCTCATACATCCCTTATCCCATATTAGCTTCACCAATATTACTGCCCCAAGAAGTAGGCAGCTTAACTTATTCCGACGAACTAGGAGAACCACCCGAATTTGCGCACTGCGGACATCTTTCCCCGGTTCTTTCAACTGTCTCATGTTCCTCTAGAACGTTATATTGAGTACACTCGTCACTGCCATCCTCGTCGCCTGCGAAGGAGTATTTGAATTTCCATAATTCGCATGCTCGGTAGTGATCGAAAATGAGATGTCTCCTGTTTTTGCGAGGGTTGCAGTCATATAGGTACCAAACTTCTGTGCACATCTTGAACCAAATGTTGTAATAGCTTTTGTTGAGAAGTAGTTTGAGGGCACGCTCTGAAAACTTTGACCGATGACGTTTTGAAGAAGGTATTGGTACCTAGGTAGGTAGTTGGTAGTGAAGATGCGGCTCAATTCTGAGTTGGGTCTCACGACTTGATCGTTGCCTCTGATCTTGCGGCTGCATGAACTTTAAATGTGTATAGGGTTTATTCATTCCAAAACGATCCTTGCGTATAATTGAATAGTAATAAGCTCCTGCATATGAGGAAACTTTCATCCTTGACTCACCTCCTCGGCTGAGCTCTTCACATTGCCCAGGAGACGGTTCAGTGTCAATCTCTTCCATTCGCATTCTGCTCATTAGTTTATAAAGATGGTTTAAGCATCTGGTACGACGAGGGACCATCGAACAGGAAATACTCAAAGTGTTCTCCGGAAACATGTGAACAGGGTAGTATTTTCAGCAGGCATAGTGATCCTAGCGCCGAGTAATTGCGACACTTGTCACAAACTTGTAGAAGTCACACCGCATAGCTATCCTTATAATCCCCTTATAGAAGTTGGGGTTGTAGGCAAAGAGTGGATATTATAGAGCAGGGTATTTTCCTTATATAATTCTATGCCGCCCTCAGCGGCGAGAATAAATCTATAGGGACACATATTCCGTTACGGTTGGATTACAATAAGTGCAGGGAAACTTAAGTTTCGTCACGAAGAAGGAAGTTCCTGATCACGACAAAGAGTAATAGCTTTATTTTCCAGCCTGTCGGAGGAAGTTGTTGAGACACAAGCAAATGCGGGTTACCAAGAACATAAAAGACTTTTGTCTGGGTCGCTATCCTTACATTATGTAGACAATGCCTTGCTCCTACTCAGAGAAAAAAAGGCAACGAAAGTTGACATTTGGGTATAGTTAACGGACCCGAGAAACTATAAGTATGGTAATAGGATTTCAGTCGGATTGGTTAACCAAGCAATGGTAAGTTTTATCCGATCTTCCATGGCACTCAATGTGTCGGTTATTCCTTCTCTGACATCATACAGACTGCAGAAAAGCAGATATAGCAGCTGAACTATTCTAATAGGTAGGTGCTTGAATCAAAATAGCCTTTACGGTTTCATTACCTTGGAAATGTCAACTTCCGTGTATGATCATTCGAAGTAATGCACTTGTAGTTTTAGATATCTTGTTGGAGATACGGAATATTTGAAACGTTATTTACGAGCTATTCGCTCCGTGGACAGGTTCATACGATGTCTACCCTGATGGACGGACTATTCGCCCCTATTTCCCCTGAGATGAGGGTATTCGTCCCGATTTATCACATTGACCACGCAACATCTACGGGATCTGGTGGAGATGAGCTGAGGATAGTATAACCTCAGCTAAGCGACCCTACGCGATTGCACTACAGATCTGCATCTTAAAGCTTAAGATACTAGGGAAGGTAGTTACCTTAGGTAGGTATGTATGGAGTGGGTTTATTATGCGGGCAACCCCTTTATTAATAAGTCATATAATTTCAGCATTCATGAGAGAATGGATGAACTAGAAGACATATCCGAGATAGGAGACCCAAGTCCCAGCCGGCTATCCCCTCATGAGGATGAAGAAGGGGTGAGCACTCTTTAGCTTCGATATGTCGTTACTGCACAGTATTGTACTTCGTATATGGCGTACAAAGACAAGACTTGTGAAACAGATCTTGGAGAGGCCAGCTAGGCTAAAGGAGACTATTCGTTAAACTGTTTATCCACTTATGAGCTTGGGGTTGGGTTTTTTTCTGAAAGTCAATTACTGATGTAGTCGAGATGAATCCTGTTGGTTGATCTAGATTGGCCGAAAGGGGTAATCCGCGCTAATAGAAGCGCCTGCTGACTCGAGCCCGCGCTTATTAGAGAAGGGGAAATTCGATGGACCTATTGGTTGGAAGTGTATATAAATGGCTTTCTACTTAAGTTGGAGTACACTTGATCCAACAAATAAGGTATCAGGTTGTGATATGGAACTGATCAGCTAAGGGACGGCCTAATGTTCGGGGCGAACTTGAATGTCCTTGACGTGTTGAAGACAGTACGCTGTGGTGCGTTGTAGTAGCAGACTGGCTTCACCTTTGCGGAGCTCGCTCATCATCTCAAGTATCGTGGTGTTGGTTGCATAGGAGCTAATCGTGTACTCGTCACGGTGCTGACGACGCCACCGAGCTTCGGGGTGATTCCTGAACAGGAGAGGTGAATTGGGACATTATGTAGTAAATCATTTATTTACATACATAGTAGTATCATAATTTGGAGGAGGTTAGTGGCGAGTTTCCATACCATCCTCTCTCGTCACGTTATTTGGGCGACACCAAAAGTTCGAAGTTTTGGTCCTGTTTGTCTCAGTAGGATAATCCAATCAACCTGCAGAAGACCCCTGTTCACCTGAACAAGACCCTGCCTTCTGCAAGAGAAGCGCCTGCCATTGGGTTTAGACCCCTGCCCCTCCGTGCCAAGGAGGAGCCTGCCGTGACTTTTTGAAGATCCAATCCTTGCCGCGGCTCAGCGATGCGGCAAACACGCGAGGTCTGTGGATTATGCCTTGTAATGTTTTTTTTTATCCATATGAATCGTAAACTCTTCGTCTTCGATTTCTCTGTATTGTTCTGGCTACAATGCTAGAAGCTTCATGAAAATT